GCAGGGAAAAGCAAACACCAGCACACCTTGTTCTATACTGCAAGAACTACAAGCAGGAAAGGAAAGAAGCTTTAGAAGCACTAAAGTCTCCTCTTACTCTGTATAAGCTCTTCTGCATGCCAGATGGTAGAAAAGTCTTATTTACCTACCTTGAAAGGACCCAAATCGCTACCCAAAAGTGGCTCCTACAATAGGAGCCTCTAGAGGACATGGAACAAAAGATAGATAATAGAAAAACATACAGAAAACAGACAAAACTATAAAAAGACAATAGGTATAACAGGGTAAGATCTTAGGAGGAAAATGTTTAGGTTTTCCTTTGTTTATTCTATCACACTCACTTCCTTTCATCACCTTCTTCTCCTCTACACTCCTTTACCTACCCCTTGTCCTTCCTTTTTTCTGCCTTAACAAGCAGTCTTACTGCTCTCACTTAAGCCTAACACATATGAGAGCCTTGAGAGAGGATGTATGTTAGTGTCAGATGGTAAGCTAGTTTATGGATATCCCATCTGGGACTGGAGAGGAGGACTAGGAGAAACTGTCTGTACCGGTACTATCTGAGGACATGTGGCTAGTGATTCGGCAGTGGCTAGTGCCCTGTGTAGCCTTGGTGCCCAGAGAAGGAACATCAAAACCGGTGTCAGGCCCCAGCCTTATACATACAACAATACACCAGAATACAATCAGTCAACCCATCTTCATTCAATCTTTCTGTCACCGTGACATCTTCAGATATCATCAAATCTGACAGTTAGTTAGTATAGCCATGTTATAGTCTTAGACTCAATACACATATTTTGAAATATATATATATATATATTTAAGCAGATACAAGTACTAAAACCTCTAGTTAAGATAACTAGAAAATGCAGTAGCTTATTTACAGTAGGTAGAGCAGAGACTCTATATGTGCGATATATAGCCTAGCGCATTAGAACTACAACTCTATAGAGTTTTCTATTTAGGTAATACGTACAATTATATATAGCTTTAAAACTAGCTTTAAAACTAACAGGAATACAGAGATTTTAAAGCATTGCGCTAACGTCTAAGGGCTTATACAAAATTAGGTAGTGGCTAAGACGAGTTTCGAATTTGCCAAGCGTACACCGATAACGCACATAATAGATTCCGGATCTGGCATGGTTCGGTTGTGAACCCGAAATACGAAGCCAAACGTTCTGCCTTGTTTCCATCTGATTCTTTGACATTGAAGCTTAAGATAGCCGTAAATTTTCTTGGATGCTGTGCTCTTATTTAACCCAGCCTCACATACAGTACAACAGCTCTCTCAAGAATCCCACGGGACTGGGTCCGACCCTTCTAGCATGTAAAATGATATCCCTCAACCCGCGCATCGCAGCGATTCAGACCATGGCCTTCAACAACAAACTCCTCCTCGGCGCAGTCCCACTCGTCGCCGCGCCAGCCCTCTACTTCACCTACCTCACCTACCTGAACCGCACCCTCTCCCGCAAAGTCTCCTGCCTCACAACGCCCTACCTACAAGATGCGACCCTCCCAGTCCCTCCTTCGGTGAAGACAAAGTCAACTCCAGACATCCTCGTCCATCACGAAAAAGCGCAAAAGTCCATTCCTTCCGCAAACCTCAAGCAATGTCCGCGCTCCGAGGTGCAAACCCGCTTCCTGCGACACACAATGTCCATGTTCGCCAAATCGGCGGCGGCGTGGAGTATCTGGTTCCTCCTCAAGGATCCCAAGGACCGCTGCACGTTTGACAAGAGTTACATCCGCGCATTGGATTTCGCGCCTGGCGATCGCGTCTGCGGCGTCTACGTCGTGGATAGCAGAGACAAGTCGCGCGTGGTGTTGAGGTTGGATGCGCCGGCGAGTTACAAGGGGCCTGCTGTGGAGGGGTTGTTGGTGGCGGAGATTCGGGAGGAGGGTGCCGAGATGGTGTTTGTGAATCATACGGTTTTGTGGAGGAGGAACGGCGAGGGGAAACCGAATGTGTTGGAGAGTGCGATGGGGAGGTGGGTGCATGGGGTTATGGTTCGGAAGTTGGTGGAGAGTGGGGTGGGGAGAGTGGTCGAGGAGGTGGGAGGGAAGAAGGGTGTGTGAGGTGGTGAGGGTGTTTCCATAATTGGGGATTTGGAAGACTGGAGATGGCTGTTTCGACAGCGGACGGGAGCTTCAGACGTTGGTGATGGGCGTTGCGACTAATTTTGGCTGCTATAGAGAGGTTGGAGTGGGAGGGAGTATTTTCTCCTTGTAATGCTGCCGATGGGTTGGTATATATGTTTTGGACAGGATAGGATGGAATATCTCCTCTCTGGCATAGGCTCAGAATAAGGCGCATAAACACGTGGCCAGGCGATGAATTCCCGCACCTGCACGAGGTCCCGATGAGGTCGCACCTGCTTCATCCAGAGAGCAATGTTGTGCTGGAAGTGGCAATGGTGCCTAGGCGATTTTTTTTTTTTTTTTTTTTTTTTTTTTGAGATTCCAGGCGGTCTACGGAGTATCGTGTCCGTCAGTCCTCACCACTGCATGCATCTTGTCACTCACGTCCGTCCACATCAACTCCTCTTGGCATCTTGTTGGCAAGCAGTCAACAACCAAAATGGCCTGATGAGACTCACTGACCAGCCTCTTGACGCGCACTTCCCCCACGCGGCGCATCTCTTCTCCATGGCACGGCTAACTCCCCTTTATATCGACGAGCGCGGTCAGGAACCGAGCCCAACACACAACCGACACCGCAAGCGCTTCTCTCGATATAGCACACGCGGACTTTCAAGCAACTGGGCCAAGCCTGAGACTTTGCTTGTGTCGACAAAGGTCCTGCGTCGCAGAAATCGGATGATTTTCGAAACGCAGGCCTGCTCGGTTTCCCAGGTAGGACTTGTGGTTTCACGCCTCGGTTCGGCGCGAACGTTTTAAACGCCGCAACTGGGCTGATGTTTGCGACGCGTGTCTGTGTGGCTGGAGGGACTGGGCAGCATCTTGGGACTCTTCGCGTTGCAGAAGCTGAGGGCGACGAGCAACGACCTCAGGACTACCAGATGGAGAGTGCCCAGACTTGCAGCTAAGGCGTTTCTTCAGTACGGAGCACGGTCGTCAGGGGCTGCAGGAACATTTGTGCATCATGGGCATGTTTGCTGGAAGCCCTCGAGAATGCCATGCCCATCCGCCCAGTCTGCATCTCGAGTTTTTCCTCCATGCTGGCGTTGGATCCAATCTAAAGTTATGCAGTACTTGTGGTATACGCACAAGGTGGGAGGTCCCATACCAGCTGCGTGATACGTTGATGGACAACAACCTTTTGGCAGTCCGCTATCACAAAAATATAGGATTCCGACCAATTGCACGAGCTCTGACGAAGAGCTACCAAATGCGCGCCGCCAGGTCTAGGCTCCTCTCAGCAACTCGACGCTTGGCAGTGTCTGACCGTGGTCCGTCTTCCCTTTCCCCCATGTCCCCGAGTGGAGTGCTTATGCCAAATCTACAGCTGCCCCCTGAGTTCCCTTATCATGAGGAAGGGGCAAAAGGAGCTCTTCTTGTATGACTTGGCTCTGCAGTCTTCACCTTGGCTTCAACGGGGTACCGAGAGCAAGAAAAATGGGAGAAACACACGCTGGGCTCTTGGTGAAGATGCGCCTATATATCTTGGTATCGCCTGCATAGACCAGAGTTGTTTCCTTTGCATCCAACAAGGCGTTTTTTCAATATTTCTCTTCTTGTTCGTTCCTTCCCTTTTGCTTTTTTCGGTTCGTTTACACCTTTCCTATCCAGGTAGATCCTGTGAGCATCTTCACTTCTCGACCCGTCGACCTGCACGCAGCGCGTTGCACCTTTCCCGTTTGCCTCGTTTACTTTGCTTCCTATAAGCTCTACGACTCCGCTCCCAGATACCCTCTCACGTGTCAATCCGTTCAACGTCATCCTACAGTTAGCGGATCCGTCTGGTGGAGCTCCGTACAGCTCTTCTTAATACTGTCCTTCGTCCACATCTAAACGACATCCGAGATCTACTACTTCCTTTTCACCATGCTCTTCCACACTCTCCTACTGGCCGGCACGGCATCCGCATCATGTCTTCACGGACTTTCCAAATTCAAGAGACAAGAGGGCGGTGAGGGTGGGGTACCCATCAGTCAATTCGGCTACACGGGTCTTATCGGTCCGTTGAACTGGGCCTCCCTTGGTCCAGAGAATGAGGCTTGCAAGACGGGGAAGCAGCAGTCGCCCATCAACATCGGTATGTCTTGGTCAATACCGTACGATTCCACCAAGTATCGTCTGAACCTAATATACATGTCCAGACCAGTCTGTGTCGCTTGCGACCGAGAGGCCCGTCGTCACCATTGAACAACAACCCGTCGAATTCGAGAATCTCGGCTCCACCGTCGAGGTCATTGTCAATGGCACCACGTCTTTCGCCGGTAACGACTTCAGGCTGAAGCAGTTCCATGTGCACACGCCCTCCGAGCACCGCGTTGGCGAGGAGTTCTTCCCCATGGAGGCACACTTTGTGCACGAGGGAGTCAGTGAGTGCACTCTACCCATAACTTCCAAGCTATATTCAACTGACCTCTCCCCCCTCCTCCTCCTCAGCCGATCCCAACCAAATCGCCGTCATCAGCGTCCTCTTCCAAATGTCCGCCAACGAGACCTCGACGCCCTTCATCTCGGGCCTCCGCCCGCACCTCGCCGCCATCTCCACCCCGGGCACCAAGACGGCCATCGAATCCGGCCTCGACTTCGCCTCCATGATCAACCACGTCCAGACCACCGAACTCTTCCAGTACACGGGATCCCTGACCACGCCGCCCTGCGCAGAGGGCCTCACCTTCCTCGTAACCAAGAACCCGCTGCCCCTAGACGTCGACACGTTCAACGACATCAAGCGCGTCGTCAAGTTCAACTCGCGGTACACGCAGAATACGCTCGGCGAGGAGAACCTGATTGGCGTGGCCATGGTGGCGGGCACGGAGCAGCAGTTTACGCCTCCGCCTGTTCTGTCGCCCGGGCAGGGGCAGGAGCAGGAGCAGGAGCAGGCGGCTGGTGGCGAGGAGCAGCCGACGCCCAGCGCGGGTGCGGGTGTCCGTGAGGGTGAGGGCGGCGCCGCGCAGATTACGTCCGGCGCGACGGTGGTGATTAGTGAGATTGCGGGGATGCCGACGAGTTTGTTGGCGGTGATTGCGTAGGTGGGAGGGGAGTGGAGGGGAGGAGGGAGGGTCGATAGCCTATTATTGACTGGTTAGCCTAGGTTTGCTGGGGAAGAAGGCATTTAGATGGCTTTCTGTGCGATATTCTGATATCTTCCGCCCCCCCCCCCCCCCCAAAAATAAACTAGATTCGTTTTGCGAGACTTGGTTGCCTGTTCCGTCTGCTCTTGTTGGTCTGTACTACTGTAGCATATTTGTTGTTGTGGGCCTTTTGGTTGGGCGTGTGGAGTCGGAAGGTGTAGTTGGAGTTTTGGGTTTTAGAAACGGATGGATGGATGTATTTGATACCTTTTGTGAACGGGGATATGCGTTGGATAGATTCGTACCGTAGAGAACCTTGGAAGGATATCATCTGTTTAGCTCGTAGAAGAAGGAAGGCGACCTCGAAGGAATCTGAATTAAACCACTCCCCCTCTTCTCTTCCTAGGGGGACGAAAACAAACAAACATCTATCTATCGGGCACACATAGATGACACAACATTAAACTAGATTCAATCACCACTGCAAACAACTGCCAACTTGAGCCATATCAAAGTCCATTTAATCGTCTATTTTCCATAGATGAAAGGCAAAAACACCCGACAATTTTTTCCGACCTAGCCCTACCAACACTAAAGACTGCACTCCTGTCGCCTAACACCAACCTGAAAAAGAAAAGGGACGTGCTAACAAAACGTTAAACCAGACAGCTTGATTGTAGGTCGAAGAAACAAAGGTGTAGCCTTGACTGCAACAGCAACCAATCCGGCACTCAGGCCCGAGCTATAGCGTTTTTTCAACCATAGGAATACGACAGACACACCAATCACCCGAGACGGGATCCTTCCAAACTAAACGACAATGAACTCCTCCTTGTCACACTCGCCCTCCTCCTTTCAAGCCTTCTCTGCGAGCTCTCCCCAATATCAATATAGTTGTAATTATACCCCGTCTCAATCTCACCCGCAATATTTCTCGTCGGGCACGGTAGGCTAGACTCCCAAAACTCCCGATTCTTACTTCTGTCTCGACGCCGCTGCTCCGCATCCTCGAGCTCAAGGTCTTCCTCCGAGGAATCAGAATCCATTCTACGCAGCGCTGGATTTTCTTTTATTGCCAATGCTCTCGCAGTGCGAATCCGATCAAGTTGTGTAGCTTGTAGACTCACCACCGCGTCCGCATCGAGTCGTAATATGCGAGACCGTGCGACATGCTGCAAGTGCGCGTATCCGTCCAATTTGTCTCGAATTCGATTGCGCTCAATTTCGCCGGCAATGGCATACTGATGGAGTAAGCGGATATAGCGATTCTCCTGAGTTTGATGGGTTTGACGGGGAAGCCTAGGAGTCGCGCCAGGCGCTGCAGAGGCAAACCGGCGTTTGCCCTGTCATGGCCCTGACGTATTAGTAACTCTGAGGGAATTGACTGGCAGGCTGACATATATGTCAGTATGTTCCATATCGCAAAAAATGGCCCTAGAGCGCGTTGCTTGTTAGCCGGGTTCAAGAGGACTTACTGGTGAGTTGAGGATGCTATGGCGCTTGTTCCTGCTCTTCTTGATGTGACTCTTGAGCTGAGTCGAATCCAAGGGTTTGAGAAGTTCAAAGCTGCAGAGGAGCTCCGCAGAGACGGACATTACTGCACCCCAGTTGTCAAACTCCCCGCAGTACTAGTGAAGTTAGTAAAAGGGGCTAGAGAGCCGGAACGGCAGCTTACATTCGGAGCAGAAAAAACGGTAACGAGTAATCGATCGGTGAAAAACTCGTACCCATCTTCGACAACCATGTGCGCTCTGCACACCAAGTCGAAGTCGTTGCGATGCAGAAATTGTTGAATCACGTTCTTGCCAAAACAATAGCTGACACCACGTTCGTTGGATTCCCAGTCAGCTTCTTGATCGGCCGGGTCGCTCCACAACAAGTCGTTCAGTAAACCGAAATCAGGAACATCAGTTGGTCGGGCAATCCTTCGAATGTCGTCCATGTGCGTAAGACTCGGAGAAAGGCCGCCGTGAACGCAGAAAATCTTCTCTGCGACAATGGCGGCTACAGGGAGGGTATTGAAAGTGTCCACAAAAGACTTCCACACTTTGATATTGCACCTTCTCTTACATTCATCATAAAAGCCGTAGACGCGGGTGACATTGGCGCACTCATGATTGCCTCGCAAAAGGAAGAAGTTTTCGGGAAACTTCAACTTGTAGCAGAAAAGCAGAAGAATCGTTTCCAAGCTTTGTTTCCCACGGTCAACGTAATCGCCCAGGAAAAGATAGTTCGAGTTAGGTGGGAATCCACACATTTCGAACATGCGGATAAGATCAGTATATTGCCCATGGACATCACCAACGATCTTCACGGGAGCCGCAAGCTCTAGAAGCGACGGTTGGCTGAGGAACACTTCGCGAATGGCAGCGTTGATCGCGAAAATCTCAGCGTTCTTGAGACAAACCGTCTTTGTGACTTTTCCGGTATAGGCAGCATCCAGCAATCTCTGAATGAAGTCGTCCAGATCGGCGGGCTTCAGCGCGCTGGTCTCCACAGGTGAACCCGACCCCTCGTTGGAGGTAATCGGTTGAGGTGTCAGTGGTATATCCTGATCTTTCTTCCTCAAAATGGAATCGCCTGCTTGTTGCGTACTCGAATGAGGCGGAAAGTTGGTCGGAGGCGCATCCGAGACATGGTCGACCTCCCCCGTTCGTTTCGCTACGTCAACCTGATCATGGCCAGACCCAAGAGCACCATGGACTGGCGAGGGAGGCGGTAGCAAAGGCTGGGCCAAGGCATCCTCTTTCACCGTTGCCTCGATCGCAGCCAACTGTGTCGAGGCGGTCGATCCACGTCGAGATCTAGACTTGGTGGAGCCAGCATCCGATCTGGCATCATCAAGATTGGCGATGGAGTTCCTGGGGCTGTCAACCTTGGCCGAGCCCGGGATTTTGGACCTGACGGAATTGCGAAACGACTTGATGGATTCACGGGTGTCGGACCTGTCGAATGAGCGATATTGCTCACGCTCTAGGGCGACGCCATCGACAATGGACCCAGTCTTGTCTCCCTTATCTTTCTTGGTGCTAGAGGGCTGATTGCCCATAATGCGATCTTATGGGCCGCTGGAGTGGTATCGTGGGCTTTCGATGGTGGTGTACTTGGTAAATGGACACGGAACCGTAGAGGGAGGAGGTGGCGGGTTTGATGCAGGTGCGCAGGAGCAATGTCGTCAGTGCTCCTTCTCCTTCTCCAATACAGTAGCGGCAGAAGCTATGACGCCCACGTCTTGGAAGAGTATATGTACGGGTTCAGACTGAAACCAGGTTGGTTAGGGAGGGCGGTAGAGTCGGGACAGGAAGGCGAGGAAACGAGCCTCTGTGGGTGCGGCGGCGAAGTCGTTGGAAGGCCGCCGACTGAGCAGAGAGGAGAGATGGAGGGTCTCTGGCGGCAGATACGAGTCCTGCGTTGGATCCAGAGCGGTGGTGTTGAGATTTCAAAGCGGCGCGGGCAAGCTCATGGGGCGACGGACGAAGGCGGAGGTAAGAGGGCGGGAGCGGGTACTCGGTACAGGTGGTGCTGTTGCCGCTCACGCTGCGGGACCGGTGAGGAAGTGAGCCGGCTAGGATGAGGCTGGCTCGTGAGAGTGAGACACTGGAGGTGTATATAGGGCGATGCGGCAGCAGGGGCAATTACAAGGTGCAAGGGAGGGGCGCAACTGAGGCTGCTATCGTGTGGTGACGGAAGAGTGGAGGTCCAGAGAGATGTCACCAGCCAGCTAAAGGATCCACCTCCAATGCCAAGACACTAGTCCTTTGGGCGCTGAGGCTCTTTGGAGCCCTCCATGCAGACGTTGGATTCGAAGTCGATTCTGGATGCGCACAGCAGCAGTCTCATGGCCATCTCTGCAGCACTTCTCGCCAGCTCTCCAGGAGCTCCCTGGCCCCAGTTGAAAGCTCCCTGCCAGCCACGCGCCCTCCTTTCCATTCGCAAATGCCCCTAGGCCGTCTTGCGCCGAGCCCAAAACGACATCATCGCGCGCGGTTTCATGGCGAGACATCTAGACTCGCAAACATGCCAAGAGGATAGATAACACACAGTACAAGTATGACTTGAGTACTGCAGTCGGTCGGTAGCACCATGTGCCCACAGATAGCGAAATGTGAATTGCGGACGGAAGTAAACGTGGGACGTCAACTCTTGTGGCATTTCTGCCGCAATGCTCTCAACCTTCTTCATCGTAACCCTTCAGCACCAACCTACTCAAAAGTCATGGCGCTAAGAACTCAAATTCGAGGGCAAAGCGTTGGGCAAACCGCCATTTGGAACACATGTTCGACTGCCCCTTGAGCCCCCTTTGAGTTTATATGAGGCATGTCCGCCAACTATAGTCGGATGGTTGGTTATAACCAGCAAGACTAACCACGTTCTTGTCTCCCACAGCTACTTGCAACAAGACATCATAGGGGTATATTCTAATATCCCGCTGCAAGCCCCTTCTACCCTCCCGCTCCACTTGCTCATCTCTGTACCGTGTCCATACCAAGTACGTCAAATCTCCATCCCAGAGCCACCACCTCAATGTTCCTTTTAATCAATGACTAGGAATGGATGCAAGTCATATTGGGCAGCAACCGTCTCCTTCAGATCTAGCAGCGTCTTCCTTTTCAGCTCTGTGCTCTCCGCTGCGTTGGACACATCTCTCGCCATATCATCAATCATGGCCCTGCGGGGGATCCAGCCTCGGCGAAGCGCCTTTCATACGGACTCCGGTTCGAAATGCCTAGTCTCGTCCTCCGGGCCGACAACGGCATTTCCTTGCTCCTACTCCTCAAGTAGACTTAGGCAAGTTGGAAGATGCATAATTTGACAACCCAAATCATAGCTTGACACCCCATATTCCTCGTCCGCCAGCAACACCCACCCATTCCCCTCCTTGCGACGTGAGCACACTCTGTGGTGCCCAGCTGATGTTGCCAACCTCGTAATCACATTTCCAGCTCGCATACGGCCCCTTCTGACTGACCTGTTCACTCCGTTGCGATCCATTGGTTGGATGCGCGCTCCTTGGGGTGCTGGCCTGCGCTCCCCCGGGCGTGCTCTCACTTATCGTTGCAGAATTCTCCGCATGTAGCAAGTCCCAGATGAGCACCAGGTGGTCATCGGCGCCTGATGCGAGCATCCCTCGCCGGGACGGGTTCCACTCGATGGAGTTGACAGCCGCCGAATGGCCACGGAGCTCAAGGAGAGCTTGCCCCGGTTGGCGGACGTCCAGGACGCGAATCAACGAAGAATCGGCAGCGAAAGTTGCGAGCAGATGCGAGTCGTGCGGCGAGGCAGCAAGCCGAAGTAGCGGCGGGGCATAAGACATTGTTTGCTGTGCCTTGGTCGGGGACATACGCCCGGACGGGGAGCCTGAGACGGAAACTCAGCATACGACGAAGACATCACAGGCAGATTGCGCTTACTCCTGTCTCTATCGCTAATCAGCTTTTCTGATGGCTCGTAGATAATGGTACTGTGCTCCAAGCTCCGGAGATCAAACATGCGCACACTGCCATCAGCACCACAGCTTACAAACACATCGACGCTGCCCGCACAGAAGCGAACGTCGAATACTTCCTTGTCATGTGCGATGAGTTGGGTCTTCGCCGTCAACGTGGGTATATCCCAAATGGTGCAAGTCGTGTCTATGCTCGAAGTTATGATGAGCTTGGGTGACATCGTATTCCAATCCAGTGATGTCAGAGGGGCCGTGTGCTCTGGGGTTTTGGAATTCGAGAGGAGCGCGAGCGGGGTGAGCTTCTGCGGCGGAGGTTCTCGCGTATTGACTGACGATGATCTTGTAATGGTATTACTGGCGGTGGATCCAGAGGGCGGAGGCAGAGACCACAGCCGCAGGTGGTCGCCGGAGGTCGCAAGGAGGTCCGTGGACTGTTTGTTGGACGCTGGAGGCTCCCAGAGTATCCTAGTGACTGGGTATGAACATGTCGCTTCGGCTATTCGTGTGTATTCGAGGCCGTATGGGGTTGAGCCAGGCGCGGAAACGTCCTGAGGAGTGATGTGGGTGTCGAGAATTTGGATCTGCGAGATCCCGTCAGTCATGTAACCAACTCGGATGCCTCGCTACTCACAAAGTTGTGGGTATCCTCAAGGTAGCTTCCAACCGCCATTTTCCCCGCGCTGTTCCCGCCATTCACATGCCACTTGCACCAGTCGAATGCATAGACGCCCCAAGGAGCTAGGTAATTGCTGTTGGAAGGCGCTCGATCGCCATCGTTGAAAAAGGTGGCGGCGCCCATGCCGTCCTCATTCAGACTCGAGTTGGCGCGAGGGCGAATATCAGCAAGACCGAGGGGAGAATTGGATGCAGCGCCCGAGGGAGTAGTGGGGTAGTATTTCTGAGCGGGAGTGCCGGCGAGGTACTTTTGACTGTTCTCGGGAGTGTTGGAGAAAGGAATGTACTTCTGGTCGGGACCCAGGCCTGCCGGGCTTGACCGCGAGTAGTTATGCGACGAGGAATGCTGTTGCTGTTGAGTCATGGTGCTGGTACGTGTAGGGAGGGTGTATTGCTGGGCGTTGGTGTTGAGTTGGGGCATCGTAGGGACTGTCGAGGGTGCGGTGTATGCGGAGGAGGGGCCCGGGCGTTGCTGCTGGTGCTGAGAGGTGCCTCCAGGCTGCAAGCTACCAGGAAGCGCCGCAGATGAGGATGTGTCGGCGAACTGACCTGCCTGAGATGTAGTCTGGTGGAGGTTGACGGCTGGTGCAGCGCCTGCCGAATATTGGTCCGGTGAATGGTACATCTGCTGCTGCTGGTGGTGCTGATGGAGCGGTTGCTGCTGCGGTTGATGGTGGTAATGGGACTGTTGCTGCTGCTGCTGCTGCTGGGGGGTTGCTGACATTGCGCCCTGCGTAGAGCCCTGCTGGCCCATAACCGCCGTCGAGGTAGATATATGCAGCTCCTCTGGCATGCGACCCAATGTAGGCGCACGGTGGTGGGCTTGGTCGAAGGAGCCAGGTAAGCCCGAAGCCGTCGAGGGAGCACTGTGGCCTCCAGCGGACTGCAACCCAGACGCGTTTCCGCTATCTGGGAGCAGAGCATCCGTTCCTGCACTCGTCGTTCCCGTGGTTGCGACGCGGAGGTTTCCCGTAGGCGCCCCAATGGAGCCCAGGGCCTGCGCGGCTTGGTAGATGGCCCCCGCCGGCGTGTGCTGCGCGCTCTGGGAGCCTTGGTGGTGATGGTGGGTGGAGTGGAACGGCATGGTGCCGCGAAAGAGACTGAGAGCCTCTACAGACGTAGGGGATGCCGGGCCTGGTGTGCCACGTACGAGAGAGAAGTGAAGCAGAAAAGACAAAGCCAGCCCAGCTTCGAATTGGGCCTTGTCTCCAGTCCCATCTCTGAGGTTGCACCATCCATCTATCCCGGCCTTGGCGCCGCCCGCCGACTCTCCCCTCACTTGAGACCTCTCCACCCAGCGAGAGGACTTACCTAGGTATTACTACGGAGCATTCGTCAGGCGCTTATTTCTACGTCTACAATAGATAGCGTCCCGTGACACCCACCACCCTCTCCTCCGTGGAAAAGAGATCGACTTTATGATTGCTCCATTATTGCGCTCAGCTACCAGCAGCTCTCAAACAATATCCCGTGCGCGGGCACTAGTCCACCAATTCACCACCATGCCGCCAACACAGCCTCTGCAACCCCGACATTCACTGCTGCTACTACCTCCCGCGCCATCACCGCCGACCTATGCAACCCTCAAAGCCGCGTACGGTCCCTCCCTCGTCGCTGTTCTCCGACAGCTAGCCGGCTCATCACAACGAGCCCGTGAAACGACTGTGCTGGACATTGCCCTGCCGTGTCCTCACCTGTATGGGCGTCTCGACTCACCAAGGGGCCCGTTGTATGCTCTTACCCAAACTCTGGTCGCAAACATCTACAAGCTCCTTGCTGTCATCGCAGCCAGCGAGTCCATTGAGACCCAGGGCGCAGGAGGCGTTGATGCCCGAGTGTTGCTGGTCGCCTATCCGCGTGATGGAAAGCTGCTGCAGCCGCCCGAGGATTCCCCTGCCGACTATGAGCTAAGGGGACCAGCCGTGGATCTATACACCCTTGCCCGCTGTCCAAGGGCCTGGGAACTTGTGTTCTCAGTGGAGAATGAGGAAGGCGAGCAGTTTCTGAAGAATTTCGTCGCGTTGAGTGCCTCGGAAAGAGCAGTGTCAAAGGTGCAAGGTGGGCGGGTGCAACAGGTCGAGGCCACGGCTTCAGGCCAGAGTACAGCTGCACCCGTACATCATTCCGCAGTCGCTGTCGGCGGCACATTTGATCACCTTCACATTGGCCACAAGTTGTTGCTGACCATGTTCGCCTTCGTACTTGCGAGACAACCACCCCCTGGAGACACAGAGTTGAGCGCTCTTACCATTGGAATCACGGGCGACGCCCTGCTGGTCAACAAGAAGCATGCCGAAGTGCTGGAAAGCTGGGACTACCGTCAAAGGGCCACGCATGACTTTCTCTCCTCTATCCTGCACTTGGGACAACCCGACGACAACAGGATCGCAATGCAGAGGATATCAGAGCCTGGTCCCAACGGCCGGGCGGTGCATGTCACTTTCCCTTCCCAACTGGTCCTAAAGTACGTCCAGATAGAGGATCCATTCGGACCTACAATAACCGATGAGTCCATCACTGCGCTGGTTATCTCCAAGGAGACGAGGAGTGGTGGCAGTGCTGTAAATGCGGAACGGGAGAAGAAGGGGTGGGCGTCCTTGGAGGTGTTCGAAGTTGATGTGCTGGACGCCAGCGAAGAAGATGTGGAGGACGAGACGTTTCAGAGCAAGCTGAGCAGCACAGAGATTCGCCGGATCCTGAGTGAGCGGGAGAAGGCAACAGCGGCGAAGCAATAATATAGGGGTGGTGGGAACGCCATCCACGCGTTGGCCGGGCCTCGGAGGAGCTGTTAGTCAATAGGAGGGAAGACGGCTATGGGGAGTTGGTCAAAGTCTGATACCGTCGATTTAGCATATAATCTCTCGGGCAGAGTGCCAGAGACCTGACCCAGGGTGTGTCTGTGTGCAACGAGGGAGGTCCAGCGGAGTGGCGTCAAGCAGTGGTCCAAGAGTCCGGTCCAGGCATAGGCTGGCATATTGGCAGACGGTGTGTCGTACAATACTCACAGGTCGAGGGGTTTCAACCACACTGGGATGACATCGACCTTTTCATATCCGTATATCGCGCTAGTCGACCGAGAGGAGCTGACTGCAGTAGCCATGCATGTAGCAAATCCTTCTGCGCAACCAGGCTGGCGAGGGCGTTGCGAGCAGTCTTCTCCAGCGCCGGGCTGCGCTGGGTAAATATATGTATGCAGGCAAAAGCGGACAGGTCAGCGCCAAACATCCCCCTTCCGCGGCTCCGCATCCAACGCCCAGCGGTTACAACGGAGATCAGTCATGGCGAACGCTCGGTTTCATCATCAGCCCTGAGCTCTCCCAATGCCGTCACACTGGGCGCCGTTGTCGGGGAGGTCTTGCCGTCGTGGGCGGGATCGGGCGAGCACCGTGGCAGCGTGGGCGACGCGTGTTGGAACTGCGGGAGCTGGCAGAGCTGCCAGAGCTGCATGCTTCGCTGGCAACGCAGCGCGGGATGCGGGCGTGATTCGAGGACGAGCGCGGGGGGACCGTATGGACAAGGCGATTGCAGAGCGCAAATCGGCGGGCTGGCATCGTGGGAGCCGGCGGGCGGGCCCGGCTGTGGTGTTTCGACGTGTTGGATGGGGTGAATGTTGAAAACTGGAGTCTCGCTCGGGAGGAGCCATTTGCTCCCGCTCTCCAGATGGCCCTTCCCGCATGCATTTTATGGTCATGTGAAACAGCGAGCTGTGATTGGGCGCCGCCGCACTCGCCGGACTTCGTTGCAGCTCTCAGTTGCAGGCGTCCTGGTTCATTGCCTGTCTCCCAGCGCTGCCGCCAGAGCGCTCCCCATGCCGGGCCTCCACACCTTCTTCAACCACGCGCCTGGCTGACCGCTGGACGGGGCGGTCATGTTACTGTCCCCAGCTGCCGTTTGCTCCAGGGCCCATATCCCCCATATCCCTCTTACCGTGCCCCTCTCCTCCTGACGCTCCGCCTGTCCAGGCCCTCAGGCCCTTCTCCCTCTGAGTCCACGCCGCCCTATACAGACCGACTCCGTCCCAAACCAACCGTCCTTTTTGGCCCCCTCCCCTCTTGTTGTCCCCGTCGTCCTCACCGTCAGCGCGCAGGCGGCTTGGGTTGCAGTTCATATCGCGCCCCTACCCTCAGCAGTGTATGCTTGCCCTGTCCAGCAATGGGCATCTTCGTCCTGTCCAACGAGCTCTTCCATGAGATACTCGACCGCCTTGAATCGGATCCCGAGAAGCTCATAGCTGTAGACCGCCGCGCCTACCTCTCCCAGGAAAGCTTCAAACCGCCCCCTCCTCCAGACCCAGACCATGCCCAGGACATTGCCAACTTCCGCCTCACATGCAAGCTTTTTTCCGAATTGGGTGCTCGTCACCAGTTTTCCAGAGTGACGACGCGCTTCTCCAAGAAGGGCTTCAAGCGTTTGGAGAATATAGCCAGTCAGAAGCACCTCGCGAAACAGGTCAAGAAGTTCAGCTACATGGTTCCCTTCTTTTATGTTGAAGGTTGCCATCACCCTTACCGTTCTGGACACTGCGCCCATGACTGACGACCATAGGACGGGAACGCGTTCGCGAACTGCTACCCACCCTCTCAGAGAGCCTCGGTCAGTTGGACGTCAGACACTTTGTGCGCAAGGTGGCCGAACAGAAGGAGATTGTGCACACTCAGGAGGATCTCCGAGTTCTGACGCTGGCAATCTCGGCCTTCACTTCACTGCAACATGTGCAAATCCTGCGCCTCCAGGATCAAGAGGACGCAATGCTCTTGGCCTACATTCGGCAGCGTAATGATCTCACTCAACTAGTCGAGCTGAGGTGGCCACCGGCCTGCTCTCATTCGACCAAAACCATTGGCGCCGCACTCCTGGCATCTCGGTCACCCTGCAGTCGCTTCTCCTCCCCTATGCTAAGTCCGCAGAGCGCATTAGGAGCCGCCAGCGAGCCTCCTGCTACTCTGTCTCTCCTAGCGGAACGGCTCACCTGCCTGGAACTCCATTTCGACGATGGCACCGACTTGGACAACCGCATGCGGGAGCTGTCGTCACTCTCCAAGGTCGTGTTCAGTGCTGCCAAAAACATGCAGGCAGTGCATATTGGATTTCCGTCCCATAGCCCCTTGAACCTAAGGCTGGAGGAGATATTCCACAACGTCAGGTGGGAAAAGCTCGTCGCCTTTGGAATCCAGGCATGGCGCCTTGACGCCGATGAGATCATCTCCTTGGCCGGGCGTCATCGGGAAAAACTGCGGGGATTGAGATTACGGGACGTGTTTCTGAGAGATGGAAGCCGCTGGAAAGACGTGCTATCCTACCTGCGAAGGGAGATGTTGAACTTGGAGTGGGTCAGCTTACGGAGGATCGACTACGAGCGGAATTTCGACGAGCAATGGGTGCTAGGCGCCGAGGTTCCTGACGATCCACCCATAGGGAGCGAGAGCGATGATGAGTCGGATGACCGGAACTATGAATGGGACGACGATGAGTGGCCCCAGCACAATGGAGATGCGGACGACGATGCCAACGATGTTTCCGGTGACGGCGACAGCCACGGATGGCATGACGATACCGACTCGGATGCCGGAACGGAAGGGCCAGAACAAGGAGGCCATCTGGAGTTTCCTCCACTCTCTCCGGATACACCCGCTTCAGTGCCCTGGTGCCATTGCAAAAGCAGAGCAGCCCACCAGTACGACGCAGATGCGTTAGGGGACGACGGCATTGCTGTGACCTACACGCAACGCAAGTTTTGGGAGAAATGGGTGGTTGGGAAATGCGCCGAACATAGCCCCAAGTGAGACGGATCTCTGCACAGGGTCTCAGTCTGAAGAGAGCTCTTCGGGTGACAATATACCCGGGACTAACAGGAGAGGGGCATCTGCAACTTTCCGACGCTTCTGGGTTCATCATAAACCCCGCTAGACATGTGTAGCTTGCGCTCCGCATCAAGCCTCCCGTAAGCGTCCGTCTCGTAGCCTTGCATGCAGTCCCAGCAGTGGCTTCCAAGAGATATTGCAGCTTCGAGTACGTCTGGCCACCTTGTTAAGAGCTGTGGGACATCCCACGTAAAACAATCGACTTCTACGAATACGAAAACGTCGGCGATTTTCATTGTGCATATATGACGCGCTTAGCCAGCAGACGCATTGCATCGTTGTCGGTGTTGGAGCCTATTCCCTTCTCTTAGCTGCATTGGATCGGCGCACGACATATTGGTTCTTGGTCCAGCCTTCGTGTCGCTGCATTTACTGTATTAAAATCCCGGTGGCTTTGCGCGAACGGAGTCGCCGCTGTCGCTGCTCTTTTGCAGCTGCGGGTGAGTGTTGGATGTTTTCCGTCGTTCGCTGCTGAGGCGATATTGTTCTATATGATAAAACCTCTTGGAAAGATGGTAAATACATGGTACAATATGCTAGATGGCAGGGCTTACATTTATGGAGGAGTCCCGTCATACACATAGAGGGGGGGAGATATAGCACAAGACCGCCTACAGTTGACTGTATCGGAAAAACAATAGGCGCTGCAGGTCATTAAGAAATTCAATATGAGCTACATGTCCCGATTTACATCAACGAGTGCGACCTCGTGTATAGGATACCTCGTCGTACCTGAGAACAGAGCTTCAAGATCCCGCCTGGATTGGTTTCCCGCTCAATTCCACCGACAGGTCTGCATCAAGCACAACCCACCTCCTCGGTCATCCCGCAATGGGCTCCCCGACAACTCCAAGCCCGCAGCTGTATACTCACCAAAGATGCATAAGACCTTGAATTCCCGATGAACCTCATTCCCAACGTTCATCGGGAAGAGAAACCCCTCAGCAAACTCCAATTCCTTCGGGTTGCAGTACACCGGCGACTTCATCAGCCTCGGTACACACGCTACGTTAACCCCACATTTTGTCGACCTCCCGTTCTGGGAATCGGATTACATATATCTAGATACTGCAGATATTGATCTTCTGGCCTTTTTCTTTCGAAATGTGATCGAATAGATATCATTCGATCTATCTCGGGGTTTCACGCGCAAACTGCGCCGGGGTATTTACCGAACGGCGAAGCAGGGAAAGGTACCGGATAAGACCCGAACGAAGCTAGTGATCGATCACTGGATTGCTTTGGTCTGAGTTGATAGTGCTATTTGTATCCGGTGCTAGGGACGGTCCTGATACCAGACTGATTCCATAAGACGGGGAAGTTTGGTAGAAGAGTTCAGATTCAAGGAAAACCGGAGCTGAAAACGACGTGGACTAGTGACTTGGATATCAGCACGACGAAGCATAAGAGATATTGTCAGAATGCCCTCAGATACAATGGAAGCAATACTAGTGGATAAATTCGTCAAGGTAGCTTACTCCCCCATCCCCATACCTTCTTTCCTTCCTCAGCCCTCTTTTCCCCTCCCAACTCCGTCCATCCCTCATCACTCTGGCTCGCAAGTCGTACATTAGAAAAATCGAACTAACCACTGTACAACAGACCTTCGCCGAACTTACTCCCAGAGAAGTGCCCCGTCCACAGCCCAAGGCGGGGGAAGTCGAAGTGCCCATCTCGCATGCCGCGCTCACGCATGTGGATATGCTGTATGCGCTGGGCAAGCATCAGAATAATCGGAGGCATGTGAAGCCGCCTTTGTAGGTGTGATTTTTCCGCCCTTGGTTTCTGGTCAATGTAGATGGTGGATAGTCAGTCTTTCTCTGTAGATGGTTTTGGACTGTGCCGGCCTTGTGTTTTCTTGTTGTGACGGTTCATTTATTACTGCGGACCTCGTTTTCGATCTCGTTCATGTGGTTTCTCGCTTTTCTCCTGCTCATTCTCACTCCCTGTGATGTAATCTCTTCTCCCTTTTTTTTAACCATCACAATTCCCCACGCATCTAACCCCTTTCCCAGCATCCTCGGCAACGAATTCGCCGGCACCATCACCTCCTCCTCCCCCCCCCCTCTTTCCCCCGGGCACCCGTGTCTTCGGCAGCTCCCTAGGCTCCTACGCGGAATCCATCTGCGTCCCCACCACCTCCATCCGCCGCGTGCCCTCCCACTGGACCCCCGCCGAAGCCTGCGCCGTCGGCGCCTGGGGCGCAATCAGCTACGGCGCCCTCATCGACGCCGGGAAGCTGGCAAAGGGTCAGGCGGTGCTGGTCCTCGGGGCGACGGGCGGATTGGGCGTCATGGCCGTGCAGATTGCCCAGGCGGTGGGGGCGAGCGTCGTGGTTGCTGTGGGCGGTGGGGAGGCCTCGGAGAAGGGAAGGATGATGAAGACTCTTCTTAGGGCGGATTATGTCGTCGATTGTGAGGATTGTGGTTGGGAGGGGAGGGTAAGGGGGTGGACGAGGGACAGGGAGGGAGTGGATTTGGTGGTTGATGCGGTTGGGGCAGTGGAGAACGGGATCGCGTGTTTGAGGTATAGGGGTAGGTTGGTGATTGTGGGGTTTGCGGCGAGGGGAGGGAGGATGGAGGAGGTAAGGGCGAATCGGGTTTTGTTGAAGGGGGTGAGGGTTGTTGGTTATGTGAGTGGGTATTTCTTTTTGTTTCTTCTTGTGATGTTGATTTTGGTTCTTTCGGGCTTGATCCCGTTGCTTGGGTGTTGTTTTTCGTCCCGTCTTCTCCGCGCTCTTTCCAGGGGCTGCTCATACATTGGGTGTGTTGGACAAGCACATTTCAGTCTTCTCTTCTTTCCCCCTTTCCTGTCACTTAACAACCTCCTCAACACCATCACCTTAAACATTAAAGAGTCCCTCAGCCTCAACTAACCCTCCCCTCCAGCGCTTCGGCGAAGACGGCCGCCGCTGCCCCCACAGAACAACCGCTGCCTGGGAAGGTTTCATGTCCCTCGTCGACGCCGGCAAAATCCGACCCGTCATCTTCCGGGACCGGACGTACAGAGGCTTGGGCGAGTTGCCGGTTGCACTGGATGATTTGCACAGCCGGAGGGTTTGGGGGAGAGCGGTGTTGGAAGTTCCTTCGCCTCCGGAGAGGGAGGAGAAAAAGGAGGTGGTGAATAAGAGGTTGGTGGGTCAGGGGCTGTCGAGGCTGTGATTCAATGAGAGAGAGGAGGTAGAGGAAGCTGGGACGAGACGGCGTTGCAGGAGGGGAAGGATAGGGACTGCCAGGGTGTTGGGTCGGGGATCGGTGGTTCAGGGGCAGTCGAGGCCATACAGTAGGCTCTCTAAGTTCGATGTAGTCATTGTCATCTCAGACCTTGGTGGGTGACGGAAGTCTCGAGCTAGTCCACCAGTGCGCAAGGAAACCTTTACTCAGTTCACTCTTGCAGTAAGCCTACTAGAAGCGTCTTATTATCTTCGAGCCATCAGGATACAGCGTTAACACCGAAATAGGTAAATCTCTAACTGTGAATCTGTAGACATCTCGTCGGACCTTGCCATAACGCTGTGAGAAGTAGATGGCCCTGTATGTGATCTATCAAAGGATGTTAGCGCTGAACAAATCATTTCAATCAGATGGTTAGCCAGTACCCATCGGAAGTGCAGAGAAAAGGCTTGTTTTTACATTTACCGAACTGTTGCATGATAAGCCTTTATGCATATAAGCCTAGCAGAAAAATTTGGCCAACATCGGACTGCGCAGTATTGTGTTCATGAAAACTTATAGGGAAGATGCTGCGCGCCACGATATCTCCTATTCCGGTAGCAGCTAGCCCACTTCTGACTAGCGTTTCCGCGCCAGCGCCAAGAATGTGGCTGGGAAACGCTCAATCGGTCAATCCATCTCCGCCAAGTCCGTCTTTCAGACATCACCTTCACCCAAAGCCAACAAAGGACGCCGTCGCCCTTTTTCACCACTTTATCCCCATTTTTTATCTTCGGACCTAGAGGGTTGTACCCACTACACCTCCCTTCTATCGGCACAGGCAACCGTTGCTGCGGCTCCAACAACTACTCTCCTTACCGGCCTTGCGCCACTCTCTCCTCCGCGCCCATCTACTCGCCGGAGTAATCCACCCACCGCGTTGCACATCATCACAATACCACAATGGCAACCTATTCAGATGAAGAGGAGCTTGATCGCCAGCCCGACGCTGAGGATAAGGAGGTGAAGGTAGACGATGGGGGCGAGGACGGTGAGGACGCGGAAGGCGAGGATGTGGAAGGCGAGGATGTGGAAGGCGAGGATGTGGAAGGCGAGGATGTGGAAGGCGAGGACGAGGAGGAGGAAGATGAAGAAGAAGACGAAGAAGACGAAGAAGAGGAATCCGAAGATGAAGACGACGTTGCGCGGCCGGCGAAGCGACGCAAGAGATCCAGGCGTAATCAGCTCCTCGATGTCGAAGCCGAAGTTGATGACGAAGACGAAGAGGAAGAAGAAGGCGAGGAGGACCTGGGAGACGAAATGCACCCCGATGACGAGCTTCAACCTGGCGTTGCCGACCTCGATGATCGCCGCCATCGCGAGCTCGATAGGCAACGCCAGCTGGAGTCCTCCAAAGATGCCGAACAACTTGCCAAGGAGCTCGACGAGAAGTACAGGCGGAGAGAAATGCAGCGTGCACAGGGCAGGGGTGTCGCTGGTGCTGTGCCATTGGCGCTCCCCACAGTCAACGATCCATCCATTTGGGCAGTCAAATGCAGACCTGGCAAAGAAAAAGAGGTAATCTTGGCTGTCACTAGGCGTCTCGAAGAACGGGTGCGTGCTGGCATGGCACCCCGTGTTTACTCGGTCTTTGCCCGTGGGAGCACCACCATGCAAGGTAATTTCTACGTGGAGGCGGACTCCAAGCAAGACATGATTGAGATCGTGGAGAACATCACGAATGTCTTCATGGGCCAGCCGCAAATCGCCATCGAAGTGAAGGAGCGTCCAGACTTGCTGCGCAGACGCCCACGAGCGCCACTCGAGGTCGGCAAATTCGTTCGCATGTTGCGCCCTCCTCTGTACAAAGGCGACTTGGCCAAGATTGTTGAGGTGCACAGCAATGGACTGGACTGCACCGTTCAGCTTGTTCCCCGTCTCAACTACGGAACTGGAGAAGATGCCAACGCTATCGCTGCCGATAATAAACGCAAGAGGGCCTTTGGCCGTGGTGTGGTGGATCGGCCTCCGCAGAAGCTATTCAATGAGGCTGAAGCTAAGAAGAAGGATATGCGCCACCTGGCAAGCGGTATGGGAAACAAAACATTCGTCTACAAAAACGAGGACTACCAGAACGGCTTTTTGATCAAAGATGTCAGGGTCAACCACATCTCCGCCGAGAACGTCAACCCGAGGATGGAGGAGATGCAGTTCTTTGCCGTCACTGCCGAAGATGGAACGGAAACGTTGGATCTTGTAGCCGTACAAGCGGCTCAAAAGGCTCAGCAGAAAGGCTCCTCCTTCGTGGCGGGTGACAGAGTGGAGATCTATGACGGCGAGCAGAAGGGCACTCGCGGTGTCACTGTTTCAGTCACGGGCGATATCGTCACGCTGAGAATCAGCGATGGCGAGTTGAAAGGACGGGTTACGGAAGCGCCTGTCAAGACTCTGCGTAAGCTATTCTCCGTAGGTGACCACGTCAAGGTCATCAGCGGTAGCCACTACATCGATGAAGTGGGTCTGGTTACGAAAGTCAAGGGCGATAAGGTCACTTTGCTTTGCGATTCGACTCAGCAGGAGATCACGGTGTTCAGCAGGGATCTTAAGCTCGCGGCTGATTCAGGTACGGTTGGGGCGGACTCCGAATATGAGCTCTACGATGTGGTACAGATTGAGTAAGTGGTCAAGGTTCCCGATGTCGTCGTCATCATCTCACAGTGAGACAGTGCATCAACAGTCGGATGCGTTATCAAGGTTGACCGGGAAGTCTTGCGTCTCCTGGATCAGAACGGCAACGTGCGAAACATGCTGCACTCCCAGGTCCAAGGAGTGGTACCCAAGAATCGCAATGCCGTAGCCACTGACCGCGATGGGTCGGAGATTCATAACGATGATACCGTCAAGGAGCATGGTGGTGAAGGCCGCTCAGGGAAGGTCATGTATATCCACCGCGGCATCTTATTTGTCCAGGCCAAGGACTCTTTTGAAAATGGCGGCATCTTTGCTGTCCGGAGCACCAATGTCACCACATTGGCGGCGAAGAGCGGTCGTCAACAAGCGGGACCCGACCTTGGGAAGATGAACCCAGCTATGCAACCTGGTGGCAACCCAACCGCCATGCCCCCTCCACAGCGGATGGTAGGACGTGACAGGCTGATCGGAAAGACCGTCGGTATCAGAAAGGGTCCCCACAAGGGCCTGCTGGGCATCGTCAAGGACACCATGGCGGACAATGCCCGAGTTGAGCTGCACACGAAGAGCAAGCACGTCACCATCCCAAAGGAGTTCCTCATCGTCAAGGATCCTGTCACTGGGCAAAACGTGGACATGGGCGGCAAGTTCGCCAACCGAACAAGAGGTGGATTCTCAGGTGCCACACCCGCGTACAATGGACGGACTCCTGGTGGTTGGAACAACTCTTCACGCAATGGACCGTCTTGGGGTGCCACTCCAGCAGGCGGCCGCACGCCTGGATGGGGAGGTGCTGGTGGACGGACTCCTGGCTGGGGCGGTGCCGGTGGACGTACGCCGGGATGGGGAGGCGACGGAGGCAGGACTGCATATGGTGGGGATGGCAACCGCACTGCCTACGGCGATGGATCACGGACGGCCTACGGAGGGGACGGTTCCCGAACATCCTATGGTGGTGCCACCTCCTATGGCGGCGCGACTACATATGCTCCCACGCCAGGCGCCTACGCTGCACCGACTCCTGGTGCATACGGAGCGTACTCTGCTCCCACGCCTGGTAACTTCGCGGCGCCTACACCGGGCGAGACGCCTGCTGTGGCCACGCCTGGTGCCTGGGTGGAAACTCCGTATGGAGCGACTGAGACGCCGGCGCCGAGCGGTCTGGATGAGGAACCGAGTTATTCATGATTTGGTGTTTTCTGGTGCGGCTTTGTATCTTTAGATCGGTATAAGTTCGATATTCAGCATCTGCTTTGGTCTGTCGCAGACAGTCCGAACGCAAGGACGGTCAGGTCTGGTACACGGACACGGGTAACACCGTGTCGCTCCAATTACGTACAATCTCAATTTCTACGTTTCTGCTATCTTGGCAAATGGTGCCCATGCGCATCTAAAGCTGGTGCACGGTAGTTATGATATACAGATCTATCACAGCATCTTGGTTCCGCTTTATGCGTACGAAGGCGTCGGTGAAGCGCATGATGTCGGCGAGTCTGCTACTCACGTACGATGCCAAGCATCACGGCGACACAAGCCTACCGCAAAGGTCCTCCTCCACGCAATCCCCTACGCGGCGTTCATGTACTTGCGCTTCACACCATACCTCTCTGCCCTCTACGGACGCCAGCCAAGCTGCACTCCATGCATCCCACACCAAAGACCTCCACTGCCGCCCTTCTCGCACCCGTAAACTCTGCACACTCCCAATATCTCGGCCAATATCAAATATACCCACTCCTCTCCAAACGTTCTTGGCCTTTGGGCACGGATGCGCGGATGATGTGCGAGGTGCGAGATGCGTGATGAATTGCTCCGATGCCGAGAGTCTTGGATGGGGTCTTGGAAAGAGTGTCTTGGGGTGCTTGGCCGTATTTGTGTGCAGATGGGTTGCGCTTCCAGGGTTGTGCGGGAACGGTTGGTGTGCAGGAGAGGCGCCGGGAGGGAGTTAGGGGGAGGGACTTGGCTGTGTAACGGGGAGGAGACGTCGTCGTGGTGTTGAGACGTGAGGAGTTGTTCGGGAGAAGGTGGGATATGGGAATGGAGGAGAGCGAGGAGAGGGTGGAATTTGATAGATGGTGCCCAGGCGGTGTTCGGGGGATTTTATTAATGGGATGGAGCTGACTTGCAGATGGTTGTGTTGTACCTACATAGTACGTAGTATGCATTGATATGTGCGTACGGTGATCGCGTTTATTGAGGCTGAATATACTCGGGGTTGGTGCGATATTATCTGTGAAATTTGAATTGGGAGTATGCTCTACCACGGTACTCCGTAGTAATGGGAAGGCATCCTGCGTTAGATCAAGTGCACTATTCTCTGCAGGCAAACTCCATGATTCGAGGATGTGTAACGTCACCAAACAGCAACTTCCGACAGTCCGGGAAGCATCCTGTGACTTTATCAATCACCAATAAACGCACTCTGCGGGCATCCACGGAGAAGCGGAATGTGCCATGCAGCTTTCTTTTGACATGTACTCGGTACGATACACGCTCTACAGAAACTCATTACAAGGACACATTGCTGGCCGTCATGCCGAATGCAGTGCCCCCAAAAGAAGCATGGAAGGTCCTGCATCTTCCCCGCACGGCAGCCCGGCGGCGAGCAAGAAGGATCGGCTGGAGCGCTTGACGAGATGTGAAATGGTAAGGGTCCGCATCCTGAATACGAAACGGCGAACCAAAACTCAAGGAACGCAACGCCTGGATTAGTGCTGCACTCGCGGGATGCAGAAATGGCACCATGGGGGCTGGGAAACCTGAGAGGGGGAGCAGTCAAATGACCTCTGTTGCTTCAGCAAGCGCCAGCACAGATGAGGAGCTGGAGAGCGAGAATGAGCGGTGAGGGAGCTGGATGGTCCGGAGTTGCTTGCGCGGGCGCAGACTATCGAGGAAGGAGGACCCTCTAATGCAGACTGCATGGCGGAGATTGCAGAGGCAGATCAACAAATCCAGAGAAACATCGACTGAGACTTGCTAATAATGAAATAACGAGGTCCCACGCTACACCATTAGAACGAGCCTGCGCCCAGGCGGAACCAAAGTTCCAGAGGCTTCAGTGAGCATGCAGACCTGCAGCGGGAATGACATGTGCTTGTGCTTGTCGACATCGGTGCATTTTGAAATAAAAAATGTCCAGCACCTTCGCCGGCTTGTTGTCAACATGGCATCGACGATGAAAGACAGAAAAGCCGGTTTTTCAGAGTATTTTGTGTGCTCAACAGGAGAGGGTCGATACAAAACGCCCGCGTTCGTGTAGCGCCTTGTAACATGCTGACAAAGGCTCTCCTGTGCCGGCCGCGCTAGGGCAAAGACGCCACAGGTGGGTGCACAATCAAGGAAACTGAGAGTGTCCTCAAGGCGACAAGCGAATAAAGTGAATAGGGCGCTTCGAACGGAGTTTCAATGGTGGTCTCTGAACAAAAACAAACTCGTGCATCTGCATTCCATATTGGGATCAGTTGTCTGTGGTAGCTTTCGTTGAGTGTTCTTGGCGGGCCCGTGTGCGGAGAGTTTCGTTACCCCATTTATAATACCTGGGCCGTGTTTCGCCGTCCTTTAATACGCCCTTGTCCGCTCACCACCAATTCTCCCACCCCCTCCTCAACTTCCTCTCACTGTGCGGGCCCTTCGGCGTCGTCACGACTCTTCCACAGCGGTTTCCAGGTGCCGAAGCACCAGGAAGAGTGCTGCCAACCTCCTTCTTCCTTTAATTCGCCTTCTCTCTTGGACGTGGTTCTCTCACAGGCCTCGCGCAAGCGTTGCCACAGCCGACGCAGGATCTCTCACATCATATCTCTCTCAACCGTAATGCGCTCCTTCAGCCAAAGGCCATGTCATCGTTTCCTCTGACACCGTCACAGCCACTGAACGCCTATTGCCAAAGGACTCCTTCCTTCTGCACAATGTTGCTGTACATATCATAGCAATACGTCCCTCGGGGCACCTCCGCTGCCCACCACCTCCCACCGCTCGAAGCATCCACCGGTTCCACCGCTCCACCTCTATACGGCTTTTCGATTGCTGTGTTTTGCATCTTTACCTGATAACTGCACAGTTGTGTTCGGTCTTTCATCTGCGTACTGAGCTCATTGCGTACGCTTTGTAAGGGCATCAAAGCCGACGTCAACACCCCGACCACCTAAAACGCTGCGGCGCACCCATCCACGAACGTTACCCGACAACCACCTAAGTTCCGATTACTACTTTCCGTATAGACCTATCAACGGACTTGAAAAAATGGCGCAGAAAGGATACAACGATCAAGTCGCTGGGCAAGGCACGCCGGAGAACCGTGCCATGAGCAACCAGCCCACTCACACGGCATCCGTCGTGCTGTCTGAAGAAGAAATGGCAGCAGATGCTGACGAGCCTCCCGACTTACAGCGCACTCCACGGCCCTCTGCGTTGAAACTTCACGACTCTTTTAAGGCCTCCTTTTCCAAACGGCCTACCACGCAGAGCGATCGCAAGGAGTCTCTATTGACCTCCGCACTTCACTCGAACGGAAGCTCCCCAGTTGAAGAACTCCCGGAGAATGTCGCCCTCCGTCGGGGTATGTCGTCCGCTTCATCGTGGAGCAACAATAGCGCGTCCACCGCCGAGCTCACCAGCGACGGTGGGCTGACGAGCCCAGGGACCAGGACGAGAACGCCCAGCCCTCCCGCTCCTTCGGTACTATTCCCAAATACTGCAACTCTATTCAGTCGCAAGGATGCCGAGCGACCTGTATCCATTGTTAGACACGACGACGACCATGTCGGACCCACCCAGAAGCCTGCGTCGCCCCCTACGGGTGTGCAGGATATAGAGGCTGCATTGGCACGCAAGAGATGCATCAAATTCGCCTGTAATAATATCCGGCAGGGGAATTCGAAGCCCGCAACGGAGGCCACGAAGGCACCAGTGCAGTCCGAACCAACGGTAGAGCCTCCAAAAAGAGCATGCACCATTAAATTTGCATGCCCCACCAAGGTCTCCAACAATGGCCCGTCCATGGGCGCAAAGGTACGCGCCGGCAGAGCAATAAGCCCGGCGCCCCAGGCCCGCAAGGCTCGACCATCCCCGAAGCCGGCTTCAAAGTTACACCGTGATTCAAATTCCACTGTTCGGGAGCGCTCCCCGGCCACTGTGCGCAAGCATTCACGCGAGCGTTCTCCAGCCAGTGTGCGCAAGCCTGCGCGCGATTCTTCTCCCGCGAGCGTGCGCAAACAGGCACGCAACCCCTCTCCAGCCAGTGTGCCCAAACAGGCACGCGATCTCTCTCCGGAAAGCGTGCGAAAGCAAACGCCGATCAAGAGCCAAGCTCGTCGTCTCAGCATCAGTTCTGACCTTGGACGTTCCGAAGCATATCGTTTCCACGAGTTTGCCGGTTCCGAGGAGGAGGAAGATGAGTGGCTTCAAGAGTCGACCTGCCACGCATCTCGTCTCACAGTCCGGGACACTTTGGCAATAGAGAATCGACTTCGACAACTCGGAGAGGAGGCAGAAGAAGAAGCATTGGATGAGGAAGAAGCTGAGGATCAGGACGATGAAGGCGAAGATGCAGGTGACGACGAGGATGACGATGACCTCGATGACAATGATGAGGACGATGAGGAAGAATATGAGTCGGATGAAGGCTTCCAGACCGACGACGAGGATGGGTTCGCCGGCTCGGACAACGAGAGCGATGCGGGTTCGGACTTCGCCTGGTGGGCGCCAGGAGCGGATTCAACAGCCGCAACCTCGGTTGACTATATACGACCAGTCAGTCAACAGAGTCGCAGCCCATCCGAGTCGTCGATAAACTCCCGAGCGAGCGAGCAGCAACGCAATCGGTCGAAGACCATTGGCACAACTAGGAGGTCACGCCCGGTCAATATCCGTGTTCCCAGCCCAGAGCTTCCGGACAGTACGGATTTCGTCTGTGGCACTCTGGACGAGGATCGACCTCTTGAAGCAGCATATATGTCCTGTCTGGAGCGACGTCGTGCTGCCAAGCACAAGCTCACCCCTCAAGACATCGACCCAACGTTCCCCACGTCGGACCCCGAGATGGACGAGGAAGATGAGGACGACGATGAACAGCCTGATCGCACCGTCGTGGAGGCACATGAACATATGATGCAGCATGGACAGATGGATCAACTACATTACGACGGTCGTGGGCGAACTAAGGGAAAGCCCAGGCGCTCTCCTGCTCTGTCTCCCAAGCGGTTGCGGTCTCCGCCTCCTCCCACTCGTGCTGGACATCGGTCTCCACCTCCTCGGAAACTTTTCGGGCAGTCCCCTCGCCGGTTGCGCTCACCTGCCCCGAACGTGCGTCTAAGGTCGCCGCCGCCAACGCGTCGTGACTCTTCAAATGTGGTGCATGTGCTACCACGACGTCCGGGCATGACGATCCAGTTCGGTGGGCTTGCTGAGCGCCCTGCAATGACCATGTCGTCCTCGGCACCTCGCACTCCCGTCCCCATCCATCCTTCCGGAGACTATGAGGACGAAGATACGGCTTGCGAACTCCCAATGCGACGTGCCATCGATATCAAGGTGGGGCTAGAGAAGAGGCGACAGCGTCGCAGAGAGCAGCAGTACAGAAAAGCGCATCGCAAGGGCGGCAAAGACAAGCGCCCTGCTCCTGGGAAAGGGGTAGAGCGGATGCGAGAAATGGGTCTGGGCTTAGCGGCTCACCGTGGAAAGAACATGGGTTTCGCCTTCGGAATGCCACCTACGCCCGACGAGAAGGGCATACATGTCCTATCCGTCTAAACTTTGGAGGTCGGTAGAGGAGCAGCGCCGCCGACATGGTTGGCATCTTTAAGTCTCTCACCCACTGAGGGCTCTGGTCGCTGGTCCGGCTGGCCTCCACCACCTTCTTTTTTCCCTTCTTGAAGATATATCTTTCCTGCTGTAGTGTACATAATTTCCTTGACTGCATGAGTGTCTCTTTGGTGGCGCTCTGTCCATTCTTGGCTTCTGTCGTTTTGCTTTACCTGCTCCATCGTTATACCCCATTGCACGGCATCCTTCCGTACGGAGGTTGAAGGCGTGGGCCTCAAAGGGCTCAATGGGATCGTTTTTCAATCATTACGATAGACCGTATGGCAATACTTTTGAACCTTGAATATCAAGTCCCCCATCTGATGTGATTGATATGCGTCCATGTTCAACAATGGCGGGCTGGTGATCTCGATATGGACAACTGACAGAATACCACATTGAAGATATATAGCTGTCAGAGAGCATGCGAACTCCATATTTCCATGAAGCTGGAGAATATGTTGAATTAAAATTTAGTGAGATGCCATCTCAGGAAATCGCGGCGTAGTCCCCAGCTGTGAAGCAAAGTCCCACAGGAAGCCCGAACAACAAAGCGCACAGGACGTTTGGACTTGCACCGGCAACCGCATCGGCGATTGGCAGGAGGGCCCTGCGGCCTTCCTAACTTCTCGCCTCCCGCCGTCCGCATTTCCATTTTTGCGCTTGGGAGAGGGGGCGGGAGTCCATGGGTACCCTTACACCCTACCCCTAACCCGGGCCACGGTGGTGGCGGCCGGGGAACATTCCCCAGAGATCCCCGCGGCTCAGGGTCTCGTCTCCAATCTGGCGGATATTCTTATTGATCCTTCTTTCTTCCTACCCTCACATTCTTTCTGGGTTTTCGAATACTTCCTGCCGTTCCGCCCCGTCCGCGTCGACCGCGCTGTTCCATCCTCCTGAGAGGTGTCCCAGGACCGGGCTTAGGAGAAAGGAGAGAGGAGGGGGCCACCACGCCAGCAGCACGATGTTGCTGCGGCCGAGCGGCGTGCTCAACTTCCTGGCGGTAACGGCGTGCGCAATGTTCATTGCGCTCATATGCGTGATGCTGTACGGGACGCGCAGCGAGAACCCGAGTCTGCCGTCGCTCGTCAAGGAGGTGCTCCCCGCAGGCCGCTGTCTGTGCGAATCCAGCACCATCTTCGTGTGCGATACCTGTCTCGATTGTGCGGCGGCGGCGACGAATCAGGGCTATGCGCATGGGGGGAATATATCAACGAGTGCTGTGAAGGCAGAAGATAAGGAAGAGGAGTGGGTGTTTACGTATCCGCGCGATGCGAATGACTATGGGTTGGAGGAGGAGCAGTGCCAGGCTGCATTTCCGGGGCTATACGAAGATATCGAAAGGGCGAAAAGGTACAGGAGAGGACTGGGGAAGGTCAGTCAGGAGGAGTTGTCGTCGTTCGATTTAACCAAGGGCATGGTACGCGCCATGGTATACAACGGCGAGGTATGATCTCCCACTTCCTCCAAGCATATAACAGGAAAAGAGCGATATGGCTAACACAGGCCTTCTTCCAGCTCTACATCATCGAAACCTTCCTCGTCGACAACGTCAACCGCGAAAAGGCCATCGCGGCCCTCTCCTCCCTGCACCGCGCCCTCGTCTCCTTCCCCTCCCGCTCCCTAATACCAAACATCGAGTTCGTCTTCAGCGTCGAGGACCTCCCCGCCCAGCCAACAAAACCAGTCTGGGGCCTCGCCCGCCGCGCCCACGACCATGCCATCTGGCTGATGCCCGACTTCGGCTTCTGGAGCTGGGACATGCCCTCCATAGGCGCCTTCAGCGAAGTTGCTGCCGAAGCAGTAGAACGTGAGGAGGTGGAGCCGTGGGATGAGAAGAGAGAGAAGTTGGTGTGGAGGGGCAAGTTGTCGTATGCGCCCAAGCTGCGACATGCATTGCTAGATGCGGCAAAGGGGATGAGCTGGAGCGACGTGGGACAGGTGAAGTGGGACGGGCCGGAGTTTGAGGAGCAGTTTCTGGGGCCCGTGGATCAGTGCAGCTATATGTTTATTGCGCATGCCGAGGGTACGTACCCCGTTCAGCTAGGAAAAGTCCTCATATGGAGATCGTGGAGGAGGGCATTTCAGAGGCTGGAGTCTGAGACTAACCACACTCATAGGACGCTCCTACTCCGGCGCCCTCAAATACCGCCAACTCTGCCGCTCCGTCATCCTCTCCCACGAACTCCAATGGATCCAACACCACCACTACCTCCTCGCCCACTCCGGGCCCAGGCAAAACTACGTCCTCGTCTCCCGGGACTTCTCCGACCTCGACGAAAAGATGCAGGATCTACTCGCACATCCGGAGAAAGCGAAACGAATAGCGGATAATTCCGTCAGTGTGTTCAGAGAGCGATACCTCACGCCGGCGGCCGAGGCGTGCTATTGGCGGGTCCTGATGAAGAGGTGGAAGGAAGTGCTGGGTTGGGAGCCCGAGTTGTTTGAGGAGGGGAAGGCGGGGAGGAGGAAAAGGGGAGTTAGGTTTGAGACGTTTGTGTGAGTGCATTCCCTGTTCCTATTCCTAGCCCTCTGTGTCTCCTGCTTGCTCTTTCCCCCTCCATTGACCACTTGGACGTACGCACGGAGTAGTGTACTGACGAGTCTCAACAGCATCTACGACTCTAAGAAGCAAATGTCCTTCCCCTCGGGCGCGCCCACCACCCACCTCGAAACTCGAAGGTAGCCTCTGCATTCCCATTGCGGACGAACCATTTGACATCTCATACATTCTTACTCCTTTATTCGACTTATCGTCTGACCGCTCCACCTACCACGTCCTGGGAATATAAAGAAGGAGCATCGGCGTTTTTTACTCGGTTTCTGCATATACCCGGTCACGACATTACCTTGGGGCCATGTAAGGTTTGGAGGCGTCGTCTCATTATCTGCATGGGTGGGCGCATGGGTGCAATGGTACCGAACGGACGTCACAACCATTCACTACTTTCTGTTGTAACGGTGTAGTTGGGGAATTTGGTCTGCAACGGTCCACAAGCGTCTGCAAGGATTGTTATTGTATGCTCCCTGGCTGGTTGGCTGGAGTGCGATACGTGAGCATCTGATGATATAGTGCAAGAAAGTCGTGTTGGGCCCCATCTTATTGGGGGTATGCATATGTGTATACTTAGATTCCTCAGTGGAGTCTGGTACAATTGACCACAGCATCGTTGTGTTTTACCATCCAATGTGAATAATGCAGCACCGATGATGCACTCTTCCGAGAGAAACGGGATCTCTATCCGCTGATCAATAACGCCAACTTCCTACCCTCCATCAGCTTGCCCGTGAACCAGAACTCTCCGCCACACCCTCATCGACGTCGGTGGGAATCTTCAAGAGCCTAAGCTCTTGACTCGTGTTTCCGAGCTCCTCGACAGCAACCACCTTCCTCCACTTCTCCCTCACAAACTCCAGCGCCCTAGTAAACACCAAATCCCTTTCCATCCGCTCATGCTTCCCCAGTGCTATGGTCGGGAACTGCGTCCACCCGTGCCGACACTTGGGCCCGTGCCACACTTCCAGCCCTCCATTCTCCGGCTTCTGCTCATCCGTACTTTGCGATGGATCTGTCGGTCTGTCTCCAGGTCCATACCCATACCCATACCCACGACCATCCCAATCCCCTTCCCTGCCGTCGCCAAACCTGACAGGCCCGTCCCACCCGGCTCTCCTCATCTTGTCAACCCACACATCGCTCTGCACCGCTAGGCTATCCTTCTCCGGCAGCACGAGCAGGATAGTCGCATTCCGCTGCACGTCCTCTGGACGGACTAACCCGGGGCTCGCGCGGGGATGGGCCCGTAGCCGTTTGGGGAGGTAGGTAGGGCTCATGATGCTGAATAGGCCTGGCGTCTTGGGCTTTTCTTGCTTGCGGGAGTCCGGGTGAAGAGAGTTGGGGAGAGGTCTCTTGGGACGTTGATGCGGTAGGAGTCGCGCGTCCAGGGAGGGATAGAATAAGAGGAGTGGGAGGAAACGGGGTTGGGATTGTGGAGGGGGAAGCACGGTTGGCCAGGAGTGGTTTGGGTCGTCCATGATCGTTTGGGTGCGATTGAGCGGGAGGGTAGGGGAGAAGAGAGCGGTTTTGGAGTCTGAAGTTGCGTTGCGGTGTTGGCTGGGGAGAGTGTTGGTTTCGAAGTCGGCACATGGAGGGACTGAGAGGGTCGTGTTGAGCGCGATGTTTCCGCCCGCTGAGAAGCCCGAGATGCAGAGGCGAGAGGGGTCTAGGAGGATGGTGGCACGGCTGTTAGGGGTGGAGAGGCCGCTTTCGAGGTCGGATTGATGGTGGTGTTTGGTCTTCGACCTCCCTCGTTGGCCTCTGTTGCGGCGCCGCCGTTTACGGTTCTCTTCTGTCATGCGGTTGTAACGATTGATCTCCGTCCGCAGTACCTTCCCCGCCTCTGACGCCGCTTCAGTGTCGAGAATAGCAGATAAAACGTCCTCTGCATCGTGAATCGCGGCGGGGAACTGATGAAACGGCCCAATCCGATACGACACGCTGAGGACCACGGCCCCGAGCTCTCTCGACATCATGGACGCGTATGGCGCCTGCTCGAGCGGTGACCCCATGATGAATCCACCTCCATGGAAGTCCAACACGACGGGGACTTTCCACTCTCCGTTGGGGCCCCATAGTTCCTTATCACCGAGGTCGACGGGTTCGGGCGGCACGAAGACGTATATGGGAATACTATGGTTTTTACGACTCGGGAGCGCAATCACAAAAGGCTGGGGGCCCTTTGGAGAGGTCAAATGGAGGATGGAGAGGGGGACCCAGCGAGGGAGTTGGACGAGAACCGTGCGCCATTGGATGTGGAAAGGGAGCTTGAAGAAGTAGGTAAGGTGTTGAAAGACACTGCTCATTCTCGTTTTGTTTCAGGATAGCGCATAGGCTAGTTCCAGGAAGTGTGCATTGTAGCAGGATTGGGGTTATCGGGCTCGGCGAGCGCCGTACTAGCGACTGCATGTGCACTTCGGGTGTCTTGGTGGAGTGTGTTCTGTGAAGGGGGCTTCGCGGACGGTGGATGACGTAGTTGTGGCGCAGATATCGTGGCTGTGCGTAGGTTGTCTTCCTAATCACTGTGATACATGAAGTGATTACGAAGCCACCCCTTTAGTCAGAGTACACGTATACTCTGCTCCATTAGATATCGCCACAGTCGAGGTCATTTCACAGAACTAGTCGTCTTGCTACGAACCCGTCTCATGGCCACCGGGTTTCTCTGCTAGGAATCCACACCACTCGGGCGTGCCCAGAACACCACTTGTATTCGAATATTGGGAGAATAGAATTTTTCAATCAAGGAGTGAGGTTAGCTGGCGACGAGCAAGATGTTTCCGTTCCATAAAGGAGAAATTCAGGGTAAGGAACGCAAGCTCAGTATACACCCTAGACTATAGTAACGACGTCTTGAGCAAGAACGATTCTGAATGTCGTTCCAATCCCGGAAACTGTGAAGGAGCCGTATTCTACGATTGATTTACCGGCCTCCCTCTGTCCTCGGGACCCAGCTCAGTTTTTCCTTCAAGGGGCCTAAGTGCTTTCCCGTTGCAAAGCGGAGATGCGCAGTAACAGCGCTGCCAGATCCAGCGGTTTCCCAACTCGTCCACTTCTACAACACCTACGTCTACCTCGTTTGATAACGCTGATTCATCTGTGAAATCCTTCTGCAGGGGCTCAGAGCACGAGTCTTCGAAGATATAGTCAAGATCAAGATCGGTAGACTCGTGCGAGGTAGTTTGAGGAGGCGAAATCGGCATGAGAAAAGCTGCGTTTCTCTTTTAGCAGGGAGCTCTCTGTTATAGAGGAGTAGAAAATGCTTTTATGCACTTTTTGCATGGGCTTCCGGAATATCTGAGAGTGATGACAATTCCCGATAACCGATGTGAAGACATAGGTGATGTCCGGATATCTACATTGATATTGACAGGAGCTTTTTGCACGAATGCTTGAGCAAAGATATTTACCACAGAAATGTGACAACGTATTCTCGTTGTGTCGTTGATATCACCAGAGACGGGTGACCTCCAAGAGCACCTCTTGGAGAGTGTGAAAGGCATGCTCGCATTGCTTTACTTGAATTCACACAAGGCCTCTAATAAAATGCCGAGCATTCTGATTCTCTATGGAGCGTGTTTCCTAATATTGCCTAGCATGGATTGTGCCTTTCACTCCCTGCCAAGCGGCGCAACCCAGGCTTGCCCACGTCGTATTCGAGAAGACACCAGGCAACTCGCATACACAAAGGCGGTCAGATACAAACCATCAGGTCAAGATAACAAAACACACTGTCCAATTCACTATACTCAACCAACCCAAGCAACACAACTCAACATTCCCGAATCGTGACGATCGAAAACAAGTCGTGCAAGGAAATGACCACAAGTCCCACACCGATGCGGCAGGTATGTCGATCAACCCTCGTCTTAAATCCATAACTAATCTCGAGAAGAAGAGACAAATTCTCCGTCTCATCCATCACGTTCTTAGGCTCTTCGAGACGCTATGTAAGGAAGTCACCAAATTCAACAACTACGTCAATGCGCAGAGTGCCCAAGGCAAACCGCTCTATAAATGGGCGAAGTATACTCGCTTTGAGCGGATGTCGGCGGCTGTGGAAGCACTGAGTAGATCGGCCGAGACTCTCAACCGTATAGTTGCCTTGTCAAAAGAAGTATGCAACACACTTCCCACCATAGGTCCTGGACTCCTGGCTAATGGAATTGTAAGGCACACATGAATGTTCCTCCGCACGTAGTTGCATCAGTTGTACAACGGGTCGCTAGACAGGTATCAGACAACTCGTACACATGACGGACCTTAAACTTACGGTTTATTTTCTCTTCACAGATACCACCCTTCTACAGCGAATGGTACCTGCAGGCGTTGACTGCAAAGGCTCTTCAGGACGTCCAAGGTTCAGAATTGGACGAGGCAACGAAGCAAGAGGCGGAAGCACTTATCCTAAAGGAACATTCGACGATCAATAATCACCTGTCAGCCGCAAAGGCAAGCCTTCAAGCCGTTACAGAACTCCTCTTCAAAATCCTCAGTGGAAGCCCTGCGCCTAAATATCATCTTCTCAAGTTACCTCAGGGTATCGGCCAAGATGAAAATGAGGCCACTGGATGCCGTCTGGAGAGATCAGGGACTGCAGACTCCACGAGCGCTCGATGTGTGACTGTTATCGAAGGACCTCGTGGATTTGGCAATATGCTCGGCCTGTTGATCGTAGGAATCGGCTTGTGCTTCGTTGCATACCGTATACGGCACAAACTGCCTAAAACTGGCAGGGAAGATTGCGCTCCGCTCGAATCCTTACAACGCGACATCCAGAACAGCATCCACATGATCTCCGATCTTTCTGCTCAAGTAGGCGATGTCACGGCATATACCGCAAACCTGGAGTCGAAGATAGACGCCGCCGCCAAACATTCTTCCAGCCTCGAGCAACTGTGTGAAGATCTTGGTCTACGCATCGATTCCATTTGGGATAGTCTCGGTCCGCCAAACGAAGATGGCACATACAGGTCGGTTAACGAAAACCAGCTCATCTCCCACCACGCCCGGAAAGACCTGCGGTCTCACATAGACGAAGTCAGCGAGGAAGTAGTCAAGGTTCGCAGGGAGATGCATCGCATGAATATCCGGCTCACCAAAGACATGGATGATCTCAAGAAGAATAAGTAATGGAGCGAGAGGTTACCCTCTGGAGGATAATGTCTGGTATAAAGTGGAACAAGTGACCTAATGGACGATGTAACGGTGATATGCGAACTGGTTTCGGGGCAAACCGGAAAACGCTGGGAATTCACGAGAACAAAGCGTTTGATACAGGACAGTGGTATGTTGAACTTTCATAGGGAATAGCATCAAGTACAATCTTCACACACAGTCCCAGCTGCGTTCGTTTTGAGTAGCTTAGACTCCATCGTCTCTGCAGTGGCTTCCGCCGTCTTCGTTTCTGTAGGCGCGTCCTGCGTGACATCTTTCTTCTTCCCATGCCGGTCCGAGTGTCCCAAGTCCTTGGCAGGGTCGATGTAATCTCTCACACGCTGTTTGAGCACTTTGGTTTCTTGAGAGCTTTCAGCAAAACGTAAATGACACTTTCTCTCTAACATACTTACCCGGGAATCCGCCCTCTGCCTTCCGATCCCATAAGAGCACCTGCCGGACTTCCGTATCATTTTCTTGGGGTTTATACGCCTATGTACGGTATTTAATAAGGGCTCCTTGCACTACTCTGATGAACATTACTCACCAGTTCAACCTTGAACAGCCCTCCAGTTGCCGGTATGAGCGCAATTTCCCCAATTTGATTGCCAAAAGTTGACAACAATTCTTGGCCGAACTGTGAGGTATTAGACCCTGCAAGCGAGAACCCCAGAGGGGGACTGTACATAGGCAGCCCGTAGCATCCATCTACATTGCGTGCAGTATGTTATAGCTACACGTGGAAGTGAGACCGAGGTTGATTGTGTTGATGCCATGGTATTGTCTCCAGATGAAGTCTGAGTCAACCCTGGGAAGGTCTCGATTTGGTGAATTGGATCTTATCGTTATCGATAAGAACTGGAAACTTTACGCCATAAATCTTGTTTGCCATTTACGTAACATGCGGAGTTTGTAAACCCCTAAGCATGCTTTGAGGGAAGTTGACTCTGCAAATGCCTCTTTCAAATGCTTCCGAGGGTGCGCTCACAGCTTCACGGTGTGGGCTACCTGGGAGTGACCGAAAGGGGCCGAGTCGTCATATCTCAAGCCTATTACGGATTAGCGTGTTTTCGTTCACGCTACCACGACCGCCCTCTTCCATATGCATGACCCTATCAATGTGCCATCAATAATCGCTCTATCCTCGCTATGTCGTCTCTCCTTGTAGGTATATAATCAGATCGTGAATACGCGAGTGGTCTGCGCGGCTACTCATGCCGTCTCCCTCTCGAGGCGCCGAAGCTACTCCCAATCACACCCGCGCGTTCAACCAATCGCCTTGCGTATATCGCATTCTCCAATACTGGGAGACAACTGGGGAAAGCCAGGAGGCATGCAACATAGAAGCTCTAGATTTTGATTTGTTGAGAGCTTAATGAGAGCTGGATCGTCAGGGAAGGAGGCTTGCACTTCACGACATTCCTCACACATGTGTAGCACCCCGACGAGAGGCTTCCTAACAACAGCTTCGTATACATAGAGCGCCAGAGGTAAGGTTGTGTTTTGCAAGTGTGTGAGAGCTCCCAACAGGCGTCAGCAGCGCGGTCGACACTCCTTGGTGAATTTCTGACCCCAGTCTTTCCTTTCCATTCATCATTCCAAGGAGATGGCGACCTTTTGGCAGTTTGTTATTGTCAGCATGTTCGTAACCTTGAGCTATGCTATAATTTCACCGGTAAAGAGAGGTTTGAATTACCCGCCGTACCAAGTGACTTAAGTCTAACAGTGCGTGATAGGCATCGACACGAACCTCCTCTCGAGGATCAATCTAATGGAACAATATGCAGCAGCCGCTTATTGTCCGAACAACTATAATTCACCAGGGAATAGCGTGTCTTGTAGCTCGGGCAATTGTCCACTCGTTCAGTCCGCAAACACCTCAACACTCGTAGAGTTCGCAAGGTAACCAACAGCATTTTGCCCCTTCTCTTTCCTACATGCTCTTGCTCCTTTATTACGCACACCCTAGCAAGTATTCGAGCTAATTACTTGTCTTCAAGCAAGCTCCCCACGGATGTCACATGCTTCGTTGCTGTTGACGACACGAACCGGCTTATCGTGACCGCCTTTCGCGGCAGTCGCTCGATAGACAACTGGCTGACCAACCTTCAATTCGACTTGGTGGAAACCAACCTATGCTCTGGCTGCCAAGCACATAGAGGGTTCTGGCAGTCCTGGCTTGACTCTCGAACCGCCGTAATGGCCGCTATCAAAGATGCGCGGAAACGACGTCCAGACTACACTCTCGTCACCGTAGGACACTCTCTTGGAGGTGCAGTAGCTTCTCTTGCTGCTGCACAGCTCCGCAATGAAGGCTATAACGTCGATTTCTTCAGTTTCGGCGCACCCAAGGTTGGCGGTACAAAGCTTAGCGACTATATTTCTAACCAATCCGGCGGAAACAATTATCGCGTCACTCACTGGAATGATCCAATACCTCGTCTGCCGCCACAAGTCATGGGATATGTTCATATCAGCCCGGAATATTATATCGACAGTCAAAACAACCGTGATGTTAAGCCTGATCAAGTCAGGCTTTGCTATGGCGCGGTTAATTACTTGTGCAATAACGCCTGGCTCGTTACCGACATTCTGGCGCACTTGTGGTATTTCAATGGCATAACCAAGTGTGTTGCGGGCTGAAAAGCTCGGGGGCTTAAGAGCTCAGCAGATGTGAGCGGCTTGATGGGATAGTAATTGGGCTTCTCAGGATTTTGGGGATGTACTGGGGAATGTGGAAAGAGGACATCCGCGGTGGGAGATTTCTGTGTGATGAACATGTTACGACAGGGGGAGTTTGGAAGGTTTGCTCGCTGCTGGGATAAGCTTTATGGCGTTGTTTAATCCGCATGCTATTAAAATCAGAGATAGTTATATATATGTGCGACCACATTTCCACTGCATAATTGAATATCGATATCATAACTCACATGGAGAGCATATTCCTCGTAGGATAGAGAATGGAACTCATCATAAGAAAGCCAGTGAAAACCAGCAAGGTAGAACGACAACATTATTCGAGCCGTGATGATCTCAGACGTAGCCATAATTCATGAGATTCCCGAGGCCGTTACGCCTGTGTATTCCGTTGTACTTCCCACGCGTTGGTAACCGAAAAGTTAAGACTGTTCTATGTGGCGATATGGTTGCAATGATCCCCATTAAAGTAGATTAGATTCTTCGTTCCCTGCTCGAAACCTTCCATGAATGCGCTGATCACGTCCTTTAAACCTAAGGCGTGGTGGTTAAGGGCTAGAGCAGGATGTTGGCTAACATGATTCGGAAAATAGCGGAAACACATACCCTTTGCGAAGGTAAGTGCAACGGCTCTATCTAGGGGTCCACGCAGAGACCATCTATCGAAAAAAATCAGCAACTGTTAGCTAACGGCCACGCTCAGACTTACCCATCAACAAGACATGTCACGAACTCCCGAACATGATTGATCGACACTTGCTCACATCTCAACCCCACGAGGCTGGCGAAGCGACCTAATGTTTCCGCAGTGTCGACATTTATTGTTCGGTGCATAGAACGAAGTCTTTTTGCCAGCATGGGAGTGCGAATATCTTCCCTAAATTGGTTGAGACACAGAGACTTTCCAACTACTTCCTCGATGTCATCCAAGTCGGTGGTGGATATGATTGCTGAAGACGGGATGTGCCTCCAGACCCTAGATCTACGAGTCAGTAACGCGAGAAGGAATAAGAGGAAGTCTTGAGCGCGAAGCGTACATAATGTCTTGCAAGGCCTGGTACTTAGTTCTGAACGATAGCTGCTTTGTGCTTTTGAGATCCTGAATATGTTGTCAGCTTGGAGCCTGAGTTCTCAAAATGTGGACAGCCATACCCGGATGACCTGACTTCCCCAGTGTACAGAGGCCTTATCGATAGCATCGAGATTGATGAGCGCAAGTCGGATCGTATCTTCGGGCGACTCAGCCTGCTTTTTAATTGCTATGTTCATGGCCTGGAGAAGGCTAGAAGCGACGCTCACGAAAGCAGAATTACCCCGGGACTTGATGCTCAAATGCGAGTTTGCCAAAGCCGCGAAAAGTCCATACTTGTCGTTCTGTGGAAGGGGTGAAGGCGAGCTTGCTGCGGCCTTTTGCGATGCGAAGAGGCTCGCCCAGAAGCCAGTGTCATCATAAAATGTACCGCTTGCGTTTGACCAGACTCTGAAGGCAAGAGATGGGAATGTCTTCTCGTGTGGTTTCATCTTCCCCAGAAGCGACTTGGTGTTGCGGTTCGTGCAATCTGGTATGAAGGATCCATGTGAAAGGACCGGGTCCTCAATGTCAACAATTACTTCATCGCACGATGAAACCGCTCGGATGGCGCACCCCTGTGTCCTCCAAATTGAGTGACCTTGTTGAGGATTTCCGTGACGAGGGCGTTGAATGGCTTGCGCTTTCTGTTTCAACTTCAACCTCTTGTTGATATGTCTAGTGCGTTTGGATTTAGCCTTCGCTGCTTGTCCATCAGGCGATACGGCGTCTTGCTCTCGTCGACGAAGCGAGGCCCCAATAGCACTGGCTTCCAGTTCTATAACCTTCGGATATCGTGGTATACACCCTGAGGATCGTTGAAGGCGGTGCGGTAGAACACATCGTCGTACTCCCGGAAAGCCCGCCTACCGTGGAGACGAATGTAACTCTCGAACTGGTTGGTGACCTTACGGGACGGGAGATCTAGCCCGTAGTGGTTGTTGAAAACGGCGGCAAATGCGTCTGGTGAGCGACAATACCACCTATTGAGCACACAGAGGAAGATCCGCTGATCAGTAGTCCACTAAAGCCATGTTTAATCAGCACTATGCTCATAGCAAGTCAAGAAACTGTAGCTTAGGATTTGGAACGTACGATGTGCCTAGGTGACCTCTCTAGCTTCTTTAGGTCCTCCAGGGCTTTAGTATTCTCAGACATCCCGCCGTCGGTTCTCTGGACTTGTGGACGCCTTTTGGGCTTCTCGGCCATCGCCTTTGTCATATTTGTTTTCAACCAGGCTGGACGTGGTATGTTCCTGCCCTTGACGAGTTTGTTGTTTTTTTTGAAATGGCGGCTCACTCTCTCTGGGCCATCTATGTTCGGCATCACCGTAGGCCTGCCACGACGACATGGACTCTCTAGCACAATGAAACTGCACTCGGAGTCATCGTCATAGGCATCATCATCGATTTCCTCGTCAATATCGGTATCGCTCTGCGGGCCACCCATAGCATACGATAGGTCCTGTGGCCCTGCAATGCCGTTGGTGGTCGTTACACCGTTCTCGTCGTCCGTCTCAAAGACACTGCTTCCTACAGTGATACTCTCCATATCAGTGATCATACCGCAATTTTCTTCATTTTGGTTTTGGGACGCTGATGCACCCATCTCGTCAATCCCCAAGGTCTCCGTTCCTTGGCTCACGAGCTGATGGCAGAACGTCTGCCAGTCGGTTCCACCTGGCAATGCATCCGCAGTTTCGAGAATAAAGTCCACATCTCTTGTCTCTCTTGTAGGCGTACCGAATACTTCCTCGTCAGCCTCTTGTGCCTGCAACACTGCTTCTTCTTCTTCTTCAGAAACCTGACGAGGTAGCGATGGGCAAGGGCCTTCCATTCCCACTATCATGTCGGCATGTAGTAGATTTTCCTCAGCTTTCGAACACTCAGTGGCGAACTCGTCAAACTCAATGGACTGCATGATATCCTGTGTCTGATCGATTGCCATGCCAGCCCTTCCTATCGCTGTTTCCTTCTCGTCCTCATGTAACGAGCTCTGTTCTGGTGCATGTTCATCGTACAACACCGCGCGAATATCGTCCGAAGTCGAGACACTTGAGTACACGAAAACATCATTGCCAGACGATACGCGGCTCAGCTTCCAGTTCGATTTGCCGTTTTCCATTGCAAATAGTAGAAAAGCGGTATAGCGGTATATGATAAAGGTGAAATCAGAAGAACAGTTGAAGTATATGAAAATGCAAAGATACGATAAAGGTGAGAATCAGAACAGTTGAAGTATATGAAAATGCAAAGATACGATAAAGGTGAGAATCAGAACAGTTGAAGTATATGAAAATGCAAAGAGACACCTATGAATGAAAGTCCATCAGTCAGAGTAGAAAATAATTCAGCATAAGTAGAAAGAGGACGCTTAAGTAGAAGGTGGACGCTTGAGTAGGAGGACTACGCTAAGTAGAAAGACGATGAACTTATGTAGAAAAACGAGAGGAGAAACGCAGAGGCGGAGAGAGAGCAATGAGGGCCGAAGGATATACAATGAGACGACGGAGGAGATGGGAGAGTTAGATGGCATGTCGACGACTCGTATATGCGAGATACGCTAAGCAGCTAGCGCGCCTGCACGCGTGCGGTGAGAGACACGTGTGGTGAAAGTGAAGGCGAGAGACGAGATGGCGAGAAGTTTGATTCAAGGCATGTGACAACGGTCGACAAGGGGAAGACGACCACGATGTCATGAGTAAGAAGCGCTATAGTGTGTGAGGGGCGGTGTTTAAATACGAGAATCCACTACATGAAAATATGTTGGCGGAGGTGTAGCCTAAGAATAAACCTGGGTGCAGTGGCGATCTACCAAACCATCTCTTCGAAGACTGACCTACATCATCCTTCCATAAAGGTCATCTCGCTGTGCGAACCGAATGGAAACACTGAGGTATTCAACAGTAACGTATGGCATACGAGACCTGGGCATAAGCCTGCTTCTAGCCAAAGTCTTCCCCAAACGGGTCTGCACGAAGTCCAAAGTTCTTGAGATACTAAGGGACTTTTTAGGTTCCCACACTGTTGTCTCGAAGCTTGCACCTATACTCGGAATTGGCGGCTGACAGCGAATATGGAAGCCAACGGATACCAGCGGACCAGTTCATCCCAGTCCACTGATCATGAAGACTGAAATCCGCCGTCCTCTCGCTCTCTTCCGTTTTCCTCATCGCTCACATACACAGTAGTGCAAGCTTTCTAGATGCTGTCGTATTCGATATTGCTCGTGTGCAACCAGGCCGGCCTTACTGGGTCCTTCCTCTTGACGTTTCGAATTAGAACTCCTGGCGCATGTTCCATCTAGTAAAAGGATCCGTAGACAGAGGAAAGCGTCGTCACTCTCGCTGCAAACTTTCATTGCCAGCCATCATCTCATCACGACGCGAACATGAGGGGAAGGCCAACTTCTGAAGGATCGCCCGCGAAGGCATCGTTTCATGACTCGAGACTTAAAGAAGAGCGACAATATGGAGAGTGTTAGATGCCAGGCTGTGGCCCGACAATAAACTTGTGAGGTGATACATATCGATATGTTCAGGTTCCAGTAGCAAAAAAGAACGCTCGTCTCTTTTCGCGCCCTTTATTTATATTCGAGAGCTCTTTTTTAGGTCGACCGCGTTTGCCTTTTCCTTCGGCTGAGGGTATCTTTGAATTGGGTTCATGAGGTGTAGTGTCCTTGACGGCCTCTTTGATAGTCTGTTTGGACAGACAAAAGTCAATATGTGAGTTGAAACTTTTGTCGTCAGGAGGCTGCGGAAGCGTGCATATCGGGCAGGTCCATGGGATCTCCCGCATCTTTTCCTGCTGCTGACCGTTTTTGGGTTCAATTCCCTGCTGCTCCTGGCTGAACTGCTCCAATGCGTTCATCTCATCATCACGCTCCTGCCGTGCTGCCTCTTCAAACTCAGCCTCGGGCCAGACTTCCCATCCGCCGTCCTCAGTGTCTTTTCGAGAGAGTTTCTCTTTTGTAGCTGATGCTGAAGCCCTCCGCCGACCAAAGAAGTCTATGCCAGGTTTCTTTGTGGTAACAATGTTCGTAACCCGCAGTCCCATCAATCGCAGGGTCATGTTTGGTATTTCCTTCATCAATTTCTCCAGCATTGGCAAACTGTACTTGTACAAATCATCTGCTGCTTGTATAGCAAACGGCGAAGTGGTTTGCCTTGTAAGCACTTCAAAGGTATGTAACTTGACCTTTAAGCAGAGTGTACGGCCCTTGTATTCCGTCCGCTTGAGATCACCTTCCAGCTCCTCGGCAATGTGTCGCAGCTTATTCCGAAGGGCGACAGGGCCGCTTATTTCATGGAAGGTCGATTCCGTGCCAACACTCTTCCGCTCGTACTCTTCTGCGGGCTGGATTCTGGTACGACCGAGCCCTAGGTAGCACTGCACCAGGAACTGGAAGGCCTTCTGCCCGAAGAGTTGGGCAAGGTAGGCGCGCTGCGTATAAATATCTCCGCAGGTCTTGATGCCGATGGCATCAAGCTCACGCTCGAATACTCGCCCGACGCCATTCACCTTTCTCGTAGGTAATGTCCGCATGAAATCCATGATGATCTGTCGGTCGCTGGGTATTCGAAATTGGCCATTTGGTTTATTCACGTTGCTCGCTATTTTAGCTAATTTCGCATTGGCAGCAATGCCAGCAGAGACGGTGATTTTCGTCGTTTCGTGCACCTCGGCTCGAAGTTGCTGGACTGCGTCTTCGGGGTCCATGCAGTGCTCCTCACAGTACCGAGTGAGGTTAAGATATGCTTCGTCGACACTTGCGCTCTCGAAGCGGGGATCGTATTTTGCCAGGACTGCTCGGACTTCCTGTGCTTTGGCAGTGTACTTTTCGAAATTGAGAGGGAGACAGATCAGCTGCGGGCACAGTTTCATGGCCACAAAACCAGCCATACCAGAACGACATCCGAATTTCCGGGCATGGTAATTGCAAGTTGTGAGAACGCCCTTGCCGACTGCCATGGGGACATCTTTCAGTTCCGGTCTGTCCAGCTCTTCAACTGCTGCATAGAAAGCATCACAGTCTATGTGCACCACCACTTGGCTCAGGTCGCGGCTCATCTCAAGCTCAGCGATATATTCGTCTGCCTTGCGTAGTTCATGGCTTAGGTCCAACTTTTCCAACTGATGCTTCTTGGCCAGGATCCTGTTGATTTTCTCGGTAAGATTTCTGTCCCTAGCCTCCTCGTTGTTGAAGAACTTGCTCCCTTTCGACGCGTTGTATATAATCTCGGCGACCTTCTTCTGGTCGACCGAATCCTGGCCGGCCTTCGTCAGCGAGGGACCGAGCAGCGAGTACTTCAAGGTGCGATGTTCGCGCGATGACGCTGGCGCCCCGCAGTCGTTCGTCGTGTTTGGGGGTTTCGGAGCATCGTCACTGGCATCGGGTGTTGCACCTGACATGTCGTTGAGCGCAGTTCAACAGAGGTAAACATGGCCGCCGTGGTGACGCGGTCAAAGTCAGTGAGCGGACTTTGCTGACGCTTCCAAGGTTACGCGTGAAAGCTGATAGAATGACGCGCTTGGACCCGTGCGCACGTGATCTTGCGTCTTTTCCCGTTTGGGATGAAGCGCGGAGGAGCAATCCGGGTATCTCCCAACCTTGGAAGGTCGACAACATCTCGCGATCGATCTACGACAGGAGGCCCTCACGCACAATAAACTCACAAAGCCCCTCTTCCACGCTCTCGCCACCGGGGCGCGAGAATGCGCGACTCTTCTATACGTTTACGATTTCGCAGAGGCTTGTAAGAGCTCCCCACCCCGCGGTCTCCGCTCTGTTGTTTTGGACCTGAACATCACAGACTTCGGTAAACAACCACTTCGCCAGAGCAACCGCCCACTCTCGCCAGCGGTGATCATGCACACCACCTCAAATACATCGCCCAGGTCTCTACTTCATTGCCATACTACCATTGGATCATGTACACCGATCGTTCGAACGCAAACAACAACGGACGGCCATTGAAGCCGACGCTGGCAACCACGCGCACCGCGAAGACTCCTGTTGCTCCTCGTCTAGCCCCTTCACTTGCTTCAGCCGGATCCGCACAAAATGGACGCCCTGCGCGCACTACGATATCTACGCCTAAGGGCAATAGTGCGTCGCAAGATGATCGTACGCCCCTCAGACCCGTCTTAAACAGCAACGTCACTCCTCGTTCATCTGCTAGGAAATCCCGAGTGGGGTTGAGTAGCCCTGGCTCAACTCCCAGCGTAACGCCGTCCGCTACGCCGAGCAGTACACGTCCGCCTTCTACGATTGAAGTTCCGGTCAAAGAACAGGGCCCTGGTTTGGGCGGGTTCGGAATCAATGGCTCTCAAAGTGCCCCAGGCTCGAACAGACCGCGGAGCATAAATGGGGGAATTCAATACATTGCCACACCGACACCTAGGCCGCCCTTGGGAAATATTTACAGCAACACTGCTGTGGCGGATGCGGGTGTCTCACGTGCAAAATCCCCCAAGTTCTTTCACGCCAACGACGCTCGCCCTGTGGAAGTGACCCCTGTTCCCAAGAAGGGTCCGGTCTTCTTCTACGCAAATGGGGAGCAAGATACAGATGCGAACCAGGAACTACCCTCACCCCCTCTCTCAGCCGCTGGTAGAGCTCCATATGAGAGCAGATTCTTTCATGCAGATTCTTTACCGGAGCCGAGAGGTTCCTCCCCAGTGCTTACTCCTTCCTCCGTCTCGGCATCTCTAGAACCCTGGACGAATGGCAATCAACAACATAAATCACCATCTCTGCGTCCTCCATCGCCCCCCAAGGACAACATCCACCTGTCTTATAGGAAGGGCGCGTCTCAGGTTATTCGCCCAAACCTTCACACCAGGACGTCAGCGTTGTCGCTCCTATCGGGCCATTCACAGGGCCAGGAGTCAGATTACAGCGCATCGAGACGGAGATCTAGCGCAACATCATCGGCTGTCAGGCTAGGTCATGGTAAAAGCGCTAGCCTGTCATCTATCGATTCTGTAACACCGAGGAAGACTCCACTTAATGAGCTATCGACCATCGGCCCCAGTCCACTTCATAACCAAGATCGTGCGGTAAGCGTTGGCTCAGTACCCGAGAGTCCAGCATCCGCGCCTGGACCCACGACAGAGACCCTGTCGGGTCTACCAACACCCAGTCCCCAGAGCCCCGTCAGAAGTGGCCAAGGCACTTACGAGCATATGAACGATCTTGCTGCTAATGCGCGTCGAGAGCGCAAAGTCCTGGACCTTGAAATCAGCAATTCATCTTTGCTTGCTATCAATCGACAGCTTGAAAAGGAGGTCCGGAAACAGAAGGCTGAGCTGAGGATGTTTCGTCGCATGAGTCGAGCCGGTCGATTTTCGACGGATACAGCTGGCTCGTTCCCTGAGACCTTCTCTGCTATCGGAGCTAGAGATCTCGGCGACTTGTCGGATATGTCCGAAGAGCAAGGAGATGCAGAGGACGAGCCGGAATATAGCAGCGAGTCCTCCTTCGATGAGGGTACTATAAGCCCCACCGTACTTGCAGAGAGAGACGCCGCATATCTACTCAGAGACGAAAAGCGGCTGCAACTGGACCTCACCAAGCATAGAGAGCTCCTCATAGACAGCCAGAAGATGAACCAGAGCCTCAAACGATGTTTGGATTGGACAGAGTTACTCATCAAAGACGGGCGTAAGGCATTGGCCTACCAAGTAAGGGTTAGTGACGTACAGCTTGGAGGACGCGTCCTCAGTACAGAAGAAAACCCTGACATGGAAGAGGAGGGTGTTTCGAAAGCGTTACTGAGCCCTTGGAGTCCTGCGCACGGTATCACCGAACTCCTGGACCAGGCATCACTGGCGGGATCCCAAACGGCAGATTCGGATCATGACGTAGATGTGAACGGGCATGAACCGGCCATGCTTGAGACGCATAGCAATATCAATGTCCTGGGATCCCCTCTCCAAGACACGACTTCGTGCTCCCTACCATCATAGACGGAAGCCTGGGGTAAACTCTATGAAGGGCTTCTACTTGCTTATTCCTTTTGTCAATGCCTAAATATTAGGCATGAACTCAGGCCTCGCAAACCTCAGTCTTTTCGTTTCCTATTTCGTTGTTTATCACCATTGGCGTAATCGGCAGAACACGTTGAGTAAGATCTCAACGCCTTATGACCCTTTCTTTTGTATAACTGGCAGATATCATGACAGACGCCACTGGCGTTCATTGTTCATAATTGCTGCTAGGGCCTTGTCCTCTCGTTTGTCCGCTTGCAGAGGGGGTCAAAGTGTTAGGGATTTTGTAGTTGGAGCATACCCCAGCCTGGCGACTGTATTTGTATGTGTAGTTTTATGAGATACCCCGTAGTGTTTGGCAGAGTTTTGCGATATTATTATATGGATTATCCTTATAGGACTTGGAACCTCAGTTTTGAATCAAGTTTACAATGGTAAGACGAACATAGAATGTTGGTGGCGTTATCTATCCACCTAGAGTATGCTGTCTCTACGCACCGTCACGTTTCTAGCGTGTTCGGGCGTTTGGATAAGACATAACAGTGTCCTTTACGAAGGCGAACATTTCAATCCCCTTTCAGTGGGCTGAGAGCAGCAATCACGTGCACGTGACCACGTGTTACGCTAAAGTACTCCACTGCACGTCCTAGAAGATCTTCACCCTCACCACTCGTCTCACCATGAACGCCTGCTCACCTCATTTTGCCAGTCAGCAATCCCGATATCTGGTACCCATGCCAGACAAAAGATGTCGCTGTTTGGCGGCGACGGTACACCTCCAGATGATCCCTCACAGAGCGAAATCGTAGCACCCTCAGCTACCGCAGACACAACCGTCTCAACGACTGCCTCTTCACCTACGAGTCATATACCAGAAGAAGCGCAGAATGCGCAAATAGTTTCATTTAGCACCTACGACGCGGAGGACGAAGAGGACGAAGTTGATGATGAAAGCGACCAAGATGCGCATGCCGCTGGTGGCCTTCGTCCCAACCGCTTTGTGGGGAAAGCGTCGACATGGCGGGGATACACGGCTTCAGATCGGAATATAGCAGCATCGCTGGAGGAGATACAGGCCCGGGACCTTGCGGCGCATCTTTTCAATACCCATGCGTTGAAGCGTAGAGTGCGACGTCCCGAGTCGGAGCTCAAGGGGGTCAAGAATTGGCAGAGCAAGGACGATTGGATGAAAAAAGGGGCAGATCTTGAGTTTGTGGATATTGCGGGGGATAGGCAGGTGGAATTGGTACCGCCTAAGAGGTGGACGGCATGGCCGTTGCCTGCGGAGGATGTTCCTATACCATTGGAGCAGCTGGGCCGAAAGTGGGTGGAAGGCTCGATCGTGGGACCTTCGGAATGGCACGATCCTGGAGATAACTTGAGAGAGGAGATCCTGGCTGTGTGTCTGCGGCTAGCGACGAGGAAATTCAGGGCGAGGAAAACGGAAATCGCTGGGATCGAAGAGATAGGGGGCCGCTCGCGAGCACAGTCTAGAGCCAGGTCCAAAAGCGTCGCATCCGCACGCGCTTCTTCTCGAGCACCGAGCCTCAGCCCCGAAGTCTCGGACGAGGATAGGCGAGAAGGCTTCGTCGCTCGAGACGCGGACGAAGAAACGGGATCGCAAATTGAGACCGAGACAAAGTTTGCCCATGTACTCAATGCTAAGGGAAAACGGTTAAAGCTGCAAGCAAACCTTCCTAGGCCTACCGTACTTGCCGATGATGAAGCCGCACGCCGTATTCTTGGACCCAGTATCAATTCGCTTCTTGCTCGGGTTGACCGCCTCGCAGAGGGCATCCGCCGCACTCGCCTCAATCACTTTGGCAGAGGAAATGGAAGCGATACCTCAGCAAGCGAGGGGATTTCGGACTTTGAGTCTGTCCGATCATCCTCCCGGTCCGTATCGAGAAGCAGATCACGGAGTGTGTCCACAACGCGCTCGACATCTCGGGCTAGATCTGGCACTGCGTCTCGTTCGCCCTCCACTCCTCAAAAACCCCGCTCATCCAATCCCAAGCCCACCAAAAGTCGCAAGCGTCGTCGACCCGCCGATGAAGACAGCGACTCTGCCTCCGATTTTGGCGCCGACTACGGACTGGACAGCCCTTCAAGCTCCGAGATGTCCTCTCCATCCCCATCGACCAAGCGATTGCGCATGTCTAGGGAAACCAGCGTCTCCTCCGCCAACCGCGAAGCTTCCATCCAAATAGGCCTCCTCGACTGGAGCGAAGTCCTCGGCATAGCCTCCATGACAGGCTGGAACTCCAAAGCAATCGCGAGGACAGCCCAACGGTGTGCAGCTCTCTTTGGAGAAGGCATGTCCTTCCTCCCCCTAGATGAGGGCCTTGCTGCGCAACCTAGCCCTCCTCAACCCGTTCATTTCACACCATCGACAATACCACCGCTCGACATTACAGACAAGAGGAAAGCGGTGAAGAAGCGACCGTACTTCGACGTTGGTACGTTACGCTGTCCGCACCCAGAGTGTCGCCAGCATCACGAGGATTATTCTATTCCGTATCGAGTCATTGAGCACTGTATACGAGTGCATGGGTATGATCCTAGGACCAATGACTCGGATAATGAGGACAGGAAGGTGGGTGGGGTGCATATTGATGGGTTTTTGCAACCGATTACTGCGAAACAGGGTTGGCTTGGGGCGGGGAGGGCGAAGTCCAGATCAAAAGGTGCTAGTGGTGGAGAAGGGCGGGGAAAGAGGAAGGGGAAGGGGAAGGCGAAGATGAAGGTCGAGGAAGATGTGGGAGATGAAGGGGAAGGGGAGGGTGTTGTGGGTTCGCCCAGTTAAAAGCCGTTGGGGTTGATTTGATATGTATGGTCATGGCTATGGTTTGGACATCATGGGAGCTGTTTCTGGTTTTGATTGATAGTTGTGATATATGGTCCCGCATCGTCAAGCATAAATGCGGACATTCCTACCCGCTGGCAGCATCCATCAAAATCCCTCAAAGTCTCGTTCCGTGGTCTCTCTCCTTCAGTACCCCTCATCGCAACTCGAAAATCCGCAAGGCTTAGACAGGGCAAGTCTACACAAGGTCAGTTCGGCACTCGGGATTCATACACATATATTCTTCTTTCTATTCCCAACCAACGAAGTAGACGAAAGCAGAACTCACGCTTCCGCAAGACCCGCACGTCTTGCCTCCATTCGAGATACCCGCGCCACACTTGGGGCAGTTGTTATCGTGGGCGTTGACGAGGACGGTGGTGGACTGCATGTTTGCTGGTTTCTTCGACACTTCGGAAAGCGTATGTATATGGGAGGACTTTTCGAGCGTAATAGTCTTTGAGGTGGAGATATGGCACGAAAAGCGGGGGTTGGTGGGGTTGATATTTAGCTGGAGCTCTGGAGCTGAGCGGAGGGGTCCATGTTCTGGGGGGGGAATGCAGGGTGTGGGAGCTAATGCTGCAAGTTGTGGGAAATGGTAATCAGATGACCGCGTAGTGGAGGGTCAAGAGAAGGGTGGAGTCGGTATAGACCGGAAGCGTGGGGGTGTAGGTGTTTGATAATTTGGTAAACGTTTGAAGGCGACTGGAATAGCTGCAGGATTGAAGTCGACCTCTGTCTAAGGATCCCTAACATGACATATCACCTGCCCGTTCATGGCCGAAAACCAACCATCCTCCCTGCCCTCCAGCTCCCTGAAACTCTCCGCGATGGCCTCCAAATCCTCCACTGTCCCCAGCCCCTTCTCCAGCACCTTGTGCTTGAACTCACTCTGCAGCGTCCTCTCCGCCCAAAGCCCACACCACCACTTCCTCTCCTCCGGCGTGCTAAACACCCACACAGCCGCACTCGCCTCAATGTCCTTCCTGTCGAACCCCGCCTCCAGAGCCACGGCATGCAGCCTCCTTCCGATGTTGGGGTCGCAACCTATCGACTGCGCTGCTTTGAGGTACAGCGCCGACCATTTCCGCAACCCGGGGATCTCGGGGTACCAAGTAAATGCCGAGTAATCCGCGTCTCTGACCGCGACAATACCCCCAGGCTTGGTCAAGCGCTTCATCTCCTTCATCGCGCCCAGCGGGTCTTGTAAATGTTGCAGCACCTGGTGCGCGTGCACGATGTCGAAACCCTTCTCCTCTACCCCATCTAACGCTTCCCAGTTGAATATATCCCCGACCTCGAAACGTATATTGCTGACGCCCTTCTCGGCAGCATGCTGGCGTGCTTTCTCGATGACTGCTTCGGAGGGATCGATGGCATAGACGAAGCCTTGCGGCACCCGCTGTGCGAGGTCCACGCTGATTGTTCCAGGGCCGCAGCCTACGTCGAGGATCTTGAGAGTTGGAGAGGTCAGGTGTGGAATCAGATGGGGAGCGGAGTTCTGGACTGTGCGCCAGCTGTGGGAGCGGAGGACTGAGGCGTGGTGTCCGTGGAGGTAGTTCTTGGTGGCCATTGTTTGAGCTATACGTTGGTGGCAATGTGGTATGTGAATGAAAGTGTTGCTGGAGCTACAAGCAGATCTCTATCCTGTTGTAAGTGGGAGGGAGGGAGTCAGTCATTATATACCTTTCTCCGCTTGAGAAACGCTGCTCCGAAGGCGCTTGCGTGGTTGAGGCGGAAGTGATCCGATGCCATAGTCAGCCATCACGTTGCTGTGCAGTTATCCATGGATCTCTTCTTTCATTCGCTGTCCGTCGTGGACGGTAGTAGTGAGAGAAGTTTACAAGAGGCAGCTGCTGATAGCTTGGTCCGACATCGGTGTGCGAAAGCTTAGTCATTTTCGACGGTTTAAGGGCAGCCGCAACGTCATCTGTTTATGAACACAAAGGCAATTGATGATATTAGTTCCTCTCCAAGCGAAGACCATACTAACACTATTTCATGTGGATAGAAACCGAATGTTCGAATGTTCCTCAAGCAAAAAGCACCTATTAGAAGTTAGGGAGCTACAACCTTAACCATAAGCAGCGAGTACATCCTACATCCAGACCCAATTACATCCAAACCTCATAACCTCGGAAGCAATGCAACCTGACATCCATTAAGTCCCATCTCTCTTCCGCGTTCGATCATTCAAACTAAGGAGTGTTCGCCGGGACCAGGACTCACATACTCCATGTAACTCGGTGTCGCCAGGGTATATGTGTTACAATCGATCACTCCGTCACCGGGTATTATATAATATATCGTCTTCTGCGGGGACGATGGCTGGCATTCGACGGCCCTCCCAAATCAAGCCAGAACCGCCCTCTCCTCCTCGCGCCCTCGATTCTCCGATGTGACGGAGTGTGTGACTTCTTCTTCTTCCTCCCCATATCCGTTACCCTGATGCTCCGAGGCCGGAATCCAGAGGCCGGATTCCCTGTTCCCCATTGGTTGGTCTTGCCCAGAGAGATCAACACCTTCGGCCTCACGAGCCCGGCTTCGGCGGCGTTGGGAGAGAGTACGTGCCCGCGTGGACAGCTTGGCGGAGACCGCAGCGTTTTGCTGGACCCAGTTGGTAAGTGCTTCCTCGCAGTCCTGAATGATACTGTATGAAAGGTGTGAGTGCAAGTTCAGACAGAATTCTTAGAGCCAAACTTACGCCTTGCTGGCCTCGTAGCCATCATAAGCGTTCCTCGTCTCACCCGGAGTGACCGGAGTGTCGTCAATCAACTCGAGGAGGTGTTTGCCATAACCGGCAATGATTGCCAACTTCTCACAGTGTTCTCGCAGCGCATCGAATTGGTAGTTGAAGGCAGCCTTGAGCTTCTCGCGGGTAATGTTTGACAACTGCGCTTCGGCAACGAGGGATTCCGCTTCGGCGCGAACAAGCTCCTGCTCCAGAACAACGATCTTGGGCGAGTTTGGCTCCTTGTACTTGAGCTGCGCAATCTGATCGGTGATCTTTTGCTTGCCTAAGGTTGGGGTCAGCAGGAATCGAAGCTGGATGGTCGTTGTACTACATACGGTCACGGCTGGGTTGGACGGACGCCTCGATATTGCGAATGCTCTTCATCGTAACGCGATACTGGTCATAACGGTCCACAAACTGATCTTCGAGCTCACCAATCTCATAGATGAGCACCCCAAGTTTGTCTGTAACGTCTGATACGTCGTCGTCGCAACCTTCTCCCCAGATGGAGAGTTGTTGCTGCAAGCCCGTTAGCAACCTCCGGAACTCTGTTCAATGTCCCACAAACTTACAGCGGCCTCCATCCTTTCCCTGCTCACCAGCTCCAAACTGCGCATAACGTTCTTTTCCATCTTGACAAGTTGCGATAGCTTCTTCGCGAGCTCAGGGCCGAATGCGGCAGCTGTTTTGTGACGAAAGGTATGCCCTGTCAGACCGAATGCCGTCAGCCAATTTTCTTCTTATTTGATGGCATAATTGAAGAGATCCGGGGGCTTGATGACAGTGCCTGCGATCCGGGCGGCTCGCGGGCTTGTCCTGTCATGTTGCGTCTCTGTTGCAGGGTCCCGCGCGGAGAGTCTCGACATTTAATGGAGACCAGAACGCTACCGTGGCGCTCTCAAGGCTTGAGAAAGCTGCGGCTCACCTATATTGCCCCTCCCGAAGAATCGCCCGCCCTTTGTCGATGACGGCGGAGGCGGAGGGTTCTGTATTTGCGACGCCGTAGGGGCGCGCGCTTGGCGCATACTGTACGTTCTGTGCATTTTCGGAGGCTGGTTGCTGCGTATCGACAGATTCGCTGCGAATATGGGCGTCGATTCCGGACGGGGGCGGCGGAGGGGGTGTTGGTCGTGGCGATGCAGTTGACGTTCTGTTTGTGTCGTATGGCAGGGCTGACGATGACATCATCAATTGCTCGCCAATCACTCGTTGGTCACAGAACACAATCTCACTCGACGTTAACCAGCTTAGTGCAAAACTGGATCTGATCTGGATTGGGCTTTTTGGCCTACCTAACAGTAGCAATCCCATGACTTGGACAGCACCCACATTGATACATCTCTTAAGTACTTAGTAAATTGTGAAATACGAAAACAACCTGGGTGCGAAGACGTTCCACCTGACCGCGAGGCTGACCCACCACCAATTGTTTCTAAGTCGCCTCATAGAAAGGTGCGGGAAATTGGTCACATAATAGAGGGGGAGTATGCATCAAGTTGTCAGTTCCGATTACATGTGACTGCGAAGGCGCAGCATTGGGTATGACGCAGGCGACTAGCAGAAGAGGGCCAGACAGAGAACAAAGAGCCGCAGTTGTGTGGCATGTGAGATCATTTCATTGGCAATTGCAGAGCTCTGGTGCAGCCCTAGGGGTCATTATGTTAGGATTAGAGCTGGGTATCTTTGGTGTCTATGCATTATGGAAGTCTTTCCAAATCCTGGATGAGGCCGAAACGGAGTCTCTCCTACATGGCTAGGGACACAGCCGGTTGGCCGGCAAGTATGCTTAAGATACTGCCTGCCTCTCCAAGACCTTGTGCGCCGGGCCTCAGAGCCCAGAAAATTAAATCTCGTTCCCGCGGAGATCGACGGTGTTGAATTGCCATGGCAGCAACGGCGGCAACAATAGCAGTAGATACCGCATAGATACTTCCGACAGCGAAGGGCGAAGGAAGAGATGAAGACACTTCCCATGATGTTTTGTGATCAGCTGCCTGGACGGTGACTCTACGCTGTAGAATCGTGGACAGTACGGGAAGATTGGTTATGATTTCCCGCGCTGCAGTGGAAAGCGTGGACGACAAAGGCCGACGCGGAATCGGTCTCCAAGGCAACTTTGAACCTGATTTCAACAGCCTGCTTTGTATTCCAAGACCGTTTCCGCTGTGTGTTGCAATGGCCCACACCTCCTTCGCTTCGACAGCTGGTCTTCCAACAACGTCCGACCGAATACGCTCGATATATGCAACCAACCGGGGAAATTGTCTCTGCATAGCTTCCTTGAGCCAAGCTTGGGGTACTGAAGGATAAAACATAAGTGCCAGATAGCCAAAGGCGACACTGTCTAAGCTTGAGGGTTTGTCGCCGGCTAGCAAGTATTGTTTCGACCCCAGGAGGTCTGAGACCGGTTCTAGAAGCTCATTCGCAAGAGTGTCCAGTCTGATACGCGCTGCATATATTGGGGAGCCGAGGAGTCCTTGTACTCCTGTACCACGACCAATTCGCAGCGCGTTCGTTTGCCCAGGTATGCCCGCATCCCGTTTTGCAGTTTCTATCTTTGATGCTCCACCGAGAGATGCGGGTTTCGAATCATCCTGCTCCGTTGTGTTTACATCCAGACTACTAAGTCCAAGATGCGCTGTCCGGGATCTCGCGAGGTCCCGGCGTGTGGGAGGAATGGTATAGTTCAAGTACCAGGGAAGGATTGCAGTATAGGCCGCCGATGTGGTCGCGTTGTAGTTCTCCGAAGAAACGTAGAGATAAAGGTCTAGTAATGGACTGGCTGTGGACTCGAAGAAGGCAATGAAACTCCCAAACAGTCAGCATAACTCCCAAACGATGCATCTGCACGCATACGCGTTCTCATCTGTCTTCTGCTGGGCCGCGAGGTGGCCATCCAAATCACTATCACTCCCAGCGCGGCCCTTGAGGTAGGCAACGATGTCTCGGAAACCAGCTGCGCGTGTGGGACCATCAATGAGAAGTGGAAATTCTGCTGTGGGTCAAGTCAGGCATTGTCATAACGGTACAATTTCTGTGCACTCGGCGCTTACCTTGTGGACTGATGGACACATCATAGTCTGCAATAAGGATCCATTGCTCGACAGGAATGGCCCACCGCATGTATGCTACGGCAGCTAAACATTCGGCGTCAATTGAGGGGAGCCCAAAAGCTGGACCCCATACGTGTAGCTCCAGGACCATGCCCTCGGTGTTGTTCAGTGATTTCCAAGTGAAGCTACAGCAACAGTAGAGTATGCTGGGTGAGGTGATCAGATGCAGTGGAGTTCAATGCAGGTGGATCTCAGAACGCGCCAAGGCCGGGGATTTCACTTGGCAGAGATCTGCGTTCTTACCAAAGCGGGAACTCCAACTCCCATTGCTTCAAGGCTGCTACAAGTCGTCCTCTGGAGTCCCAAAACATTCTTTTCAACACTCAATGCCCGTTCCATCATGGCACCGCTCAGGAGATATTTGAGAATTACCAAACACTCCGTTCTTGAAGTCCGAATTTACCTCGATCGACCAGGTGATGCAGAAACATGGCTTGTCCGACGCGACAATCCAGCGCTTCCGCGTGTTATTCAAGCCGTCCGGCCTCTAGTGTTGCCTAAGCTGCGAGAAGAGAATGAACGAGCTAGGGGAAGGAGCGGGGTCAAATCCAAGAAAAAGGGTGTCAAAGATGTGGTGGTTGGAGGTAAGACCGACCAAAGCCTGCGGCTCTTTCAGAAATTGTTGCGCAGTCAGAGATGCGGTGGCGGCCTGACAGTGAGCTCTATCAACGTCACCACAGTCGCTGATTACTACTCAGATGACTTTGAAGTATCCATCTTCCTCACTGACCTCTCTTCTCGGCATTCTGTCTTGACCAAGCAGAAGACCGCCAAAGACAAACCCAAGATCCAAAGCAACTCAAGCAAGCTTACCACTTGGCTCACTACAGGCGGTGCAGAACAGTCCGTGGTCGGTAGTGGTCATGCAGGAGAGCCGATTATCCTAAGAGAGGAAGATGACGACGATGCTCTTCACTTGGACGATATCCCCGAGACCAGCGGGAAAAGCTGGCCAAACAAGCGCAGCAGGGCTAGCAGTGTCGAGATGATCAGCAGTGACAGCGAGGCGGATGTCTCAGCCCAATCGCGAGGAGCTCCTGTTCAGAAGCGTATTCGAAGTGCTGAACTACGGGACACTGACGCGGCTGCGGAAGGCACCGTCGAAGGCACAGATGACAAGAAGAAACTCGCTCTGAACACGTCCTATGAGGGTTTCAGCATCTACGGAAGGATTCTCTGTTTGATAGTCAAACGCAAAGGACCCAGGACCACCACAACGGGTTCCGCTACATCAAGCCAACAAATGCTCGAGAACTGGGTGTCAACGCAGGCGGCGGCTGAACCATTCGATGATGAAGATGATGTTGGTTAATAATCAAACTCCGGAGTTTAATGACCATATCTTTACGCCCTTATCGCACCTCCATGCTCTTCGGGAAGGCAATCGTTGGGAATCTGACAATAGCCCGATACGAGGTCGAAATGGTTAAATATAACCACGGCAGAAACTTCCGTCATGATCTCGGGCCCTTGTAGAATCTCCCACGTGGACGCATTGTGAATACCGAAGGTATGGCGACGTGCGCGGTCCGTGTTGAGCCCACTGCTGATGGAGGTTCTACGATTCGTCTGGAGACTTTCACGCACACTGCTCCGCACTCTGCGCCGACGTACGATTGTGAGCTCGCATGAACGAACGAAGATAGAAAAGACTCCACTTCCGTTTCTCCAGAGTGCACGCGTAGTTGCAGAAGCTGAGCTAGAAGTTTGACGAGGCAGTTCACAGAATATCATGTCACTACGGAGTACACTCCCGGAAGCAGTTTTGTGACCAGGTCCTCCTGCAACCCGCCAATATCGTTTCGGTCCCGGAATCGCCGGCGCATCTGTTTATTGTGGCGTCCTTCTCAATCGTGGGGTGGTGTTCAACAAGTACGACCAAGGCGGACGCAAGCCACATTCACGCTTGAGGCTGCATCTTGGCGACAGCGTGCACACCAAGAGAGGGAGTGTGGGTCCGTTTGCGCGTACCTGCATCAATTCAGGGACACAGTACGGAGTACCCGTGTTCCAGAAGCGGACAGAGAGATGCGATTCGATATGTCGCACTTTGGCGACGAACTCATCGGACGACTGGGTGGGCAATCATCTTGAAGTCTGGAACCTAACATTGACAGACCGGACACGGATGAGGCGCAAACAGCCCAACGGGATACTTACTTGTATGTGTGTTCAGCCAAGCGATGATGCCTAGGCCCTGAACCATCAGGACAATCGGCCGTCGTCGCGATGTGTACGGAGAGAGATGAGCAAACTGGTCTGGCTTATTACACCGTACCTCCGTTCTGATCTCCACCACATTATCAGAACTTTCCCCTGGGCATTGCATACAGGAACTGCGGCGGGAACACCCAGCTGAAAGAAATTGACGCATGGCGGGACAAACGGGGGAATGGCATGCATACCGGTGCATATCGTCCGATGACTTCCCTCCCTAGAGCAATAGCCTCGTACGCAGTGCGCAGGATTACAGAACGCAACAACGCTACAAAAGGATTGTTATCGATATTATCGCATGAAGGACTTCGTACTCCGTACTCCGGACGGAGTATTGCAACCCTCCGACTTGTCTGCCGCGGCTCATGCGGCTGGCGAAAGGAAAAAGGGGGCCACCCGTGTGGCAACTCATCTCATTTCAGAATCTGCAGCTTGCGGTGACCGGAGACAAGGAGAGCAAGTCTGGGCATCCCGAGAGTTTCAGGGCGGCATCCCTGTTCCCACGTGGACGCCTCCCTGCTCCCTCCATGGGGCTGCGAGCAAGGCAAGAAATTCGTGGAGACAATTGCCAGCGTGTGGTTGCGACAAGTCGTCTCATCATCAGCCCAACAAGCCGAACAGGTGTGGTGATAGACGGCAAGCTAGTCAACGACCCGTCCTTTCTCAACGGTGCCTGAAGGGTTCTGAACGATTGACCGCCTGGGAGACGCCTGGGGAAAACAGAGTCGGCATCTTTCCAGCAAAGGCATTTTCCTCATCATCAAAATCTCCATGCACGGCTCGATGAGGGCGCTGCACAAGGCAGCCGACCAGCCGGTACCAGGCGCAGCGAACATGGCCACCGAGCGGGATTATTATTATTAGTCACCGGCGTGACAGGGACTTTTTTGTCGCCCTCTTCTGAGCCTGACATGGCGCCGTATTGGGTGTTGCGCATCCCTGCCTGTTCCTGAGCCAGCACACCTCTAACGTACCACGGACTGCTGACCTTTTGTCGGCGGTCGCACCGTTCACACTAATTATATCCCGCTCAGTACATAGTAGTGATGTCAGGACAATTTGCAATATGCTGGCTCTGCGAAGCGTGCGAATCTCGCCGTCCGTGATGCTCACAATCATGCGCACGAATGATACCGCGGCACGCCCCCAGGGGATTGCTTCACGGAGCTGCTTCACGGCTCGATCAGCACTCCAGGGCTCGACTGTCACAATCACGAGGACTGGTGAAACGAGCGTGAGAGCTCAAAAACGACGCCTCCGTGAAGGGCGGCCGACCGGGATGAGCGATGGGTTTGGGTGTGCAAGGAACTCCCTTCCCCTTGAGGCTTGGCCCACTTCACCACTCTGTCCAAGCTTCACCACTCCTTTTTCTAGCTTGCCCCATCATGCCGCAGCTCACCGCTTGGACCATGCCTTGCTCTGCCCAGCTCATTTTCCGTCTTCGTCAAGAAGACGTCGTAGCCTGACCGACTTTTTGCTAGCTGTCAATCTGTGCACAAACATAAATACCACCACTCCCCGGCACCTGATCTCCTACATCGTTTCATCCACCCCATATCAAGCCATTCAATACACCACACACACACATTTCTCGCCGCATACATCAATACCTCGCCCTCTCACCTCTGTTGCCCTATAACAGATATCTCCTACCAACGCACACACACATCGCTCTACCGATTACTCTCACCTCCGATTCTCCCGGCGTCCCACAAATCTCTCTTCCACAAGGGAACATAATGGCTGTTATCTGCGATCAAGTCAACATGTCGACACAAAATCTCCCACCGTGTCCTGGGCCGCCCCCTACTCGTCCTCTGCCTCCGGTTCCTTCAAAATAAAGGAAGGACAGTCGACTTCGGTCAACACTACCAATTCCATCCTAATCGATCTCCCTTCTGGCATCACGTCTCCGGCCTATCGAGTATCTACCTCGGACTATTCAGCTCTCTCCAGCAGCCCCACGTCGCCCAATGGAGTTGGATATCCCAGCTTCTGTAACGCCTTTGACAATCAACCCAGTCTGCTTTGGAATCAGCATCCCTGTCAACCGACTCCGACTTCCAAGTTTCTTCGGATAAAGGCATTCACACAGTCAACGAACTCGGCATGGGTACCTGGGTGCCTACCTGGCCGCCCCATGTTCCCTGCTCACGACCTGTCTACGCAATCAAGACTTTCAACATCCCCCGCCGCATCTCACCCATGCCGGCCGAGGATTATTTCTGACTATGTTTGGTCTTCTTTCCTGCTTGTTGGCCTACACGCGCGGGTCGGGTGGAAGGAAACAGCAGAGTGATTTAATCGATTTGCTGCTTCAATCGGCTCTCTCATACCTTTGTAATACTGCTCGAAACCCTTTCAACCTGTTTCCGATCTGCGTTAACCAGCGGGTGGGCAACATGGTTACGATTTCGGTATTTCCTTGCTGTTCTTTGGGCTATTCTCGGGAGTTATTATGTTATAGAGGGTCAGCAATGCGCTCGGAATCTACGGAATACCCCCATTATGTACTGTACTAGAATTAATCTATTGGCCGCCTCCCGACCGTGTCGAAGGCTTACACACACTCACACACTTCATTGCCGCTCTATTCGAAACTCGCTTCGCTGATGAGACCATCGCATGACATACCCCGTCTTTTGTGTAACATGCCGATGACTCTCTCGGGCCATTTTCTTTCCAATCAATAAGTGCAGGCGCCATGCCCCGTCCACGCTCATGCCGATGCAGGATGCTTTTGGAAAATTCGCCGCTGACTTTCAGTTTTGTCGGCCACGTTGTTCCGACTCCGTGCCGTCAGTACGGAGTACACATCACCATTATTGTGGTAATAATAGCGCACCCGCCTCCAAACCTCGGGATCAATCGTATATCGAACTATCGCGTCTTTGCCTCCAAGCCTCACAAGCCTGCGCGGCCTGCCTTGCTGCTGTTGGTCGTGCTGCAGTTTCAATCTCACCTCAGACGGGAATGTCCTCCCCACACAGTAAACACCCTGTTTGAAAGTTGCAAATTGAAGGTCACTTGACGTGGTTCGGCTTCACATGCCTGTCATTGTCCAAATTGGGGCGGCTTGACGATGCTGGTACCTTGCATTATCAACGTTATCAAGGCAATCAATTTTTCGAACGAGCAACTTGCTCATCAGTAATCGGTGAATACGCAGGCGCGGTGTTTGGTGATCGGTGATGCTGACTTTACTATCATGAAAGATGTCTTGTTTCTAACACCCTCCGCCGTGCTTGCTGACCTTGCAGCAGCATTCATCAATTCACCGGTAGTTGATTGCAGCTTCTCAATTGGTAGAAGACTGGTTGTGACTTCCCTGTCGTTGTGCAATACAACTCAGCCATGAGGCGCCCTGGCCCCACCAGGTTGGGTAGAGATGCGTGTACGGAGAGGACTTTTCCACTCCTCACATCAGGCACAACACACCTGGGCATCACCGCCACGACCACGCAGATTTTGTGAGTCACACAGCCGTCACAGCCCATCACCACCTTCATCACCGATATTTGCTTCTGTTTGTGGAGATACGAGCGGGCGCTTACCACGCGTCAACGCCACGGTTACACAGTTCAGGTCCCAGCTGACAGGCACAGCCCTCACACACCGTCAGCGGTCAGCAGTGTACCCCTTCTTCCTCCCGGGATGCTCAGTAAACGGTATCCATGTAAAGCTATACTATAACGACCTATAAACACTGCATCCATTTACCCCGTCTAGCAGGGAACCGATACCTACTCGTACACAGCCGGTCCAGGCGTCTGACACTCGTATACAAGGATCAGGGTGCCTGTCGAGAAATGACAATATTCGAGACTGATGAAAAGATAGTACGTCATTTCACTCTGAACTGAGACATTTGTTCTGGTCTTGCCAAACGAATGATGGCTTGTTGGGCTGCGGGAAGAGCCTGTCGTTATGGCTTTCAGGCGTCCCACTGTGTGTGGATGGCCAGCAGCAATTCCGCTCAATGTTTCGGCTGCTTGCTTGTCCGGGCGGCTCGCTGTTGTTGCCTTGTTGCACATGATCATGTCTGATACGAGGAGTAGCAATAATCGCGATGGCTTGGGACCTGCAGTCGGTCTATTTGCCATGTCGACAACGGGAGCGGACGGAGCGGACAGAGTACCGCTTTTCTCGAATCTGAAAGAATCTACGGAGTAAACAATACGGAGTATCCGTTAGCGGAAGACGAAACCATCAGCAGGTGGGGGACTGGATGATAGTCATCATGGGCATCATCAAGCCGAACCAGCTGCGACTGTCTTCGCCTGATGTCCCAACAAGAGTTGTGACACGAGCACGACCTCCTGCAGGTATCCTGTGTGGCATCTGCACCTTTGCCTTCTTTGCAGGCTGCAGGGCGGGACAAATTCAATTGCATGGAGCACGACAAGTCACATGCGTGTCCTGCATCAATCCCAGAAACCCTTGGGAACCCTGCTGGCAATCATCAATCCTCGCCGCACTTCCCGCAGTCTTTCGCAGTCTTGAGAAACCGTGGACATGAATCCTAGGGCAGTCATCTCCTTGGCTGGCGTGGAGGCACGCCGCCCTGTCCTCGGCTTTCCCGTTTCGCTGCGTTGACTGGAGGGTTGATGAGAGCTGGGAGGCATTCACAACCAGGAATAAACTCAAACCTCTCCTCCACACGTCATTCTACCCCACAGAAAGCGGCACGACAACCACCATATCTCCACACTTGCCACGTTTTCTCCATCAAGTCTCACTCCGCGGAGCCATTTGCCCTGCTTTTGAACAAATCAATTCTCCTCAAACTCACCTCCACAATGTGAATCTCGATACGAAAGCGCCGTGGCATTCATCATTCGTTCACCGTGCCTTGCCGGTACCGTACGGATGATCATCATCCCGACGGAGTGACACCGTCGGCAAAGACGGGGAGCAAATAAGTTTACTTGGAAGCTTGGTAACTTTGAAGGGGACGGGAGCCCGCCCATGAAATCGGGTTTCATCGAGAAACTCCATCACACATCACCATCTCCTATTGCCCTTCGAGGAAAGGTACGAGGTGTATATCTTGTGTGTCGAGCAACGCCCATTATTGCGCCGTCTGTGAGAAACCGGGAATTGCTGTTTGAGGAGTGGAATTATGAAGCCGAGGTACAAAATATTTCCAAGCTTTTTCTAAGTTTCAGGTCCATGTCTTGAGTGGACCACCATACCGGTGGTGGAAGTTATGACTGGGACTTTTCTTTTTTGTTCGCCTCCTTTTCTATTCCCGCGTCATCCGTCGGACGTCAGACGTGGATTTTCCAAATTCCGGCTCCGGCAACCCGCTCGTGAACTTTGGGCCTCCCGCGCCTCGCGCACCGCCAGTTTGTTTCCAGCACTCGCTCGCCGCCTTATCCGATCCGGAAAAGCTTGCGTGTGGCCTGTGGCGTGGCACTTGCCGCCCTGCCGCACCATCTGATTATTATGCTGAGCCGGCAACCTGTGTCATGACTCCTGAATCCCGACTCCCGACTCCTGACCGCGCCGTTTTTCTCCCTTCGAAGAAAATGGCGAGCTTCTAGAAGGCCGAGGATCGCCTGGATTGCGGGAACTTGGCAAGAGACTACTTGTCAGGAGTCTGGAATCCGAGGTCCTGACTCTCTGATGTATTTTCCCCTCTGAAACCCACTCCTCGAATCCCCCATGGAGTCAGGGACGCCAGCCGCGGCATAGCGGTAAACTGGCGGTCTGACTATTCGCCTTATTCACTCCTTATCAACCTCCGTCTGCAATTACAGAAAAGGAGAGTCGACGTGGCCCTTGATCATCCGAAGAATCGCGGCCGCTGAAACGTCGCTTCCATGGATGAATATGCTGGGTGTCATGCGGACACCTGGGACTCATGGCTTCTGACTCTTACGGGCGGTAGAAGATCCACAGAGATATGCCGTGTGCGACTACTCCCAGACGACCGTTCATCGCACGTGGTAAGGACTTTTCTAGGTTTTGCGTGCCTGACTGCGTCCGAGCTGAAAGGAGCCGGCGGCATATCATTTGGTCCCTGCTATAATATAGAATTGTCTGGATATGCTGCGCTGTTTATGCTTATCGGGCCGTATGGGGATTATTCCATGTTATATATCCATGGCTGCTATCGTGGGGGTACTGTCATTGTAAGGATGAGAATTCGGACGGGGATGTGGAGGAGAGGGGTGCCTGGTGTTGATCCGGATATTTTGAATACATAAGCCCTTATCCTGGGAGAAGGGTGGGCGAGTGTGGAGGATTGTCTTGATTAGGGCAGACTCGTGTCGTCATGAGCTCCGTTTTTTTTTCCTCCCTTGGAGACTGGTATATTGGGCTCCAACATTTTCAGTCTGGAGTGCCTGGAGAGGCCGTGAGGCATCAGGTGTAGGTGGGACTGGACGGGTCTCTCCGTTGCTTCGCAGGGCTGCAGTAGGTCGTGGCTACAGTGTAGACCTTCTCAGGTCTCCATGTCGAGAACATTTAGGACATATATCGACCTGTGTATAGTCTACACCGTTGTCAACGATGTATTCGTCTCGGGCCCCTGCAGCAGTAGAGCTCCAAAAGGGTCTTTCGTTTTAAGAGAACAAGCTTTCACAAAACGTAGGGCTTTGAAAAGCTGTTGGAATGCATGTCCTAACTCTACGCCGTGTGCAGCCTTTCGATCTTCCTATAGGTCATCTCTGTTGTAATCGAACCTATCCTATGCCGCTGGCCAACTTGCGGCGTTGAGGTGCTAAAAACGCGAGATGGGGAGGGTGTATGGATGTCACTCTCCAGTTGATTTACACCACCGGAGCACCCTCGGTGGACCTGCAAGAGCGTAGGATCTATGTTACCGTGCAAAACCGGCTCCCAAAAGGCAGCTTGGTTTGCAGTGCAACTATCGCGTGAGGAAGAATATAATTACTTCAATCAAGGAGTATCATCGAACACCTATGTATCCATCCTGCAGCACCAGCCAAAGAAGCTATAGAACGGGACAAGTATGTCCTCCGTTCCAAAAATTACGATAACCCAAACACCAGACCCCAAAACCCGTCCAGTCCTATCCCAAGCAAACGCCATCCAAACCGTCATTAACATCATCAACCCGCAGACATCCTGCCATCGCTCAAGCCCTCTCCCCCTTCCTCCCCGTAGCCCGCAGCCTACTCTTCAAATCCAGCACCGCCTCCGCCCAACATCTCACCCCTTCCGCACCCGCACCCAGCAAAACCCTGTCCGCACACTTCTCCTCCAGAAACTCCCTCATGCGGTCGACCTTGTACTTCTCCCCATACACCAACTCCGCACTCGGCACCACGCGCGTCTCCACGCCTCGCCCACGCTCGCCAACACCCAGCACAACGCTGATCTCAAACGAACACCGCACCTTCGTCTGCAGCGTCGGGAGCAGCATATTCGCCGTAACGGCCATGCGCTCATCGGATAGGATTGTCTCTTCGGTGAAGAAGTCATGGCTGAGCCAGCGGACGCCCTCGGCTACAGCGAGGGCAGTGGCCCAGCTATTCTTTACGAGGGCGAGGAGATCCGAGATGCGTGTCTGCGCCTGCGGGATGCAATGTAGATGCGCGCGGATGAGTTGGAGGAAGAAGCGCTTTCCCGTTGTCAAGGGCCGAGGATGGGGTGTTGCAGAATCGCCTACGTAGCCGAGCGAGATGGAGGCGTTGGGAGCGTTGGGATTGCCGGTGTTGAAGGCTGAGGGGTGGAAGTAGAGTTCTAGGTCGTTGAGATGTGTCATGGTTATGCTTGACGAAGTCGCAGCGGTTATGCTCCAGCCATGGACTCGTTCGAGGGCTGTTACGCGCTCTGTCATTTGTGTTAGGTACGCATGATGGAACAGGAGAATGAGTGTTATACCTTTCAACTCCCTTACTTCGGTAGTGGTCCAGCCACGGCACTCTTCGCGAACACGCTCCGCGGCTCTGATCTCCGCCATGCACTCAATCTTGCGCTCCTTAGCGGCTTCAATACGCGCCTCTTTGTCGGCAAACTCTTGCTGAAGTTCAGCGAGAAGCTGACGTTTCTCTGCCACCTCAGTGTCTATAGCCACAAGACGTTCCCTGACCTGCTCAAGCTCCTCTCGATCGCAGCTGTTCAGCTCATCATGCCTCTGCTGCAGCATCTTGCACCGCGTTTCGAGCTTTCCATGTTTCTCCACGAGAGACGGGACTACGGAGTCGAGCAGCTTCTCTTGCTCAGCTAAGACGGACTCATCACGCATGAACCCCTCCATCGTCCCGAGAAGGCCTGCCTTGAGATCACGCAACAGCGTGCTCCGCCAGCTGTACCATTCACCGCGAGCCTCCAACCGTGCATTCGTCTTCAGGTTTTTGAACTGGTTGTCCATCACGGCGCGCTCATTCGGGGGCGCAGTGAGATATTCTCTGAAGAGTAAGGGATTCTCCTCCATGACGTTGGCCTCCATCGTGCGCACAAAGTGGCGACCGTCGGAGATATACTTCTTCATCTCGTGGCACGCATGCTGATACAACTCGTATTCGGGGAGTGTGCACGCAGCAGCAACGACGTAGCGGTCTAGCGATTCTTCTTTCTCCTCAATCTCCTTGTCGTGGAAAGCACTCGGTGCGGCGGTATGTCGACGTTTCGTCGTGCTCAGATCCATAAAGCGTATCTTCGTCATTTCCAGGAACTCCTGCAATGAAATCCGCTCCACATCCTCTTGGGTTTCCGCATCAGCATCCGCTTCGACATTTTCAGTCGCTGGGGATTCATATCCAAATGCTACCTTTTTTCTCGGGCTGAGACTCCTTCTTGGGGTGGCCTCTTTCGCGCTGCGGACCTGGCCCTGTGGTGTCGCGGACTTTTGAGGTGTCAGAGACTTCTTCGGCGTGATCATGCGTTTTGTCGGGGAAGATAAACTCTGCTTCCTCGGGGTCGAGAGGAGCTTGATGTTGTTGGAGAGCACTGCGGTGCTTTTGACTAGTGGTTCCTCTCTCACGGGAGCGAGAGGACTGAATTGGACAGAGGACAAGGAGGATCGGCGTCGCTCGAGAATGGGGGCAGCAATGGGGTCGTCCAGTAATTTGGCTGGAGAGGTCCGCTGAGGTCCTTTCGTTGGGGTCGAAACGGACTCTTGAGGCAACGCACTCGACCTGCCCTTACGGACAAAGGGAGACGGCTCAAACTTCTCGATCTGTTCAGAGGGGGGTGGTATCTTTGGTGGGGTGGTAAGACCGTCGTGCCTATGTGCTGGAGACTTCTTTGGCGTCAACTGTTGCGATCTATTTGACGCTACGGGAGATTGCAGGCCCCTTGAGGCAGATGATGGCGTAGAATTCGACCCAGGTGGTGTGAGCTTTTGATCGTGCGTAGATCCTAGCTTGCTTGCAGCTGCTTTGTCGAAGTTCTTAATCCCTCCGATCACGTTGGTGAATTCCATGGACATATCCTCGTCGTCGGAGGCGTCATTTACGCCCATTCCACTTTTTGTTTCATGGGTACCTTTGATGCTTCCAATTGCAACCGTAAAGTCCATTGTCTCGTCCGCGAAGGTGGTGTCTACGCTGTTCCTTCTCGCCTGAAGCTGCTCTCCTTTTTGAATCGGACCAGTCTTGATGGAACCAATGGCAACAGTGAAGTCCATTGTCGCATCATCCCCTGCCAACGACTTCTCGTCTGACAGCCTTCGTTGTCGTAGGCTTGTTCGGCGACTAGCGGGACGTTTGGCGGGACTTCCTTGTGATTGTTCAAATAGCGAGGCCCGGCGCTTCAGACTCTTCCTACGCTGTCCATGCTCCTGCGCCTTCATCGACTTGATGCAACCAAGCGGCATTGTCAGTTCCATGCTCATGTCTTCCAGATCTGAACTGGGAGACTCTGCCTGTTGGACGATCCGGCCTATAGCACGTGTAATATCCATGCTCATGTCATCTTCTTCATCTTCTTCATTTCCTTCATCCTCTGGCCCTGGCGTTGCAGCAGCAAAGGGGTCCGGGGCTTCCTGATCATTCGATGAATCCACGGTGCTATTTTTGGCCCATGGTTTGAACGCTGCTGTGACATCGTCCTCCGCTAGTTCCATTGACATGTCCTCATCATCGCTTGCGCCTTTGTCTTTGCCGTCTAGATTGAGGTTCTGCGTACCCGCCCGCCCAGCTGCTTCGCGTAGGGCTGCATTGAGCCTTGCGTTGCTTTCAGCAGAGCCATTAGATTCCCGCGAGCTGTCAAGCTTCAACGTTCCCTCGTCTTCTTCCTCATCCTGTCCACAGCTGCCTTCGCCACGATAAGGAGAGCTACCATTTCCGCTCAGGGGACTGGACGAATATATGTCATCAGGGTTGTTGAAATTCATTGGTGGAATGCCAGAGCTTCGGCGATTCTTCTTCTGATGCACATCACGCTGATTTGCCGGGGTTGAGGTCGGCCGCAGCGCATTCGACTCGGACTTTCGCGGTGGGGTTGAGGCCTCCTCGTCTTCTTGAAAGCGCAGTGTGTTGGACGCATGGGTGGAAGCCTCCGATATGTTGGACGCTCGCCGCGAAGCTTCAGAGGAAGCGGATGATGTTGTCGCATCCCGCAAGTATTCTACGACATCCCAGGTATGTAACGTGGCTTCGGGCGCAAACGAAACGCGTCGTCTTGCTATATACTTCATTAGAGCCGCATATTTGGCACATATTGTGATAGTCTCCGCATACCTAACGACTTGCGGCGCCTCTTCTTTTCATCTTCGTCATTCGATGCTAGGATGGATTTGACGGCGGGTATGAAAGCGGACTGGTTGGGTTAACTATTTCGCGCTCTGCCACATAAACATACAATCATATACCTTTCTTCTGTTGCCGTTGGTCTCCTTCAGGAGAGGCTCCTCGACGGCTGCCAGACCTCCGGGTCCGATACTCTTACTGCGCATGCGTCGCGACGACTTTCTCGGCGATAGGGAAGGCGCCTTGCCCAGCGCAGGATACGCAACGAGGCCATCTGCAATGTTCTCTTTTCCCGCGTCGCTGGCCATTGTTGGGGTTGGAGTGCGGAGTTGCGGCTGGTGGGGGACCTTGTTGTTTACACCCTGATGTTGATGTTGTTTACGTCGGGTCACGTGGGTGCGTTCCGAGGAACTGCAGCGCTTGAAGCTTGGCAACCTTCTTTCCTTTCACCGCATCTGATTGATCCCTGAAAGGATCCACCCCAATTGGGCAACAAAAGCCTGGATAAGTCTGACGGGCTAGAGACTCACCGTATTATCTGGTTTGGAATGACAATGCTCATTGTCATGTGTGCTCTAAACATCTAACACGGACCTTTACCTCGTCCTGGATTTCAATCGAAGTTCAAGCCGTAGACCTACTTTCAGTCGAATGCATTTCTGCAATGGACAGACACCGGTACCAGAAGGGTACATCGCTGGATCCCATCATCCTGGACGACGATGGGGACGGTGAAACCCACGGGGATGAATGTGCCCATTCTCACTCTTCAGGATTGAGGCTGATGAGCCAGCTTCCTACAAGGGATGGCCAGAGTGCTGGCCAAAGTGAGAGCACGATTGCTTCAAAGGACGCTTTAGCCTCGGGCCCCGCAGACCAGAGGCAAACTCCCACTACGGGTCGCCATGAAAAACGCATTGTATCTGAACCGCACCACTCTGCAGGTGCGCTCCGCGAGGTTGGACCGGACCTGCAAAAAGTCTTCGTGGAAAAATTACCACAAGGTCTACCACAAGATCGCCGCAGTACTCTGGAGCAGAAGACAGGCTTGATTTCCGAGGCGACGGTTGAGGCATGTCTTTTGAAGCATTTGACGGCGCTTCATGAGGAACACGCTATTACGGTAAAGGAGGCAATGGAGAGGTCGAGGATGTCTCTATTCTCACGTCCTTCATCTCCGGCAGAAACTGCTCAGCAGATCGATCCGTTTGCTGATATGCCTTCAGTTGTGGTAGGCGGCGATCCCACAGACAAGGGATCGAAGGCGAGTACACCTATCTATATCACATCGTTTGAATCGTCCGCCAAATCCATCCCGTTTCATCGTCGGCATCTGAGCTTCCCGCAAAGCGCGTTGGCCGAGAACAATTGGAAACTGGACGTTATTCCATACTTTGACGATGACAACGACAAGTCTAAACATGCACTGTTCTGGGAGGAATTGAAGGACAAGTATGACGTCTCCGATATTAAAAATCGTTCCGCCGATGGTTTGCGTGCATTGCGGTATGACTTTCACCATCGCTGTGTGGAAGCGGTCTTCGAAGAAGTGGGCGTAAACTGGGAATCGACATTGTTTTGGTTCCTGGCCCCCGGGAAAAAACTACGCCGTATTTTTGCGAGCTCAACCCCCAACCAAGAGCGAGAAGAAGAATTCAAAGCGTACCTCCATAACCGCCATGAGTGCGAAGAATCCGAAAAGAGGAGTAGGAAAGAATGGGCAGCCATACTTGCACGACTTCCGGCACCCGCATATCAAACTTTGTGGGCTTGCGCCCTTGTCTGCAAACCCTTCAAGAGACATTGGTTCAGCATGTGGGAACTGGCTCAACGAAGCCAACCAGCCGAAATGCATCTCCGGAATACATATCTGCTTTCAGAAAATGCCTCACAGTTGGAGAAAACTAACCAATTCCTCACAGGAATTTGCGGCGTATGTTATCAGTTCGACTGCTTACTGCACGGAGAATTGGTGGAGGATGCAAAACCTTCCAAGAAGCACAACTCTGCTGGCAGGGCTGAGGCGCATGACTCTAAAAAGCAGGGGCAAGAATATTTCGAAATTTCTATCGTCGACCCCGTGGTCAACTACAAGCGTATAGTCAACGCACGTATTCGAATTCCGTCGAGGTCCACTTCCGCAAAATTCAACGTCAGGAATTGGTTGCACACTGGCGAATGGGAATCTCGGGAAACCTTTTTCCCATGTGACCACCCAGGTAGTTGCAAAGATGCACGGTGCCGCTGCTTTATGAATAACATCCTCTGCGAGAAGACATGCGGCTGTGCAGAACGTTGCCGACGGCGCTATCCAGGTTGTTCGTGCGCACAGAACGGCTCCGGAGACGTTTGCGGTGCGTCGACAAGCTGTGAATGCCGCCAGTTGAAGCGGGAATGTGACGCCGACGTTTGTGGGGGTTGTGGTGCAGCTGAGGTGCTGGATCCCAGGAACCGTGAGGAGGAGGATGTGGGTGTCTCCAGATGCTGTAATGTTGACATTCAGCGGGGTGTACCCAAGAAGACACTTGCGGGTCAGTCAACACTGCACGGCATTGGGCTGTTTACTGCGGAGAATGTCGAGAAGGGGGATTTTCTGGGCGAATACACTGGCGACCTGATCACGGTTGCAGAGGGGGACCGTCGGGGCACTATCTATCCTTACCAGGGGCTTGAATATCTTTTTCAACTCAACCGAAACCAGGAAATCGACGCTACCCGGGCGGGCAGCAACATACGATTCATCAATTGCTCTCCTAAGGCGCTGGCTAATTGTGAAGTACGAGTGCTGCTCTGCAACACTGTTCTACGGATTGGATGCTTTGCCAATCGGAACCTTGGCCCTGCCACGGAGCTGCTCTTTGATTACAATTACCCAGATGACAAAATGCAGACTTTCGTCCAACCAAAGGGAGTGGCGAGTCCCGTCAAAGAACACAGTGCTGCTCCGCAACAAGTGGACATCGGCTCAAGTGTTACCCAGCACAAACTCTCGGCAGGGAAAAGTGCTGGTGCGAGGGTGGTTACGAAGCCCAAAAGCCTTCCTAAAGCCTCGTCGTCAACTAAGAATATTAACGGGGCACGCAAGTCAGGAATGGCTCGGGAGGTAGGGCTCCGGGATGAGGCGACCCCAGTAGCTGGTACGATCACTGAGAGTAATTTCCTCGTCCGAAGTATATGCTAATGTTGCACTCGTAGACACCAACACGAACCAGACCACTATACGCGTGCAGAGCAAATCCTCCAGCACGAACTTCAACACTTTGGAAAAGAATTCCCGGAGGTGTCCGGGCGACGACGACGACGACGACGACGATGAAGAATACGTGGATGAAACACCGTCGGAATCAGGAGACAGCTACGTGGATGCAACTCCGTCGGAAACAGATGACACCGATCATAACGAAGCCAACGCAAATCGGCACCATCCCTCAAGAAGGTCTCTTGGAGCCCGGACGTCAAGTGAGAGTAGGAAACCCCTTCCAGCGCAAACAGCCGTTACCACAACATCAGCAGCCCCGAAAGCATTGCACGCTCGGAAATCCGCGCCCTTGCAGCCCAGACACAACATCATTTGTGGGCAAAAGCGAAAGCGACATAACGAAGACGACGCACTGAGTTAGCAGGGAAATGTCGAACACTTCCGCAGCCTAGAAAGTGGCGGCATTTACCATTGGAAAAGTGCGCCACTGGCGCCTTCGTGATGGCTGTAGATCAGCATTACCTTCGATCTCTACAGCATTCAAGGTGTCGCAATCCATGTCCTCTTCGACTTCTGCAACTGTAGAAATGATACCCTTCCTGTATGCTTAACACTTATTTACATGAATAGAGTCAAAGCATGTATCGACCGACCTTATAAGTGTTCAGGGATCTGAGTCGTCAATACCTCACGCTCCCATGCAGATACACTGCTTTCGCCGTGATGAGCTCAATGGAGCTACCCTTAGATAACGACTAGATCAAGCAGCAACCATTGTCTACTTACTAGCTGTAGCAGGGTGGAGCAAACTCGGATGTGCTTCAGCACTGGCCAGCTCGAGATGTGGTCACATCACTTACGCGGCTACACTTTGCAATATCAGTCATTTAATATTGGCTGGATCATTCGGATCTAGTTCTTCTTCTTTCTCGTCCTTCTGGCCTTCTTCCTCGGCTCAGTATACTCCTCATCATCATCCGCCGCACCAGTCTCTCCATCTTCTACCCCATCCTCGACAACCGTCCTACCACCTCTCCTCTTCGTCCCATGCTTTTCCGCACCCTGAGCCTCTATATCTTGCGCAGCAAGTCCCTCCCCATTCCCGTCGCCAGGTATTTCAGCCTCACTCCTCGTCCCCTTCTCCCTCTCCGCCAACCTCGTCAACGCCGCACCTAATCTCCCTTTCCTCCGTCCCAACATCCCCCCACTCCCCGGCGCACCGCCAGCATCCCTCACCCTCGGCGCAAACGCTCCCGCCCCAACACCCCCCTCAAAGAACCTCGTGATATTACTCTGCGTCCCCTCCTTCTCCCTCCGATTCATATCCCGAATCACGGGCACCAACACCTCGTCCGTCCTCTCCCAACTCCACCCAATCTGGCTACTCAGAAACGTCCTCAGGGCATCCAAATCAGGAACGCCCCACTGGAAAGGCTGCGGATCGCTATCGACATCGGGCTCGAGATACGCCTCCGCGACGCGCGGATCCGGGAAATTGGTCGGGAGGAACAACTTCGTGGCGTGTGAGCGGCGGAAGCGGCGGCGAAAGGGCGACTTCTGGTCCGCTTCCTTGGGGATCCGACCTTCCTGGACGCCGCTCCACCAGTCCTTGAAGTTCTGGAGGTTGTCGAATTCGGAGAGGATTTCGAGCGCGGTGACGGGGCCGATGCCGGGGATACCGGGGGTATAGTCCGATCCGAGGAGTTGGGCGATATCGATGAGCTTTTCGCGGGTTAGGGAGAACTCCGTGGTAAGGTCGGTGGCGAGGTAGCATTCGACGAATTTAGCGGCGTTGAACATGTTCTTGTAGATGCGCGTGCCGCCAAAGAGGAAGGTGTCGGAGTCGTCGGTGACGATGCCGTCGACAAGGCCGAGGCGGACGAGCTCGGCGCATTGGGCTTCCGCTTCCATGGGAGCAGTGATGTAGGGGAGGCCGAAAAGGGTGAGGAGGTGTTGGCATTCGGCTATCACTGTTTGGGTGACTTCGTCCGCGTCGCGGCGGTCTTTCTTCTGCTGGGCGCGGAGTTGTTTCAATTCCTCCTCAAAGTTGATGCGGGCAGTGTTGCTGTTGAGTTCTTGGGCGAAGCGGGCGTGTTCCTCGGCCTCAGCTGCGAGGGAGGCGAAGAGTTCAGCGTCTTCGGGGTCAGAATACTGGTCAGAGTCATCGTCTGGTACGTCAACTGGAGGGTCGTCCTGCCCTGGTTCGGAGGGCGGGACTACAGGTACAGTTAGGTCCTCTGCTCCTTGTAATTCGAAGGGTGAAGGCTGTCGGCGCGGTGCGTGGTGCTGAGTATCAAGCGGAACATCCTCAAACTCTGGGGACGGTGACTTTGATGGCTGGGTATTATTGATTGGCACATTCTCGAATTCAGGAGAAGGTGACCCTGCTGGGGAGGTTGCAGATTTTTGGGCGGCTCCCATTAGCACATCTGGCACTTCCGACGGAGCAGATTGTGAAATCTCTGCAACCGCTTCATTCTTGTTACCATTGACTCTGTTCGTCTGTGCTCGTCTTTGCTCCGTCTCTGGTTCACTCTCAGACCACTCAACCAGCTCTTCATCCGATTGCGATTTTGTCGCTTCGTTGGTCTCTGGCACAGTTCCATCCTTCTTTGACGGTGATGATTCGAATTCCTGTGGCTTGGCAGGCTCGCCATCTATATTCGCTATGCCTGCTCTCGGACCCTCAACGACATCTGCCATCTCCTCATCCTCCCTATCCGAATCAATAGTAATCACCTCTCCTGCTTTCTCCTGCGTCGGAGGCGCATCAACATCAATAACCTCCTGTGTCCCTTCCTTGCGTAAGCGAGGAAGTTCCTGAAATTGAAACTGATCTTCATTATCTTTCCGAGCTTGTTCCCAGTCCTCCTTCTCCTGTGTTCTTTGCTCAGACAACTCCTGCCTGATGTCCCGCTCATTTTCAAACCAAGGAGGTAATGGTTCGGCAGATTTCTTGTTTTCAGTCCCCAGGTCCCGTTCAAATCCGCCAGCGGTATCGTCTTCAATCTTCTGCATCTTCTTCTTGCCCAGGATGGAGTTGCCAAGATTCAGTGATTCGAAAGGTAGCGGACCACTAAATCCAGAAGCTTTCGGAATCTTAGGGGCGGCGGGTTGGGCGGCCGGCAAAGTCTTTGAAGGCGATTTCCGCTTCACTCGGACCGGTGGCGAAGCCCTTTTCGATCTTCTGGACTCTACCAAAGCAGCTTGCAAATCCATATCATCTTCTTCGCTGTCACTGCCACCAAATGGCCCTCTCACGGTCGCCTTGTTGCTCCGCTGATTAGCCTGCCGTGCGATTGCAAGTCCTGAACCGCTCGAGAATGGGGCCGTCTCCACCACGCGCTCTTGTTGAAAAACTTCTCTATATGCATCATCTTCCTCGTCTGACTCTGAGGCTTTCGGCTCGTCTCCTGCAGCTCCCTGGCCCAAAGACATGGCAATTGCCCGCTGGAGCTGCTCATCTTCTTCCTTATCGCCTGGCTCTTCAAACAGCTCCTCTGTTTCTCCATTGAGGGCGTCCTCCCATTCCGCCTCCTCGCTCTGTTCTTCCTCGGCGAAAAACAAAGAATCTGGATCTTGGACTACTGGTCCCGCTCTACTTGCTCTAGATTGCGGAGACCGGCGCCTTCTCGACTGGTAGAACTTCTTCCGGCGCTTTGACAGCTCTTGAGCAACAAAGTCTCGTCCCTCTCGCTCTTGCGCAGTCATCGCAGGTTTAGGCTTCGGTAGGCGGTTCAGTCCCTCGATCGGCACGTCTTCAAACTCATCATCGTCCTCCCACTCTTCATCATCAATTTGGGGCGGCGGAACTCGATCGACATCGATAGGCTTGTCCGCTTTCCCTTCCTCCTTATTCGAAACCACTCCAAGTGCCCAACCACCTTCGACACCATCATTCTTCACGAGAACGTATTCGCGCGCCCTCTCGCCAGCGATCCGGTTCGCTCCATTTGCCCCGAACATGTTATCGTCCGCCATGCCATTGATATTCATAAGTCGTTGCGTAAGTTCGTTCCGCTCACGTACCCTCTCGATCTGGAACCTTGAAAACGCCATACGGTCCGGAAACATGGTATCCAGCTGATCCTTCGAATACCCCATCCTCAATCTGCTCCGCAGCCGCGCCGCGTTCAGAATATTGTACCGATCAGAGGCCGGCAAGCTCACGAAGAAGGGGCTATCGAAGTCGATCTTGGAGAAATCATACACATTGATGTCCTCGCCTATATCGAACTGCCTGGCGTATTCCTCCAGCTCTTCCAAGGACATGATCCTGGGGTCGTTCTGCCCACCCATTTCCGAAAGCGGCACGCCCAGGTCGGGAAGATGGTACTGGTCCGTCTTCTTGAACTTGCGGTTCTGCAGCCTCTCCTGCGGCGTCTGGAGGATCTCCTCCGCATACACCACGTTCTCCGGTATCTCTTCCTCGGGCTCCGCGCGCGGCTGCCGCGCCGCCTCCTTTCTCTTCCTCTCCTCCTCCTCCGCAGCCCGCTGCATCTGGATCGCCAACAATTTCCCCGCCGTCCTCGCGGCATCCTCCCTCCTCCCCTCGCGTCTCGACCGCCGGTTACTAATGGTCTGGCGTTTCAGGGCCGGGGCGCCGCCATCGAAGACGAAGACGGGCTTGATGCCGAAGAAGAGGAGTTTGCATATCCGGCGGAAGAAGCCTACGATGTGGCTGTTTCGGAGCGCGTTCCCTTCCTTGTCGCGGACGGCTTTGAGGAATTGGTAGATCCAGATGGAGGCGTCGACGGCGAGGCGCTTCTTGTTCAGCGTTTCGATCTTGATGGGGCGGGCGCAGGGTTGGAGGACGGTCCAGAGACCGGTGACACCCATGGCTGTTCGCGGATGCCGTGGGCCATCGATGAAGGCGAGAAGTAGAAGTGTAAGTATAGAGGAAGCAATACACGGTCGCGTTGTAGTTACCTGGTGGCTTGATATGACGTGTGGCGTGTGGCGCTCGTTCCAGCCAATGAGCATAAAGCAGCAGCTTGCAGCTATCCACCACGCGTACGGAGTACTCGTCCCAGACTGGAACACTTTAACACTAATTGTTAATAAGACTGCTTTTGGTCACGCATAAATCAATGGAATCTAAAGCTATCTATGTAATTGCTACTAGAACAGTTGTAGCTCCAACTCTTGAGCACCACGATGCATTCCTTTCAAGGTTGAAACACATATCCTAAACGGTCGTAGATGTAGGCCTAAAAAGGACTCCTAACTAGCTAAAAACCTTCTAATATGTACAAGAAAACTAATAATCGTGTAAGAACAGTACTAGCACAGAACCAATTACATGTTTGAGACGATCCTCCGTCAGTCCCACACTCGATCCTCAATATCTTCAATGATGCTCTCCTGACTGTCGCCATTCTCCAACCGCTCCCAATACTCGGCGATCTCCTGCAGATAGCCTGTCTGTTCGACAGGCTTATCCCACTCGGCCGATCTATTCTTCGCGATCTCCCCCCAGTGAGCCATTCGTTCCGGCCTCCGGCCATCACGATTCGAGGCGAAGTGGATTAGCAGAGACCCTGGACGGGCGGCAGATGCTTTTCCTGACTTTAGAGACTTTTCGGTGGGTGGGAAGCCGTTGAACCAGCGCTGCGGGACATATGCTACGGCACTGTTCCAGTTTTCCTGTGGGCATGTCAGTATAAAGAAAAGAAAAATGAAGCTTATGGGCTGCGGGGATAGAACAACGTACGCGCTTGATGACCTCTTCCATTCCCGACTGCTCGGTATACTTCAATTGTATCTCGGGTTCATACTCTCTGATGCTCAATGCACTTGCAAAGAACTTGAAACTCGCAGCCGACACGCGGCAGAAAAATACACCGTTGTTGAGTCCGTTCCTGTCATTGGTGACCAGCAGATGGATGTGATCAAACGCGGGCGAAGGAGGGACGAAGATATCCAAAGGTATTTGAGGATTCATGAGCACCGTGTCGCGATCATGCCACATGAGCCATGCTAGCCGCTCATGCGCGGGTTTGGCAAGCTCATTCCCGATGATTGTCAGGATATATGCGTGTTTGGACCAGAGACCTCGCAGCATTTGCTCGCGGAGGATGAAGTGCGGGTAGCCATGGAGTTCATTGTGAAGATTGTGCGATGAGATGGCGTCCTCGTAAGGCGGGTCCCGCTCTCCGAACGTTGCGGTGATTTTGGCAAATCTGGGGAATGAGGCTTCGGTAGAAGGGGCAGAGGGTTGGAGGTTTGAGGAGGGCAGAGCCTCCGAGTTGGGATCGTTTTCGGAATCCGCACTTACAGAACCCTCAAACGGCCCATCGGTGGCATCGTCTTCGTCTCCTTCGCTCAAGGACGTTCCCGCATGAGGTTCTGCGGTTGGCGTTCCAGGCACCTGCACTTCAGTACTATTCCCAGTCGTGGCGGTGAAATGTGCAAGTCCTTGTGGCAGTCCCGATCGCTCCCAAATCCCTATTGCCAGAATTGCGAAGAAAGCGACCAGCAAATATTTGGCAAGTCGATGGGGGCTCAGCATGTTCTGTCGCCAGCGAACAGATTGGACTGGCCTGGGTAGCCCGTGCTGAGCATGGCCCATCATTGCGGCCAAATTGAACAGGTGAAGTCAAAGAAGAGAGTGACGGTGAAGTAGAATAAAAAAGGCAATACAACGGCCGGAGGGACAAACGACACCCAAAGACAAGCGGGGATGGCACTTCTGAACTGGCTGTACACAGTATCTATGGCAGGGTCCTCAAAGTACAAGCGCACGCGACCCTGTGCCCAATGTAGAGGTAGAGCTGGATTGCTGTGAAGCAAGATCGGAGAAAAGTGTTCCGGCCATGTCCGACAACGAAATCACTATCACGCACGAGGGTCCAGACTCTAGGTACACGAGTACCTACGATGTACGCATTGCCCCTGAGTCGGGGTGGGGTGTGGAGTGAAAACAAGCCTCGACTCAAGCCATGGCGTGCTCCAGTGCTCGGGTAGGACCTTGATTCTGATCAACCCGCCGCTGTGGAGACGAAGTGGACCCTTGGCGAGGCCTCGCGCTTGGCACGCTACCTAAATTCGGACCGCCCCAATACCGTAGTGCAGCCAGGGTGGCATGCCATTACGGAGGGCTGAAGAAGAGGGCCGTCAAAAATGTTTTCAACCAGATGATAGGTGCACGGAAAAGGAAAATCTATCTTTCATTTTCATTTCGATAAACAGGTCTAGGCCCGCGCGTTGGCTATGCAGATACCAGGCAATCCGCGCCGGAAGGCCCGCGACCATGGCCACCCAAGGCTACCACATTTGTTTGTTAGTCGTTCGGCAGCTGGCTGGTGCTATCAAATCTTTCCATCTCTTCGAAGAATTAATTCCCTGCATCGCATCCACGTCTTCATGCCTTTTCCAGTGGCTGTGTGGTTTCTTGACCTTCCGCTCTTTCTCAGTCTTTCTCTATCATGATCGGCCGGACCCATGTTTTGTCCCGGCCTCGCCGCTCTTTTCGCAGATACCTTTGGACTTTGGTCGTAATCTTTGTTTTCTTGCTGTGGCAGTCGACCGGAATCACCGAGGATATATATTCGGACCCTGAAGATGCATCCGAACTCCTCGATTCACCGACATCGCCGGAAACCATCGAGGCAAACCTTGGGGAAGAGTCGCAGCTCGGGGTGGATATCAACAACCCCCGCAATGTCCACTCGAAACCAGCACTGCTCGTAAATGCTCAGCCCCATCACATTTCCTTACCTTCTCCTCCCCACGAGGCTCCCAACACTCCCGCGCACAATACCAGATCGACGCCTGGAGGCGTTTCTATTGAGCACGAGCTGGAATATCAGGAAGTCGACGATATCGAGCAGATCGGAGGTCATCGTGACGACAATGGTGTAGACCATGCTGCCGAACTCACCCACCCTGATGATGACGAGAGTGCTGTGTCTGATGGCCGTGATGGTGCTGCACCCAACGATGTCGATGAACTGCAGCTCACGGACCGAAAGGATAAGAAAGAGGATGCGGATAACCGCTTGAATGCACAACAACACCAGAATTCCAGGGGCGAGCAATTGCCAATTGGAGCATCCGACGAGAAGACACCGTGGTCTGAGCAATACGACTTCCCAACCTGGGAGCAATGCCAGGAGATGAAGGAGAAGGCCGATTCGCTTCCAGATCTCATCCATGTCCCATTCGAGGTTGCCGTGAAGGACATGGTACTTGAAGGTTGGGAGGATGAATGGATCTCAAAGGCACATTATGTCGGACCCAAACTTGAAGAGCCCAAGATCGACTTTGTATATACATGTGAGTAGTTGTCCCCCAGAAACTGCCCTCCCGAATCCGCTAAGCACGTTTTTAGGGGTCAACGGGTCGCAGCAGGAACTGACCGAGACTATGAGGCCCTATGAGCTCAACTCGACACTGAACGACCCAGACGGCGTTTGGATTGCATCACACGGCTCCAACCGGTATCGGGAGTGGGACGAGCTCCGGTACTCCATGAGAAGTGTTCAGAAATTCGCGGGTCATTTCGCGAACCGAATTCAGATTCTGGTCAACGCTTTCCGGAATCCCAAGACAGACGAACTTCTACCAACCACTTTTGGAAAGCAACGGCCACACTGGTTGAGGGCCGATCTGGAAAAGGTTGAGGTCCTTAGTCAGGAGGAGTTCTTCGGCCCGGATGAACGAAAATGCTTGCCGACATTTGATTCACTCACTATTGAAAACCAACTCTACAACACCAAGTCGGAAGTGGATCGTGTAAGTCTTCCTACCTCTCACACCAAAGGATTATTAGATTGACTTCGTACAGCTGTATGCTCTCTCCGACGATATGATTCTGGGCAAGCCCCATTCGGCATCCGATCTGTACTCGCCCTTGTTCGGCCCTACTATGGGATTCAAGACCAATTCATACAACACTCTGCAGCCTCCAACGGAGAAGGATGCGGAACGCTTTGGAGAAAAACCCTTCCTCATCTACACGTCATGGCTGTTGAACCGACGGTTCGGTGCGCGCAAACGCAAAGGCCAAGTGCACTTTGGCCACTCCCTTTCTCGAAGCGTTGCCAGGGAGGCAATCACTAGCTTTCCTAGACCAGCGTTGCGAAGTGCCTACCAGCGTTTCCGAGGCGAGACGGGCTTCCAGCTCTACTCGTGGTACGTCATCTTCCACTATACCATGGAACGGCATCGGGAGGCCCTCCTTTGGAGCTACATCATGCTGCGGAGCGATCATGATGATGATGGCTATCTCGATTGGAGCGAAAGGCAGAAGATTCTACGTGAGCTAGGAGAAGGCATGAGCAACGACACTCCAGAGCTGTTTCGGCAACGGATGTACTATCAGGTTGCAAGTTCCCTTGAGCAAGCGGGAATTCAACCTCCGATGGTGAACAATGACATCTTGTGGACGTCTCTAGACGGTCCGGCGATGATCCAGGGCTTGGACTGCGATGCGTTCGATGTGGAAGACTGCTTGGCACCGGGATTTTCCCTAGCATCAAGCGACGCCGAAGCCCGCAGTCCAGTGTTCTCGACGGCAACAATCTTTGACCGCGTAACACGCGGTTCCCCACGCTGCGGCGATTGCCTCATCAAACTGATTCTGAATAGGCGACGAGCTGGGTTGGGGCCGCTTTTGCCGCATCATCAGAAGAAGGCGGAGCAGCGGAAGATCGTTATCAAAGCACTGATCAGGTACCAGTATCTGGTGGTCAACCCAGATGCCATGTTCTACATGATCACAGACGCCGAGCAAGCCGAGCACGTCTTGTTCAACCCGTATATCAAGCACAACAAAAAAGCCGGTCAGATTTGTCTGAACGATGATGTTGTCACGTCCGACAAGGAGCAGTTAGAGCGGCTGAGGAAAGTCATGAGTTCCTTCTTCGAACACCTACTACCCGACGCTTCCAGTTATGAGAAATGAGGGTAGACAACGAAAAGTTTTTTCTAGATCTATGTACGGAGTACTGTGTAGAAACCAATCGAATTCCCCGGGAAGTTACAATTACTTCAAGACATATCATCCTCCGTCAGAGAAGCAGGGCCCGAAGGTCTCGGTGAACCTATTTTGAGCACCACTGAGTCGAGAGAAAACAAGCTCCAGTCGTGCTCCATACACTTGATGCCGCGATATATTTCACTTTCACGGAGATAATAATAACGCTATCAACACCGTCACAGAAGATATCATATATCAAGAATGGCCGCAGAACTCGAAAGCCCCATGTGTATTTGCATGACACTGGGGTTGCCTGGCGCTATCGTATGCAGACCCAGCTTTCCACCCACTAGGTACTGGTAAGGTCCAGTCCACTCCCCTATTTTCGGCTATCTACACAATACGCCATCGACGCCCCGCTCCGCAGGAAATTCACGCCTTGCCCTTGTACAAATAAACGGCAGCATTATTGCGACGGAGGTTGCCAGAGATGCCTGTGCCTGCTACTTCTATTCTGGCTTCGCGGCGTTCAGCCACCGCTCAAAGCGGCAATGTTGCACGAGACCATGAACTGATCCACGGCTTTGTTTTGTGGGGCCTCGAAAATTTTCGCTTCTCGAACAATATTTACTCGCTTCACAAGCTCCAGATCTGGTCTAGATGCATTGTGAGTCGTGGTTGCAATGTGCTAACCTGCCGTGTAGGGTATGTCATGACGGAACATTAGCAATTTCAGCCTGTGGATTGATGAGCTGATATGGTCTCCGAGCTTGCTCATTCTGGGTTTACTCAGGGGTAATGCCACACGCGATAGAATATCTTCATGTTCCAACGTTGCGAGCTTTCTCTCCTTTCTCACCCACCTCAGTCATTCGTTGATCCAGGAGTCCATGCAATTGGCTTCACTCTCGCACTCAGCACTTCAGGTCATTTGAGTTGCGGTCATTATAGTAATATCTAACCTCAGTCACTCTTTACTGGCACATTACTCTCCCTCTTTTCCAAAATGAAGAAGGCTACCTCGATTTCTCTCTTCGTGGCCTCCGTCACCGCCCACTACGGCTACGGTGCTCCCTCCACCTCATCCAAGCTGGGATACACGACCATTTACCCTGGGCACGGCGAACAACCGGTCACTGTTACTGCCCAGTATCAGCCAGTTCCGACCTACGTCAATGGAAGATGGTCCAGCTACGAGGCCATTTCGACCGTAATCACTGATATCTGGGGCAACAAAATCACCGTCACCAAGGCCGACCAGGACCTGACCGTGTACCACACGAAGAAGACCCTCACCCACACCGTCACCGTCACAAACGGCGCTGGAGGTTATGCTAAGCCAACCGGTTACTATGGATTGAACTCCACCAGCACCAACTCCACCTCCACCAAAACATGGTATGAGCTTTACGAGGAGATCCGCGAGGTCCCGTACAACCATGTGGGCCCGCACGCCATCCCTGGGTATTCGGGCAACCCCAGGTGCGAGGACAAAAACGACGAGCAGTCGGTCACGATCAAGCAGTACAGTGGCGGACAGTGGAAGACATATGCGCATACCTTCACGTACAGCGCGCCCAAGCCATCGGTGACCAGCTACGACGCCCCTGGCACCTACACCATCCCAGCCAACGACATCACTGTCCAGTACCCCACCACTGTTGCCGTGGAGCACACCTACCCCGCCGAGGCAAACAAACCCGTCACATACGGCGGCCAAACCACGGATGTGACCAAGCCAACCACCATCACCGCCGCGTATGCCGCCTACGAGACCCAAGGCACCGTGACGAAGACCGTCGTCCATACCAAGACCATCACCTGCAATAAGCCCGGGAAGTACACCATCCACAAGCCCACAACGACCGTCTACGCACACGACACCACAATCACCTACCCTTCCGTCACCGAGTACCCTGCAGGCGTCTACCACCACCCGGCCGAGACCGTCACCATCACCAAGGCTCACCAGCCATACACGTGCAAGTTTGAGCAGACATCGACCTACCCGGTTCCATCCTCTGTCCCCAGCCCAACCGGCCAGCCTGGTGACTATGAGCACCCCGAGTATCCCGCGTACACTCCCACTCCTACCGAGCCTGAGCACCCTGACCCGTCTTCGGACCACGAGGAGCCGGCCGAGGACTACGGGCACGCAAATGTCGGATACGTTAAGCGGGGCGGTGTCCTGCAGCGGCTGAAGGCGGAGAGTGCACCAGTCAAGGCTCGCGGTGCTGCGAGACGCGTCATTCTCGTTTAAGCGGTCTTCTTGTAGTATACAGAGTGACTGTCCCACGGGTTATGGATTCATGCGCGTGGAGTGAAGAAGGAACGTTCGATATTTCAGCCATTAGATGCATCTCCTTCCTGGCCTGCATATCTGTAATACGCGATGACGGTTCTGTATGCGCGATGCTTGGTGCAACAAGGTGTGGAGGTATATGGATGCTATATGCGATATTTTGATAATAGTACGGAGTGTGCGAAGCACAGTTCAAGTTCACATCCTGCCATGCTCAACCACTCAGCATGGTTCTAGATGCTCTCCGTTCTCGTAGATTCTCAGCATAAAGTTATTCAATCACCCTGCACCAGGGGAGGGTAGCGAATTGTTCTCCCTTCATTCCCACCTCCAATCTGTGCAAACGGATGAATTGCATCTCCATCCTACTTGTCCCACAGCGCCGGGCATCACATCATCTATTGATACCGTGTGTGACCCAGCGATTGCCAACCCCCCCGGAAATTGCCTGTTCCAATAAAAAAATGGCTCGCTTGCCGGTCCAATTGCAGAGACTGACAAAACTCGGTGTTGGGAGACTGGCAATAATGCAATCTCTGGGTCAGAGACGGTAAATACCGTACGATGAATGACGACCGTCCAGCCCACCACCACTGCGCTCTCTCACTTAACCCAACTTGTTCGCGATGAATGAGACACGGGACATCCTCGGTAAACGCCGACCCGTTCCAATTTCGTTCTGCAAGATAGCAAATAAACTAACGGAGCCTCTTTGACAAAAAGGGGTAGTCCCACGTCGAGATGCTTCTTTTTCTCTTCCCCCAATTTCATATGCGGTATGCGATCACGCGAGTCGTGATACGAATCCGGTAGCATGGCGCTCGCGTGGCGTGTGGGTACCTGCAGATGCTAGCCGCGGATCCATCAGATGCACCTGCAAGGGGTTAGCGATGAATCATGGCGCGCGAGCGGCACCCCACCCTTGCAGCCTCGTCGCGGGCGAGTGAAAGCTTAAATCGATCCAATGTTTTGTGGGAAATTTGTGGCGTGCGCCGTCGTCCGTCCGTCCTGAGCCCTGGCATATCGGTATGCGGTCGATCTGCCCAGACTCTGTACTATGGGAAGCTGAGCACAATATGTACAGAGTACGGAGTACGGAGTAATCACCCTGTCCCTGAGATCCCCTAGGATGGTTGGTGGTTGGTCTCGTTGACGAAAGCCCAGGCCCAAAAGTTCAGCAGTCACGCATGTCGTTTTCTCAGGTGCTTTTTGGAGGAGTATAGTTTCCAGATGTCCCTTCTCCTGAACAAGATTGCTAGCGTCCTTTTTTTTGCGCCCGATCTATCCATGGATGACTAGCACAAGCAGATTTTACATGTGCTTTCGAGCTTCCACACGCACCGATGACATTTTGTATGGAACTTGCGCCGAACGCACTGGCAATTCCCTCATGAGAACCCTCTCATACTGCACTCGCTTTTAGCCCGCCAGAACACCGACAAGATGTCCCAATATACGGACAACCAGTCCACCGAGCTCGAGAAGGGGGCTTTGTCACCCACGGCCCTCCCATTCTCGACACGATACCGATCCCTCCATCGACGCATCCTGCGAATCCTGGTACCAAGTTTCCTCCAGACAAATCCTACAGCCACCCGCGATGTCAAACGCGCGACCGATTTCCTCGACGGCATGCGAGGCTACGCCGCCTTTGCCGTCTACATCTGTCACTACATCATGCCCACGCATCCCAAGGCGCACACGGGCTTCGGCGGCAACAACGGCGCCAACGACTCTGCCATCACGCAACTACCGATCCTCCGCCTGATCTACAGCGGGCACTTCTGCGTCTGCCTGTTCTTCGTCATATCCGGCTTCTCCGTCTCGTTGAAACCCGTCAAGCTGGCGCGAAAGGGACAACTGCCCGAATTCCTCGACGCCATGGTATCCGCGACGTTCCGGCGAGCGTGCAGGCTGTATCTGCCATGCCTGGCGATGCTGGGAATCACCTTCGTCCTGGCGTGCTGCGGCGCCTTCGACTTCATGTTCGCCCTGGTGCACAACTGGCCGTTTCTGAGCAAGCCCCTGCGCGTCCCCGTCGTGCACCCTACGGTATGGAAACAGTTTCGCGATTTCGCCAGCCAGGTCTGGAAATGGTCCGATCCGTGGGCCTTGTCCGGCGCAATGAATCGCAGCGAGAAGCACATACCGTACGGCGTCCAGCTGTGGACCATACCCGTCGAACTCAGCTGTTCCTTCATCAGCTTCCTCTGCCTCATTGGGCTGGCGAAAACCCGTCCTCTCCTGCGCGTGGGCATCGTCAACACGATTGGCGCCTACTTCCTGTTCCGAGGCCATCCCGAGGTGACGCTGTTCCTCGCCGGCACCACTCTGGCAGAAGTCTATCTCCTGGGCCAGGAGCGCGTCGCAGCTGAGCTCACACCACCTGCAGAAACCCGAAAGCAGAAGATCCAAGCCAGTCTGGCCTTCCTCGCCGGTCTCTACCTAGCCTCGTATCCGCCCAAATATGCCCAAACTTCGCCTTTCTCGGCTCCACTCTACTACCTGGCCAGCTTGATAGCCACCGACGACAACCAATTCTTCCTCTACTTTTACAACACCATCGCGTCCGTGTTGCTCGTCTACGTGGTCTCGATCTCCCCCTTCCTGCAAGGGTTGGTGACGACACCGTTGGGGCGGTATCTGGGCAAGATATCGTTTGCGCTGTACTGCGTGCATCAGGCGTTGATCAACTGGTTCGGGTACAGGAGCATGCTGTTCTTCTGGTCGTTGACCGGGAACGAGACGACGTTCCGCTATGAGTTGGGTCTCGGGATTGCCTGGGTGTTTCAGACTATTGCGACGATTTGGGCGGCGGATATGTTTTGGAGGTATGTGGATGTGCCCACCGTGGGCTTCACCAAGCGGCTGGAGGAGATGTGCTTTATCAAGAGCTTGTGAGGTGTCGCATCCTAGCAGGCCTTCCATCTTTGATTTTCGCTTTCTTGTATAATAATGCATTATGCTTTGTACATCTGAGACCAAGTGTACGCGCTGACCTCGTTTCTTTTGTCCTAACGATACAAACATATAAGCTCACTTTAGAACTGCATCCACGAAGCATTCGCCGCCGTGAACTATATCCCAGTTGTCCTTTTATTCCTGGTTGCTTCGCTGCCTGCATGAAGCTACTTCGACTGTAGAAATATATCTCGAGCCAAATAGATGCATTAATACGTTCAAATTCCGTCATTGCCAATGCAGCCTTCCTTAGTGACTAACTACCTCGCATAGGCGGCGGATAAAGCAACAAGTCCATTAACTTCCTCCGTTGCCGTTCTTCCATTTCATCCCATTTGGCATCATCACGCACCTTCGCTTCCTCATGGAAGTCCTCCACGCTCCAAGCAACGCCCGAATTCTGCGGAAGGAAAGGGTTGCTGTCGTGCCCATACAGGAAACCATGGATGGCATCGGGATAATAAGTAATGCGGTCCGGTTGACCAGGACCTTGGTCGCGGATCGTCCACCGCGGAGCTGTTTTACGGTCTCTCCAGGATGGAGTGATATCCTTCGCTGGAGATGTAGTGATGAGAGAACTCTTCACGCGATCGAGCAGGGACTTCAATGATCCGAATTCGGCCGTTGTTGCATCAACGCGGAGAACCATTGAATCGAGATCGATGTCTGTCAAAGCTGGCAGTGAAGAAAGCAATTCGTACAGACCCTCTTCCGTCGTAATGACATTAGCCAGACCCAAATACTTTAACTTCGGCCAGGCTTCACCGTAGGGAGTAGGTAGTACTCGCTACAAGTCCATCCAGGGCACCGCATCCAAGTCCTCGAAATTGATATAGTCTTCCACAGAGCTAAGATGAAGGTGGAAGTGCGTGAGGTTGGTGAGGCAGAAGAGTGCTCGCTCGAGATAGGGCTGGTTCCAGAAGGCCCAGGCGTCTCCGTCCATCATCTGGCTGAGGATTTCCATGTTGAGGGCCAAGTCCAGACGCGTCAACTGCGCCATTTTGAACATATCCACACTGGCAGCTAGACCTACACTCTCCTCCCTGAAAAGCTGCTGCGAGATACCCGTCTTCTCGCGATGGACATCGATGATGAACTCGGTGACATGGTGATGGGGTGCGGTAGCCAGCAATTCGGAAACCACAATGTTATAACCCCGCCCATGCTCCTGAGCAACATCCCAAGGCTCAGCCAGCCTATCGTTGCGCCACTCAAAGCGTTCGAGGGGGAGATCGTCATCGCCGAGCCAGGGCCACGGCAAAGGCATCTTCATACCAGGTGCCAACGAGCGGAAGAACGGAGTTTCGTACAGTGGGAACAAAGGATAGGGCCGCCACGCTTCGCTCGTCAGCGTGACTCATTCCAGATTCGGCAGCTCTAGCAACCCCCGCCGTAACGTCGCCACGTCTTCCTGGAGATTGATGATCGCCTCCTGTTCGTCATAGAGAGCACGGTACAGGCGGAGACTTTCCTCTATGCTCAGCCATCCAGCATCACCCCACAGCTCTTTACGCCTCAATTCCAGAACGCTGTGGACGAAGGACTCTTGCTCCTCAATCTCTCTGGCAAAGTCCGTAGAGTTTTTGGCTGTTGAAGTGCGCTCGTCAAACTCCACTTGCGCAGGCGATCATCATATTTCTCTAGACGCGCGTCATCCCAGACTATCTCTTGGACCTGCTCCCTAAAGTTGGTATGCCCGAGAACAGCCTTGAACACATCGATATTGGCACGATTTGGCGACAGGAAGAGGCGTTTGATGGAAAGATTTAACTTCAATTTGAGGGCTTTGTTAACGAGGCGGAGTGTTTTGATGTCTCGCTGGGGAAGGAGGTCGAATACCATTTGGAGTACATCGTTGTTTAAATCATTGAAGTGCATGTTGTCGGCGTCGCGCTGAGGATTGTTGTTGTTGAAGCGTTAGCCAACCTAAGGAGGGCATTCGCGCGTAGGAACCGTTTGTATTTCGCTTCCTTCTCTTGGCAAACATGGGCGTGGGGAGCATAGACCGGAACGGGGTATTTCCGCAGTCTCGCTGCAGCTGACAAGGCTTTTATTTTCACGACCCTGTATCGACCCAAAACTCGACCCTCATAATTCAGTATTGGTGTAGTCGAACGCATCATCAGGCGCCTTTCCAGTCCCACAGGTGACCTTCCCTGGCGTAAACGGCGTACTCGCCGCAAGGAACCCATCCATATCAAAAGACGTTTGCGTACCAACCTGCAAGCTCACCCTCCTCTTCACCGTCTCATATATCTCTTGCTCATGTTCCTCGTTCTCCTCAACTGCAAAACCCACCGTCGTATGACGGCGATTCGGCGATATGGGACCCAAAGCTGTGCGTTTCGCAGGCGATACCTGCTTGCGGGTGGTCTTGTAGGCGAGTTCAGGTCTCTGAGCCGCTGGTGTGCGCATAGTGGGTACTTTGAACGAAGGGCGTGGTCTCGGTCTCTTGGGGGTGGATGCATCCCCACTAGCCGAATCGCTCGAGTTGAAGGAGGCGTTGGCGACATTCTCCATGGCCTCGTTAGTGATTTCTTGACCTGCTACGCCGGGTGTGACAGCCGTTTTTTGCGGTGGACGGTCTGACTTGCGAGGCCGGAGACGATGGCCGGTTTTGAAAGAAGGCTGGTTGTGGTCGTCCTTGTTGGTATGGGATGGGCGGCTGGTCCGAGTCGGCATTGGAGTTTCGGCTGAACGAGGCATGGACTCTAGAATGCCTCGTCTCCAGGATCTCAACCCATATAGTTCTTCATCCTTCTCAGCGCAGGCTTCAATAAGCTCCTGGACCTTAGTGTCCAACGAGTCCAGCGTTGTCTGCGCGCGCTTCAATTCTTCCATCGTGTTCTCATAAGCGGACTTTGCAGCTTGCCCTTCCCTTCGAGCGATCTGCAAATCTTCCAGCAGTTTATTCTTCTCTTCTCCAGCCTTCGACCTAGCAGCATCAATAACTTCTGCGTACTTCGCTTCAAGGTTAGCCAGTGCCTTCTCCGAAGTGCGCACGTGGTGCTGATGCTGTTCCTCGAAGTCACGACGCTGATTCTCCAACTCTTGCTTCTCCACGGCCAGCTGTCTTTCAAGGTCGCTGGAAGTCGATCGGAGCTGCACAAGCTCTTTCTCTTGTTGGGCAGCCTTCCGACGTTCAATGTGCAGCTGCTCTTCGAGAGATTTCATCTCTGCCTTTTGGCAGTCATAAAGACTGCATAGCTCATCTTTACTGGCACACTCGCTTTGCACTCTATCTTCCAAGCTCTGCAACCGTGCACTCATCCTCTCGATCTCCGAATTTCGCGACTGGAGGTCTTCTTCATAGGTATGGATCATGGACCGGAGCTGTTCCTCCCTGACGGAGAATTCCTCCCGAGCGGTTCGTAGTGTTCCTTCTGCTCGACTAACCTCCTCTTCAAGTCTGGCATTCAGTGCTTCCAGCCGAGACGTGAGATCCTGCTTATCTTTTTCCATATTTTCAATCTCTGCTTCTAAGGCATCGGCGTACAACCTTCCATCCGTTTTTTCCTTTTGCAGATTCTGAACTAGGAAATCCTGCTCCTCTGACTCTTTCTGAAGGCTTTGCACTTGCTCGCGGAGCCCAGAAATCTGCGAAGTAAGCTCTTTGACTTTTGCCTGCTCTCGGCGAAGAGGCTCCTCAACATCGTTACAACGGCTCTCCAGGTTTTGGCATATCTGGGCAACAGACCGAATTACCGAGTCGCGCTGGTAGAAGCTCTGCCTCTCAAGTTCTGTCTTGAGATGTTCCCTCCAATCCAGTCGTTGCGCACCCGTGGCAGGCGTACATCCTTGTTCAAACAAGGAAATAGCAGGCTGTAGGCGTCCCTTGGCCACGGAGTGGTTACACTGGACGGAGTTGCTGGAAATTTCCCGCTGCTTCTCAATCAAGGCTAGGGCAAGCGTTGGCGATATAGTCGGTCGTCCGGATGGACAAACGAGACCAGCAGTAAGGAGCATGGATACAATGCCTGAACGGAGTTCTCGACCCAGAAGATTTCTGCCTGTAACACATTCTTCCCCGTCTCCACGTCGAGTCTCTGCGGAAAACTCAAGGAATGTTCGGGTACTGTTTTTTAGCTCATCCGAGCTTAATGCCGCTGTTATCAAGGTTGCCAATGGTTCACAAGTTGGTATCCCTGTCCTCAATACTTCAACCAGTGCACTTATGTTCGCCAGCTCGTACGGCTGCCCTGAGCACATGCTGGTCTCCAGGATCAGACGTAGGAGTCGACAAACGGTCGACTGCTGAAGCCTAGTTGCAAAGTAGGGCAAGGAGAGTGACAGACTCTCTTTAAGGGAATCGATATTGGTCGCGAAAGCCATGAGATCCATGAGCAACGATTCATAACGTGTAACAACATCCGCTGATAAACCCTTTGAGCCGACGATATTTGCATAGAATGTCAGAGCTTCCAGCTGCACTCTGCCATCGATTCCGGGTCGCAAAATCTTGGCGACAAGCTTTGAAGCAAAGTTCTTTGCGACGTCACTTGAAGTGCGCCACCCTTCACGCACGCTTTGATCAATGAACTGCGCGGCTCGTGTGGCAATCCGAATGCCCTCAATGGCCTCCAAGTCAGTTAGTCCAACATCCCCTTTGGAAGCCCAGATCACACTGAGGGAGGTTAAGTTGATGGTCTTGATCAGGCCACTCGCTGACCCGAAGAGTTTACGCCCCGAAGCAGTCTTCCACTGTCTGTTGGAGGGAAGGTCGCTAGTGTTCGAGCTACTAAGGGGCCTGCCAACGTCCTGTGGATGCTCGATCAAGATGACGATACCGAAACACCACAGAAGGAGCATCGACCTGTCGGTAGTTGAATTGAACTGTAGGATGCGACAGAGTTCTTCATCGATGGATTGCCGCGCCCTAGCAGAGAGCAAACTGAGTAGCCCTCGACAAGCACCGTTCAGGACAAGGTAGATTGGCTTTAGGGTCGCTACCTCGGGAGCCTCAACCGCCTTGCTGAAAAGGCGTAAAAAGAACTTCTCTGCGGCTGCAGGAAGCGGCATACCCTCTGGGAGGGCTCGGGAGAGGAGACGGACACATAACTCGCTATACTGTTGTGCGTCAATAAAGTCACATCCATATTGATCTTTTCAAGGAGGTAAATGTAGAAGTTCCTTCCACATCCGAATCCGACTTACTTCGTCGAATTGCTGCTGCGAAGAATCTGCTTTGCTCAGGACAGCGTCGAGGATGCCCGGGTTTTCTTGCAGGATGGTATCCCTGAACTCAGGCGAGTGGCCTTTCAATGATGATTAGTGGAAAGAGAAATGCCCGCAATCGGAGGGGAGCGTACAGAGGGCATGCAGGATGCGCAGAGAATAGGGCCAGAGTGGCAATGCAGCGGAAACGATTGAGGCTAGTCGCACGATGGCACATGGCGAAAGGTGATGAATCGAGGACCTCACGGTGCGCTCATCGGCACCATCCAGTAGAGCAGCGAGTGTCTGCAAGCCATGTCAGCGTCATCAGATCGGATCCGTACGTACAAGGCAATGTGTCATGTGCTTCTCTCTGTGCAGCATGCACGCACGGCAGATAAATGGAAGTGGGGGAGTGGTGCGGAGCTGGGCGACGGAGGGATACTCACAGTTAACGAGGCAGGGTAGGGACATGCAACTATCCTAGCCAACTCGTGGGACAGGTTGCTGAGGGCCGAGTTTGCCATTGGAGCTGCGGCTGCGGCGGCGTCTGCAGCGAGGTTGTCCGTTAAAGTGGAAAAGCGGGGAGAGAGTCTTGTGGTGGTGTTTCGTGAGGTTGGCGGTTGTATACAGGCAGTTGGCCCTAGCAACGCGTGGCTTCCGCTTTTGGAAGTGTCGTCAGTTCGCCTCACCATCTACCTAATAGTCTACCTTAAAGGCCTATGAAGATAGATCAAGTGCCCCTCGGTCCAAAGATCTTCGCCCTGACCTTTACCATCTATCCTCGTTGCTCTTATTTGGAATTCGTTTTCCGCACCCTACGCGAGTGGTCTTTAGGACATGACAGAGATGTTTGCGCGGCAATTCCCACCACCGTTGTGCTACACCCAGTCCAGATTCTACACACACCCTCCAATCCCCCACTCGGTCGGCCAGCCTACTGAAGGAGGAGCCTGCATGGTGCATAGTTTGTATAGCATCCAGGTGTCTCGCCGTATTCTTGTGTTACTATAGGCGAGTTTTGCTCCAATACCAAAGCTGCAAGAACCTCGGCAGCCAGCTGTTGTCAAGGTCTCTCACGGACGGTCGGTTTACGGGCTCATTTATTGATGACTTGGCTGACGATTCTCACTTTGCAAGCGCACCAACTATGGATGATGGTTGTCCTCAAACCCCCGCGCATGCAGTGAGGATGACTGCTTGCAGGAAGTCGTGGCGTGGGATACTGGAGTGTCGTGTGCGAGTCTGAGTCTCCCTCGTCCTCATCCTTCTCCAAACAGCTCAACAAGCATCGCCATGTGGTCCTGTCCGATTAGGCCATGCCCTGGGTTCTTCTCGCATCGGTCCAGAGATAAGGCTCGCAAACGGAGCGTTGTTGCGCTATTTCCCTCTGTCTCTGCTTGCAGACGGAGAAGCTGGCGCTGGGGCAGAGCCAAGGTACCTAGGTACTCCTCCAGTTGTAAATATGGATATGACGGCAAGAGTGGGATGTTGACGGCCTGTTCCGCAACGCTTCGTCTCCTCGCAACGCTTCTGCCCCCCACCCTAACACGCTCAGGATCATGTCCATCTCCACGCCCGAGGTTCGACTACTGGTCAGGTAGTTTCCAAGGGGTAATGTGTATCACGCTGCCCAATCTTCCGCCTGTCCTCTTCACCGCTCTCCTCCGGAGTTGTTGTTCAGGCCTCACCGCGTACCTACCGACAATTTATACATGCTCCAGCTGGGAATGTCACGGCGCTGCGCCATTTAGTAGTGCTGGGGGCAGACCTAACAGGACAGAGGAGAAGCACCCTTACGAGGCCCGCTCCGTCAGTCGCGACCCCATGCCGGAAAAGGGAAGTACGTATGGAAAAAGGTACGAGTGCCCAGAGCCACAGCTGCGGGCCTGTTGTGTGCGAATCTGCGGGATGAGGCGTCGCAACGGCACAGTGACCCGTGAACCTTGATTGCTCGAGGCTCCCAACGGCGCACGCGACATGTCATGGTCAGTCATGGTCACATCCCAAAAGGATCCTCGTGCCCGCTGCCGGTTTGCTGCACAGCATGATGCGGAATGCGGGCCATCGTCAGATGCTCTCCCAACGATGCTTTTTTTCCCCGCAATTGCTTTTGCGCCTCTCGCCGGATTCGCCGCCCCTGCAGCTGATCATGCACCGCCGCTTCCTACCAGCTTGTCTTCGCAGTCCTGGCTGCGTGAGCCGAAAATATTTGCTACGAAAAACGCCGTCAGGACTCACTGGCCCCCTCTGAATGGTCCATCTCGTCTTGTGCCCCCCTTCCCACCCACCCCCCCTTCTCCCCTCTCCTCTCCAGGTTCCCTAACCTGCAAGGTCACGATTTTATGTTCGCGGTGTGCTGTCCCGTTGCTAGCAGCCCGTCGCTCGGAAGACTGCGCCAACTGCGTTTAGACTCCAAGGTGGTCCTAGTCCCCGCTTTCATCGCTGTGCTATCTTGCTGTTGATTATACAAGGAAACTACAAAAATGTCGGGCCGCGCCTTCGCCTTCGCCTGTCCTCCTTCACTCCTTCTCTGTCACGCCGGTACTTCGGCTCTTGCACCTTCACCACACCCTGCCCTCCCGGACCAGTGTGCCCCAGTTACAGAGTCCTTGGAACCTATGGCCTTTGCATACTTGCAATCGGTTGGGCGTCTTCCTTCTTCTATGCCTTGAGCCTCCCAATACTATTTGCATCAATATTCACTCTTTCCTCATGTTTCGTCTTTCCAGGCACCAAGCGAGACAACTCGCCTCGCCCCTGCTGAGGGCCCCACAGCGTGCGTCATGTCGAGCACAGTCAAGCACAGCAGAGGCCATCAAAGCAAAGCCTCAACCAAAATCCATCTGGACTTCGGGCAGGGTTTTCCTTCTGCTGGCTGGAACCGGTCTACTGGCTTATGGATATGGCATCAGTAACGCGCCTGCTTGGTCCCATCACCTGCCAGGGACGAAATTCGTCTGGTCACAATCTACAAAACCTCACTATGCGTCCAAGGCGGACATGGAGAAAGCATGCCACCCTCCACTGCTAGAGGCAAGTGCATGCACTAACTTTGACTAGGCAATCGAAGAGCTTAGATCCGCCCTTGGAGACGAAGCTATCAGCACAGATGACAGCGATTTAGAGATTCACGGCAGGTCTGACTGGTCGTCCATCAATATCGACGAGCTTCCCGTGGCCGTGGCGTATCCCAAATCTACCGAGGAAGTCTCCCAGATTGCAAAAGTGTGCCACAAATACAAGGTGCCTATGAGTATGGGCAGATGTATCTTGTGAACGTCACGAATGCTGAATCTTAGTAGTCCCCTGCTCGGGCCGCACAAGTTTGGAGGCAAACTACTCTGCCCCCTATGGCGGCATTAGCATCGACTTCCGCGATATGAATAAGCTTATAGCCTTGCATGAGGACGAGTAAGCGGCATTTCCACGGCCGGGAGTTGACCGTGAAGCTAACACAGTCGCATAGTATGGATGTCGTAGTCCAGCCTGCCCTAGGTTGGATGGATCTAAACCATCAGATCAAAGACTCCGGACTGTTTTTCCCGGTTGATCCTGCCCCAACCGTAAGTCGGTTCTAGGCTATGGCTGCAACATCGTGCACTTATCCACATCTCGATATACTGACAACAGCCTAGGCCCAGATTGGCGGAATGGTCGGAACGAGCTGCAGGTAGGTGTATCCTTCAGTTGTGCGTCGAGCATAGTTGACAGCAGAGAAGTGGCACCAATGCAGTAAGATACGGCACTATGAAGGACTGGGTTATCAATCTCACCGTGGTTCTTGCTGATGGCAGAGTCATCAAGACCCGACGGCGTCCACGGTACGCTTCCCTTCTTCACTGTTTTGCCGTTGCCGTCCGTGCATACTAATTGTCGAGCAGTAAAACTGCTGCTGGATATAATTTGACGAACCTCTTCATTGGTTCAGAAGGCACATTAGGCATCGTCACCGAAATCACACTCAAACTTGCAGTGATTCCCCAGGAGACCAGCGTAGCTGTTGTCACATTTCCAACTATCCGTGATGCTGCCGCTGCAGCCTCCAAGGTACTCCGTGCAGGCATCCCTGTGGGAGCCATGGAGATCATGGATGAGGTGCAGATGCAGGTGATCAACAGGGCTGGTGGTACATCGAGAAGGTGGAAAGAGGTTCCAACCATGTTCTTCAAGTGAGTGGAATCCTTGCTTCAAACGCTGCAAGTGCTAATAGCCGACGGTAGGTTCTCTGGGACCAAGGCAGGGGTGAGTCTAATCCTAGGTGATGGATTTCCTAGTTTGGAATTGACTGCAGATAGGTGCACGAGAATATCAACTTAGTCAAGGCCATCGCCAAGAAACACAAGGGCGGGTCATTCGAGTTCGCCGTCACCCCTAAAGAGCAGGACGAACTTTGGTCCGCCAGAAAGAGATCGCTGTGGAGCATGCTCCAAATACGCACGGATGATGGTAGTGAAGTGTGGTCCACCGATGTCGCAGTGCCGATTTCGCGACTCCCAGACATCATAGGTGCGTGCACATTTTCAAGTCTGTATTGTCTACTAATATGCAGCAGAGGTATCAAAGAAGGAGATGGATGATCTCGGCCTCTTCGCAAGCATCCTGGGCCATATCGGCGACGGCAACTTCCACGAGAGCATCATGTACAACAGCAAGAATCCCCGGGAGAGAGCAGCAATCGAGAAGTGCGTCAAGGACATGGTCGACCGTGCCCTGGAGATGGAAGGTACCTGCACAGGAGAGCACGGCATCGGACTGGGGAAGAAGGACTCTCTCATGAAGGAGCTGGGCGTCGAGACCATTGATGTGATGAAGAGCATCAAGAAGGCGTTGGATCCGCATTGGTTGATGAATCCTGGAAAGATTATGGATTTCCCGGAGTGAGAGCTGTGGGAGGTTATCGTATCGTGAGTTGGTTACTTTGTACACAGTACTAGCGGTTCCGGGAGTCATCGCATCGGGAGGTACCATTGATTTTTCGACTGCATCGGTAGCATAAGCGAGACAGGAGAGTTTTATATCTGGCATCTAGTGCAGCTGTCTCCATCTACAAAAGTCAATGGAGGAATATGGTTTCTAGGAACTACCCCTCTGCGTGTTCCTGTTGTTCCGAAAGCTTGAATCATGGCTACTAGTTGCGTGCAGTGCCAACCAGTGGATTTCTACTTTTTACGTATGCTCTTTTATAAAAATCCTAATCCCTCTACTACAAAACGTCGTTTAGCTAAAGGGGAGGTCTGTGTTGTAGAGTTCTACAGTAGTGAGTCACGAAGTGGGAGGTGGCACCGACCCGAGATCGGAATTCGCCCAATCTTTTTGACCTCCTGCACCCCACCATAGGACATCGTCATACAGTTTTCTATCCGCTCAGACAAACTTCAATTCCACAGACAAACCGCCGAAAATGGACGTCGAGCATTTTACCCACCCCAAAAGCGATTTTCCCAAAAAGAAGTGCGGTGCGCAATTTGCCCCATTCGATTACAAGAGTCCCACTGATTGTACCTGCAGGCGTTCTGGGAGCGACGGGTTCGGTGGGACAACGCTTCATTCTTCTCCTCGCCCTCCACCCACACTTCGTCCTTCACGCCGTCGGGGCCTCTGAGCGCTCAGCAGGAAAGAAATACAAAGATGCCGTGAGGTGGAAGCAGGCAATTCCTTTCACAGAGCGCATCGGCAACCTCGTCGTGAAGAAATGCACACCAGAAGAATTCGCAGACTGCGATCTCGTATTCTCCGGTCTCGACAGCGATGTAGCAGGAGATGTCGGTATGCTCCCTCGCCCTTTCCGAAGTATGGAGCCATCTCGCTGAATCCACACCTTTAGAAATGGCCTTCCTGAAATCCAACCTCGCCGTCTTCTCCAACGCCAAAAACTACCGCCGCGACCCCCTCGTCCCCCTCGTCGTCCCCACCGTCAACCTCCGCCACCTAGACGTGATCCCCCACCAGCGGAAACAGCACAGTCTGGATAAGGGCTTCCTAGTCTGCAACTCCAACTGCGCCGTCATCGGCATCGTGATCCCCTTCGCTGCCTTGCAAGCCAAATTCGGCCCGGTCGACCAAGTCTCCGTCGTCACCATGCAAGCCGTCTCGGGCGCGGGCTACCCGGGCGTCAGCAGCATGGACATCATCGACAACGTGGTGCCCTTCATCTCGGGCGAGGAAGACAAGCTGGAGACGGAGGCGCAAAAGATCCTCGGCGGCGTCACCGACGACCTGACGGCCTTTGTCGACCAGCCCATCAAGGTCAGCGCCGCGTGTAACCGCGTGCCTGTCCTGGACGGCCACACGGCGTGCGTGTCGTTGCGGTTCCAGAGGCGCCCGCCGCCCAGTGCGGAGGAGGTCAAGCAGGCGATGAGGGAGTATGTGAGCGAGGCGCAGAAGCTGGGGTGTCCTTCTGCGCCGCAGAAGGCGATTGTGGTGATGGAGGAGGCGGATCGGCCGCAGCCGCGGTTGGATCGCGAGACGGATAGGGGGTATGCGGTTAGTGTGGGGAGAGTGAGGGAGGATGAGAGCGGCATCTTTGATATCAAGTTTGTGGCGCTGAGTCATAATAGTGAGTCCCGTTGCCTTTCCGCTTACGAATAAGGGTCCTGTTGAGTTGGATGCTAATGATGTGTAGCTGTTATTGGAGCGGCAGGGTCGTCGATATTGAATGCCGAGGCGGCGGTGTTGAAGGGGTTTGTTTGAGGGAAGAAGGGATTTGAATGTGAAAGAAGAGTAGGGGCGAGAAAGCGGAAAGCATCATGTCGAGACGTGATCTAGATACCACGAAAATGCATTGCAAGTTTGCTCATGGCGACATTTCTGATACATGCCTTTATATCTAGAACTTAGAAGGCTTCCAATTCGGCTTGCGCTTCTCCGCAAATGCCATCAGTTCTGCGTTTCTCCTTTTGATAGAAGATGGAGACGCGATAACACTGTGCATATACTGTATATTGGGCTAAAATCAGACGAATGAAATAACAAGCAGAGTTACCAGTCAAACAAGGGAATAACCTTACGGTTGCCTCTACCCTTATTGTAGGATGGCACGATGGATTACATACTGTGATGTAGAACTCGTCTATGTGCATGGGGATGGGACGGGAGAGTCGCTTACGCTAGTTCTACTTTAAGCTAGCCTGCCAAGCTCCACTTCCAGCAACCGCGCACACAGCAAAATCAACCACCATCCAAAGCGAGACTTTTCCTTTCCCAACCCACGATTTCTTCGACCCGACCAGCCAACCTCCGTCGAATCCGTCAAAATGGGCCGTGGACCTAAGAAGCACCAGAAGCGCCTCAGCGCCCCCTCGCACTGGCTTCTCGACAAGCTGTCGGGTACGTTCTCTCCCCTATAGCGAACCCGCTCGGCAACATGCTGCTGCTACAATATCGAGGACGCTGGGAGTGCATCAACTAACGATCTGAATAGGTGCCTATGCACCCAAGGCCAGCCCTGGTCCTCACAAGACCCGCGATTCCCTGCCGCTCATCATCTTGTACGTTCAACACCTTTTTGTTCGATGATTCGGATGTATAAGAGGAGGGAAATCCACAATTTTGAGCACCCACGCTAACAAAACAACAGCTTGAGGAACAGGTTAAAGTACTCGCTCAACGCCCGCGAGACCAAGGCCATCCTCATGCAGCGCCTCGTCAAGGTTGACGGAAAGGTCCGCACCGACTCCACCTTCCCCGCCGGCCTCATGGACGTCATCTCGATCGAGAAGACCGGCGAGAACTTCCGCCTCATCTACGACACCAAGGGCCGCTACACCGTCCACCGCATTACCGGCGAGGAGGCGCAATACAAGCTTGGCAAGATCAAGCGTGTCCAGCTCGGCAAGGGTGGAATCCCCTACTGTGTTACGCATGATGCGCGAACGTGAGTTTGCCGCCTCTATCAGCCGTTGGGCACAGTTTGGGCAGGATACGACGGGGGAATCCTTTCGTGTCGGCATCAGACCGGCCTATGGCGATGTCATGGAAATAGCATACTGAACGGAACATAGGATCCGCTACCCCGACCCTGCCATCAAGGTCAACGACACTGTCAAGATTGACCTCGCCACCGGCAAGATCACCGACTTCATCAAGTTCGATACCGGTGTGATCTGCATGGTTACTGGTGGTCGCAACATGGTATGTCATCCACTTGACGAATCTTCCAAAACCTGGAGCTAATCCCTCGTAGGGTCGTGTTGGTGTCATCACCCACCGTGAGCGCCACGACGGAGGCTTCAACATTGTTCACGTCAAGGACGCCGTTGACAACGAGTTCTCCACCCGTGAGAGCAACGTCTTTGTCATTGGTCGTGAGAAGCCCTGGATCTCTCTGCCCAAGGGCAAGGGTGTCAAGCTCACCATTGCCGAGGAGCGCGACCGTAGGCGGGCGCACGCTCTTGCTGGACAGTAAATGTACGGCTTGAGCGCTGGAGAAGAGGAAGTGATTTGAGGTGGATGGACTCGTTAAATGCACAGTCTACAACGGATTCGGCTCTCTAAAATAGGCGTTGGGCACTTGTGGGGAGGCTGGGACGGATTCGGGGCATGCTGCATAACGTACCCAAAGTCAAAACAGATTCAAGCAAACCAAGTGCATGGAATCATGTTATGAATTGATAGTGAATGAAGTTTTCAACGAGAGGGTCACGGGCTCTGGAAGGATTGGGGCTCTCATCGTCATCGTCGGTCGTCATCCATTGGGGTCATTCCATCACGTGTTGCACAGTGCGAATCGGTCACTGCTATATTTGGAGGCCAGTGTTTGAGGGACCGCAGTGCCGAAACGGAAACGCGGAGGCTCTGTTGGGAACGACGACAGAAAATGGAATTCTCCTATGAAACGTTACCTGGAAGCTCGCAATGTTGCAGTACATAGATAGGCGCAAACGTCGCAAAGATGCTGCGCCTGTGCTCTGTGCCAGGGAAAGCTGTCGGAAGTTTGTCAGCTTTTTGAACGACCAATTGGGTGACGCGTAGCGGCTGTCTCATCTCGTTTCCAAAGGTTGGTGATGAGGGATTGTGGGAATCTGACACAATAATGCTGCGGTGCCCACTGGCAAGGGTGATGATTGATCGTTTTGGCGAGGCTGATGAGGAGGAGAATTGGGGGACGACGCGTGGCTCGGTTTTTGAAGTGCCGAAGTTCCTCGATCTCCGTCAACCTGCCGTCAAGGCTGGTGGTAGACGTTCGACTTCATCGTGGGAGTCTTGATTTCCTGTTCCTGTCTTAGACTATCGGTTCCAAGATTGGGCCAGTGGTCGATCCCCGTCCGCGTCGGCTTCCTTGGCCCTTGCTTGTCTGGGCACTTCCGGATCCAGCGCCGGCCACCCGCCGCGTCGTCCTCCTCTCCATCCTTCTCCGTTCACAGCAGGCTACGCGCCTCCTGCTGCCACTTAGAACGACAATAATACAACCTCAGTCGCTGGAACGAACATTCGCCCTCCCAATGCCACCGCCATCATCACTTGCCGCCCGCATTCCGACACTCATTCTCCACGCCCACCCCGTCTGAGCGCTTCGTCTGTCGCACCACCTCCGCAACACCAGACTTCCTTGCACGCCCACAATACGCACCCTCGTACCGTTTGCACCACCTTGGACACCCGCTGTGACTGTCCACAACGGCCAGGGAGCCTCCGGTGTCCTTCCCTTCGCCGTCGGTCGCAATCATGCTTCGACCTGCTACTCCCTTATCAATTCTCTTCTTCACCGCCTTCGTGCTCCTCCTTCTCTCCACCCTCTCGACCCCCATCATCCGTGGGATCCCCCTAGCCACTTTCCGAGGCGTCAATTTTGGCGTGCTGGGTTACTGCAGAGGCAGCGATTGCCATGGGCCCATGATCAACTATGACACGGGTACGTCAAGGCGCCGGGATACCTGTTCCCTTTAGATGGAGCTATATGTATTAATCCGTCTCTTCAGATGACCTTTTCCCTGATGGTCCCGATTCCGACTTCTCCCTCCCTGCTGCCGCACGGCATTCGCTCTCTACGATCCTTATCGTCCACCCCGTCGCCGCTCTGCTGACGCTGATTTGCTTCTCCCTCGCCGTGGCAGCACACTTCCACGCTCCCGCCCACTCCCCTCGCTATCTTCTCGCCCTTCTCATCCTCACCTTTCCTACGCTCCTCGTCTCGCTACTTGCCTTCCTGGTTGACATTTTGCTGTTTGTTCCGCACCTGGCATGGGGAGGATGGATTGTCTTGGGAGCTACTATTCTCATCGTCGCGAGCGGGGTGGTCACTTGTGCAATGAGGAGGACTCTTGTCAGTCGGAAAGCAAGGAAGAGGCGCATTGCCGAGAACGCAGAGATGAATGGGCAGAATTACCAGGCGAGCCGCGCGGCTGTTACTGCACAAAGGGACACATTTCCCCGCGCTGAATCCCCCCCACCGCTATCCGGCGAGACGGTGACCTTTGCGAATGATAAGATGCCCGAGTACGCAGCGTATGAGATGCACAAAACGCAGAGCCAGGATGATACGACGCCGTTGAACGCCAGGAATCCGTCGCTTAGGACCAACAGCAGCAATGGTAGGGAGGGCTCTGACCGGTCCTATGTATCTCGAGCACCTTCTGGACGAGGTCGCCAGCCGGTAGACCAGTATGGTAACCCTATCCCGCCCTTACCGAGTGAAAGCTTTGTGATGCAGAACGGCCCGCATATCGCAACCCCGCCGAATCGAGGTGGACCTCAGATGGGTGGCCGCGGACGGGGAGGATATCCGCCGCGAGGGGGTTATGGGCCTCCTAGAGGAGGCTACGGACCTCCTCGAGGTGGTTACGGTCCACGTGGAGGAATGCGAGGCCCCCCGCCGCCTGGATGGAATGGCAATGGAAGAGGAGGCATGCGTCCCGGTCCTGGTCCAGGAGGTCGTGGAGGGCCGCCTCCCCCAGGGTACAATAACGGTTACTACGCGCAACAAGGCGTACCGAACCGGCGAGAGCCTTCTCCCTATGGGGCCCCCCGAGGCATGTCGCCCCCCGGACCAAGGGAATCCCCCAATGGTATCGGTCAAGCCGTCCAGATGGATTCTCAAAATGGAACCGTAGCTCCACCTCCAACTCAGAATCTCAACTACGGGCTAAGAGAAAGCGACGACGATGTACAGGGAATGCTCGCCCTGCAACAGGGCGGTTTCCCAGCACAAGAACTCCCTCGCAGGAATTCAGGGCCGATGAGCCCTACCAGTGATTACTCGCAAGAGTAAGCTACCCAAGACCGTTCCGGGGATTCCTGCTAACGTATCTTAGTGACGCCCAGTACGTCCCTGCCAGAACCAATTGGCAGAACCCGAACAACCCATCTGGTCAGACGCCGCCCACTACTAGTGGTAGCAATGCCCGCGGACTTTCGCCCATCCAAGACTCGCCCGTGGAGCTACCTGCCCAGTCGTCAGTCGTCGGTGCAAGAACGTCTGGCTACTTTGAGGATGTGGAGCCCAGGTTTGCGGAGCCTGTTGGTCCTCCAGCTGGGCCCCTACCTTCTTCCTTAATGCCCGGCGGCTTCTCCGCCTCCGCTCCCAACCTTCCTAATTCTTCCTTGGGCACAGGTGATCCAGGTCTCCTGCGGAATCCCTCTTACGATGACATCCCAGAAGGTGCTCGCTCGCCTCGCTCGCCTGCAGCCTCGGACACCTCACACTTCACATCTGTGTCGCAGCGTGGGATCAACCCTAACTGGCGACCGCCACCCCCGGGTATGGGCGACCCAGCGCTACCCGGACAGTATCCGCCTTACGGTCGACGCCCCATTCGTAAAGAAGACGTGATACTCGAAGCCAATGCCGCCAACCCCGATTTCGCCGTCCCGGGCGCCGAATTCGGACGTGGACGCGGTCGAGGCCGAGGCAAGGGCGGCAGAGGAGGTCCCGTTGCCCCAGCTACAATGAATAATATGGGTATGGGCACTGCGGGAAGGTATCCTGGCGCGGATGCCATATAAACCAGCGCGGGATGTAAGCGTACAGTTCAATTCTTTTTGGATCTTCTCGAGATAGAGGCGGATATTTTATTGTCACGGATTTCCTCGACAGGAATGTGTGTTATGACAACACGTACACCGATTTCTTCTTTGCATTGCATTCTCTTCTTCCGTACAAAAAAGTTACCCCTCGACCACATGGGGTGGTAGGGGCAGGCACTGGTTACTACGTTTTCATTTCTGGGAAACATTCATTGTGCGACCGAAGCTGCTTGGGGAAGCAGCGCCGCATCACTCCTTGTTCTCTTTGTTGGGTCTATGGATTGAAGAGGTGGTGGATGGATGGAGACGGACGATGGGTACATAAATACAAGCTCGCTCGCGCAGACAGCTATATACTAATGCTATTTTTCCTATTGTCTTCAGCTTTGTAGCTGATTTTAAACTTAGTAGCGGATCTTGATGTAGCTTAGGTTGGGAATGAAGAGTTACTGTGGAGTTGTGTTGGGGTTGGGCTTGTTCCTATTCCTTGCGCTTGATTCCTTTAAGACCATAGACGGGTTGATGGGAAATGTGTTGGCATCGTGGATCAGACCAGACCTTGGCCCATATAAAAATTGTACTGATACGGGTACATAGGTGTGCTCCAATGTACGCTTCCGCCAAGCAGTAGAGTTGAGGCTTTGGGCGGGATGACGTTGAGTGGGTCCCGGAAGTGTGGAGACAAGGCGTGGAGCTTGGACCATACCGTCTGCATCTGATGGTCTGGCCTTGTTAACACAGTACTTCGTTGACACACCATGGATTGAGACAGAACCACGCTGCTTACCTCGCACCACACTGCACACCTTGGAGTTACGGCGATCCTCGATTACTTTGACCTCGTACCGGCTAGCCTAGCAACGCTCCCATCCCCCGCCAACATACAAATGGTCGCGCCGCGTCGTCGGGTCTCCCCATCCCCAGTGCCCCATTCACTGGCCCTCAAGGAGAGATGAGTGGTTGGAAGGCGCTGCTCGCAGCGTACCTGCTTGGAGGTATCACATTTATTCCGTTGGTGCTAGGGCTGGTGTTCCTGCACGCATATGCCACACTGCCCGTCCACAATAGCATCGCTGAGGATCAGGAGAAAGTCCAGGGGAATGGGAATGGTGTCAGCGAAAAGGATAAATCTCAAGGCACTTCCTCTTCCTCCTCCATTGACGGTGACGCCTCCATCTTCGATGCCCTGCCCCCGGAGCTCAAGTCCCGAACAGCCCGCACCCATGTACCTGACGTGGCAGCCGGCTACTTCGCCGTGTGTCGCGAGTATGTTCCAGGAGGGATGAATGGGAAACCGCCTGAGCGGACGACGCCGGCTGGGGCGGTGGTGGCGGCGGAGAGTCCCAGCGTGTATCAGGCTATGTATAGGAGTATTTTTGAGAGGGGGAAGAGCATGAGTCCGACGTTGGACGTTGGGAACGGGACTGGGGGAGGGGGGAAGGGGAAGAGGGGGAGGAATGTCTTCTATGTTGTTTTACGGTAGGTGGAGTAGACACCCCCAAGCGTCTGACCGGCTTGATGTTTGAAGAAGGGGCGAACTAACGGTTATAGGCTTGGGATTCTCATGCTTTACGACGACTCCGAACAGCTGGAAGTCCGTCACGTCATTTCACTTGCGCACTACGATGTCGATATATACAGTGGAGGCGACAAGATACCCGAAGGCGAGCTGTGGATCAAGAGGAACTGTATCCGTCTCACTCATCGCTCACAAGGGGATAAGCTACCCTCGGACGCCAAACCCTACTTCCTCTTCTCCGATAACTGCTCCGACAAGGAAGACTTCTATCACGCCATGTTGCAGAGCCAGGACCACCGAAATGATATACCACGAAGCCCGCCTCGCCCGCTCAAATTCGACACCACGGATCTAGTTCGCCTGGTCCAGCAACTCCATGCTTCGGAAGAGTACCTGCACACGCGCTGGATCAACGCGCTCATCGGCCGAGTCTTCCTCGCCATGTACAAAACCGAGCAAGTCGAGCAATTCATCTGGAACAAAATCACAAAGAAGATCTCGCGCGTCCCGAAACCCGCCCTCATCAGCAAAATCGATCTCCAGAAAGTCGACATGGGAAACCTGCCCCCCTTTATCACAAACCCCAAGCTCAGAGAGTTGACGATGGACGGGGATTTGACCGTCGAAGCGGACGTGAGTTACAAGGGGAACTTCCAGGTGGAGATTTCCGCCGTCGCGCGGATTGAGCTGGGCTCACGGTTCAAGAATCGGGATTTCACGACTACGCTCGGTCTGGCGGCTACGCTGAAGAAGCTGGAAGGACACGTCTTGCTGAGGGTGAAACCTCCGCCTAGCAATAGGCTGTGGATAACGTTCGAGACGGCGCCCAAGATGGAGCTGGCGCTGGAGCCGATTTGGGGGTCCAGGCAAATTACGTATGGGCCTATTTTGAGGGCCATGGAGAGTCGGCTTAGGGAGGTGGTGGGCGAGACGTTGGTGTTGCCGAACTGGGATGATTTTCCGTTTAAGGATACGGAACTGAGTGAATTCAGGGGCGGGATCTGGACGAGTGATAGAAAGAAGGAGAGGGAGAAGGAGCAGGGCAAGGCCGCGGCTACAGCTACGAAGCCTGCTCCTGAAGCTGGGGAGGGGGATGGAGAGGCGGAGAACCGGCTGCGAGAGATGGAGTATGGGTCGGAGGACGAAGCGGAGGGTCAAATATCCAACTTGCCTACGTCGAGGCTAGAGAGCAAACCGACTTCGAGCACCGCGACAGTGTCGAGCTTGGAATTGGCGGACGTCCAGACTCCCATGTCGTCGCCTGCGGCGAGCATGCGCCCGTCGGTCAAACCGAAAGCAATGAGGTCAAGCTCCTTTGCGAATGCAGCGTCGCCGATAGTAAACGTCGACGCTGCCAGCGCATCAGCGACGAAGACCGAGTTGAAAGAACGGCAACAGGACGCTGCGGCTGCAATGAAGACCATCTCCTTGTCCCAACCTGGATCTCCTACCGACACGCCCGTTGGCTCCCCGCCCCAGTTCAATCATATGGAGAGCGCATTGGAGAAGGGGCCGAGTGTCTCCTCAGTCAAGTTGCAACAGATACAACAGGATCACGATGCAACCTCTGTACACTCAACAAGGCCCTATTCTTCTTCATCTCACTCCGCAGGCTCCCAGAGCTCGATCTCGCAGGTTCAGCGGGAGAATTCCGCCAAATCTACAAGTACAATGAGAAAAGGGAAACACGCGTCCTCAGCGTCCCTCCCGCGGAACGCTTTCACTCCGACGGCTGAACGGCGCCATATGATCAATCAGTCGATTAATTCGGCGGCGAGTGCAGCTAAGAAGTGGTGGAACAGCAAGCAGCAGGGAGGGGGTGGCCCCACGTCTCCGTCTTTGAGCAACATCACAAATGCTATTAAGCATGGGCCTGCGTCGCCGTTGCCGCGGGAGCAGCCGTCGACACCGCTGTCTACGAGTGCGCCGGAGGAGTCGCTTCATGGACATGAACATGAACAGGATGGTTCTCTTGATACACACGGGGCCAGCGCATCATTGCCCTCTGGGCCTGCAAGCACCACCAGCACAACCACGCCCTCAACCATCCCAACGAGCACCTCCACGACCACCGTAGCGGATAACACCGCACCTCTCGGCTCACCAGCGAATCCGATCGGCCGAGGGCAACTGATACCGGAATCTGGACTCCTGTCGCCGAAGCCGGAGAAGAAGGGCTGGGCAGGCGTGGTGCCGGGTGCGGCTACGTTTGTGGGGATGACGAAGCGGAAACCGGTGGTGCAGAGGAAGGCGGTGGGGAGTCAGGGGCAGGGGCCAGGGTCGGGGCAGGGGCAAGAAGAGATGGGGAAGGGTACGAGGAGGGATGGCGATGAAGGGGCGGATGATAATGAGAAGGAGAGAGTTCAGAGGGACAAGGAGAATGGACATCACCACCAGCGGGGTCCGGGACAACCGTCGTCATCGTCAACATCAAGGACGAGCACGAGCACGAGCAGCACCACTACCAATTTCCCTTCTCACCAGCAGCATCGTCAACATGGCCACGAGCGCAAGGCTAGCGTCGGGACGGCGGCGATGGGAATGGGGAATAGGAAGAAGAGCTCGTCGATTCAGAGTCTGCCGTCGCCCAGTCTGTCATCTGCGGGAAATACGGGGCAGGGATATGCGAGGAGGCAGAGGAGGGCGGTCACGGAGTCTGCGGGCTCGGGGTCGGGCGTTGGGTTGGGGTTTGGAGGTGGTGATGGGGAAGGGGATGGGGTGTTTGTTGTCGAGGCGCCTAGGGATCTCGAAGTGGATGTGGATGGTGATGAGGTTCATGGTTTTGTTGGACGGCAGGGGAGTCGGGACAGTGGTGGGAGTGCGGGTTCCGGCGTTGGCGGGGATATGAGGGGTGATGGGGAGGAAGTGGAGGGCTCCGTGTTCACGGGCATGGAAGGGGTGGATGAAGTAGTGAAGAAAGAGTAGAGACGAGGGGAGGGAGGGATGGGAGATGGGGTGGAGTAGAGGAGGTGGGGCAGTGGTGGGAATGGGCTTACATAGGATGATGGATGGGATTGGTTGATACACCACTCCAATATACCATTTTCTTTTATTGGGATTCATTGAAGGGCGAACGCCCTACCTGCCTTGCCTGTTTAGTCAAAACATCAGAAGGAGCTTCAGGTGCAAAACATGGTATTAGAGTATTACTCGCATGGTCTGAAAACGTGGAGAACAAAGCATACAAGCTCTAGGGAAAGTACATATTACATACAAGTACGAGGGATTAGAAACAAAAAAGTACAGCATAGCCAGAGACAAACGTAACGAGCCGTACATGCACCGCTTAGCTTGGGCGGGCCAGGGTATAGATTACATCCTCGAGGATCGGTTCCTCTTCCCTTCCTCTCTCTTCTCTTCATACCCCGTCTCGACTTGATTTTTTCGTCATAGAGAATTCCTTTCTTTGTGCCCCAGATGCGCCAATTACAATCGCAATCGTACTCCCTACAGTATTCTTCCATTCCCTTCCCTCCTCCTCGACGTCTTCTCCCTTTGCACCCGCGCTCCTTTCTCAAGGCGCAAAATCGCCCTCACTCTTCCTGACCTGCCCCACACTACTCCCCTCGCTGAAATAACTGCCCCGGTCCTTCCCCTCCTTCGGCGCCCGCATCGTCTTCCTGGAGAAAAACCTCGTTCTTTTCGTCGGCAGAGGCACACCGGGCCCGTTCGCCGCCGCCGCACCCGCAGCTACGGGCGCGCCGGCTGCAGCAGTCTTGGGTCGGTGAGTCCTCTCCTTGCCGAGCGCGCCGGACAGACAGAAGAGGATGCTGGAGAGGACGAAGAGGGCGACCGTCGTCCAGGTGAAGGCGTAGAGCTTAACGCCCAGTTTGGCGGACTGGCCGTTGGACTGGAAGTGATTGCGGCCTTGGACGGTCCAGGCACTGCATAATCCATGTTAGCGATTTGCTGGTAATGGGGCAGGAAGAGGGAGTAAACGAGAGGGATGAAGAGAGGCAGAAAGAAGACAGGGAAGAAGGAAAGAACTCACGTCATCAAGCTCGCCGCAATGATCTGGAAAAACAACGCCACAAACGTCGTCAATCCGCTAATGTACCCGCCCATCCTCGTGCACAACGCCAACAGGCCGGTGATCAGCGCCATCACGGAGAAAAACAAGCTCATGATCATGAAGGCAAACATGAACCGGCTCATATAGTAATAGTGGGTAGTCCCTATGAACTGCCTGGGCACATTCTGCGTGGTTCCGAAATTCCTGGGGGGGTCGAAGGGAAGTGCAGGAATCGGGCTCCCGCAGTTGGCATTGTGGCCGTTTCTGGGGTTGACGCCGCAAATCTTCCAGAAGGTCCAGCGCGAGGGGTTGCGGGCATTAGGGATGTTTCCGATGTTGCTGGCTTCGAGGAAGTAGAAACGGTTTTCGGGGGAAGAGTTGACGCCGCCAGATAAGATAGTGAAGAATTGGAGGAGGACAGCGCCGGCGAGGAAGAAGAGGGAGAGGAGGGCTAGGATGGGTCCTGAAGATGCCTGTTAGGGGATTATCGTATCGACTTTGGCTGTTGGTGTAGGGATAGGAAGGCCGTTGCGCAGAGGGTGAAAGCAGTAACGTACTTGCTAATTTCATTCTGGGCGATGACTGAAACCGAGAACTGGTGTTTTAGATTCAAACTTATAGATTATCGATTACGATCTGAACTGGGGTCCTCATCCCTCTCCTAGCACTGAGGGTCTAGGAACGACGACACATGAGGATAATCAACCGGGCCGTATCTGCACATGAGGGCCGCTTATGAGGGACGACAGGCAAGCGATGACGTAGACGATGGGCCAGATCCGCTTTGAGGTCTTGGTGAGACCACCAGCGCCGGGCCTGGACTGATGCCAGCGACGCGTCATATCCGGAAGCCGGTCAAAGACGATGAGAGACGGTGAATGACGGTTCGAGAGGTGACGATGACCAAGTCGGGAATTGGTGTGGTGCTCGCCCGTTGCAGGCAGGGTTGGGTTGCTCCTGCCGAGCCCTGCGCTGCACGGATCACTGAATCGCATCAGGCATCTGGCGCTACCTATCTACAGCTTCCCAGGAGTGTTTATGTAAAGCTTCACCAAGCTCGGAGAGATTATCTCTAGCTGTTGCTGCTTCAGGACATCATGTCCACCGCCGTCTGGCCACCCATCGATCCTCGACAGCTGGCCGAGGAGCAGACGGCTTCACAGGCATGTATCCCGAAATATCATCATCCAGATCCAGATCCAGACCCAACTAACCTTCTGGTGTAGGCCCGCGAGCTCGAATGGCTCATAGGAGAGTTGCGGGAGTCTTTGCAGTCGCTCAAAGCAGGTCTGGAGGAGTGCGCTGCTTTGCTGGCCCCGTCCGAGCATGGGTCGACGCTTGTCCTCTCCTCTATGCGCTCTGAGAGCTTGAAGGGCGTAGTAACACGCGTCGGCACCCGCATTGTCAAGGGCGTAAGTCATGAGCCCCTTCTCTGTAGACGTTAAACTCTAAGAATATGTAGAACATCAAGCTCCGCCTCCCCAGTCTTCCTCCGCCGCGTGGAGCATCGTCCTACGACCTGAGCATATCCACGGCACCGACCGCCCCCGACCTTGTCATCCACCAACTAAGCTCCGTCAAGAACGCGATAAACCACTCTCTCGATGTCATCGATGTCACCACCTGGGCGGGAGACTCGAAGAATGCAGATTACATTGCCGGGCAGATGCAGCTGCTCGCGGACAACGTTCGGGAAGCACGGCAGGCTCTGAAAGGCTACTCAGACGTTCAGATGCCATGGTGGAAGGATCCCATTGACGACAAGACATTTGATCCGCCGCTGCCGCCGAATGTCTCCTTCCATCTCTCCATCTTCGATGCTGCCCTGCTGCTCGAGATCCGCACACTCGAGATACTAGAACCTGGCGAGACACACTCGGGATTCAGCTTCCGTAATACTCTGGCGGTGGCTTGGGGAGGTGCGCGCCATCCTCCGCACGATGAAGCGGATCGAACGTTTACCTACAAAGGACGCGAAGTGCGGGTCAAGGAGAAGATCCGGATTGAGAGCCAGGATCCGGCGCTGATGGCTGTCATGGCAAAATTCGGAGCCGTCAGTCACAGCATTTCGCTGAGCTTGAAGGCTCTCAACATCGTAATGGGCCGCGATGAGAGCTCCGAGCCCCTCATCTGCTGATTTGCGTCTTTATGCTTTCTCCACGGACGGTTGCAGAGTTGCGGAGGTCCAGCCCAAAATCTCCGCGGTATTACCCGACCGGGATTAGCGTTCGTGGGGCTTTATCGATATCGGAACAAGAAAAGATCCCATTGCGTGATCGCAGCTATACTTTATCGTGGAGGATAAAAAGTTAACTCTGATAAAGCATACATCGTCCCTTCGCAGCGCAATTCTTCTTATATTCTGCCGCAGCGGCGTCTCCCTATTACTCCTGCCACCGATCGCCACTATGGCTCCAGCACTGCTCACTGCAGTCGACTCAACCTCTCATGTACATCTGGTTATCGGATCCAATCCACTTGCAGGCGCGCGCTGTAGCCGGTCTCTCGAAGTCGGCGCACATCCCATTGTCATTGCGCCAGAAGATGCTACCGTGCATTATAGCCTGCTGAAGCGCATAGAAGAGGGAGAAGTCAAGTGGCTTCAACGAGAATTCAGGGAAGACGACCTCACGACCTTGGGTCGCGCTGAAGTAGACGGGGTTGTGGATGCCGTGTTCATAACCACTGGCGGCAAGCAGACTCAATGTACATGGACGCTTCCCATCTGAGCGTCGTCGTTGCTAATCACCTTCTAGCCACTAGAATATCCACCCTGTGTCGCCGTCTTCGCATTCCCGTCAATGTTGTCGATGCGCCGAATCTCTGCTCCTTCACCCTCCTAGCTACACATTCCGACGGTCCCCTACAGATTGGCGTAACTACCTCAGGAAGGGGATGCAAGCTGTCCAGCAGAATAAGACGAGAGATAGCGGCCTCGTTGCCACCGAACCTCGGATCCGCTGTTGATAAACTGGGGAGTCTGCGGAGACGGATATGGGAGGAAGACCACGCCACTGAGCTGTCCCAGGATCCTGAAGCGGAAGATGAAGATATTGGGCAGCCTGCGACGTTCAATCAGCTTGTCACTGCGGAGAGCGCGGAGGCCGCAAGAGGACGCCGCATGCGATGGCTGTCGCAGATTTGCGAATATTGGCCACTCCGTCGACTCGCTTCCATCTCGGATACGGATGTTGAGACCCTCTTCCGCGAGTACACCAAGCCGAGTATGATCAAGAATGGAAGTCTACCTAAAAGGCCAGGACGTATAATTCTAGCAGGCTCCGGGCCTGGGAATCCGGATCTACTGACAAGGGCTGCCCACAAAGCCATTCTATCTGCAGACGTCGTGCTGGCCGACAAGCTTGTACCCGGGCCAATATTGGATCTGGTTCCTCGCCGTGCGACGGTACACATTGCAAAGAAGTTCCCTGGAAATGCGGACAAGGCGCAAGAAGAGCTCCTGGAGCTAGGCTTGGAGGGAGTGAAGGCTGGCCATACTGTCGTGAGGATCAAACAGGGCGACCCCTACATCTACGGGCGAGGGGGCGAAGAATACGACTTCTTCAGTTCACACGGTTATACGCCCATTGTCCTGCCCGGGATCACTAGCGCTCTGAGCGCGCCGCTCTTCGCAGCAATTCCACCTACGCACCGGAGTGTGGCTGACCAGGTGTTAATCTGTACTGGTACTGGCCGTAAAGGAGCTGCGCCGGATCATCCAGAATATGTTGAGTCCCGCACAGTTGTCTTCCTCATGGCTCTACACCGGCTTTCCTCTCTGGTCGAGACCCTCACCACCGCCAAGGGATACCCGAAAGAGACGCCATGTGCGGTGCTTGAGCGTGCCAGCTGTCCAGACCAAAGGGTCATACGGACAACGCTCGAGAACGTATGCGCTGCGGTTGAGGTTGAAGGCAGTCGACCCCCTGGATTGCTTGTCGTGGGCAAGGCATGCTCTGTTCTCCGCAAATTCCACCAGAAGTGGGTCGTTGAGGACGGCTTCCAGGCATTGGATAACATTGGCATGGAGGGAGATTTACCCCTGTTGGGAGAAGCAGTCAGCGCATAGAAGATACCCGAGTAATTGTATTTTGTTGTTTTACTTTCGAAATCACGAATCTTAAGCTTTCTGAGCAAACAGTCGGCCGTATTTGAGCAATCAGATTCTCTGTAATTTGCGGTGGTCAGCCTCGTAAGACGCGATGAGCATGTTCTCGGCACAGCTGTTTCTCGTTATTGTGTTCACGCCACATCCTGCTCCCTGTCTCCATCCTGCCTCCATTCCATTTATCACAAGCACTTTCTCCGCAGACCCCCGACACCAGGATGAGGAGCGGGGTACGCTGCGCCACAACTAGCCACACGAGCCCCACCATGGCGTCAAAAGTTCCAGTCACTTACAGCATTATGTCTTGAACATGCATGAGAGTTATTGCTCCCTTCTCAATCCACCTTGCAGCAATGAGTTCCAAAGCCCTTGTCCAAGTGGACCTCCAAGGCAAGCTGCCGCGAGTAGCATCGGGCAAGGTCCGAGACCTCTATGAAATTGATAACAAAACGCTGCTGTTCGTCGCGAGCGACAGGATATCAGCGTACGATGTCATTATGGAGAATGTAAGCTTTGCTAATATTGTCGTTGGCCTACACGACCCATAACGCTGACAATTCAACACCAGGGCATCCCCGAGAAAGGCGCAATCCTGACCGCTGTTAGCATATACTGGTTCAACTACCTGACGTCCAAGATCCCCGGCCTCCGGACCCATTTCCTACGCGCCAAGTTACCGGAAGCGCTCGAGTCGCTGCCTGCAGATGTCAAGGATACGCTGCGACCGCGCAGCATGCAGGTGCGGAAACTGGAGGTGTTCAAGGTGGAATCGATCGTCCGGGGATACATTACGGGCTCTGGATGGGCCGAGTACCAGAAATCCGGTACCGTGTGCGGCATCAAGCTGCCTGCTGGACTTGTCGAGGGTCAGAAACTGGAGAAGCCGCTGTGGACGCCGAGCACCAAGGCAGACTACGGCGAGAAGGACGAGAACATCAGTCCCGCGCAAGCAGCAGAGATCCTCGGCGCGGACTTCGCCAGAGAAATCGAGCGCCTGAGTTTGGAGATTTACACGGCGGCTGCGCAGCGCGCGGAGGAGGTCGGCATCATTCTCGCCGACACGAAGTTTGAGTTTGGCAAGGACGTGGAGAATGGGGATAAGGTGGTCCTGATTGATGAGGTGTTGACGCCGGATAGTAGTCGGTTTTGGCCGAAGGAGACGTGGGAGGCGAATCTGGGCAGGGCGCAGCCGAGCTTTGATAAGCAGTATTTGAGGAATTGGTTGACGGATAATGGGTTGAAGGGGAAGGAAGGAGTGACGGTGCCGGAGGAGGTGGTGCTGGAGACAGCGAAGAAGTATAAGGAGGCATATGAGAGGTTGACAGGGCAGAAGTGGAAGGGCTCGTAGAGAGTGGTTGTTTGAATACCTCCCTCTGCTTTGTACTATGTGACTTCTAGATATCCGTAGACATTTTCTTTCAATGTAGGTTGCCTCACAAACAGGGGAATGATGTGGCTGACATGCATCCTTCAATGATCTGCGCTAGTCCCGATCCGGACCAGGGCTGAACATGGAGCCTCCAACCTTATTAGCACCCTTCTAGCTCCTCAACTGCGTTACCCGCCCACAACCTCGAGCCAGTCTACGGTAATAACATGTCACCTGTGCAGTTCACAGTTCTTATACGTCTCCCTTTCAGCCGCGGTGATTTCGTCGATCCGCCACAGGTACAGCTCCACCCAACTATCGCTCAATAACATGCATCGGACTTAACGGCAGCTATATAGGCAGACTGGAATGCTACCAAGGATCGCGCACTATGGAAGGTCATTTCCAAGTCGTCCAGAACAAGTGATCTCAACTGTCAGCCATCCAGTTGACTTGTGTGCTATGTCATACTGATGTTTTACAGGGGCAGAGCTGTAGGCCTCCAGTGATAGGGTAGGACTACCTCTCACATGCTAATCATGATATCTAGTGCGGAACGTTCCCAAGTCCCACAAACTTTCTTGCTGCAACAAGCGGCTTGGTTGTACGAACGACATCTCGAACATGTTCGCTCTCAGATGAAGAAGGTTGGAGGCTCGAATGCTCCGGCGACGGCAGCGTCGGGCAACAGCAACATCCCCCTTGGAGGCGTTCCGATGCAGAGAGGTGGCAGTCATGGCTCGAGAGGTGTGCTAAACCCAACGGACTCACAGTACCATTCACATTAACTCTGCCGTAGCATCCAGGGCACCCTCAGCTCTGTCGATACGGCCAAAAGACAGTCCGATAACAAAGCCGGAAATTGGCTCACCGGCTACAGCATTCTCTCCTCGTATGTTCGGATCAATCTACCATGTTTCTAGACTGACGGCTACAGAGCAACCGCCATTGTCCCGGACACCTTCTACCAACACCATTACACAGTCCAGAGCATTCGCTCAGTCACTGGCAAGCAGGCCTCAGCAACAGCGTCCAGCTCGTCCAAGCGTCACAGGACCTCGTCCCTCAATTACACCCGCTCCCTCGGGCCCAAGCTCCAGCCAGGTCGACTATCCCGAATCCCCAACGGTGTCGGCCTTATCGTCCTCAAGCTCATCCAGCTCGGAAAGTGACATGGACGGGCCCGCTCACCGCAGCCAACTCTTCAAGCGACCACCGCGATTTCAGAAGCAGAAACCTCGTGACCTGCTTTCCTACGACGAGGAGCCCGAGGAAGGGGATGACCATGACCGGAGCAGCGATGCGTCGTTACCTTTTGCTCAGCCTCAGCGGGACGTCACTCTTAGGGGCGGTGGCGCACCCGCTGACAAGGATGCACAATCGCAGACATCTGACCCTCCGCGGCCGTCACAAAACGATAAGGGAAAGCAGCCTGCGACGTCGAGGCCAGACCGCCTTGATGCGAGTTCCTCCCTAGCGAGCTCTGCCAGCGATGCACCCAAACCCCAGAAACCCGGCCCACTAAGTCCCAAGCACCGGGCAGAGTTGCCCGGACTAAGCCCCAGGAGAGCAGGCACGAGGGCTAAGAAGGAGGGAAGTGAGGGAACCCCGAGCATGGGCAGCAGCTTCAGCGATCTTGATGGTGAGTGGCTCTCTATCGGCACGAGACTTTGAAGGGGCCATTTTCCTGACTTCATCGGTGGTTGGGCGTGTAGATGCGAGTATTAGCCAGTCTGCTTTGGAAGAGGCGCTGCTGAGTAACATACATGCGGGACGGATGAGCACGTTCAGCCAGTTGAGGTCGAAGTATTTGTAGGTTTATATGTGAAGTTGGAGGCAGTGGATGGTATTGATTATGGTCATGGCTTTGTGGACGTGGGTATGGGCTGTGTTGCCTTGACTTGGTTTACAGAATACCCTTCCGCAGTTTTGGGTGCTTACTAAACTGCTGGGGTCATTGATACATGGACAGGACTTCCAAGGTTGCACTGAACATTTGAGAGTTACGACCACCGGTTTCAATACCCAAGGGATTTCGACTCTTTGCAGTATTTCACCGGTCTAGGCTGAAACCAAAGACCCAGTTCTCGGGAGAGACATTGGTTCAGACGGATAATTCCGCCTAGGTTGCCGGACAGCTGATTTTCAGGGCGATCTGGATGCCCAACCTACACATAGGGAAGAGACACGGGCCTGGACTCTGCAGGTTCGTGCCAGGCACCCGAAACAAGCTTGCGAAATCAGAATGCAGTTCACTTGCCTTTCCGGTCGAAGTACTGCCGAGTTCTGAATGCGACATGCCCCCTCAGTGCAGGACCGCGAATGCGAAGTCGCATAGAACAGCACGACTCTCTGACTTTGCAGTCTCACAGTCGAACTGCACATGACGCTGCCAGCAGTGTCATTTAATCACGGTGGAGAGACAAGTCGGCTGTGCGAATTGATTCAAACCTGCGTCTGTTGAGACGGTCGTACCCTAGGGTAGTCGGAAGGCGCCGACAATAGGCGTCGAAGCTAGCACATTGAGGACCGCCTACACTTCGACCCGCACATATCGAAAAGAGCGTGCAATAAAAACTTGCAGGAAACATTGAAAAAGACAATTTTTCCACATCCGGCCCCCACACCACCTACATCATCATCCTCCGCCGCCCGACATCATACCCTACGCCTCACAGCCTCGTGGCGGTCACTAGAACCTCAGCTTGCATGACCCAGTCGGCTGGCCCCGCCGTCCATCACAAGATCCCACAACCTCTCATCCAACGGAACCCACAAGCCACACCTCTCTCATCGCTATCAGGCACCCTCGTTCTCTGCGAGCAGGTGTTCCTGTAGCATGAGCACCTAGATCGAGTTAGCGAAGTGGGTCCCGCTGCTGCATGCGCCACAGATGTGGCTGGTGAGGCGATCTGAGTGGCCGTGTGATGAGGCGAAGCAGGGTGAGAAAACCAAGGAAGTCCGAAAGAGACAAAGGTGGTCTCTGTTGAGGGTGAAACATGAAGGTGGCATGTTGACGGAGAGTCTTAAAAGGATGGGTTTCTCTCCCGCCTTGAATTCCAGTATACTCAAACCGTGACTATCTCTCTCGTTGGACCCAAGACGTTTCTCGGTTTTAGACGAGAATTCCCTATTCTGGTTACCGCGAGTGCGCTTCCGACCAATCAGACTATCGCCGCTTTACATAGGCGCTACTATACACTGCACAACACAAGTACCTCTCATGTCCTACGACATGCACTACCGCCATATCCGCTCGCGCGGCCCGTCTCCCTCCCCCCGCGAGGACTCCACCCTCGCTAGACGACCACTCGCTCGCCGCCTCCACCGCAACAGCATCAAGCGCCAGCGTGTAGACGACGTCGCTATCTACGACGACGACTTATACGACGACTATCCGGCCGGAGCCACGCCAGCAAAACCGAAACCAGCGGTGGTGGGTAGTCCGTCACAGGTGCTGACGGTGCGGAGACCGAGTGAGTTGGAGAAGTTTAATGTGTTTAATGTTGGCGGTGGGGATGGATATGGCCGGGAAATAAGTGGGAGTGGGAGTGAGAGGTATAGAGAGAGGAGTAGGAGTAGGAGTAGGAGTAGAGTGAGGTTTGAAGGGCGGAGAGAGAGGCAGGGGCCCATGGTGGTGAGGAGATACCATGTCCCCAGGATACCGGATAGTCGGATCTTTGACGTGGATGATGATGAGGACGACGATCCGTTCTGGGACGATGGCGACGCGGATGATTGGGATGGTGAGGAAGACGATGATGACGATGATGAGACCGACTCGGCATTCTTCTCCAGCGAAGCCAATAGCAGCGGGACTCACGGCCATAGTCCCGGGAACGCGGAAATCGTGGTCAACGTCAAAGCGAGCGTTCGGGGGTCCCGATCTCGGAGACGGTCTACGCAGTCGGAGCCGCTGCCGATGGTGCATTGGCCTAGAGAAGCTTTTAGGCGGGGAGGGAACTGGGATAGTAGGGCGGTGGAGTGGAAAGAGGAGGAGGAGGTCGAGACGGAGAGGGTTGGGGTGAGGGAGGTTAGCGGGCGGAGGGTGAGGAGGATGGGGATGGGGCCGGAGGAGTGGAGACCTTTGAGCGAGTTTCGGAGGGGGTAGGCTAGGGACGGGGAGAGGGATGCTGCGGAGAGGTGACAAGGGGTTAAGTTTTGCAGATTTCCGGGCTTGTTGCATCTTACTTGGGGGTCTGTGACGGCGTGGGAATAAATGGACAGACCTATGGGAAGTGTAGGATATGTGTATGGGCATCTGGGATTTGAAGGGGTTGGAGTTTGGGTTTCGAAGTGTTTTGGGCTTTGGAGGGCGGTCGCATTGAATCTTCGGAGGCGTCTTGGAGGGAAAAAAATGACTTTGTTATCTCGAGCGGAGGGAATTGGCACTGGTGAAGTAGTTGGTCCTCGTCTCGTAGGGTCAAGCGGGTATCCGGATGTCATAGATCTACGAGTTTGCAATGCTCCCTTCCCGCCTTCTCTACCACCGTTTGTCCTAGGCGCATGACATCAATGTTTTCCGGGGCAGATGGAGCCTCGGTCATTGTTCGGGGGCTGGAAGATCGGTAACTTAGCGAACAGACAGAGTTCTGATTATTGAATCTCGCGACTTTGCACCCACTCTCTCCCTCTTTCCTCCCAGAACCGGGGATCGTGCTGATCAAACTTCAGAGGCTTGCGCATTCGTGAAGTTATGGGCCCCTACATCGTGATGTCTTACCTATGTCGACGTGGCAGCAGGCTACAATCTGGAAAGTAGAGCGACAAGAACTTCAGAGGGCCCATAGCTTCATGAAACATGCAAGAGTCTATTACTCTTCACAGAGTTCCCACCTTAAATTCGGCCTGTGAGACAGTCTTGCGGAGGTGCCCAACTCTGGGTTCAGCTGTGCACGTACCCAGAGTTTCAAGCCGCTGATGGAGCCTTAATAGATCGTCAATTCCAAGTGAGGCTGAAGATTTTCCATCTGTGTGTACAGCAAACAGATGGACGAAATATAACCGCACTGTTCCAACGTATGTAGGCTTTTACTCTTCTCCCTCTTTCGTCACCACGCACGCCTACCTACGCAACCTTCATTTCTTCCCGGTGACTGAAACCTTGGGCGGATTAAAGAAATTAAAAGATTGAGGTCAGGCAGTGCCCACTGTAAGCTTCGCGCCACCCAGTCCCCGCGACATAGGCAAACAGTGCGCCAGAGGCAATCAACAAACAAATTGAACAGAGAGAGCTACCCCCACCCACTTTCTTCATATTCCTCCATCTCCGTAACACTAGGAGACACTTTCATCTGAAACTGACAGCTGTGCCGCAGAAGCGGTGTGAACATACAGCCTCCGAACTTCCCATATCCGCGGCTCGTGGTCGACTTCCCGCAACTTCCCCGTTTGCAGGACAACAACACTGACGCCACAACAACCCATTCGTTCTTGCTCTATTCGTCCGCCTCGCTCACCTTTCCTTCCTCAACCAAACCGTTTGCCAAAACATGGCGCCACATCCATCTCCTCCCTCGACTCCGCATCTCTCCTCTCCTCTACGCAAGACACCTTCTCCTTTACCATCCGCCCACACAGTTTACAACCATAGCACACCCTCTTCAGGCTATAGCCAGGCTCAAGACAGCCCAAACGCTGAGATGCAGCATCGAACCGCCCAAAGACCAAATGGATATCGAGGCCAGGGTCGAGGTAGAGGCCAGGACCGGCAGCACCAGTCTCCACGGCGTAGAGAAAGTGCCCCGTGGGGCCGTCAAGCTTCTCGCAGCACCGGTTCGAGTGGCTCAAGTGAGACTCAATATCCTCTTCTTCGCACGCCTAACTCGCCGTCCTTGCCGCGAACGCCCCCGCCCAAGGCAACCTCCGCAGGTCACCATCTAGGGTCGCCTACTCCGCTGGGCCATACCGGCGACAGCCCCAGAGCAAGTCCGGCCAACCATCCGATCGCGAGACTGAGCAAACAGCACTGGGCGATGGAGCAAGAGTTGAAGATCAAGATATCTGGCTTGCCCAAGGGATTTTGGACCGCTGAAGTCCACGAGTGGCTGGCGAGCCGGGGCAACATCGTGCGTATTGAGATGATACCAGGAAGTGCAGACTGCGGTGCATGGGTTGTCTTCCAGTGAGTTCAATCGCATCATTGATGATTGAGAATTAAGCTGACATCTTGGCCAGACCTCCGCCAGCCTCGTTTAACAGTTGGTTCAACAAGCACAAGCTCCGTACTACAGATGCAACGTTAATCCCAAGGATGGAAGTCTACCCCTCTCAGTTGCGAACTCTCCAAAGCCCAGTCGACAGCTCCAAGTACTACCATGAACTGAACATCTTGTATGGCAATGCGGTTGACTTCGGCGTCAGCCTCGCCGACACCAAGATGATGAAGCAACATACAGTCAGATCCAAGAAGCAGATTCAACTGTCCTTAGATTTGGGCCGCAAAAGACTGACAATGACATTTCCTTTGACCATCGATGAGGTAAAGCACAAGTACAAACTCGAGATGCCTTTGCCGCAAATACAGCACATCTACCGAGATGATGACGCCCTGATCATCCCGTTCAACACTCCACCACGGGCCTTCCGATTCGCATATGGAGATGAAGAACTTGCAGCGACTTTTAGCCCATCGGAGAGAACATGGTGGGACACAAATGCATGGTATCGCCAGACAGATGTGCTTGACGGAGGCATGGAACTGCGTGTGGAGAAGTGGCCCGTCATGAACCTGAAGGACGCGCCTATTATTGATATTGGTTAGTAACCCCCATATTCGCAGCTCACAGCAGACAGTTCTGACAGCACGCTCTCACTCTAGGCCGATGGACGACGTACCGCGTCTCCTTCGATCCCCAGGCTCTCCGTGGGCCCAAATTTCACGATTTGCTCGGCGCTCTCTCTGACTATGGTGTCTCAGTGCACACTGGAAGCACTTATACCATACAAGACAAATCCGCTGCCCCTATGTGGGAGATTTTGCAAGATGAACTATCCACAACTCACCCCCATCTGATCATCTCTTCCTCCGAGCAAGAGCCAAAGCCCCAGTCCACCTTCGACGACCTGTTCACCAGCCAGATTTATCTCAGTTTCCCTGTTCGGTACCAACTTGAGGCATGCTTGTCGAATGGGTTCCTCAAGGAGCATACGATTACTCGCGAATTCCTTGAGCGACTAACTGAGACTCCCAGCGCCTTATTCATCCTGGAAAAGATAATGGACAGACAAATGACATGCTACAATCCGATGGACATATTCCAGGTTCGTGTCAAAGCAAACAGCCGATTGGCCAAGACCATCCCCAGCTATTGCTTCCTCGCAAGATCCGTCAATATCACGCCGACCATGATGTATGTGGCAACCCCTGCAGTTGAGACGTCAAATCGCATCATCAGAAAATATGTCGCCGATGCCGACAGATTCATACGCGTCAAGTTTAGCGACGAGAAGAACGAGGGCCCACTTTCGAACCAGGGCAAATTGACAGAGGCCACATTTGACAAAGTAACGCGCACATTGCGTCAAGGCATTGTCGTCGCTGGGAGGTACTACGAGTTTCTCGCATTCGGCAACTCCCAGTTTCGAGAGTATGGCGCCTACTTTTATGCGCCGACTGCATCACGTTCTGCGGATGATATACGACGTGAATTGGGCACATTCGATCACATCAAGACCGTCGCCAAGTTCGGAGCACGCCTTGGACAGTGCTTCTCGACCACTCGGGCAATCCAGAATGTTCCAATCCAGATTGTGCAGATTCCGGACATCGAAAGGAATGGCTTCAACTTTACAGATGGTGTGGGCAAACTCTCGCTATTCCTGGCCCAAATGGCGGCCCAAGAGCTTGGGATCCAGAATGCATTCGAAGATCCGCCATCTCTGTATCAGTTCCGGCTTGGTGGCTGCAAAGGAGTCCTGGCACTCGACCCTAATATCCAAGGTGGAGTCGTTCACATCCGGCCCAGCCAGTACAAGTTCACTGCCCCGGTGAGAGGGTTGGAGGTCATACGAGCATCAGCCTTTGCCACTGCATACTTCAATCGCCAACTCATCATCGTTCTCTCCACACTCGGGGTCCCCGATTCCGCCTTCATAAAAAGGCAACAGGAATGGATGAGGGATCTCCAACAAGTCACCGAGAACGAGGCAATGGCACTGGAGAAACTCCAGCGGAACGTCGACGTCAACCAGACCTCGTTGGAGATGGCCGTAATGATCCTCGACGGGTTTATGAGAGTCAAGGAACCGTTCCTGATGTCTCTGCTCCATCTCTGGAGAGCATACAATATCAAAACCTTGAAGGAGAAGGCTAGGATCTTCATCGAGAAAGGTGCCTTCGTTCTCGGCTGTGTCGATGAAACGGCTACCTTGCGCGGACACTTCGACGAGCCTCAATCAAGGCCTAACGCAACCCGTGACGAAAAGCTGTCGACCCTGCCCGAGATTTTCTTGCAGGTATCTGATACCAAACAACGCGGCCATTATAAGGTCATCGAAGGCATATGCATCCTCGCTCGCAATCCGTCCCTACACGCCGGGGACATCCGAATTGTGCGCGCCGTCAATGTCCCGGCCTTGCATCACTTGAAGAATGTGGTCGTCTTGCCGCAGACGGGTGACAGAGACTTGTCTAATATGTGCTCAGGCGGAGATCTTGATGGCGATGATTATCTCGTAATGTGGGACCCCGAATTCATCCCGGAGTGCATCAACGAACAGCCCATGGACTTCACTCCTCCAAAGCCAGAGGAGATGGCGAGGGGTATCACGGTCAAGGATCTCACGGATTTCTTTGTCACTTATATGAAGAACAACTCTCTTGGACAGATTGCCCATGCCCATCTCGCACAAGCCGACTTCCGTTCTGAAGGAGTAAGGGACGAAGTGTGCCTTGAGCTAGCCCGACTCCACTCCCAAGCTGTCGACTACCCCAAGAGTGGAATTCCAGCCGTAATGGACAAAGAGCTCAGACCACGCAGATGGCCACATTTCATGGAGAAGAAGCATCTCGGGCCCCACCAGGAATACCGATCCACGAAGGTCCTTGGGCAGCTCTATGACCAAGTCGAGCTGGTTGATTTCAAACCACAATACCAAGTAAATTTTGACGAACGGATACTCAAGGCCTTTGACTTGCCCGACGGCGTATTGTCTGCAGCTGGAGATATCAAAGCCGAGTACGACGCCGCGATTCTTCGACAAATGGCCAAACACGGGATCCGCACTGAGTTTGAGGTGTGGTCCATCTTTGTCCTGTCTCATAACCAAGAGACAAGGGACTACAAGTTCGCCGAAGAACTCGGACAGAACATGGAAGTCATCAAGAATCACTTTCGCGATGCCTGCCGCAAGGCAGCGTCAGAAATCGCAACAATGTTACCACTTCCGGGAGGAGAACTCCTCCGGTTTCTCGCCGCAATGTACACGGTGACGGCACGCGAGATGGTGAAGGCCTTAAAGGAATGCGGAGAAACGAAGCTTGTTGGAGGCAAACAGGTCCCGCTGCGGAAGATGGAGCCTGGAAGCATGCCATTGATGAGCTTCCCATGGTTATTCACGCGCGAATTGGGAGCCATTGCGACTGGCTCAATGAGCCAGCCGACATTGGTTCCCCAACCCATTGTGAGGAAGGCCAAGCGACCTGCCCGTCCACTCATCGACATCGACTCTGCTACTGCAATCATTGAGACCAGACTAGGCGTCACTCATTTCGGAGACTTATTGGAACTTGACTTTGAGGACTCAAAGATGAACCAGCAACAAGGAGGCGGAGAGACTGAAGGGAAAGATGAAAAGCAGGGTGACCATGAAACAAGTGACAGAACACTGACGGGATCGGATGAGTATTGTGGTAGTGAGGATGGGGAGGATGGATCGGAGCAGAAAGAGGTCAAGCTAGAGATGGGCGGAGGCTCGGTCCTGGACAAGCTGGCGAATCTTCTGTAAGATGATTGAGAAGGGGAAATGGGAAGTGGGAAATGAGGCCTGAGTTACTATAACAGGGATATTGGAGTTTCGCTCGTCCTTTGACTTGAGGTGCGTGAGCGCCCAGATCCATAGAGGTATATAAAAACGGAAACACCAAAAAAATGTCAAAGAAAATTAAACCCACGTCACTTGGACCCCTCTAGCAGCGTTGACCCCTGGACTTGGCTAGTAATTACTGCAACCCACAGTTAGGGGATTGTGTCAGGATCTCATCGCAGATGAAGAAGTTCGTGTCACAGTCGCGGCGCAGCAGGCGCCGTTGTGAAAGCACTTCGCGGCAGACAGACCTTCATCGCAAATACGAAAAGATGTACTATGAATTGATGACTGCCTGGCCAGAAAGAATGAGAAACAATAATTGAAACAATAAATGCGCATCTAAACGACTGTTCTATCGCGTAGAGGGCAAAAGAGAGACCAGCGCAAAAGCAGTGACGTACCAAGATAGATCAAACAGGAGGCTTCGGTACTCGGATCCCCACCCACCATGGATGATGATGACAGACAGAAGCCAAATATACAACAACCAATCCCATCGTCTCTTCCATGCAAGACGCACATGCCCAGTGCGCACAATAAAGATCGTCACACCAGCCTGCCTGTCATACCTAAGCACCAGATCAGCTGCGGCTCGTTTTCACAAGTCCACGCTCCTCCGTCCCACAAGATCCGTACCGTACAATTGGGGAAAAGCGAAAGCATTATCCTGTCTCTCGGATCCCCAGCCACGTTCCGTACAACGTTTCTGCCCTTCACCCGGTCATTCGGCGTCTCCGCTCACCGACTTGATTCGAAAGACGCCGACTCCCACGACCACCTCGATTCCCCCGTCCAGGAACACGGCGCGGCCCATTACACAGGGTTCCAACCCAACTTCTCGGTTCGCCCCTCATTAGGGCCCCAGTACGACTTGCTGGGCGGGTACAACCCTTCTGCGTCCTTTTCGGCGAACCATTGGCGCACCTTGTCCACACGCCATGAGTCCCTGGGCTCGAGCACAAACTTGAAAGGCAATGGTTTGGCGATGAGCAGAGTCGTATAGTCCAGAGTCGGATCGATGGGCAACTCCGGTGGTTTGGGAGCCCATAGACGCCCGAGCCACGATTTCAAGAAGCCTTTGCGCTTCAGATCCTGTTCCTGGCCCTCCGTTTCCCTGTGCTTTGGGGGTTCCACATTCGGCTCGTCTTCATCAGAGCTTACCTCGCCCGTCTCCGAAACAGGAGGCGTGGGTAAGCCCTGATTTAGCACGGTTCCATAGCCGGAATGCTGCTCCTCTTTTCCGGGGATAGGCTTGATATTGAACAGCCAGGCAAGGGAGCCGAGACCGACGAGCAGGTCGTCATCCGTGACCTGCTGACCCTGACAGATCCTGTCTCCGAAGCCAAATTGGGTGGCGCTCATAATGGTCGGAAATTTCGTCAAGTCGTCTTTGTAGCAAGGCGAGGTTGGGTCGACCCAGCGGTCGGGATTGAAGGCTTCCGGGTCTTCCCCCTCTTTGAACATTGTCTTTTCACGCGATATGGCCCTGTGGACTTGGAGTTAGTATACGGCTTTGCCATTACCAATGTTGCAAAAGTAAGACATACCACTCAAGAGCGTGCATCACGCTGCCTTTCGGGATATGGTAGCCATTGTACTCATCGTCCTCACTCAAGTAGTGGGGAATTCCGGTCGGGACTGCCGGCCGCCAGCGAAAACATTCTCGAATGCAGGCGCGAAGGTAAGGCAGATGGGGCCGGTCTTCTGCACGAGGAAGCCGGTGCCCACAGATTCGGTCGAGTTCTTCGTGCAACTTGGATAGATATTGCGGGTGGTGGAGCATGGCAAGGCAAAACGTCTGCATGGGCGCAGCGATGGTCAGCGCACCAGCGATGCCATTCATACCAACCATATATGCGCCTTCTTCAGCATAGGAAACGAGCTGACGCCATTTATCGGACGCCAAATAGGTCCGCATCCACGATGGTGGCGCCTTGTTGTCTTGCAAGTCTTGCCTCACCTGTTCCTCCATCATCACGAACCATGCCCGTTCAGTCAGAGCGCGCCGTCGCTCCCAGGCCTTCGGTGGCGAGAGGAAGTCGGGAAGCTTCATTATAAATGGGAGCTTGTTGCCCAAATGGCCGGTGGGAGAGACGCTGATGAGGAGCTCGCGAGCACGTTGTTTGAGTTCTTCACTGGCTTCGCTGCGGCCCCAAGCCAAGCGGCAGGTAACCCGAGCAACATATGATTCCAGAGCGTGATTGTACCGCTCGGGGGCGTCCAGAAGCTCCGAGAGCATGCGAATGGATTCAAGCTCGGGGTAAAGCTGGAAGTGAGCCCTTTTGGACTCTAGCATGATGCTGGCAGTAAACTTTCTTTGGCGATCCCACGCAGCTGGAAACTGGTCAAACAAGCGTCCGCTTCGTCTTGAGGATAGAACGTACCATTTACGCTTAGCAAGGGAAGGTATTTTGCAGAAGTGCGGTTATCGGCAAGGAGCGCTGGGATGTGCGGACGATCTGAATAAAGGTGTCGTTTCTTCAGCAGTAGTTCCCGAGCGATTTTGCTCGACGAAATCCAGACGTGGTTCTGCCTGAGAAGCTTGACTTGATAGATATCGCCGTATTCCTTTCCCCAATCCGCAAACTTAATGAACGCATTCTTTTCAGGAACGTCGAGCACCGAGCCGATGAGCGGCCAACCTGCAATTTTATCAGAAACCAGCCTTCATCGTTACCGTAGACAGAAATGCTACTTGGCGAAAGAGAAAGGAAAACCTTAAATCAACAATAATGTTTGGGACGGTGCAATCATACCTTTGGGGCCTGGCAGGCTAGGGCCTAGCACTCTTTTCCTTTTGTCCTTGACGTATGCCCAAGTAACGTACGAAGCGAATGTAATGATAAAGATCGTTAAATACATGTTCGAGGAGGGCGTCGAGCGCGGGTGCGAGTCCGAGGGTGCAAGGTCAGCTTCTTAAAGCATAGAGCATGGGATTCTCGGTATCGGAATCGTGAGTTACCTTCCACAGCGGCAGGCGATGGCGCAACAACCGCCACGGGAGGATCCATGTCGACGTGCTAGAGAATATAAAGAAAGGAATAGCTAAAGAAAGTGTATATTCTCTCTGGGGATAGGCCGCAGTGGCTCAAGCATGAGATACTCGCCCGACCAATGGTCAGGAGAAAGATAAGGCGAGAAGGAACTCGCACGAAGGTTGCACAGTACGCATGGATATATGACATGCAGGAGCGGTAGCCGGGGTGACTGTCCCATTGGCAAGACTGGGTCCAAGGGTCCAGCTGAAGAAAGAGCTTGCAGCCAGGACGGCGATTACAATGCGAGGAGTGGAAAGCGCTAAGCATGGCAAGGAAACGACGGCACATGGGCGGATCGACCTAGGTAGGTGGTTTTTCTAAGACTGTTCGGCACTTTTCGATTGCAAAGAGTCGAGTACAAGTGAGGAGGTCGCAGTGCAGCTCAAACTCATAGACCGCACATTGATACTGATGGCACAGACCACATAGGTATATACACGGAATACTTTATTAGCAAATTGTGCGGATGTTGAGTGGGGAGCCGCAATTGCGTTAAGAAAACCGAGCAGACTTACTTTACCAAAATGCTGAAGGGTTCTCTGTCACCATCGCTCTTTGTTTGAGTCGGTAGTCTGATCAAGGGATCGTTCACATTTGGGTGCGATAGAAGCGAAGCTGTGCTCCCATCGGCACACGGCGCTGAGGCACAGCCGCTGTGCTCTAATCCGGAACGTAGCCCGAGACACAGTCTCACTATCCTGTAAGATCGGCGCTTCGGTCTGTAGCATTATTGAAGGAGTTCGTTGGTTACGCGCGGTTGGTTCTTCGGTAAAGCCTAGAATATCTTCGCCTGTATGTCGTAGTCGAAACCAAAAGATACTGCCAATCCTTCAGAAGACTCCCTATTGTCGGATGACTTCTCATTATACGTCTGCATGTCCGAAAGGGCTGATCTTCTGACTGTAATCTGGCATTGTCAGGCCGCTGTGATACGAATACGAATGCGGTGGAACTGGTTCATGCAAGGCGGACAACAGAAAAGAATGTCTGTCACGACGAATGTAGTGGTCCATTTTCATTGATGACATGAGCCAGTGCGATGGCAATTGAGATCAGATACCTGGTCCGGTCACGACCGCCTAGCCAAGCCCGTCATTCGAGACATGTCCCAGTGAGCTGGAGAGGCAGTGCATTGTAAAAGGGTCAGGTAGCATTTGTGATACGCGAAGGTAGGCTTAGATGTCCAGAGTTGTGTAAGTCTACGATACTCGGGTTAGCTGTGACTGAACTCTGGTTCTCTCGGTGAAGATGGTACGCTATGCAATGACTCTTCCAATTCTGGGTTGCGGCCGTTTATATTGTAGAGCGATCAGACGTCCTTCGGTGGAATCGGACCCTTGCATTGAATTGGGTGAATTGTACATTCTGATGATACTCTTCTGTGGGTTGGTGGAGGAACTCTCCATACGAGAGAAGGCTGGCCCATAACGTGTGCATAACAAGTTGCGAAGGCGGATGTAGATGATTCAACCACCGTGTTCATATCAATCGTCAGTTCATTGAAGCATACGGGAGGGACATGGCTCTATATTCCCTAGTCTTGGCTCTTGTCCCAGACATTGCGTCCATGCTAAACAGAATGAAGAGGATGTTTGCTTACTTTTCGTCTACAAGATTTCCTCCCGGAAGACATCGCATCCACAAGAAGTTAAGTGGTCAACCTGAGTGAGCGTCAAATCATGGAGAGGGGCTAAAGATAGACAGGGTTGCCGTTGCCACGAGGCATGTTCGATTGATGGAACCGGAGCAAACTGGACAGTGAAGGCGCCAGCCTTGTTCGGCGGCCTGTGGACCGGACCCTAAGACTCCAGTTGGGTATATTACGGGAACACCCATGAACGAGAAACTCGGTTGCCGTACAGACTCTATTGCCTATTGCCGTTCGTGTCGAATGGAGGGCATATTGGTAAAACACGGTATTGTTGCGATGATACGTGCCCAGGTTGTAACCTGTATTTGATCCCCTCTGGCCAATGTTCGCGCACGACGCACCTTCGCCACGCTATAGAGAACATTGTGGGAAGAGTTTTGGCTGTATTGGAAAGGGGGGTGGTCTTGTGGTTGAAGCGACGACCTGAACCCCTCACCAACATCGAATGCTTGGCAACAGAGTAACGCTTAGCTGTAAGAGGCTAGTGCACAATCACACTTTCCCCAAGCGAATTTTGACCTCACTGTTTGGCGACCTGAGCACCACGACCGAACCGACGACAACCTCAGTACTAACCACAGCGTCTCGAGGTACGTGGAGATCTTGCTGATTGACTTTGATCCTGCGCTGACGTGGAGATGAAGCAGTTCCTCATTCACAATGAGTACGCCCTTCCGCGCAAGACCTCCTTGAACGATAGATTTCGAGACTGACCGTGCAATTCAGCGAAGGGAACATCCAGCTTTGGCAAGCGCCACAACAAGACGCACACGCTCTGCAGGCGTTGCGGTATGTCCGACTACTCCCTTTAAACTTAGGAAGGATTATGGAGAGGGAATCGTGATGGAAGGTTCATATTGAACTGGGCGCGTCCGGCTGACTCGAGCAATCCACAGGTCGTCGCTCCCTCCACATCCAGAAGCACACTTGCGCCTCGTGCGGATATCCCGCTGCTAAGACCCGCAAGTGTACGTCGTAGCCGCCAGGAGCCGTTTCCAATGCGAATATTAACTGGATCACAGACAACTGGGGCGAGAAGGCCAAGAGGAGGAAGACCACTGGCACCGGCCGCATGCGATACCTCAAGACCGTCTCCCGCCGATTCTCCAATGGATTCCGTACCGGTACACCGGCTGGCGCGAAGGGCCCTTCCACTTCCTCGTAAACGAAGCACGTGCGTTATTGGCGGAATGGGATGTGAGGCTGGAGAGGCGGGGTCATGATTGAGGACACCTTTTCACAGCGAGGTCATTACTCGGGGCGTTTCATGCTATCCCGGTTGCTTTATATCGGTCCAGACGAAACACAAGAGGTCTTCTGGGTTCGTGCGACATAACCATGGAAAATTTCATCATGTTCTGTCACGAATGAATCAACAGTAATCAAGCCTCGTCGCGCCCGAGCCGCGAGGCATCACTGGGTAATCCAGAAAGGGCAACTCTGTTCGGGATCAATCCTACTATTCGGGTTATCAGGATCCTAGATGTCACCACCCGCACCACGTTCAAACATTTTGACGCTGCCATCTCCCTTAACCAAGTATAACAACTCTCTGCCACGTCGCTCATCTCCATCTCTTTCAGTATTCAGCAAGTCCAGCGTCCGGGCTGAGGCATTTTCAGTGATCCTTAATACTCCACTAACATCCTTCGCATATCCGGTATCCAAAACTCTACAACTCAATATTCTCGTGCTCATGTGCGCCATCTTCACGAGGAAATTGTTTCCCTCCACCTCAATCGGCTGTGACGGTTCCGAGAGTGATATGAGTGCGTCATCTGCCGGCACATGAACCAGAATGTGCGACGTGAATTTGTGGAGGTGGAGAACCTCTGCGGAAAGGGCGTAGGTAGTGATGTCGGGGTTACTCGCAAGAAGGAACGAGGGTGTATCCAGTATCAATAATGTCTTCCGTTGTGTACCCGTGGATTCCACATGCCGTATGGCGCCTTCAATTGCGCTTCGAACATCCTTGAGTGTGGGGGATGTGATATAGAATTGTGCGACGGGTCCTTGATGTATAGAACTCATTGACGCGGGATCTGCGATCGAGGTCCCTGCCGTGGGCCCAGGTATCCTGGCGTTTATTCTTCCCGGCGGTCCTCGTACTGGCAACACAGTAGGCTGTGCCCTCCCCGTGGGCAGAGGCGTTCTCTGATGCGGCCCTTGGAACCTCTCAATCGGAGTCTGCGCACTCTCAGGCTTCCCTTCATGTAAATCCGCAAGACACATCTTCGTCAAGCCGTCCACAAAAGCCAGCCTCTTATCCCTCTTCAATCTTTCCAGATCCAAACCTCCACCTTTCCTAGCCTCGTTTTTCCAGAATCCCCAGTCCCTCAGCCAGCTAACCAATACAACGGCGACATCTTCTTTCCCCTCCGAAGGTACTGCACCATCATCTGCTGCTCCCTGAACTGTGCGGTCACGGCCAAGCGCTTCGCATAGGAACCGTATTATCAGCCAATTCGCGCTGGCGCCGAGGGTGCTCGTGACAAGGAGAATGGAGTCATCGGTCGGAAGACGAGTGTGGGGTTGTAGGAGCGGCGGTATGCGTGAGTACGAAGACATTTTCGAGAGGGGCCGCCGAATGGCGGGACGGTTCGGGAAATTCTGTTGAGTGCTTGTTGTGGCTTGCCGATGCGCACCGCCACAGGCCGACGTCATAGATCGTGGGAGTGAAGCTCACCATCTGTTTCACGCGTCGTTGCCCCTGACTGGAGCATTCATGTAAAACTAAGAAATTTGAGCGCTACGAGAGGCTTTAGCTCATTAGTACGCTACGACTGTATTGAAGAAGGCATTCATCTCTTGCCATTCTTTCGCTAAGATGCACGGTGCCTGAATCGCTCTCGCCCTGTCTCAATTTCATCCTCCAGTGGCGCAGTTGCGTTGGACCTGTGAAGACAGGACGGTACTCGTGTGCTCTCTGCGTCATCTCCAGTTGCAGATCAATGAGAACCTCGAGAATGGCCATCCAAGCAGCGATGAAGGCCAGCAACCCGGCATTTACTTCAGAAGATATCCTGACTCTATTCACCATGGACAAAAAGGTAAGTTGCCATACTCCCATAAATAGATCGAGAGATCCTGGCACAATAGCGTTGGATTGTTCGGCGGAATCGACACTACACGTGCTCTTCCTATAACCTCCAGGGCTGTTCGGAGACACAGAGGCATAGACCAGCGTCAATGTGCTCCAGGGCTGTCACAAATGGCATATGCGGCGAACATTTCGCTGACAATGAACCCAGAAGCCCCGATCTGCCTCTCTAGCCTCGATACTGTCCGCCTTTGTGCCTACATTGCTCACTGCGATGCTGTTCATTGCGGTGTTTGCAACCATCAGACATCGTTACCCGAAAATCTACGCGCCCAGAACGTTCATCTCCACGATCCCAGAGAAGTAAGGATCTATGTTTTGTCTTTGAGTACCCTTCGCTGAACTGGTCAAGGGATCGTACACCCAAGGCTCGCCAGTCCTACTTCGACTGGGCTCATACATTGTGGACCATCCCCGACAAATTCATCCTCTATCACGAGTCCCTAGATGCATACCTCTTCCTCCGATTCCTTCGAACCCTCATATTCATCTGCGTCGTCGGGGTTTGCCTCACTTGGCCTATTCTTCTACCGACCAATGCCAGCGGCGGAGGGACATCCACCGAACTGGACAAAATATCTATCGGAAATGTTTCTGACAAGAAGAAGCTCTATGCCCACGCCATACTGGCGTGGTTATTCTTCTCTTTTGTCATGTTCACCGTGGCCCGTGAGCGGCTATGGCTGATTGGTCTTCGTCAAGCTTGGAATTCGGCCAAGTCCAACGCGAAGCGTCTGTCCTCTCGGACCGTCATGTTTCTCTCTGCACCCCGAGAAGCAATGGAGGAGGGTAACTTGCGTCGGCTTTTTGGCGAAGATTCCGTACGGGTTTGGCCCGCGAAGTCGTCGGAGAAGCTCGAATCCCTGGTGGCCGAAAGGGACTCGCTGATCGAAAAGCTCGAAGTCGCAGAAATATCGCTAATTCTCAATGTGAACAAGAAGGGCAAAAAAGCAAGACGAGGCTCGATAGGCAGAATTGGCAATGACCCGACGTACAATAGTCTGCCCGACAGCTTCAAGCAATCCTTGCGGCCAACACATAGGCTGAAGACGCCGCCGGTTGGAAAGCAAGTCGACAGTATCGATTGGCTACGGCAACGCATCAAGGAAAAGAACGCAAAAATAGATGAACTGCGGCAATCCCATGATTCTAGAGAAGGTCACGGGGCCGAAGCCATCTTTGTCGAATTCTCATCTCTTGCCGCGGCACAGAAAGCATACCAGCAGGTTGCGTCCTCGGGAGTTTTTGCCTTGACCCCTAGATTCACTGGGATCCTTCCGTCAGAGGTCGTTTGGAAGAACCTTCGGCTGCCACCCGCTCGCCGTATCTCGCAGGATGGTGTCGCACTTACGCTCGTGATTCTCACGATTATCTTCTGGTTTATTCCAATCGCCATTGTGGGTGCGATATCCAACGTTAGTTACCTCGTGGACCATGTCAAATGGCTCAGATTTTTGAACAACTTGCCTGATGTGGTCATGGGACTCTTGACGGGCCTTGTGCCGCCTCTCTTGACCAGTTTACTTAGCAAATATGTGCCGAACATTTTCCGGTGTAAGTTAGCGCACTTCGCACCCTGAAATTGTGGTGAGAAGCTTACGCCAGTTGTTTGCAGACATTTTCAAGACGTTCGGGGACCCCACCAATACATCGACCGAGATAAGGGTCTTGAAATGGTACTACGTGTTTCAGGTGGTCCACGTCTTCCTGGTAACCGCCGTAGCTTCGGGATCCGCCGCGGCGATCCCTCAGATTGTGAGTGAAGCGGCAGAGAATCCTACATCAGTGCCTATGATACTGGCCAAAAACCTCCCGACTTCGTCCAATTTCTTCCTCACATACTTCATCGTTCAAGGCTTGACGAGCTCTTCGGACAATCTGCTCAACTACTCTGACCTACTGTCCTATCTGTTCTACGACCGCTTCTTCGACAAGACCCCTCGGCAGAAATTCCAGATATTCACCAGCCTGACGGGAATAGCATGGGGCAAAGTCTTTCCTAAGTATACCAACTTCGTCATCATCGGTAAGTCCTCTCTACACTACGCATGGCATCACTTACAAATTCTTCAGCCATCTCCTACTCGTGCATTGCGCCCCTGGTCCTCGGGTTCGCCGCCGCCGGTCTCGCCATGTTCTACGTCAGCTACCGGTACATGCTGCTGTACACGGTGGAACCCAAAATCGACACAAAGGGGCACTGCTACACGCTCGCTCTCCAACAGATTCTAACAGGCGTGTACATCGCCGAGCTCGCCCTCATCGGGTTTTTCGGGCTGCGGAGCGCCACGGGACCGTCTGTCTTGTTGATTATCCTATTGGTTGTGACTGTCCTCTATGACCTCATCATGAACAAGTACCTAGCCCCGTTGGAGAAATACATCCCTGCCGATGTAACAACGAGCCCGGAGATCAGCGGCGACGGAGACGAACAAACACCCCTCCTCGCATCAGCAGAAGAAGGAGAAGCTTCACCGCAGCATTCTCATATCCGCTCCCTCGGCCACCGGGCCCACGTCCCGGAAAAGATTCTTGATCCCGTAGCGCGCTTCTTCCAACCGCAGATCGCCACCTCGCACCGCGCCCTCAAGACGTGGCTCGCGCAAGACCCGTCCTTCGACGCCGACTCCGATGTCCCCGAATACAGCGAGGAGCAGTTGGAAAAGGCGTATCTGAATCCGGCGTTCTGGAGCGAGTGTCCCCTGGTGTGGCTTGCGAGGGATGAGATGGGAGTTAGCAAGGCCGAGGTGAGGGAGTGTGAGCGGGAGGGGTTGAGGGCGAGTGATGAGGGGGCGTGGGTGGATGAAAGGGGGAGGGTTAGGTGGAATGAGGAGGGAGAAGATGGGAGTGTGCCGGTTTTGGGAAAGCGGGTTCGATGGTGAGTGGAAGGAGGGTGGTTGCAATTGGAGAGAGGCTTTTCCCATTGTTTGCGATTGTGAGTTTGGAAGTGCGCTGGCAATGCTAGCTTCAGGAGCGATAGGAATGGGTATCATGAGTACGTATATCTACCTTTAGTATATGTCCGGAGAAGGAAGACTTGTCGTTGAAAGAAGGTTACCCCTCCCCTGGATCCATTACCTAATTAGCGGCCGTAGGGTCCTGCCCGCCGGGTCGATAGTGCGGCTACGTCACAATCACGGATCGGCGCCGAGGTCGAGATCGAGCAGTCGATATCTCGATGCTTTGTGCATCCACATCTACATTTTCGTATCGAATCCTCAATCATCATCCAATTTATCCCCTTGCGCCATGAGTATACGGTATGAGGAAGAAGGCGGAACAGGGCGCGGATTTACGAGGAGCTGCAAGCATGGAGGAATAGATTGAATGTTGATTTTGCTAACCATCTGGGTATTAAGCTCTCGACACGGGTATCGTGTCGTTAAGTAGGACACGAAGATACATGAGAGAAACAAAGAGATATCTCGTTGGAATAGAAGAAGTATACACGCAATCCATGACGTCGTCAAGTCGTAAAGGGCTCCGGGCTTCTGTCAGGAATATCTCCATCAAACCCCTATCGAAAATTCGTATACACACTGCTTCATTCAAATATCCATGATCTCGTTACCACCGTCGCCAAATCTTCGTATCGACATCGTCTCGGCCAAAACCGATTTAGACGTAGTGGCTGCTGCGGCGGCTGCTGTGGTGGGAGCGGCGCGGGCTGCGGTGGGCGTGGCGCGAGACGTGATGGGTCTCGCGCTTCTCGTATTTGCTCTTGATGGAGAGGGCGAGGAGGAAGGTGAGGAAGAAGAAGATGCAGTTCCTACAAGTATCAGAATCCGTATCAGCCAACGATTCATAAAAGCAGCAGCCGACGAGGAGAAGCTAGGGGGAAAGAAGGAAGACTCACATGATTCCGAAGGCCAAACTCGCCTTGAGCATGGCGCACTCCTTGTTCGTCACCAACCGCGGATACTGGCCGCTGATGCCGAACCAATCCCCCAGACTCACGCTATAAGTATCTCTCTCGAAATGACTGCAATCTGCATCGGCGATCCCTCTGAGCTCATACACGGCGCCGATAAACGCGCCTACGAACAGCAAATCGACAAAGGCCACGAAGGCGGCGCTGTGCCGGGCGCGAGCGTACAGGAAGAGGGTGCCCAAGGTCCAGGCGGCGCCGAGCACGGAGACGATGAAGAGGATCAGGATGTCCCGAGGGGTGAGCAGGTTGCGGGTCGTGTAGAAGTCGACGAAGTAGGCGAGCATGCCGAGGGTGGGGATGAGGGTGATGATTTGCAAGATGCGCCAGAAGCCGAAGGAGAAGCCGCGGAAGGCCATGGTTGCGGTTTTGGAGGGGGTTGGGTGGGAGGATTTGGACGTTGGTGTTGGTGATGGTGGTGATGATGACGGTGGTAATCGTGGAGGGGATTGCTCACGGCGCGGTGGTGTAACGATGCGCTGCGGCACGGACGAAGGATTAGCTCTGCGACGGAAGCTGTAGAAGGGTTCCGGGCATGCGCAGGACGACGCGCTCGTGGCTGCGGCTGTGACTTGAAGCCAGTCGGTGATGATCACTGGGAGGTGTTGGGCGGTGACGTATGCTGGAGGGAGCCCTGATTTTATTACTGCAAGCTGCGCCTGCAGGAGATGGCAGGGGGACGTTGAGGTGGCTGGGATGACGCCCCCACCTGCCGCCCAGCCTCTCATGTCTCTCACGGTACTCCGTAACTACAGAATCATCACGTTGAGAAACACCAACAAGCTGGGCAAAGCGACCCGTTGGGAATCCTTCAAGATGTGGTGGCTGTTAGGGCTGCGGACGGACGCGGGGATTCGGGGTTCGCGCTTGCCGATTTCGACTGAAGGTGGAGACCTCGACCTTTGAACCTTGTCTCGTCCCAGAGATCGGATGCCATCACGTTCCTTCACGTTTCGTTTGGCTTCATACGCGTCCACCGCGAGGCGAGCGTCGACTCTCCAAGGCGAAGACATCGGAATCGGCACGTCGCTACTACTCCTTACTTCACAGATGTCTTCTGTTAAGATAACCCGCTTCTCATCAGCCAGACCTCTGCCCTTGTTGGACGCTGCATTGCAAATTCCCAACGACGAGCCCCCTCGACGCAACCCATCGCTGCAATCTCACCACTGAACGGACTGCGGACTGTCCTTGTACACGGCACTCCTGAAGATCCCGCCTGGTGCTGACGCCCAGATCTCTGCAATTGCAAAGGCCATCTCTTGACGCAGCTCCTTATCGCTGGCCCAGTGGCTGCCGGCGATGCTGCCATTTACCAACTGCCCCGTTCGGGTTTGGACGCCTGGAGCGCCGACTTTACCAATTCACTAGCTAAAATCATTATCTGCTCGAGCTCCGTCCTCCTACCTGAAGCTCTTACGGAGACGGCTGTTTAATGCGCGGGAAACCTCCAACCAGCTACGCCCGTTTCACCCGACAGGGTTGCTTATCAGAGCCAGACCCCAGGGCCTGGGCGAAACGCCATCGTCCCTTCGACTTGGGATGCACCTGCATACAGGGTCCCTTGCGGTCCTAAGAAAAACAAACCATTCCGACTATATCCTACTGCTACCTCACCATGTTGTCGTGCTTTTTTTCTGTTCTTACTTTTCCTTTGCTCACGCGAGCATTCCCCTTGGCCCCAGAATCGGACAACTCCATACTATTCACCAACCCCACGATACTTTTGACCCGTCACTGATGCCTTCTCCTTGAATATCTGGCGGGCAACACGACGATTGCATTACACGCATTCTTCAATGGCTTAGCCGATGTAGCACTCACACCATAATTCCTAATGTCTGCAAGAGGTGCTCGTAGTCGAAAGGCCGTTGCCAAAGATATCGAGAAAAAGGAGAAGAAGGCGGCCGAAAAGAGAACGACGGATGCTCCTCCGACACCTCGAGATGTCTTTGCCGAGTGGCCTCCTCCGCCCAGTCACAGTTCCAGGGACGCCACACTTCCCTCAGGGTCCTTCAAAAGGTGCAGCAATGGCAGCCAAGCAACTTCACGCAGCGGCTCCACCAACCCAGCACACACCAACCCTTGCCTGAACACGATCCACTCTCACGACTCTTTCGATTTCAAGGTCCTCGGTGCTGATGCCTCTGCCAGTCGCTCCACATCCATCTCCGGCAGCTCGACCCAAGACAAAGAGAAGGAGAAATATCAGACCAAAACCGGAAAAGGTACTAAAGCACCGCGAGGTCGAGGCGGCGGCGTACCTGTAAAGAAGCCCGTACTCACATCTCCGGCATTGCGCACATTCCGGAGCGAAAGCAGTGCCGCTCGCCTTCATCCGAGTCAGAAGACGTGGATCGATTTCAAGATATGGGAGAGTAGAGATTCCCTTCCTCCGTACGGCGGATGGGATTATGACGAGCACCTGCAGAGGGGTAATGTGCTTGTCTATTTCAAGGAGGAGCAACTATCCGAGGAACAGTCCGTAGCGCAGATTCGCTGCGATTTAGGTGTCTTGGAGAACTCGGGTTCGACCTGGTTGAGGAATGCTTTGTTGTATGGCTGCATTGAAGATCACGACGTTGACTGGGACAAAGGTGGGAGCCCGTCATCTTCTCAGTCTCCACATGGTTTCCCACAGCCCCCAGTTGAGCGAAGGATGCTCAGTTCCTGTTCTCCAGGAGGAACGCCGCCGTCCCCTTTCCATATCGACCAAGCCTACTTCGAGGTGTCACCGAACGGCATTGCATCCAGAGCACAATATTATTCCGATATAGATCGATCCCGACGGGCGCAGTCGCAGAATCTCCGTCAACCCCCAGGAGAGGCAGAGGCAACTCATGAACTCTGGTTTACAGCTCCGGCAGATGTCCGGACGCCGCAGGAACAGAGGCTACACCATGTTGCAATACGCAACTTCTTGGCCATGTTACATGGCAAGCCCATCGTCGGCGCCGATCTGTACGAAATGCTCACCACGCTGCAAGCCGAAATACAGGTCATGTACGATCTCGACCACAATCACGACTCGCGGTCCTCACGAGACCGCAGTGTGCAAATGATTGTAAAGTACCTCATCCAACGCGGCTTCGATGACGTCCGCAACAACATCAAGAATGCCCTCGCCCTCCTCGCCTGGTCCGAGCAAGAGAACGTCAAATGGCGACAAGGCTACCTAGAAAGCTTCGTCCACCTCGCAGGCGTCATGTCCCCCCAGATGGAAGAGCTCGCCGACTTCAAACGCCTGTCCATGGTAACACGTCGCAACCTCGCCATTGCAGCAAAGTCCCTCCAAGTGCGCATCATGGAAACGGAGCAAAAGCTCTCTTCCTTCGATTTCAGTGAGTTCTGGGTCGATGACGTGAATATCAAAGGAGCTGGAAGTGCCGTCCATCAGAGCTACACTGCCTTCCGCCACTTGCTAATCGGCTACGTCACTCGCACGTACGGGAACTGGCCGCCCACACCATCCCAAACCTGGCTGAACCGCAAACTGCTGCTCGCCCTGCAGCAAGATTTTGGCGGCCTGTACGATTACCTCGTGGACCGCGACATCATCTGGGATTCCGCCGAAGAGCGACCGGGCAGGAAATGGGAGATGGTGAATCCGAGGAATACGGAATTCAGAGCTGATTCGGACCACCTGAGTCTGACAGATTTGCTGGTTCAATTTGATAATCGGCATGCCTACTTGCATATCCCGCATCCCTATCCGTTGTTGCCGAAGGAGATACCGGCGATGGGTGGGAAGGGGATAGAGAGAAAGAAGGGGCTCTTTGGGGGTTTGAAGAAGCAGAAGGTGGATAAGAATGGTGGTGGGGAGGCGGACGTGAAGGCGCAGTTGCAGCTGAGTATCATGTTCGGGGATGCGACGAATGTGCAGAAGGCGGATGTGGAGTTCAACGGTGAGTTCTCTATTTTTCTTCTCGTTTCTTTGCGGGTCTTCCTTCCGGATCTTGTTCCAAGGGCTCCGCCGCAGTGCTAATGAGTGGAGCAGGAAACACCCTCATTGACTCCTTCGAGCGTTTCGAACTCTCCTCCTCTACCGCGGCACCATCCATCTCACCCCGCGACGCCCGCCTGGGCCGCTGGATCCTCCTCTACGGCATCCTCCAGGTCCTGTCCACGCTCTCCGTCGACGTGCGAGATCTGAAATGGACGCAGGGCGTCAATTACTTTCTCTGCGCGGACCTGAAGAGATGTCCTGAATGGGTGGTCGGGGCGGACGGCCAGAAGCACATGGAGGCGGTGGAGGCGAGTCAGCTCCGGAGTTGGTGCTGGCAGCGGCCGTGGGCGCCGACAGTGATTGAGGGGAAGGCGGTGGAGCTGGAAGGGGAGGGGAGTTCGTTTGCGCAGCAGCAGCAGCAATGGGTTGAGGAGTTTGATGCGGATATTAGAAGGCTTGGGAGGAAGATTGAGCGGATGCAGGTATCGTCTATGGCGATGACGATGGAGGGGGAAATGGATGCGTATTCTATCGCCAGTGGTGGGGAGTATCGACTCGTGGATCGCAGGATTTGGAATGAGAAGGTGAAGAGTGACGAATTTGAGATTGCGAGGCGGGGACTGGATGTCGGCAAGGGGATAGGCACGGATGGTTCCTTCGGGCTCACGCAAGCCGACTACGAGTTAAGGGATTGGGACGGTGATTTGGAGCCCCCTATCATACCGATGAGGAGTCCGCAGCGAAGACCTAAGGAATTGCACAAGGGGTTTGAGGAACCGCACCAGCCACAACAACGGCAGGGGGAGAGGGAGAAGGAGCCATATTTGCACCGGAAAGCGTATGGTCATGGGAGAGACTGGCCGGAGGAGAGAGCTGGGTGGGTGTAGTAGCCGGTAGACGGTCTAGAAAGAAAGGTTACGATTTGTATGAGTCACATATGAAAGGATCTATGGCGAAGGAACATAGCGGGAAGTGCGAACTCGAGTCTTGACTGGGGTTTGCACATACGGCAAAGATGAGGGAGCACAGAGTATGTGGGAGCACAGAGTTGAATTGGGCTAATTTCTTTGCATTGGTACTGGTACATGAGACTCGTGCCTCTATATGCATACAATTCGCGCACAACAACACGTGCGATCCATCTATTCCCACAATATGCTTGCGGATCGAACGCCCTATATCCTTCTTCAATCCCCCAACGAATGGTCATACAAGGATCCGCAACCGCGAGAAAATACAGTACATCCTTTCTCATCCCACACACCCCTCCCAATCCTTCTTTTACCAAACCCGACAAAGCGCCATCCCACCGATCCTTCTCTCCACACACTCCCTCGCCTCCAGAATCCCCCGATCCGTCGTCACAAACATGCACTCGCCGGGATGCGTCAACCCTTTCACGAACGCGCTCTCCCTCGTCCGCGTAATCTTGCCCAGATCCTCGCTCGTCAGCCATATCCTGCGCGTCGGTTTGCTCACGAGTTTCATGTGCTTGAGGACGGGCTCGTTTTGGTAGTACTTGAGGCCGAGCCAGAGGCGGCGTTTCGCGGGGTTGAGGGGCACGTGGACTTCGGAGGCGTCGCCGGGGCGGGTGAGCGGGGACGAGGTATTTATCGAGGGGAGTTGTGAAGCGGAAATCTTGGTGGTGGTGCTTTCGGCTCCCGGTTCGCCGGCTGCTTCATCGGCTCCGCCGTTCGTCGTCGTTTGCATTTGCAGCAGCGCCCGGACTGCGCGCGGCTGTTTCCTATCCGCCACGGGGTACGCTAACCACGGCTGCTCCCGTAGCAGGTCGGCCATGTTGTCCAGATGCTCGGGCGAGGGTTGCGCCTGCAGGAGAAACGGTTTCGGCGGCGTGGGACCGCCCAATGTGAGGCTGGAGAGGAAGCCTTCGCGCTGCAGGCCCAGCATGAGCTTCACGTGCAGTTTGGACACGGGGATCGAGGTGACGGCTAGTCGGGCTTTGGAGGCGTTTTGCAGGTGGGAGCAGACGTGGGCGAGGTTGACGAGGGACATGGTTGCTGTTGGGAGGAGCGTGGATGGGAACGGCGTGAGGTTGGTGAAGGAGCGGAGGGTTGGAGGTTTTTGCCCGCGAGGGGCCTGCGCGGAAAACGAGCGTGCGATTGGGAAGTGAAGATGTCGTCGGAGCTGGATTCGTCTCCGGAATTGCGATGGACCCAGTAGTTGGTGGCAATGGGCGCTGGCAATGAAACCTCCTCTCCTCCACGCGATGCGTTCTCCAAAATTTCGGCGATGGAGAGACGCTGGCCATTGCGGACTCCCGAAGCGCGCCATCCCCAATCAAGGATCCTTGTTATCCTTGGCATGGCCATCCCAAATCATGAGTTGCCGGCGCCAAAAATGACCTGACTCTGACCACGGCGGCTATTGAGCGACGGAAATAGAACGTCTGGAGGGTTGGGGGTTATTTATATAAGCTGGTGGGCTGCTGCTTTTATATTCTGGGTTTGATTCAATGGCATTTCCATAGTCCCAATACTCCTCTCTGCTTCAACTTCTTCCAAGGTTGTTTCCGTTCGTGAGAGCTGAAGCGTGTGTGTGGGGGTCATCGCTTGTTTACGAGAGAAACAAAGGTTCTGGTGAAGGGCTGCTTCTTGACAGACAGTATGCCGCCTGTGCAAGGAGAAGTGTCTCTCCTGACCCTGTAAGTCCTCCTCTCTTACTCATATCAGACATATTCTAACAACTTCCAGTTTTGCAGACGTCCACTACTACTTCAGCCCACCCACCCAAAAGCCCCCGCACCACCGCTTCGACAAGTCCAGCTACGTGTATCTATACCACAATCCCATCCAGCAGAGTGGGAGGATCGAGATTGCAAATCATGCTGGAACTCCGGACCAGGACGCCTTTGCTGGCTGTAAGTCGTGGCCGCTACATCGCTCCAACAATCACTGACCGCGACCTCCACCCAGCACTGGATACCGTCAAGATAGAACAGTCCTATAAGCACCCATGCCTCTTTTCCCTCACGGTCGATGCGTTCCGCAGTCGAGGAGGGAGCGCGGCTCCCAGCCCCCAGCAGGACATGTCCCAGTGGCATCTCCCCTCGCCTGACCCCCGCGGAGACGGCAAGTACATGTATCGCATACATACTGTGGACCTGTATTTCTGGACCCCAGACGACGCGGGCCTGTTTCTTGATTCGTTGAAGAGGGTGGCCCAACCGCACCAGCTGCAAATCGTAGCGAACCCGCATGCTGCAATCGAACACAAGACGGATGTGATGAATCCGGTCGTGGCTAAGTTGGAGAAAGCAGCCATCTCACAGTCCACTCCCAGCCCTAGTCAGAGCAATTCCTTCCCTGGGCCTCCTCCTGCACCTGCACCGGCTCCGAGCACGAGTCCACCTGCATCAACCTTCACACCCATTCCATACAATCCAGCAGCACCAGCCGCCCCTGAGCCCATCGCACCTCGGGAGAAGACGCCGCCTCCCCCTGACGCAGCTGACGGTACGGGTCTCAATGCGGCCGCCCACCATGATCAACAGGGCCAGCAGTACCAAAACCCCCTCCAAGCCTCCTTCACCCCGCAACCTACCTCCGGTCCCTACATTCCCGGACCGCTCTCGCGTGCTCAAACCTTCTCCGGTCCCCCCACTCCAGGCATTCAACGCGCTCCAACCTCGATCTCCGTGTCTCTCCCACCGCCACCTCAAAGCCCGCCTGCCTTCGCTCCCCCTCCCACCGCACCTCCACCAACCCAACAATACGCAAACTACGCAGCCGCAAACCCCGGGCACGCCCAACCCCTCCAATCCCCCAGCTTTGGCCCTTCAGCCGCACACCACACGCCCCTCCCTTCCCCAGGCTTCCCCCCGCAACAGTACCAACCGCTCGCCTCCCCGCCTCCAGGAGGCTACGCACAGTACCAGTACGGTAGCACGACGCAGCAAGTCCCAGGCACGGACCCGTACGCAACGCACCAGCAGGTGTATCGGCCGACGGAGCAGGAGGCGAGCGTGGAAGCGGGCAACGAGGCACCAGAGAAGCCGAGGAATTCGAATATCGGGCGGAGGGCGGAGAAGGTGGAGAAAGGGGTGGGCAAGTTGTTGAAGAAGTTGGATAAGAAGTTTTAGGTGGGATAACTAGGAGGTGTGTGTGACCATTGGGAAGGAACGCATTTTTGAAAGTTTGGATGGGAATGCTTGAGTTACTGATTAGGTTAGCGAGGGAGTTTTGATTTATGATGGCTTGATGACGGCGGCATTTGCAGGAGTATATGAGGTTATGATTGAGGTTGTTAAGCAGCGCATTGCCTCCCCGTCTACGGGCAGATGCATTTCGTTCTTTCGCTTTAGGAGCACGATGGAGTGTTAACTTCCGACTCAACAAGATGCGATGTGTTAGATCGCACCTGAGCAGCTTGAATGTGTGGTCTATATGTAAACATCTAGGTACGTACCTACTATAAGAATGGCCGTAGGATCCCATCTCTCAAGGTTGGTGGGGCGGCACTCCACCTTGGCTCCAGGGCTGACACCTACGTTCTTCCCGTGCCAGCTCCCTTCTAGTCTACCTGTGCCGCACATGAGGTATAATGATATCAAGATTCCCGGCGGCCCTTCTTATATGCAGGCTCATACCTTTTCGACAGGCTCCACTTCTGCGAATACGAATGCCATTTCGTGGTCCCAGAGATTAAGTCGACGACCAAATCCCTGTTCAGGACCTCTGGGAATTATCCCCGCTCAACAAGCATCAGTTTATTATACTCCCACATCCACATTTCTGGGACAGATAGACCATCTTGGGGTAATAACTCCTACGGGATAGTGCTGACAAAGCAGTAAGCAAAACATTCAAATATCTACATAGATAGTAAGGACCGCCCTTGTTTTTCTAACTACGCCCTTAACCTTTGTCAAATTCAGGGAGCTCCATGCGCCTATAGACAGTGCCTTCTCTCTCAAGTTTCTGTTTATTCGATCTTTTCATTCATGAAAAGCATTTACTTCTGTCGAATTCTCATCACTTGTCGACAATCCGAACCAGAAGGCTGCTGAGCAGTTTCTCTGCACCCCACGCCTTCCCCCTAAAAACCCCTCCTCCAACATGTCCGAGAACCCCAAGGAAATTGTCCGCCAAACCTACAACCAAATCGCCCAATGGTATCTCGAGTGGGTACAAGGGCAATCCTCCCCTCGCGAACGCTACACCAACAAAGTCCTGGACAATGCACCCTCATCCCCGCACATCCTCGAGCTCGGCTGCGGCGCCGGCATCCCCATCACGCGAATGCTGCTAGATCGGGGCGCAAAGGTGACCGCAAACGATATCTCGGAGCGGCAGATCGAAATGGCGAAGGAGCGATGTCCCGAAGCGACCTTCATCCCGGGGGACATGCTCGCCTTATCCTTCCCGCCCGAAACCTTCGACGGCGTCGTCAGCTACTTCGCCGTCTTCCATCTCCCGCGCGTTGAGCAGAAAGCCATGTTGACTAAACTCTACTCGTGGCTCAAACCCGGTGGCGCGTTTGCCTTTAATCTAGCGACCATGGACGAGGAGGAGATCCACGGGGAGTTTCTGGGGCATGGCATGTTTTGGAGCAGTTATGATGTCGAGGGGAGTGGGGAGATGGTGAGGGCGGCTGGGTTTGAGGAGGTGGAGATGGAGGTGCTGGAGGCCGGGGATGGGGAGTTGGAGGAGGGGGATCCGGATTTTGGGGTCAAGTTTCTGTGGGTGTTGGCGAGGAAGGAGGGAGGGGAGGGTAGAGAGGGGGAGAAGCCGGGGAAGGCGGATTGAAGTGTCTGAGTTTGCTGCACACACGCAGATATGGCAACAAATGACCCTAGTGACGGTTGACGCCAATATACCTGAAAGAGGCCTTAGTATTTGGAATTATGGATTTCGCACATTTTGCTCCGTAGCAGTCTGCCTGTTGCTAAAGAAGCAGCCAACTGCCACTGGGGCGTGGTCGGCTCCCTAATATGCTTAGCTAATCGAGAGGTTGGCTAGAAGCACATTGCACGTCCCACACCCGCTCGATACAGCCTGTCCAAGCACTGCTGGGATATGTTAGATGACGAGGATTCACTTCAACACCCGTGTCTCAGAAGTCTACCAGAGGAGAGCTCGACTTGTCTAAAAGCCATCGTTTCACACATATTTACCTGCGCTGTCATGCTCCTCCCATAACAACACTGACTCAACGTCCGGAGATCGTTCTCGTCTTGAAACTATCCAAGAGAATTCAAATTCATGGAGCAAACACGCATGCAGGCGCGATATCGTGGGGAGCTGGCGCTAACCATCTTGCACTGGTACCGTACCAAAAATAGCATCACCACTTCTTCCTTTTTCTGTCTCAAATCTGGTGAGGGCCAGAGATGCAAATCCGCAAATTCCGAGATACATTCAACAGCTTCCTTATGAATCTCAAATTACAGTGATAAACCTGCAATTGCTTACACCCTTACGGCGCACAGCCACACTCTCCCATCCACCATTCGAGATCGGTGATGTGCGGCTGTGTTGGGTGGGGCCGTGGGACGCGAATCACGGACACTAAGACGGGCCTGTCTAGCGTCTCGCCAAGGCGGTACTATCTTGGAAGCATCCATCGCCTCAGGTCGACAGCTCACTTCCTCCGCCGTCTTCACTTCTCAATCCTCCGCTGCGTGTGCTCCATAATTTTTCGACATTCGCCTTGTTTGCTGTATCTAATAGGTTCATCATTATTGCATTATTATTGTATTTACTTGGTTTGCCGTGCCGGGCTATTGGAATAGTGACGATTACTGATTGGCGATTGCGAATAAGACGGGACGATTTAGCACCGTGCGAGATCGATTGCCAGCGGCGAACGACTTCAACGACGACAGAGACTCCGGCCGCTTGAATACAATCTGGTGGACCTCTCGGGAACAATTTGCCTTGCTTAGGAGAAATACTGGTAGAGGAAGGCGGATTGCGACGCACGCCCCGCCGTGACGGACGCTTCATGGTTACAAGCGAAAAGCAGGTATCAACATCTCCTGCTGCGGGTACAAGGCAGTGAACAGAGGAACTATGAGGATACCTCTTGCACACTTGTCGTTGGGCCTGGAAAGAAGAGATGGGGACGGTGACAACAAGGGCCAGAGCAAAGATCGCAAGGGAACGCAATTCTACCTGGTACCTTCTGCAATCCGAACCAATGGCAAGGACACCATACTAATATTTGCCCGCAGGTCGCCATTGCCATCCTCGCAATCATCCTCGTTCTCATTATAGCATACTTCATCCGCTACCGCTGTGTCCGCCACCTCCGCCGCCAAGGGCATTCATCTTCTCGAAGTAAGAACGAAAAGCTCCCCTCGCTCTTCAGCTGGCGGAACCTGCTCCCAGGAAAGCGTCGACCCCGTCGCAACGACTACTCTACCACACTGCAGCAAGGAGATGAGCTCGACCGGGGGCATGGCCGTCAGATGAGCAGCGGAGGCGAGAGCGTTTCACTGCAGGACCCGGAGCGCGCAGTCATGGCTGGCGGAACAGTTGGCATAGATCGGAATACCTCGATTAGGAGCGTCATGACGCTGCCAGCATACTCGCCCTCTGCGCGCGAGAATGAGCGCATCATCGCCCGCGAAGGCGAAAGAGGCGGCATCGATACCGTCGTCGAGTTCCCCGAAGCTCCAGAGGAAGAAGAAGCACGCCGCGAGGAGGAGATGGAATCGCTCTACCAAATTCGACTGGCCCGCCGCCAGGAGGCCGCAGAGCGTGAAGCTCGCCGAGAAGCTCGGCGCGCGGCCCGCGCACGAGGGGACATTCAGGCTCTAGCGGAGCTCCGCCGACGCGCCGACGAAGCAGCAGAATTCAGCCGCAGTCAGGAACTCATTGCCTTCCACCAAGCACTCGCTCCGCAACGGGAACGCCGTGTAAGCAGCGTGCAATACGGCGACCTGGGTCTCGCACGCCATGACGGAACAAGAGTGCGAGCAAGCTCCAACGCCAGTGATAGAAGCGACGTGCGGACTGGACTTCTCGACTCCGCGGCCAGCATCTCCGGCCACAGCACCAGGGGAAATACACTGCACACGCATTATCGTGGACCTTCCGCTGGCTCGATCGTAACGTCCCGCGCCTCGAGCGAATTCGAATATCCCGAACCCGCAGCTGCGCCAGCGGGCATTCGTAGGTCCTCTTCCAGCCCCGACGACGACTTCGAAGTTGTTTCCAATTCGCGGCCGCGCTCGAGATCGAGGAGCCAGTCCCGGTCTGTGAGCAGAGTAGGGACGCCGGCGTTGGTGAACCCAAGTATAGAGATTCCGAGGGAGGAGGCACCCGCGTATGAGAACCCGCCGAATTATGAATCTCCGGTGGAGACGAGGGCGCCCGGGTTGGGGATGCAGAGTGTGGAGCGGGTGCCGAGTATTCAGGTGACGCCGGAGGGTGCAAGCGAGGGGCGGAGTGCATCGCCGAGATGAGGATAATGATGAGGACGGTCACATAATTTCTGTGGATGGAGGATCTTAAAGACATTTCCCAGGATCGAAGTTCTCATGGATCGGAAGATTTGAAAGCCCATATACACCCTATTTATCCTGGAGCCAGAGGAGAGAAGGAATCACGACGACACGGCGCTTATGTTCAGAACGTTCATCATGTTTATACGTACTTGGCCGCCGCGCTACTCCCGCCCACCAGTGGATATCTGCGTTGATTCTTTCGGAGGCTTTCCATTTCGTCGGATATCTTGCCGCGGACAACCCACCACCACCACTTCTTAAAATGGAGAAGTGAAGTCGCTCTCGTTGCACGCTCCTCGACGGTCCATTGTTCTCCAACCGCACTCTAGGTGAACACCGCGACAGCTAGGAATTTGGCAGTCTCGATCGTCGCTTCCGAGTTGTGTATCTTCATCTAGGGAGAAGAGAAGAGAATTGAGGGGAGATGCAAAGTGGAGACGGATTTACGTCGAATTTGAATGTCGTGGGGATATGCGTAGAACCCTCGCCCAAGAGAGCGCGGATCACTCAAAAATGTGGATCTGATTGGGAATCAGTACGTTACATGACCGAACGGTAATAGTGCTTGGTATATCGCTAGGAAAGAATATAATAGCGTGGCAAGCTTGGTTGTGGCCCATCCGGGCGAAGCTCTTCGAAAGAATCAAAAATGGATTTGTGGGTGTAGATACCCCGGGTGCGCGGGGATTGAGTTTGGAGGAGACGATGCGTTTGGGGGGTCCATGGAGTACATACATATACATACCTTCTTTGGCTGGGCACATACATGAATAAGTAATGGACATCATTTCCTACAGATATCAAATCACAGTGGCAGGGCAAGAGATTGAGGAGAAGAGAAGAGAAAACCATGCCATTAAGCCTAGAGTAGTGATATATGCCGTATATACCCACCCACACCGATACCTGCACCGCGACCGAAAATCCTTAACCTCACTCCTATATCCCAATAGATACCCACAAAAGAAAATCGCCACAATCCAACTCTGAACAGGCCCTGAGACGTAAGTAAGGGGTGGGTATACCCACCCCGGAAGAACCACCGCCTTCATCATGAAAGCCGAGGACGAGAACCCCCCAACATCCGCCTTCCCTCGTATGAAACAAACCCCGTCCCAATGATAGTCCCATTCATAAATCATGACCATATCGTAACCTTCCCGATCCATCCCATCTGAAAAACCCAACCTTCCTCCCGCATCCTACTCCACCCCCTTCAACCAAGCCCAAACGCCCCCATCAGGAACCAACCACCCCTCAACCCCACTCACCCGCACAGCCGCCACAACAAGGACGCCCAGGACGCTCACACCTCCCAAAATCTTAACCAGCACTGTCCCTGTCCTCCTGACCTCATCGCCTAAACGACACAACCCAAGCGGATCCCTCGAATCCAGCGATTGGCGACCAGCATGCCATCCGGACTTGCTGATCGACTCCTGACTGTCGCGGTCCGCGGCCTTGACAACCGCCCAGTTTGCCCATTGTCCATCGCTGCCGCCTGTTATAGGAGAAGAACAAGTCATGGGAACGATATTCCCCTCCCGAACTTCCTCCCCCACTTTCTCAAGCAGCCATCTTGCCCGCTCCGTCCTTTGCAACTGCTCAAACCTCTCGCGCTCATGCCGCAGACTGCGCTGCAAATCCGTGGCCCATTTCGCGAGGCGCACTTCCGCGAGATGCTGCTGGCCTTGCGCAAATGTTGTGAAGCGGGAAAGTTGCAGATCCGGAATCGTGTTCTCGCCGTACTCAGGTTGAGAGTGCGAGAGGAGCGGGGAAGCCATGTTGGAAGGGAGATTTGAAGGGTAATTTGAGAAGAAGGACGAGTTGCTGCGCGGAACGAGGACGCCGGAAGGGGAGGTGCTGGAGAAAAGCGAGGAGGCTCCTGAGATTGGCAGGTCGTTATTGTGGCTATTCGTCGCACAGGAACGATGATACTTACCCTGAGAAGCTGCTGTGAGCCCAACAGAGGAGGCAGAGGGTGTGCGAGGATGGGATGGTAGTTGTTGAATGCCTCTTAAAGGGGAGCGGTCTTCTACCAGACTTGCTCTCCGTCTCCAAGACAGGAATTTCCTCGCAGCTGAGTGCCTTAACCACGCGATGGAGTCTGGATCGAACACCTGATCTACCAGAGTCGCGAGTTCTGACGGAAGCAGAGGCTGCACGTAGTCGGGTGACATGAGGAGTGACGCTTCCATGGTCTCCATATTCTGTCCGGAATTCGTAGATATGGCGTAGGGGTAGGTTGGGAAGTTGAAGGGGTATTCTGAAACTCCAAGCGAGGCTGACGGCTCTGAGGTGGATTCGGCGGCAACAATGGGAAGGCCCTGAACGGCTAGTAATGCATCTTCTATGGGTTTGCCGAAGAAGAACGGTCGAACAGTGGTCGCCTGCAACCGAGCAAGAACTGAAGTCTTGATTGCGACTATTTCCGAAGGACTCAGAGTGTCGGATTTTGCAATGATGGGAATGACGTTTGTTAGTGCAGATAGACGTTGCATGTAGTCGATATCTTTGGAGATGTCATGCACTGTGCCATCGTTAGCACATAGAATGCGACTAAAAACACATGCAACATACCTGGGCTAAGGAGATAAAGGACCACATCTACCTGGACCCCGCCGTTGCCCCCGATAACGCCAAGCACATCACTATCTTCCATCGATGCCACGGAAGCAGTTTGGATCAAGAGCGACTCAACATAGTCCACCACCAAGCTCTGGGTATCACCACTAGACGCCGCAGGTCCGTAACCGGGTGTATCAACAAAAGTGATATTTCGTTCGAGCACAGAATCAGTGGAACTCTTCCGCTTGCTCTTCCGCCGCGTACTTCCGCTCTCCTCCATATCGGTCCACCAGTGCGGCAACGCTTTGGTACTTGCGTGTATCTCAGTGATGCGGGTAGTGGTGAGGCCTTCGCGCTTTCGCCTGCGGGCCTTCGCTTTGGGTGGAGGGGATGAGGTAAAGGACTGCGACGGTGACAACGGATCGACATGCACGATGTCTTCGCATAACTGGACAATGGAGCGGATGAGGGAGGTCTTTCCCACCCCTGTAACGTGTAAGTAATCAAACACACCCAGGTCTAGAAGGGATCAAAGGGGTATGATTGCCTACCTGCCTCCCCAGCTATCAGTATCTTCAACTTCCCCATTGCTTTGCCCTTCGTAGTGAAAGGCCTCCGAGTAGGCATCTGTATGCTCGGCATGACAAGTTGTGGGAGGCTGCCGGAGTCTTCCACTTGGGTATCTTCCTCCTCCTCCTGCTCGTCCTCCTCGCTCGAGGCAATGGCCTGGCTGGCACACTCTTGAAATTCTGACTCTTCGTCTGACAACTTCAATGACAGCACCGAGATAGACCGAGGTGTACTGGGCATGGCTGAGTTGGGAACAGGAGACCGGGCGCCAGAGTTGAAGGGTGATATGGGATTCGATATGATGCGGTCTGATGTCTTCGCTCTGTTCCTGGTGAGCGGCGATCTGGAAGCGGGCTTTCGCCGGCCTCCTGGTGCCATTTGTGGACTGTGGGAGCGCCGCCTTGAACCCCCCTTCATACTCAGAAGGGGTTCAACCGCTTCATCGCCGCCGTTGGCTGAAGTTGCTGTTCCCACGCCAAAAGCGCTATTCAGAGTGTCTTCGAGGCTTTGAACGCCATAGGTACTATTTCCTTCTCTCCCATTCGACTCCGCGGCGGCAGAGTTCGCCAGCGAATGTTCCATTTCCGACTCACTCCTGAGGAAAAATGTGGTGGGGGCATTGTTCGAAGGCGGCGGGGCGGGTGATTGATCGACACGGGCGCTGCGAGACTTAGGAGGGGTCGAGGTGGTGGGAGATGTAGAGAGAGCTCGGGAGACACGTCCTGGCGAGCTCATGGTCAGACTCAGGGAGCATAAAGAGTTGACCAAGAGAAGAGGTTATTGTTGGACGTGGCTCCCGCGAGGACGCGGGTGTGTTGTATGCTGGCGGCAGCGGACCGATGATGATAGACGTTGGGGAAATAGCGGAGCAACCCCCACGCTAAGAGTACCCCGCCTGCCTAGTGTCCTACTGTATATGGCCACCAAAGAGGAGAGAAGAGGGTAGGAAGCAGCACGAGGGTGAAGGAAAAGGCCGGAGGAGAGTAGAGAAGGAGTTTAGGGGGTGGGTACAGGCCCGCATGTACGTGCCAGGTCTCTGCTGTACTGCACACTAAGGGTTGTCAAAGGTGCGGATGCGGCTTGCTGCGTGGCCACGCGACAATGAACGAATCACTGCGACGACTGCCCCCCTCCATCTACCTGGCACACATCATACATAGTACCTTTATAAGTACTTTTATACAATCAGCCTTGGGATGATGAGATATGGTCGTCATGTGACCTAACATGCTGTGATACACCGAGGGGGGATGCATCCACTGGTTGTGCTGTCGTCACAGTGCCTGGGGACCGAACCTAAGCTGGAGGAGCACCCCTATAAGGTTGCAGTGATTGTGTACGCTTTTCATACCTATCATACAGTCACTACGCCGTCGCGCCAGACAAGCCCGAAGACCATACTCCTTGCCAGCTGCCCGCCCTCCTTTGAACTGCCTAGATACTTCATGTTCGCCCCTCGTGTTCTAGCCATCCTGTAGTCATGACGCTAAGAAGAGACGCTCTCGATGCAGAGAAACCGCCGACTCCGCCAACACCCTCCAGGGCTTGTACAAATCACACTCCGGTCACCACAGCCGAACCCCGTGGTACCATTGACAGCGAAGGCCCAACCGCCCACCAAGGCACCTGCTGCTCAGATGGCCATCCACATGGACAAGCAAAGAAGAAACCGTTATCAAAACATGGACATGCGAAGAAGAAAAGCGGGCTTTTCCCTAGCAGATACAAGAGAAAGGGTGGATAAGGTACATGAGAGAAATGCCAAACGTGAGAAACCGCTATGCAAAGGAGATGGGGTGCCTGTGCAGGTGCAAGTGCAGAGACCAACGACTTTTGCCGAGACAGAACGGATGCGGAACCTGGGAGACACCGACATGACAGGAGGGATGTACAGTACATGGGATTACTTGAAAGCGTGAGTCGTGACCGAGGCAAGGCCAGTCATGATTCACCGGATGGGGGGAAGCCTAATCAGTTGGCTTCACACGACAAGGCACTTAGGCAACCTCTTGAGGTTGAGGACGTCCACCACGTCCACCGGCGCCGCCGCGACCACCACGAGGATTGAAGCTGCCACGAGGGGCCTGTTGACCCATACCGCCGCGGCCACGTTGGGAACCACCACGGGAATAGGGAGCGAAGCCTTGAGGGCGCATTCGGCGCTCCTCAACAGTGAGGTCGACGCCATTGACACGGTGAGGGTTGTTGCTGACAGCGGCCTGGAATCCAGCCAAAGTCTTGAAGTCGACGAAGGCACAGTTCTGGAACAAGTCAGTCAGATCCAAAAGCAGTGTCATATGGAACGTGACTCACCTTCTGGCGGCTGATATCAAGGTAAGTAATCTCGCCGAACTTGGACAGGGCGGCCTTCAAGGGACCCTCCTCGACCTGACTGTAGACGTTCTTAATGTAAGCTCGCTTGTTTTCACCATCGGCAGCCGGAGGCTGGGCTTGTGAACGGGACTGCTCCTTCTTGTGGCCAGTCACAGATTGCCATCCGGCAGCCTCACCCTGGCTGGTGGACGGCGAGGGCTCGCGAGCGGGGGCCGGCTTCTCAGCTGGCGCAGCTGGGGCCTGGCTGGCAGCAGGTGCCGGAGCCTTCGCCTGCGGTTGACCGGGCTGAGCAGTGGGGGCGGGGACAGCAGGCGTGGCTACCTTGTGGGCGGAGGCAGCAAGGCTAGCCCAGGTGCGTGGTACAGCCGGCTTGGGAGCAGCCGCGGGAGTAGCGGCGGCGGCAGGCTTGGGAGCCTCAGGAGCCGGAGTGGGAGCTGGTTCGGCGGGTTTCTCGGGCTCTGCAGCCTCCTTCGCAGGCGCTTCGGTTTGGGCGGCGGGAGCCTCCTCGGGTGCAACAGCTGGGGACTCCTCAGCAGCAGCAACGGGGGGCTCAGCAACCTCAGCTGCGGGACTACCGTTGACTTCGGGTGCAGGAGCAACGACAGCAGGCTCCTCGTGAGCGACCTCCTCAAGCTTCTGGTCGACCTTCGCCAAATTTTCCTCACTCTCACCAACGGCTTCATGCTTGACAGGCTCGGTGGGCTCAGCAGCAGTCGGGGCCGGCTCGACAATACCCGAGGGGATCGGCTCCTGCTGGTCCTGCGGGGCTTCTTCCTCCTCCGTCTCGTCTGCCAGGTAGCGGAAGATATCGTTGAGAAGGAAGTAACCATGGGTCTGGGCAGCGAGGACAAAGGTCTGGACGAACCTCTTGTGAGGCTCACCCTTGTTCGAGATTTGCCCGATCACCTGGATGACGATGTTGTCGTCGGAGCCCTGGCTGTCCACGTTGGTAACGCGGACCTTGGTGTCATGGAAGTCGAGCTCCTTGATGCGATCATTGATCGACTATTGCATGTGTAAGCACCAAACTGGACAAGAGAATCGCGGAGAAACACATACCTTCTGACCGTGGCAAACGGGAGCCTTCTCCTCCTCGGTACCGGAAACGAATTGCGAACGCTTGTTGTAGTAAAGCTGGAACGGTCAGCGACCATAATTGCTCGGCCCACCCGAGGCTCCGAAACTTACGTAAAGGCGCTCGGGATTCTTGCTGAGGGTGGTGTAGTATTGCTCGACGAAGTACCAGCCGATCTCCTCCTTAGGGAGCTCAGAGGAGTTTCCGGAAGACATCTGTTCCTGTTGCTGCTGAACCGCGCCGTATGAGGAGGCGCTGTTGGCGTTGGCTGCGGCCTGGTTGTTGACTTCGTAGGTTCCATATGTGCCATTGACAGGGGCAGTGGAGTCGGCGGTTGCCATGTTGAACGGAAGGCGGTGATTAGGGCGAAGGTAAGGTGTTTAGACTGATGGTTCGTGCACCTGGGGCGTCGGCAGGTTTGAACTCGGAAGCGATGCGAAATCAAAGGGCCTGAGCGGAAGCAGAATGAGACGTCAGCCACGAGAGAGACGCAGACGCAGTGGGCGGGTGGCGGGGGACTCACGTCGGGACTGTTTGATAGCAGCGGCGATGGAAGTAGTTGCGACGAGGCGAGCGCGGGGGAAATAGAGGGACGGGTGTGGCGATAGGTGGTGGTAAGAGTAGGTGGAGGGCGCTTTTTTGAGGGCGATTAAGGTATGAAGATATGTAGGAGATGGAGGAGGCGAGATGGACGGATGGGCGCACGTCGAATGGAGTGGGGGAAATTAGTTGGTGGTGGTTGCGTGGTGGTTGCGTGCAGGTTGGGAGAAGCATTTACTTCGATGGAGCAAAAGCGAAAAGAGCCTAGCCCGGACGGGTTAGACGCAAAATGGCCGTGCCGGCGCGAGGCTGCCGAGATGGAGGCGGAACATGAACAAGCGTTTGCCGCCGTCCGTGCACAGGTCGTTCGTTCTGTGAACTGCCCACCTGCAGGTCGTTCATCGATGCGGGTCACGGGGGGATCTGCCAATAGATCTCACCGTAGCAGTTTGGAGGAAGAATATTCATATTATGGCCGCCCCGTCCACGCCGGGACCGACTCGCCAGCCTACTAATGATTGACCGCATCCAAGTAAATAGACGTGACCACCCTTTTTGCCAGACCCATAATTACTTCCCCTGCTTTCCATGCTGCACACTGGACAACGCCCTGTCTTGAGTGCGCGGCCGTTGCGGGTTGATATATAGGAAAGCCCGCTTCAAGCAATCCGCGTGCTAACCCATGTATTGCCCCGTCTGCTGTCCTGGCCGGGGAAACACGCTCGTCGTGGGCACCTGGTCTAGGCTCAACCCACCAAGGGTTCCTTGGTTTCCAGCATGCTGCCATCCTTGGCCTGTTTGCTGATTTACGAATGCGCTCTGGCGGAACGGGTTCGTACTTCCTGTTGCGTGCACAGTGAGTCCTCCTTGGGACGAAGGTGCCCCTTGCTGTGGAGAGTGATTGCGAGCAAATGGATTCGTCCCCGTCTGTGCAGGTTGGAGCGGTTGCGGCTGTTGTTGTGGCGCAAAAGCGGCTTGTGGTTGAGGTTCCTGGATTGAGGGAAGTGGAGAGAACGGTGAGGAGGACATGCCGATAGGTGACTGGCCGGATTGTTGCATCCCAGCGTTGTGTCGAGCAAAGGGGTTTGTAGGAGATCGTGACAAAGAGGGGGCGGAGCCCGTGGGGTTGCTGAGCAGTTTGGGGTCTGTCGCTCCCGCAGCGGGAGGCATCAACGAGTGACGGAATGGGTTCGTCGACGTTGGTTGTGGCTGAAGTGGTTGGGATGTCGTTGGCATTTCATATATCGGTTGCGTCTGTGATGGGTATGCTGCAAGCTCCTGGATGGGCTGAGGTGGCGAATTATAACTTGCAACCCCATTGTGAGGTATAGGGGCCAACGAAGGGTTCTGAGGACTGAAGGGTTGAGCTGTATACCCTCCAAAACCAGCACCTGTGAACTGTGTTTGGAGCTGCGGTTGCTGTGGTTGCTGCGGTGGCTGCTGCATCTGAGCAAAGGGATTCGTACCTTGTCCATAGGATGCACTGAACGGTTGTTGGGGTGGTTGCTGCGGGAAAGCCATTCCTGCGGGTTGGGCTGGATTTTGGAACCCTGGTTGTTGAAATCCAGTTGGCTGAGAAAACTGTTGCACCTGCGGTTGACCCATAACCTGTTGATTATCTGCAATAGACTCGAACAGGTCAATCAGAGGAGCGTTGGCGGCTGGCTTCGCAGGTGCTGCGGCGGTCTGGTTTGAAGTAGCAGGTTTCACTGAGGTCGAGTCGGCTTCGACCAGCGGTTTGCCGGTTCCATTCGTGCTCTTCCCGCCATTCTTCTTTGCTTCCTTTTCAGCGAGGTACTGTCTCCGGTTGATTTCAAAGTCCTTGTCATTGAGATACTCTTCTAAGGAAGCAGCTAAACTGGTGGGCGCGTGTTTGATTTTTGGAATCTCTAACCGGGTCGAATGTTCGTGCAGGCGGGCGACGCTCAGATATTGCACCACAGCCTCCGTCTGCTTCACGAACGTCCGATATATCTTTAATGCCCGTGCGGCATCCGGTTTGGACAGCTCGAAGTAGTGCTCTGAAACGGGGTCAAGACTGCTAATCAACAAACTCATGCGTGCACTTACCAAGAACGTTGATCGTACCCTCGTTCATAACGTGGAACAGTACAAGCAGGTCCATAGTCAGTAACCGAAAGGCGGTCAATGTGATCTCGTTTTCCGGTTCATCATGGAAAGGTTCGCACTTCAAGAGGTACCGAATCTGATTCTGAACGCTCTCCGTCTCCCGCAGCAGGCCCTTATCAATGCTCAGCCTCTTTAGCCGACCTTCTCCACCTCTGACATAGTCCACACGCGTACTGCCATACTCCTTTGCACGCGTGAGGAGGTACTCCGAATACGTCTTGATATTGTAACCTTGCGTTTGGACTAGGCGCGGCGGGAGTCAGTATAAATGTTCGCGCTGGTCCAAAATACACGGAACATACCCTCAGTGAAGTGATTAATTGCCAGCTTCCTTCCGGGGTTTTGAGCCAGATACTTAAGCGTGACGTCGGGTTCCCCCTCCCGGATCATGAGATGTACGATAATCAAGCTCTTGAAAACAATAGTCCATGTCGAATCACGAAGCCTATTCGTGAGCGCTCGGAAGATTTCCGCTACACCCGCTTCGCCGGCGTGAGTAGCGACAAGAATATGTTCGACGTATTTCGACTTGGGAGCCGCGAGCTGGAGAGCGCTGTGTCAGTCCAACGTGTAGCATGTATGCGGGCAGCGAATCCTCAAAGAAACCATGCCGCCAAAGTCTGACCTTGATTTTCGTGCCGCCCCTGACAGACTTCTCGAAGGAGCTCGCCATGGGATAGGGCACAGTTGTCTATCCAGGAACGGGCGGAGCGGATGTATGCTGAAATGGTTGGAACGGTGGTTGATGGAGGTGGTTGCTCAGGTCCGGGGACTCGAATGCAACCGCTATCGAGGCATCGCGGAGGGTGTCGGAGCGGGGAATAGAAGAATAGCTCGGTGGTACAGCTGGGCGCGCGCGGAGAGGTTGTGAGAGGCTCGCAAGGGGAGAGGGCGTGCAGTGGGGATGCGTTGTACCCAGCCGGATCTGATGCTGCTCGGTGCACGTTGGTCGTTCTCACTTGCAGGGGGGTCGCTGCCCAGCACGGACGGGATGACGCCTGCCCGCCGATCTCTCAGTCCTCGGTGCCCTGTCAACGTCGCGAAAAACGTTTGCTCAACAACAACTTGTCGAGCGCAAAGAGACAAATACGCAATGCCCGGCTCACCAACGCCAGAGGAGCGCAAGAAGGCCGACGAGGAGCTCAAGGCCAAAGAAGCTGCTGAGCAGGCCGCACTACCCTACAAATGGACGCAGACCATCAAGGACCTGGATGTTACGATTCCCATTGACGGCAAATACAAGGCGCGCGACCTAGACGTCAAGATTTCGAAAAAGGCCCTCAAGGTGGCCATCAAGGGCCAAGAACCCATCATCGACGTGCGTTGATCCTGCACACATGGGGCGAGGTTACAGTTCTGACTGCATCTGCAGGGCGAACTCCCACATCCCATCCACGTCGACGAGTCTACATGGACCCTCGAGACTGTGCCGAATGGCAAGGAGGTTAGCGTGCATCTGGACAAGGTCAACCAAATGGAGTGGTGGGCGCATGTTATCACGACCGCACCGAAGATCGACACTTCGAAGATCGAGCCAGAGACCAGCAAGTTGAGCGATCTGGATGGCGAGACGAGGGGAATGGTGGAAAAGATGATGTATGACCAAAGGCAGAAAGAGTTGGGGAAGCCGACGAGTGATGAGCAGAAGAAGGAGGAGATTTTGAAGAAGTTCATGGCACAGCATCCGGAGATGGACTTCTCTAATGTGAAGATGGGATAAAAGATCGTGCCAACAATACAATGAATTCCTGAAAGGATGACCGAGCCCACCTGATCTATCTATAATCTACTGTACAAACCCATCTTGGGTGTCTATGATTCCGGTGTATCAGTACCCCATCCTCGTCCCAACTACTCTTACAGGATATATACGGTACACACCTTTGCACAATATCATCTTACATCATATACAATGAGAAGACGGCACTCACCGACTCATTCCCCATTATCCCTTCAACTGCAAATGATAAGTGTCCCACTGCTCTTTCGTCACCCGGTTCGGTGACTTCACCAACATATCCTCCCCCTTCCCACTCTTCGGAAAAGCAATCACCTCCCTTACCGACTCCTTTCCCAACATCACCGCCACCAATCTGTCCCAACCAAGTGCAATCCCCGCATGCGGCGGACACCCCGACTTCAACACATCCAGCAGATGCCTGAAATCTTCCAGCCGCTGGGCATTCATCTTTAGCACGTCGCGCAGGATGAATTCTTGCACGTCGGCGTTGTGGATACGTCGGCTACCGCCTCCGAGTTCAACACCGTTCACTACAATATCGTAATGTGCGGCGGTGACGTTTTCCGGGGCGGTGAGGAGAAGATCCACATCTTGTGCGGTTTTAGGAGCAGTAAAGGGGTGGTGGGTGGAAGAAAAGCCAGCGGAACCGCCCTGACCGGGGTCGGTGTCATTGGAGGGTGTGAACAGAGGGAAGTCAGTAATCCAGACGAAGTGGAAGCCGGTGGGTTTGGGAACGAGACCCTGGGCTACGGCGGCCTTGTGTATTGCTAAACGGAGGTTTCCCAGTGGAGTGGAACCGCCGGAGAAGGGCTCATTCTTGCGGGCTTGGATGATAAGAAGGTCGCCGTTGTCGAGGGCCAGGGCATCGGGAATGTCCATGACGAACTCATAACCTAGGGCACCGAGGCCTTGCATGGGTTGTGATGCGTCTGCAACGAAGACGCCAGGCTGTCCAGCTGGATTGACGAGGAACGGTTGTCCTTCGGGGCTGTCCAGGAAGTCGGTAATGAATTTTCTTGTGACTTTGGGGTCATCGGAAACTGTTATTCGGAAAGCATCAACGGCTGGTGACTTGAGGTCACTGATTTTGCTGATTAGGTCTTGAGGCAGCTTTTCCGTAATGTTGTGGATCTAGGTTAACAATCAGCGTGACATATCATAGGAATGCATTAAGTGAACTCACCTCCATTCCAAGACGCATATCTGGTTTATCAGAGCCATACGATGCCATTGCCTCAGCATAAGTCATCCTCTGGAAAGGAGTGACAACCTGCTCCGACAGGCACTGCTTCCATAACTCCTTCAGGAGCTTTTCGATTGTGCTAATAATATCTTCCTCCCCAGCAAATCCCATTTCCATATCGAGCTACAGATCATTAACAAATATCCTGCGTTCACCATAGATTCCACCTTACCTGGGTGAATTCAGGCTGCCTATCAGCCCTCAAATCCTCGTCCCTGAAGCATCGAGCAAACTGGAAGTACCCCGAAAATCCTGAAGCCATCAGAATCTGCTTGTACTGCTGCGGACTCTGCGGAAGCGCATAGGCGAACCCCTTGGTCCGTGTCGGGACCAGGAATTCACGAGCGCCTTCCGGTGTCGACTTAAACAAGATAGGTGTCTCTATCTCCGTCAATTGCATATCCGAGGTTAGCAGTTCCCTGGCTTTCTGGGTGACCTTGTGGCGGAATAGGAGGTTTTGTCGTAGCTCTGCGTCGGTGCGGAGTTGGAGATGTCTCTGTTCTGGAGAAAAGACAGTGCCTTCTTTCAGAAGAAGATCTTTTGGTACATCATTGAGGATTTCGATTGAATCTAGGTCCAGCTCGACGTCATTCGCCAAGGGTATCCCCATCGCGGTATTCTCCTTGGAGGGTTCGGATCGTGTTTTCAATCTTCCTTTCACAACAACGGGAGTCCAATCTTTCAACGAACACAAGGTCTCATGCGTCTGCACTCTCTTTGGATCCTTCGCATCCTCTTTCCCAAGGTAGGAAACTATTTGGATGCAAATCCTTTGGTCATGACTTCTTAGAAGAGCAAACGCAAGCTTCTTGGAAACCACTCTTCGTGTTCCCAAGTACCCGGATAATGATATCTCTGCTTTCGGTTGCATCATGCCTGGGCTTAACTGTGTCATGGATCCGAAGCCATCACGAACTATGCACATGTAAGCACGATAGATGGGCAATTGAAGAGAAGGACATAAATACTTGTGGATTTGAAATTATCCAACGCTTTCCTGGTCGCCTCGTTCAATTCCGGCTGTCTGCATATCCTCGTCGTACTCAAACATCTTATCGAATTTATAGACCGAGATGTGACCTCGTGATGTCGCGTTCGCTGGACAAATCGCGATATTTCCGCATAACTGGCCCGCACACCGGAATCACGGCGAATACTGCGTCGCAGCGCCCTACTGGTGATCATTGTTCCAGCGGCAACCTCATATCACTTTATTCGGTAACAAATCGAATAAAAAAGGTGTATGAACTAGAGCAACATTCTCTTCGCAGTGAGCCATATCCCGCCAAGACGCTGACTAACTCCCCTGGGCCCAAGCGCCCGTCTAGACTAGAAATCGTCGGCCACAACGGACAGCTTTTCTTCTCTTCTTCATCCTTCCAGTTTAAACAACGTGAGTATACCCAGCTCCACACCCCTACACCTCTCTCCTCTTTTAACTTTGCTAATCAACTCCATCAGATGATGAAAGCCTAGCGTGGACACGATGAGCTCCTCTCGCATTCGGCCTTTGAACTCTCCCTTCACCGGGCTTCAGTGGTTTGATTGCGGACTTGCGAGGGGAGCATGAAATCAGCGTTCGACACACTACCTTGTTACGTTTGCGGACGCTTTACGGCATCTCTGACCTTATGTTTATACTGGATAGGTGTCTTTGTGAGAAAGAACTTGGGCCTGCTGGCTCATGGGAAGGAATGGATCTAGGAGATCAAAAATCCAAGGACATGTACGTAATCTTCCAGAAAGATACAATACGATATTTTTCTTTGTGCGAGGGAAGATTTAGAAACTGCGGTGTAAGTGATGTGTGAAACACTTCGCCGTATACCTTATGAGAGAAAGCTAGACTTTCCCAACTGCTTTGTCTCAACTACACGGCGATAGAAAAAGCCAAGCAGCGTCAATCAGTCTCATCCTTTTTTACATGAGGGTTGGACCGTAAAAACACTGCAACATCGTGACTTGCTTGAACCACCAGGGTAGTCTTGATCGTGAACCGGGAATTGGTGTAGGCCGCAACGGAGGTGACCGAACAGCTTTCGTTCCTTGCCAACTGACCGTGTGCTTCTCCCTTGTGCAGCACGTCTGAGGTGAGGTGAAAGCCTTCGTTGCATCCCAGGTTTTCTTCTATTTTATGGGAGACACAAAAAGTGCGGTACTGTTGTGCTCTAGCAGCAGAAGTTAAGAAAGTTTGACTTCTCGTGCAAGTGCCTCTAATTTGCCAACCATCGTCTAGCTATGATCCAACAAGGCTATAATAGTTCACAGCGGGGCATATGTCTTCCCACCAATTTTTGCCACATTATGGTTACAGTATGTTTACACTGGGGGAAACGTATCGACCCAAAAGGCGCGACGTGTCTGAAGCCGTGGACAAGATGCAGTCTTCCCATGTAGGGTAGGTCGTGGACGCGAATGCAAGTATGCAAGAAACGCTCAGCTCTTTGCCTCTTCGGGTGCACCCTCTTTGATTGAAAACTCCTTTGAGGCCTGCTCGCTCACAACATTCGTCTGTGACGTCTTCTCTTCCGCCGCATTCTCTTGCAACCTTTCCCCCTTCGCAACCTTCCCCAGCGACGTCTCACCATCCGCAACACCCCCCTGTTTCTGTTTTCGGCCAGCTCCCCAACTCGGACATGTTAACTGCCTCGCTCTGAATTCCTCGGTATCCATCATTCTACAGATCCGGATTTTGGATTTCCCTGAACGCAGGACTATAGCCTGCGCATTGATGATGTAATTGCTTGGTTTGTCGGCTTTATTGATGGCATGCCACTTCAGTACTGAAGGGTCCGCGGGAGACCCAGTGGACGGATCGACAACATAGGCGCCGCCACTGGCGATTAACCTGTGCGCCTCGCTCCTAGAAGACGTCAAACCGGCCGCGTACATCAGCCGTGGGAAGGAGTTAACCGCGAACAACTCCTTCGGCAGTGTTACCACATTCGATGGATCGCGGTCCGCTGATACATTTTCCATGCCTGCCTTGCTGGATCCTGCGGCGAACTGCTTCTTATACTCCATCATCTTTTGGCCGACGAGATTCCCGTTCTTATCCCTAACCCAGGTACCATCGTTATGCGACGGGGGCTTAGCTTTATCTCTTTCCGCAGCGAGACCCAGGGCAGATTCCAGAACCCGGGAATTGTAAACGCTTGCGCCAGCGCTGTACGCATCCCTATGCGCTTGCTCTGCAACTTTTGCAGCGAAGGCACCGTGAGCAAGCTCAACGACCTCTTTTGCGAGTAGATGTTGAGCGACTCGCTTCGAGGGATCCTGCAGCTGGGCGTTCATGACTAGGTCAATTTCTTCGAGCGGAAGAAAAGTGAAGATTTTCAAGTAGCGCTCGACATCATCGTCTGCAGTGCCGAGGAAATACTGCAATCTTTGGTCAGCCTATAAAGGAAACATATCGCAGTCCAAGTTGAAGGCGAACCTGATATAGATCAAAGGAACTCAGCATATCCTGGTCGAGCCAAACAGCATTACCAGCGCTTTTACCGAACTTTTCTCCCGAAGCGGTTGTTAGTAGCGGAGTGGTGATGCCATATGTCGCCTTCCGAGGGTTATCCAGCTGGTCCGGCGAGTTTTCGGTTTTGCGTTTGCGCATGATCTCGACAGCTTCCATTCCTGCGCATATATTGCCATACTGGTCGGAGCCGCCTAATTGAAGCTGGACTCCCAGTGTCTTGTACATGTGCCACCAATCGTAACCCTGGAACAGAGGATAGGAGAACTCCGCCAGCGACATCCCGTTGCCACTTTCCAGTCGCGCTCGCACCCTGAAACGAGATCAGCAGATGCTTTGGCACTTTGCACCACACATATGAGAGACATACGAGTCACGGTTGAGCATCTCCGTAAGCCTCATTTGAAACCCCAGAGTCTTCATCAGTTCAATGGCACCTAGGTCCTTCAGCCAGTCGTTGTTTCTCAAGAGGTATCTATGTCGCGGAATGTCCCTGTCGAAGCGGTGCTTTATACCCAGGGCTTTTACATTTGCCCAAAGCTTTTTCATCTGCTCGCTCATGCCGCGCTCGTTGAGTGGTTGTGCGTTGCCGTCCTGGCGTGCTCGTGCCGTCATCCTGCCGGAGGGGTCTCCGATTTGTACGGTCCCATTACCAATCTGGTCGCGATTAACTCAGCCAAAAACCCTCGATGCGATGCCACTCACAAGTGTGACTGCTGTGTAGCCATGCATATACATCCAGAAAAGAGCCATTAACGGGAGGAGGTGGCCGACGTGGAGGGACGGAGCAGTGGGATCAACGCCGACATATACGCCTACAGGCTGCTCGATGAGTAGCCAGTCAAGGGCCTCTCGACCACTACGAGGGTCAGCACGCGTTCTTCACGTCGACGGAGAAGATCCCACCCTGCAATGTCTTTAACTAGCCCTCGCTCTTCCAAAATGGTCATCATGCTCTTCTGGTTTCCCGATCGGATCCTCCTGGCCCGCTCCTTCCAGTATTCCGCTTGGTCCGGATTGGCTGAAGCCCAGTTGCTGCTGCGTCGAGGAACTTGCGATACATTATGTTGCGTTCGTATACAATGGCTGCATGCATAGTGGCGGGGCCGAGCCAGGCATTTGAGAAGGCCCATGGCTGCCATTGACGTCGCAGCAGGTCTGGGTAGCTTTTGCCAAACAAAATGTTCGACGTTGCGGATCGCACCTCCGAGAGCCAAGCTTTGCACCCTGGCGTGCCTGCCCAGACGGCTGGTATGCTCGTTTCCTTCTTAGTCGTAGCGCCGGGATCGTGCAGCAGTGGAACTTCCCCACACTTCACCGCACCTCATCCCTCCATCGTACAACCACCTCGCCTTGAGCTTGAACCTCATCCCGTTCGTCTTTCTTAACTGGAAGAACCCTTAAAACTGGAATCAGAACCGTTTCCTCGTTGCATTCTTCATATTCTCCTGCGTTATGTTCGCTAGTCTCCTATGCTACCCACCTTTGGGGCAAACTACCGTCGTTGCGAATGCGCGGCGCCCTGTCCGTTTCACCGTCGTCATTCAAAGCGCTACAGAAAGGCCATGGGAAGTTGCTCTTTGGCATAATTTTAACGGCCATGATGAGTGGTCAAGTTTGACACTAGAACCTGCGTCTACCCCACAAGCAGCAGTATGGGCAGAATATCGCGATTCTCTCACAGTAACAGCTAATGCACAAAGATGACTGTGAGAACTTACGAGTCTGACATGCAACATCAGTGGTACGTTGGAGAGCTTCATGGCCTTCCCACACATGGCCGCCGTGTGTCCTTCACAGTTACCTTCCGTGCTTCCCAGGACGATGCTTGGAAGTGGTCGAATGAGCAGTTCTCCACGTCAGATGGGCATATCATTTACCAGACACCGGATCTTCCCAGCGAGAACCTTGGGCACTATGTCGATGGACTCCCCACATATCTGGATATTCAGAAGCAATCAAGCGATACACCTGGGACCCTCGTTTGGTCCGTGGACAGTCCGGTACAAGCAGCTTCAGGAACGACCTCTGGTCACTCAAGAAACAAACTGGGATTACCAACTGACTTTTCACGCTGGTTTGCACTAGTACGTTTATGGTCTCCTTGGTTGGCTCCCAGGCAAGGGAAGGGCGAGTTTCGCGTAGACAAGGAGGCCATTTTAGCTACTTTCGAGCGCAACGATGGCACGCATTTGGCGATTTTGGCTGTTAGTGGAGTCGACGATGTTCTTACAACGCTTCACCACGATGGCAGCGGGAACGTCGTAATTGACTCACGCAATGATGCTGAGCAGGACGGTGTAGCAAGGCTTGTTGCCGCCGTAGCCAATGATTTGGAGTCTGCTGTTGCCGCAGTCATATACTATGCTCGCAGGATCGTCTTGAAATACGAAGCTTCGTCTGGAGAGCTCGCCGCGGAGTTAAAAGCACTACACGATGGCGTAAAACCAGAATGGCTCGAAAACTGGTTCGACGGTCTAGCCTACTGCACCTGGAACGGGCTCGGACAGGACCTAACTGAGCGGAAGATTTTCGATGCTCTTGATTCCCTAAAGAGGAACGACATCAACATCACGAGTTTGATCATTGACGACAACTGGGTGCGTAGAAGTTCACTTGTCTCTATCTATCAATCTAATAGGTCGTAGCAATCTCTGAATAACGGCGGTGATCAGCAGTTTAGCAAAGGCTGGATGGAGTTCGAAGCCACAAAGACGGGTTTTCCGCGGGGTCTTCAAGCTACGGTGCGCGATATTCGAGCTAAGTACCGAAATATCAAGCATGTAGCAGTCTGGCACGCCCTGCTCGGTTACTGGGGTGGGATCGCTCCCGAGGGGAAAATAGCGCAGGAGTACAAGACAACCTGGGTGAAGCGAAAGAATGGTGTTTCCGGTGGAAAGATGCTCGTTGTTGCGCAAGAAGATAATGCTCGTCTCTACAACGACTTCTACCAGTTCCTAAACTCCGCAGGTGTCGACTCGGTCAAAACAGATGCCCAATTCTTCTTGGACGAGCTTTACGACCCCAAAGACCGTCGAAGTCTGACACGGACATACCAAGATGTGTGGAGCATCAATCAACTCCGCTACTTCTCGGGAAAAGCAATCTCATGCATGTCTCAAACGCCTCAGATAATGTTCCACTCTCAACTGCCACCCAACAAGCCCCGCATATTGCTGCGGAATTCAGACGACTTTTTCCCCGACGTTCCTGCTTCTCATCCATGGCATATCTTCTGCAATGCTCATAACGCCATATTCACTCAGCATCTCAACATCCTCCCAGATTGGGACATGTTCCAGACTGGTCACTCCTACGGATTATACCATGCGGCTGCTCGTTGCGTCTCTGGAGGTCCTATATACATCACTGACAAACCCGGCCACCACGACGTTGGCCTCATTCGTCAGATGACGGGAAACACGCCGCGAGGTGATAGTGTGATTTTCCGGCCTCACACTGTCGGCAAGACCACAGCAGTATACAATTCCTATGATGACCCGGTTTTATTGAAGGTGAGCACTTACGTCGGTATGGCCCGTACCGGCGTCAGTGTGTTAGGCATCTTCAACTGTACCCAGAATGTTTTATCTGAGCTCATCAGTCTCAATCAATTCCCGGGTGCAGAAGAGGGTGCATATGTGGTCCGCAGCCATACCACCGGCCAATTGACGAACCCAAGCACCGCCGACTCACAGGCTTCATTCATACATCTGGAGCTTCCGGTTCAGGGATGGGAAATACTTTCGGCATTTCCTGTCCGCACATTTGAGCTTGGCCGCAAACACCCCGGGAAAGGCCTAACTACTATCTCTGTCGCCAACCTCGGTCTGCTTGGAAAGATGACAGGTGCGGCTGCAATCGTGAATTACAGTAGCTACATTGAAAGGTCGTCTGGCAGACTCCGGATATGGACGTCGTTGAAAGCTTTGGGCACGTATGGCATATATATCTCTGACCTGCCCAAAAGGTCGCTCGAAGATGACTTCATGGCTCTGATATTCGGACGGCCGATCCCTCTGGACTGCATCAGCATCAACGACATCTGTGCGGAGATCCTGGAGATTGATACGGAAAGGGCTTGGAAAGAGACCGGCGCAAATGCCGGATGGAGCAATGAGGTTGCTGTGGAGGTAGTGATCCGATGAGGCCGTCTATACAAATGCCACAAGACCGCGAGGAATCGGCACTGTCTGTGGCTGTCCCTACCGTCTTGTGTGCCAATTGTATATACACCTCAATGACATCGCGCTCTCCACCTCCTGATACGTTGCCTCCCTGCTTCACGCAGGCTCGTCTGCGTAACAGGACAAACAACACGGGTTTCTAGGTACTTATTGTGCAAGCACGTACAATAGGACCCCGCCGACGGCATGGAAACTGAACAATGTAGACCAACACCGATCATCCCGATGATTCCTCTACGCGTACTCTCCATGCAACAACAACGCCTCTTCCAGTGCCTGACGGTCTCCTCCTGCGGCTTTCGTCTCTGAACAGCGTACCGCAACTCCAAATCACCTGGCTGGCTTAGACCGTCCGTTGAGCGGTGGTGCGGCCGTGTTCGGCCTCAGTCTTTCGCTCCCGTCGCAACCTTTCACCGACTTCCAGAACCACAACCCCCCACGGTCGCCCCCCGCAACCGCACCAGACAGAATCTTTCACTGCTTTTCACAGCAGGATAACACCCCACTTTTTCCGCCTGTTGTCGCGTGCCTGCCGCTCGGGCCTTCCGCCGCCTCCAGATATCTTGCGCTCTGGTGGCCTGCCTCCTCCTCTCTTCCTCAAACCACAACCCTCCTCTCTTCCAATCCCGACTGCTTAGTCTTGACCTCTCACACTGCGTACATCGCTTCCTTACTTGCCTGTCCACCATGGACATCACCTCCAACTTCGCTGCCATCGCGGCGCATCCCATGACAGGGAAGCTGTTTGGTGGGCTCCTCGCCGCCGGCGTGACCACTTTCCTGGTCAGCCAGACAGTAGTTAAACCTACTTTCAACCCCACGATCCAGGCCCCGCTCGCAAAGGTCCTCATGCCCAATGTTCCCGTCGCAGAGATCTTCGGGTACCCTGACACGTTCTGTATGTCTCATGCGAAGCTCCCAACGCGTGTGGCCGCTGCAGTTACGCCTCTCCCAAACCACTTCCCCTCGATTTCCACCGATAACACTTCGTCCGTCCCGGATACGGTCGCCTTGTCTACCGCCATTCATTCCCTTTCAGAGTCTGCCTCCAACAATGTCGCCTGGGCTTTGATCTGGCTTGTTTTCCTCTGTCTCCTCGCTATCGTTGCCGCTCTCATCGCTCGATCTGGTATCCAAACCTGCACAGGGCCTATTCGCCAATATCTGGTCCGCCTCTTCCTCGTCTCCAGCCGAGAATTTCAGGATTTATCCCTTGAGCTCATGCGTTCTCAGCACAAGCGTAGGATTTTGGAGGCTAGCAATTCACTCGCCCTGAAGAAGCAGGATGTGCTTCGAAAGGAGCTCAAGCGCCTCCAGAAGAAGTACAAGCTTCGCAGGGCTGACCTCCTCGGCTTGAAGCGGGCCGCTGCCAAGGTCAAAGACGAGCTCAAGGCAAAGGAGAAGGCGCTTGCGCGACTGGCATTGAAGGAAAAACGCCTGAAGCAGCGACTCGAAGCAGGAAGGGCAAAGGACCCGGCTCCTCACGAACCGTATCGCTAAACTGAAAGCCGATCTGGAACGCCAGACAGATCTGTACAGGTCGCAACAGGCTTCGGCCGCCCAACTCGAATCCGAGCTCCGATCTCCGCTCCGTGACGCAGACGAGCGCTGCAAGACCCTCGCCGACGGACTCACAGTTTCCAATAACCTCTACAGCTCCCTTCGCGGCGCTCTCGACCAGGCCAAGGCGCGATACGAATCTCTCGACGGTCAAGCCAACCATTCGAAGGAGCAAAGCACGCAGACTGAAGACGACCTGAAGGAGGCCAGGGATCGGTATCACAACCTTTCCGTCAAGCTCGCCGCAGCCGAAAAGTACAGTGAGCAGAACCGCGCAGAGTTGCAGAAGGCAATGGCAAACTTCGACAAGCTCCAGGACGAGCTCAAGGACGCCAAAGATCGTTCCAGCAATCTTCAACGGCAGCTCGATGAGTCCACATCAGAGTGCAAGTCCCTCCGTGAAGCCCTCGAAGATTCCAAGAAGCAGGAAAGTTCTCTGGAGGAGAAGCTCAAAGGCGTCGATATCAAGATGGAGGAGTTGGAAGAGGACAAGCTCAAGCTCGAGCAAAAGCTAGAAGCTGCCGAGGCCAAGTACACCGAGCTTCTCGCAGAGCTCCAAAAGGTGAAGGAGGAAGCCCAGAGCGCCTCCACCCAGAATCTCATCCTCGCCAAGGAGAAGGACACCCTCCTTTCGAAGTGCACCCAGAAGGAGAAGGAATTGGAGGGTATTGTGAAAGGTCTCGAGGAGAGGGATGCTCAGATTTCCAAGTTGAAGGAGGATGGTAGAACGATGAAGGCCGAACTCTCGTCCAATGAAGACACCCTCTGTCAACTCCATGGCACCATCCGTCAACTCAAGGGCACCGTCTCTGAACGCCAAAACACCATCCGCGAACTCCAGGACAACGCCACCAAGCTTGAGGACGACAAGAACGCTGCGGAGAGGCGGCTTCATAAGAGGATCGAGGGTTTCGAGAGAGAAAAGACGTCGGCGGTAAACGCAGTCACGAAGACCCTTCAAGAAAGGCTCAATGAAGCGCTCATCGACAAATCCAAGCTGGAGGCCACCGTGTCCACTCTGAGGTCTGATAACGTCACATCCAGGAAAGCTCTCGACAAGCTGAAGGGTGAGGTTAAGCCGTTGAAATCCGAGCTCGACGACCTGAAGAAGTCCGGACAGTCGAGGATCGATGACGCGGTTAACAGGGCCCAGTGGCAGGTCCATAATGCTCTTACGCCTCGTATCGAGGAGAGGAACAGGGCAATCCTCGCCCTCCAACAACAAAAAGAGGCTGATGGCCAGGAGCTGCAGCGCCTCACAAACAAGGTCATAGCGCTTGAGACCGACGCTCGCAAGAACCCCGATCTGGCACGCGCTCGTTCTGAACTGAAAGCCGTTGCTCAAGAGAAAGCCGCCTGCGACGCAGAGCTCGTCCGCCTCCAGACTGATCTGGCAGCTCATGTGCAACTGCAAGCCGCCAAGGATGCAGAACTTGCACGCCTCGAGGCTGAGGTGTACCGCGGTTTCTGGTATTCTGAGCTTGCTCGCTTCCGTCAACAGAAAGCCGCGGACGACAGTGAAACCACGCGCCTTCGTGATGAACTGGCAGCCTCTCAGCAGATTGTTCACCAGCAGCATGAATCCCTTGATGAGAAGGATACCCTCCTCGCCAAGTTCCAGGAGGAGATTGCGCGCCTGAAAGAAGAGCTGGCATCCACAAAGGAGACTACCCCACCTCCCCAGAAGCTCAGTATTCACATTGCGGCTGGTGTTGAGACAGCCCCCAAGCCGGCTGCGACTTCTCCTCCCCAGCGTCTCGGTGTTTTCAACGCCACCGTCGTCGATATCTCTCCCACTGCCGCGGTGTCTCCCGCTTCTGCCGCTCCCTCCTCCTCGACGGCCGGTCTCTTCCTCTCTCCTGGTGTTACGATTTCCCCAGACTCCGCGACACCCTCCGCTCCTCAGACCTCCTCAGCTACCGTCCAGCCAGCCTCCATTAGAGAAGGCTCGGCCCGTGGCGAGGCCACGAAAGCGCCTCCGCAGGTGGATACCCTGCGTAAACAAACATCCACGCCCTCTCGTGCGTCGACGGTATCCTCTCCTCCTCCCTCTCTCCCCACTACCGTCCAGCCAGCCTCCATTGGAGAAGGCCCGGCCCGTGGCGAGGCCACGAAAGCGCCTCCGCAGGTGGATACCCTGCGCAAACAAACATCCAACTCCTCCACGGGCAATGGACGAGTGGAGCGCCAGGAGCAAGAGGCCGCAGAAGCAATGTTGGCATCTTCGTCGGGTTCGATGACACAGGAAATTCCGAGCCCCGCAATTGCGACTTCGACTCTTGGTCCTTCATCCGCTCCAGCTCCGCTACCCGTCCCGGCTACTCCATTCGCTCCAGGACCCAATCGATCGGCGTTAAAGACATACGAGGAGATGAACAAAAAGGCACCCTCTGCGGCCTTCACCTTGACCGTCCCCACGTCAATTGCGCCTCTCGTGCCTCAGTTCTCCGCCGAGCATCCCCAACCGTCGTCGACGTCCGAGACAGCGCCAGTGACGGCTTCAGATGCTTTCAAATCCCCTGCTTCGACCGTACCGGTGGTGGCCAGACCCGTCGCTACCCCTCGCGCCCCAAAACAGGCCGACAAGATGGAGGTTGACGAACCCGCGCGGCAGCCGGGTCAACAGGCTAACTCTCAAACTGCTCTCCCGGCGCTTCCTCACACACCAGGCCTTTCTTTTGGGTCGTTGAGCCGGACTGCTGCCACCCTTACTTTCCCTCCTCCTGACTTCTCCTTTGGAGTGTCGACTCCGCCTGCTCCGCCCCAGCCTGCTTCGTCCCATCCGTCCTCGACAAACCCGCCTGTCCCTGGCTCTCCTGCAGCCGTGTTTGGCGGCTCCCAGGGCGCTTCTCCCGCAGTCTTCGGTGCTGGGTTCCCTTCAACATCCTTCGGCGGGTATCGGCCTCGTAAAGTCGCACCTCTTCCCACTCGTCGCCCGAAAAAGGATGGACGGACCCAGGCCTCGTGCCCGCTCCCACAATCCGTCCGGATGCCGCCTACAATGATGGAACTCGCTATAGCCCGCCAGCTCAACATGAGCAACGGCGACCAGCCCGCGCAGTTCATGGACATGGACATGCCCGCGGCAGACAATCAGCCGGCCATGCAAATCCCTGAAGGCTATCAACCTGCCCGGGACTTTGAGATGAGCGACGATGGACAGAACCAGGTGGAAATGGGCGAGGCGGATGACGACTTCGATGATGACGAGTTGGCAGCCAGGATCAGGGCCGCGATTGAGGCGCAGGACCGAGAGGAACAGGCGCAGGAGCAGCAGCATCACCAGCAGCAACAGCAGCAACAGCAGCAACAGGACGTGGAGATGATGGTGGATGATGCTTTTATTGATCCGGCTTTGCTTTCTCTCTCGAATCCGCGCCCGACCTGGCCGGATTTTGATGAAGAACTGTAGATAGAGTAGATAGCTTTGGAGGATTCTGCTGGGTGGTGTTGAGGAGGATGGCGCGGTAATTTGTGGAGGATTGCGGAGAATTGGATTGGATGTTTGGGATGGATTGGTGGGTGGAGGATTGCGGTGCTGCTGCTGCTTGCTACTTGTTTTGAGTAACGTGTATGATTAGCATGATTTTATGAGTGTATGACTACATGGGCATGGGAATGATATGGCTTTCGCTTCAGAGCTACTGTGCTAGATGTGATTACAGTTATCAGTGCATTGAGACATGGGATATTTCAGCCGACGATCGTATTTCACATTGCTTTTTGGTAGGTCGATCCTTTGGAGTGACAAGTCTCATGCACTCTAGCATAATAGCTATCAATCATGTTCTCGGCGTTGCGCGCAACATTGACGTCTTGCCGTATCACGATCGGTCTTTGGTGTTGAGGTTCTGGAAGACGACAAGAGGAGTGGTCCGTGCATCAAACCCTTGCCAGCTAAGCGAAACCTCACGTCACTGGCGGGTGCTCATGGAATGGAACGCAACACCACGTTGACAGCCACGAGGCGGAGCCGCTTTATTGAGGTAGCCCAATCATTACTGATAAATTCAAGACGTATCCAATTGTCCAACACTCTGAAATCCTCAGCGTGTGTATCAACTTGTGTGACGAATTGACCCCTGTGGCTAGACACCAGCCTCCCGACCAGCCCTCCATGGTGCCCAACCACCTCATACACAAAACAAGGCCTGCAGCCAGGCTTGTCGCTCCTTATGACATCCCTTAGCTCACTTCCGCTCGTTTAGCCTCTTGCAGGGCGACATGAACGTCGAGGCTTCACTCCAGCTCAAGCATACTAACGGTACCCTCTCAACCCACCGCTGAACTGCACGCATACGACGCTAACCCAGCTTCACAGTCAGTCGTCCTCGTCTATCGCACTCGACTTCTCAGCAGAGCATTGCCGCTTCTCAGGCCGCTTCCGAAGGCTACTACTCGCTACATTCCGCCTCCGAAGTCTCCTCGGGCGACAGTGATGGTCGCTCGTGCAAACCCACTCCAGGCCGAACGTATCATACCCCGCCCTCACAGTACCGGACACCAGCGCAAAGTCATGAGCACATACACCAGCAGCAATCGGACGCTCCAGTAACATCTTTGAAGGGGGTCGGGATTCCCCGACAACATCCAGTTGCGGGCACACAGTCGCCAGCTGTATCCACCATCGCAGAGGAACGGCCAGAAACGCAGGAACGGAGATCACTGCTGCGGCCCGAGATGGACTCCGAGTCACTCGCTACAACTCCGGGGATGGACGAAACCCCGTATATTCGGTTTGCTATCGATCAAATCACTCGTGATGAGGAAGTACGCGGTTCAAGAAGATACCCTCTTGACCCTCCTGCCGAGGAGGACGACTACCCAGTCGAACGGATCGTCTCAGATGATGGCCTGGGGTACTTGGAGCAGGAACAGGAAAGGGAACAGAGGATGTCGCGTCCACCTCAACTGCCATCCCCTCCCCCTCTCGCGGGGCCCGTATCAGATCCAATGTACGACCTGCCACCTAAGAAGGCTACGGGCAAGACCCCACAGGCTGTGCCAATCGAAAAGGATGTCTTCACTGCGACCTCACTACCAAACTCCCCTCTGCACTTTCTCCCCAACGTTCTGCGACCCTTTTGGCTTGGCATGCTCATCCTGCTCTGTCTGATCATGTCAGCCGCACTCATCTACTCCGCCATCTACTCTAACCGCAACTCGGGCGCTGGCCTTTGGGATTATAACCGCTTCGGCGACATCCGCTATTTCGTCTTCCAATATCTGCCCACCATCGTCGGCATGATAATATTATTGTGGCTTTTCCAGGTGCAGATTGCGCTGCAGCGCATCGTACCCTTCGTATCCATGGCATCTGGCTCGGCAAAGCAGCACTCGGAAGCCGTGTTTCTCGAATTATATCCTACTCAATTCCTCTTTCCGAAATTCGAGCATTTCAAAGCAGGTCAGCCGCTCGTCGGTTCGTTTTACCTCGTCTCGTGGTTGTTTATCTGGACCATTCCCCTTCTCGCCTCGTCCTTCAATGTGCGCTATAGCACTGAGGAAGGGGTGTGGAAATGGGTTGCCGTCCAAGGCATCATCTGGGCGGTTGTGGCGTTGTACATACTGCTCACCATCAGCTTGCTTTCGCTTTTGGTATTCCTCCTCCGGAAAGAGACGGGTTTGAAGTGGGATCCACGCTCTCTGGCGGATATCATCGCTCTCTTGGAGCGATCAAACACCATGAGCGACTATGACGGATCCGAGACGTTCAGCAGCAAGGAAGAGTTCAAGCAGCGCCTTGGACATCGAACCGACAGAATTGGATACTGGAGTACTACCAAACGCCCCAACGACATCTTCCACGGCATCGGTGAAGAGGGAGCGCCTTCACGTCGCTACTCACTCGAAGACGGCCGCATCCGCGAGAAAGCGCCTGGACGTCTCGATGATCTAAACTCCGCACAAAGACCCAGCGATTTCTCCATACGCATGGATCTCCGCAGCCCCCGCACCCGCCTACGCTACCTTAAATGGTACCTCCGGGACACCTTCGTCGTCGCTTGGATCGTCGCCGCCTTCGTCCTCTTCATCGCCTTCCTCGTCGTCAGCTACGTCAATTCTGCAATCCGCCTGGGCTTTCTTCCTCAAGTCGCCGCCCGCACCGACGCGTCCGGCTTCTCCGTCTCAGACTTTCTCTACTCCTTCATCCCCTCTCTAATTGCCCACCTTCTCTTCCTCTCCCTCCTCTCACTGGACTACTCTGTTCGCACCCTCCAACCCTACATCTCCCTCTCCCAACCTGGCGGAAGTACGGCAGAATCCTCCCTCCTCCTCGACTACGCCGCCCGCCTTCCCCTATCCGCAACCTTCTCCGCCCTCGAAAACCATCACTACCAATCTGCCATCCTATCAACCTCCTCCCTGTGCTCCTCCGCCCTGCCCATCCTCGCAGGTGGAGCCTTCTGGACCCAATATTACGTCTCTGCGTCCGTTGTCCGCGTCTCCGCCGATTTGCCCGCATACTATGCCTTGTGCGTCTTCCTGGCGCTTTACACTTTCTCCCTCCTCGCTCTCCTGCCGAATCGCAGACGCGCAGCACTGCCGCATCGCTCGTCCAGTTTGGCCGAAATCATCAGTTGGGTGTATCAGAGTCCCATCTTGACGGATCGGGCGTTTGCGAGGCCCAAGACGAAACCGGAGCTGGTGGCTCGCCTGATGGGGAGTGCCTGGGTGGAGAGGACGTGGGGGCAGAGTCTGACGAACCTTGTACGGCCGAGTCGGAGTAATTTGAGGGCCGAGGAGTTGCCTGTGGAGAAGGAGAAGGAGAAGTTGGAGAAGAGGAAGCTTGACGGTCCGACCCCGAAGAAGCACAACTCTGTCGTCGACCCGGGGAAGATCCGCTACGGATTCGGCATCTATGTCGGGCGAGATGGGCTCGAGCATTTAGGTATCGATCGCGTGGCGCGCGGTGGCGAGAGGAGTGGACGTGAGTTAGTCATTTACGAGGAGCAGCGGCGAGCTAGTGGTCGTCGCAGCGGAAAGGGGAGGGTGGAACGGGAATTCGACGCCTGAGTGGTGGATAATCCGGTTTTCACGTTCTTCTTATCTGCGGAATGCTCTTCGTTCATGGCATGGCACGGCACGGCACTCCTCCTTTCGGCATTTCGGTTCCTTCTCTCTTCACTTTTTGTTTTCAACGAGTCTATATCTTAGATCTTCTGCTCCCTTTGCCTTATTTGCTTTTCAGTCTGCTTTGAGCAATCAGGCAAGCGACGGCGTTGACGTAGGCGTTTTCTCGTTTTTTTCTCTTCGATTTCTTCTCTCGTCTTTCCTCTTCCTTACACTGTACAGACCGGCGCTCTTTCCATAAGAGTCCCCACAGACGTCGAAGAGATCCAGAGACGGAGAGATGACTTGTACATGATGAGTAACGTTCACGATGATGACGGTAGTAACGAGGAGGATGTCACATGCATATAAGGGTACATGAGGATTGATGAGGGTGTGGTCCGCACCCACCGGGTCGTAGAAAAGAAGATGTGAGCAATCCAATAAGTGTACATGAGTACCGGTATACTGGGAATTAGTCCTGAATTCATAACGTAAATAAACAGCAGCATATCCTGTTCACAAAATGTACACACCCTCCTTTGACAGCACGGGGAATGTCGAAACTGCTGACCGGCGGAGCACGAAAGAGATATGCAACACACATGGGCATTCGCATAAGGTATTGCACTTTGGAGCATCACAGAGCACACAGAGGACGAGCGTTTAATATGATCCGAATTTTTTCCATGTAAGGGGCTACGCTGTACATGATCCACCATAACCGCAAACCCATCGAAAGCAGAAGCTTCCAATCAGGTTTGGTCGCGGCAATATACGCGTCACCCGAAACACCATGGCAGAGGAAGATAATGCTCTTGCACCGCCGCAGTCACGAAACCGGTGCAAACCCGTGTACCAGAGGGTCCATGCATATGGCTATGCACACCATGGACCATAGAAGACGGCGCCACCGTGTGACAGGCTGAAGACCGAGAGAAAGCCAGAAGGAAGGCATGAACGGTGGGTACAACCCTCCAGCACAAGGCTTTTAGGTTATGCCCTTCGCAGTGATTTCCTTACCAACTGGCCACCTTATCCTCAACATCGGCGTTGAAGCCCTCATCGGCTTGGAAGCCGCCTGCACCAGCGTCTTCAGTACCGCCAGTGCCGAAGCCTTCAGCGCCGAAGCCGTCACCGAGACCGCCACCGAACGCGTCTCCACCACCGAGACCATCGTCAGACTCGTCGTCCGTATCCTCATGTTGGAAGAGCTCCTCGGGATTCTCTGGCTTGAACTGTTCGAGAAAGTCCGGGATCTCCTGCTTAGCCTCGATGAGAATCTTGACCAAGTGAGGAGCGAGGTCTTCGTTGCGATCATTGTAGAAGGAGGTGGCCACACCTTCATTGCCAATACGAGCAGTACGACCGATACGATGCACATATTCCGTGATGCCGTCATGCTGAGTGGAAGGGAGATCGTAGTTGATGACATGCTTGACATTGGCGACATCCAAGCCACGAGCGGTGACGCCAGTTGCAACCATGATTGGGGTTTTAGCAGCCTTGAAAGAACGCCTAAAAGTGTTAGACTGGGTACATATCTTAGAGGGCGTCGACTTACAAGGCATCCTCGCGCTCACGTTGGGTACGGTCCGAATGAATCGAAGTCGAAGGCATGCCCTTGTTGTACAAGAAGTCATCCACCATATCGCACTTTGCCTTAGAGTTGACGAAAACAAGAGTACGCTGGGCTGGGCCAGACATGATGAGATCGAACAGTGCCTGGTTTTTTGCAGACTCCTCGACATAGACAACTGACTGCTTGATGTTCTGATGGGTACTGCCGACGCGACCAACTTTGATGCGGACATGGTCGTCTTCCATATAGTCGCGAGCGAGTTTTCGAGCGGCCTTCGGGAACGTGGCAGAGAACATCAGATACGTGTGATCGGCATCCTCGCTTACAGCTATGGAGGTGTAAGCAAACCGTAGTCATTTAAGCAAGTAATGGATGGCATACCTGAACCGGCAAAGAGCTTGTCCATGATTTCCTCCCAGCCCTGAGAGAGAAGTTCATCGGCCTCATCGATGACAGTGTACCTTCAAGTGGTCAGCTAAAGAAATAAGGTGTGACTGTTCAAGACCTACTTCAGTCGATGCAACGAGAGCAGATTCAAGTTGCTCATGAAGTCCATCAGACGGCCAGGAGTTGCAACGAGGACATCACAACCCATCTCAAGCTGCTCACGTTGAAGCTTCGAAGGGGCGCCACCATAGACGACACAGGGGCGCAGCATGGTGCGGTAGCAGAGACGACGGGCCTCGTCAAAGATCTGGCAGGCCAGTTCACGAGTTGGGCATACGATCAAGACCAGCGGCTCAGCGCGAACGCGATCAGTCATGGGATTGTAACGAGCAGGATTCGGACGAGGGGCCGCCAATATGCGCGCCTTTCCCATAAGCCTAGACAGGATCGGGATCAGGTACGCAGCCGTCTTTCCGGAGCCTTGTCTCAAGTTAGCAGGCAGACTGTAAAAATGTGTGGCTTTGAACATACCAGTCTGCGCAATTCCCACGACATCATGGCCGGTCAAGACGGCAGGAATCGTGTACGACTGGATCGGCGTGGGGATATGATAGCCGCAGAGTGTAACGTTTTCCAGCATGGCCGGGTGGAGTCCAGCATGTTCGAACTATTTGCTCAATTAGCAAGTTCTGGTAAGAAAATGACGTGCAGAGTCACACTTACCGAGCGGATCGGAGCGACCGGGTCCTTTCCCATTATCTTGACTTCGAAGCTCAAGGCTTGGATGTGGTTGCCCGCCCTCATGATTTGCTCTCCATGGTAAAGCTCTTGCTCAAGGCGCTCGTCCCGCGGGCCAACCTCGCCGACGTCGTCATCAAAGACGTAGATGCCAGACTCGCCAGCCCACTTGTGGCCTTCGCCATCTGCAGGAGCGGCACCGGTACCGACGAGCTCGTACTGGAACGGAATGGGATTGTTCCACCCTTTTTCCCTAATCGCGGCGAGATTCGCCGCGAGCTCTTGGTCCTTGGTTGAAGGAGCACCGTTGGCGTTGCCATTGGCATCACCGTTGCCAGTACCGTTGGAGTGGCCATTGGACTTAGCATGGTCGCCACCATTGGAGACAGCGATGCCGTAGTCAGACATTGCTGAAAAGAGATGGCAGAAATGCCGGGAAGAGAAAGTTATCAAGAGGGTGGGGGAGGGTCGAGGGTCGTGGAGGAAAAGGTGGGTTGAGGAAAGAGGGAAGGTGGGCAAGAGGCGAGAAGGCAGGGGTTTATGTATACGCTGGAGAGGGCAGGTACGAAAAGCACGTGATTGGCGTGGGAGCTGCCCAGGTGGAGGCCGGGGGTTTGGTAGTTGCCAGAGTCAACTGGTAGTCTGAGAAGCGGAGGGTCGGTTACGGAAGGAGCCAAAGTGAGAGCAACTCGAACCTTGGAGATTCGTGTGGCGGGCTCCCAAGGTGACTCAGTTTGAGTGAGAGAGACAGGCAGTGGTGTAGAGATAGGGTATGGGGGGTTTGCCGTAGTTCTGCGGTGACGAAACGGGTAGCGTTTGCACCGTTGATGGGATGGCATCTCGAATACACACGCACTCAGATGGACGCTAGCTCATACACCATGTAGTTTAGGTAGATAACAACACGAAGTCTGCACCTAAGTTCGTTAACATGCTGGGCACTGCTGTGCGGTGCGCGAAGGGTATGCCCGGTAGGAGGTGGAGTGCGACAACGATGACTGCATCATGATTTCGCCTACTTTAAGATGTCGTGACTTTTTGTCCTTCTCACACTAGAGGGCACCCATATCGGTCAGCCGTGAAGATGGCCTTTCGCAAGGCGCTTCGGGGCTTCGTGCTGAACACCTTCAGGAACTCCGTCGGGACATCACAACGCCAAGGGTCCCACCCGCGACACAGCACCTCACAGGCACTAATACACGCATCGTGAACTCATTATGCTAAAGCTCCCACAGTCTCACGTCCAAGCACAGTTAAGGAATGACCTTATGAAACCTATGACCGCCCACCCAGTGCGGCGTGGGTGGAAACACGCTACACAAAGCAACGATGAAGACCTCAAAACAGCATAGAAACACTCGGAACCTCTACTAAGAGATTGCCACGGTGACAGATTCTATACAATTTGAATCAAACTTACTTGGCGGCGATGCGAACACGGCCGACACCCAGTCTCGATAGTCGCACGCTTTGGGACTGCTCACTAGTACCACCGCTCCACCACGACCGCACACCACGACGCAATTTCCTTTTCATAATTCGATGCATCTATTACCTTTACCCCGGATACCGCCTCCCATCCCACTGCCTTCTCGCGCTTCGTGCCGCACCGCATGAGCTTCCGCCGCTCGAGGCACTTTCTCTGCCCGCCCCACTTGCCACCACGACAGAAAAAGGCACACCAAGGCAGTGCGCATATCGGAGAAATGACGAAGGACACACTGCATATGCGAAGACCACAAATCTGATTCATTCCCGTACGGAAGTTCGGCCTAACGGGTCAAAAGCAGCAAAACGAGGGATCCGACATTATGAATGAACGGGGGAACGCACTGCATATTAAGTGGCACTCGTCCTAAACACACAGCATACGCCTACACACTACGAGACATGGAAAGTCTGTAATGGGAATATCCCGTGGAAACATCCTATGGCAACAGCGAGCTCGGGGAGGCGATGGACTGAAGGCCAGCGACCTGGAGACTATAGTTTACCAACAAGTCCACGGACTTACCATCCAAGACCCAGTCTTTAATTGAATACACGACAAAACCTCATTGCAGGCCAAACGGAGGACCTTCCACACTGTAACTGTTAGCTTAGGCCGCCGATTTCCTACGAGCACGAGGCCGGCGGGGACTCCACGAAGCCGACGCTCTTCTTGAACTCAAGAATAAACAGAGCTGTTGTGCGATAATCGCTATTCTATGCTTTGCCCGCCGAAAATATGAGGATCCCAAAGGTGAGCAGAGAACGATGCATGACTATCAAGCAAACAGCTGACCAGCACTAGGACTCAGGATACGAGGTCTAACCAAGCGTACAACGGAACAGATTGCTATTGGGCAAGTCCACGAATAAAGAACTCAAGCCTTCTGTCGAACACGAAGCCCGCTATCAGAAACTTAAGTTCACTACCGAACACGCCGCAAGTTGCCGAACTCGCACGCACCACACGGCCCGATCCGCACGCCGTCAATACCCTCTTTCACAAGACACAACTTGGGTCTATACTAGCCCGCTCCTACAGAACCCATAACAGCAGAGCATTGACCGGCAACGAAAGATAAGGTTTGGAAATACTTTTGAAAGGGAAGGGGCTGTGGGGAAACGGTGCTGCGTCAGGCAGTTGCGTCGTTCTCCGCCATCTCAGCGCATGCATGATTGAAGCTTTTGAAAAAGAGGTGCAGTGCCGGGCAGCTATGGAGAAGGGAGAGGGAGCTACATACATATACATATATATGGATATACATAGCGCTCCATGTCACTAAAGGAGGGGCAAACAGATTTGACATCTTGCATTGTATCGCATGATGCGGGAACGCTGGTAGATGATGAAAAATGCAAAGTACAGCTGAAGTATCTATGGACTCGGACGCATATGAATCGCACTCATACAGGCTGGCACGGTTGGAGACACTCAGTAAAACACTGGTGCTGTAGGGCCACCACACATTGTCAATTAGCCTAGTAAAGTCTCAGAATTCGGTTGTGCACAGTGCTCATAGGTGCAGGTACATTGTGATGACGCCGGAGCTGTTCCAGGTCGCTGATGTACTCTGGGTTAATGAAATCTCTGCTAACTTGTGATTAATCAGAGTACTTGCTTTCCTTTCGTGTTTGCGCAAGTGCCCGACCATCGGCTGTCGCTGTCCTCATCGGCTTCAGTAGCCGGATGATTCTGCTACATGGAAGCGCTCCCAGCGAGTCAGATGGAGTTAACCCTTGATCCTGCCTTCGCGAGCCTAAAACCCCAAGCACTCATATGTCAAGACACCGACCTCGCATGGTCCGAGTTATGATATCGTGTCTTCGATGGGTATATCCAGGTATATCTTCCTTTCCTCTTCTCATCCCACATTCCCGTTCACTCCCAAAGTTCTCTAAACCTCAGCAGATCCCTCTGCCCATAGCACTCCGCCACGACCGTAAGAATCATATCGATCGTTGCCCTGGTATTCAAGTCCGGCCCTGCATACTCAATCTCCGAAGCCACGAAGGTAGGCTTGGTACTGTCATGCGGCATACCCCTTGAGGCTTCTGATATATCCTTCCCTCGACGGTGTCGTTCTGCATCCGCGCGAGATGCGAATGGCTTGTCGTCATTTGACCTTCCAGTACCTTGCGGCTTGACCAAACGATCTCCCAGCTGCTCGAGGAGCCGTGCTCGAGCTTCTTCTAGGGTCTTCGGTTCATCGTCGCTAGTGACGGGCGCCTGCTTTTGGCCTGGGGGTGACGGGTTCGGCTTCTCGGATTGAGGGAGATGTTCGCTGCCGCTGACTTGTGCAAGAAGACGTGCGCGGGCCGATTCCAGTTTTGCGGACGGATCTTCGTCCGCTTCGCCTTCGTCTTCTGAGATGGACATTTCTGCGTCGGACTGGGAGGTAGATTCGTGTTGGTTTCCGGTGTCACCATTCGTGCTTTCCTGCAATGCCATAGAGGGCGCGGGTACACCGTTAGGTTCTTCGAGTATATCCATCTCAGATGCTTCCCATCCCTCCTCTTCCTCTCCAACAGCCGCTTCCTCGTCACCACCACCATGCCCCCTCTCCTTCTCACGCTGCTCCCCACCATCCCCGCGCAGAACCCTCCCATCATCCGTCCTCAACCTCATGCCAAACTGCCCGGCTTTATGCCCCAAATCCCTAATACAGCCAGACGCCCTATAGTCCAGGGTTCCCGACTCCGGCGCCCTGGCCAGCAGCGCCCAAATCCAGCAACTTTTCGGCTTCGTGATAGCTTTGAACCTGTCAAGGCTATCGGTGCAGAAGCGAAGGCCCATGAAGACATCCAAGGTGCTCATTTTGCGGAGCAGAGACGGGCTGGGGTATTCGCGGTCGAGGGTGTAAAGCCATTGATGCCGGCTTGTGGGCATTATGGTGGCTATCCTGAGATTGGAGCAAGTTGGCCGATCCGGGGGGTTCGGTGATGTGGGATGGATATCGTTTAACATTTTCCGCATAGACTGATAGCGCTGCAGCAATGCACGGTAGTACTGCTCTTGCGGATCCAAATCTTCGTATTGATCCGACCAATCTCCTTGCGAGTATTCCTCCGGTGTAGGATCCCGGGCAATCCATGTGCCTTCACTGTATATGACGGTATAGTCACCGCGGCCGGTCTCGAGCATGGAGCGATCAGGTTTATCGTGGTCTGAGCCTCGGGGAGCAATGAGGACGTTTGGTATTGTTGATGCTTCAGTCCTATAGTAATGGTGGTAAGCTACGTTTCTTCAGCGCAAACTTCTGGTAGAATGGCGGAGAAAGAGAGTCGTAAATGGGAAAGGAAAAGTCAATGGCTTACCTGACACTCCGGAGATAAGCAAGCGCCTCACTCGTAGCATCGTCCGACACGTCGCCCTCATCTAACATCCCAGGGAACATCGATGACATCCCGATATCCGTGTTCTGGAGACGATAACCCTTTCTACCAAACCTAGCCGGCCCGTTGCGCAGGCGCGACCTTTTGTTAGGCTCTTCGTCTGCTTCATCGTCGCTGATGCCGGCCTCTTCGAGTGTTCTCTTGGCCGTTTCCGCAGGCCGTGAAGGGGGGGTGTCGTTCTTCCGAGGTGCGGGGCCCGCTGTGGGAGCAAGGAAGTCGTCTGGGCGCTTCAGCTTGTGGTAATGCTCGCCAACCTCAGTCGTTGCTCGATCCATCCCGGTTAACAACATGGAATTGAGCTCTTTGTTCCGTTGAGTGACGTCGTTTGAAAAAGTCTAGGCTGCGGAGCTTTAGCTACTTACAACTGTTAGCGCAGCCCTGGAGGGCCAGGGAAATGTTCCGAGTGGGCCGTGCGCTAACTCAAATCCAACGACATTTCATGGCTAGCGCGCTCCACATCTACACCATTGCGGCAGGGAAGAATCAGGAAAAACTCACAAATATATCACCCGTGCAGAAAGAGCATATGACTTTTGTCAGGTAAAGTCATCAATTCATATTCACTCGTGAGCCATAGTAAATGCTAGCATAAGTCCCGAAGTTACGTCCACACCTCAACCCATCCAGTCATCTCCACCAGAAAGCGGTGCTTGAAGTCCAGCTTCAGCATCCAGAAGTCATCTCTCTCAGCTCATTCTCCAGAAAGACTCCTTCACCCCTTCACTCTCGTCAGCTTCTGTTCTTCAACCATCACAACCCCCTCCCTATTTCCCTACTCGGCCTGAGCCTTCTTCCCCTCCTTCGTCTTCTCCTTCTTCTCTTTCTCCTTCTCCACCGGCTTCTGAGCCTTCTTCCTCGTCTTTACCTCCTTTCCAGCAGCCACAGCGCGCTCATTCAGCACTTCCGTCCCAACCTGCAATCTCTCCCTCCGCTGCTGATTCGCAATCGCGTTCCCAATCTTCCCTCCGATCCTCAGACTCGGATTGTACGCCAACTGCGCCAACTCCAGTCCCCCCTGCAAAGCGTCATTGCAAGCCGCCTTGCTCTTCGTCAACACCTCACAAAGAATCTCCAACCTGGTCCTGCAGCAGTTCTTCGCCGGATCTTTGAACTTTCCCCTGACTGCCTCCTTGTGATACACCAGAGGCCTCGTCCACCCCCGCTCGTGGACCGCAATCGCCTTGTCGAAAACGTTGTGGGCGGCGGCCTCCAGGTCCATCTGGTCGAAGGCTCCTGTTTCGAAGCGCTTTCGGTGCGTGCTGGACTCCTTGTCGATGAGACCGTTGATGTTGATCATGGCCTCGTAGAGGCGGCGAACCCAGTCGTCCCTGTTGGCCTTTACGGCCGCGATGTTGGGGTCTCGGTTGATGCTGCGTTTTGCAGCGCGTCGGTGATTCCTGGCGTCGTCGCCCGTCGCGAAATGCCTCTTGAATGGGGGAAAAGCTGGCGCCTTTGGCGGAGTTGGGGCCTCGCCAGAAGGCTCGGCGGTGGTGGTGGGAGAGGAGGGAGAGGAGTGGTGGTTGGTGGAGGGGAGGCCGGTGGAGGAGGAGGAGGAGGGTCCAGGGAGTAGGGCCTCTCCAGAGGCATCGGAGAGAAGGAGGGAGGGTTCCTCCAAGGTGGTGAAGGTATTGGAGGTGGTGGGCTCAGCCCAGGAGGAGTCGAAGAGGAGGTCGGAGGGGGGAAGGGCATCTACTGAGAGCCCGAAGGCCCCACCGATGCCCAACTCCTCCGCCGTGAAGAACTCTGAGGAGTCGAAGCTGGAGGAGAAGGAAGCCCCAGGAGCCTGCTCGACTGGGGTGGAGGTGCCAGCGGGAAACGAATCCGGAGGCGGAAGGGGGTTGCCGTCAACGGCGAACTCGGGGTTCCAATCGTCCTCGAAGAGCGAATCGATGTAGTTCTCAACGTGCGACGGCATGTTGACTGGCAACCAACTTCGAAACGGTGGGCAAGGGGATAATCAAAAGATAATAAAAAAACGTCACAGACGCTGTGAAATTCGGAAGTCGAAAGGAAAGAAGAAACCTCCCAGAGGCTTTCAGCAGGTATGCAAATGGAATTGTGTCGTAGACAGAAGGCGAAGCTGAACTGAACTGAAGAAAGAAAGGAAGAGAAGGGGAAGGGGACCTTTTGGGCTGTTATATGTCCGGACGACGCCCATTGTGCCTCACTGACGATAGGATAGAACTACAATATCTCAATTATCTCTCCGCTCCGCACAACCGCTATTATGGTGCTGTTATTGTGCTTGAAACCAGGAGTTGCTTGAAGTGGGTCTGGGGGGTGCGGTGAAAGGTGAAAGGTGAAAGTGAGGTCGCGAGCTCAACCTCAATAGAACAATACCATCTAAGCGGCACATATCGAGACCTGTTATTGTACGCATCAGCGTGCGGAAAAGTCGTGAGATGTGCAATTGAGCGAGGGAGATACGAGGTGATGGGCAGAGGGTACAGAATGCGTGAAGTATGCGCCTGCTAGCACGGCTGCCGAGCGGACTATGCGGAGCTCTAACCTGTCCTTACCATGTTAGCCGGGTTGAAATGCATAGCAACTTCAAAGGCTCTAAGATCGAAGGCCGTAGCTATAATTCCTGGCGAAACATGGATCAATGCATTAGCGCAGCGTGCAAGCTAAGTGTATCCGCCATCGCTATGTATTCAAACAAGCATGATAACGGGTGCCCAAACATGGACTTGCAAAGCACACGTATCCACCGTCCCACCTTATCCTCACTCGCTCAATAGCCCTAGTTATCAAACGCCATGGGAATAAAGCCGTTGCGATGTGGTGCTTCTCTCTCTCTTGTCACAATATACGAAAGAGCCAGGTTGCTTATTTTGGTGTGACTATTGATGCCAGTGTGCTGGGTAAGTAATTATCGTTTACGGAATGTGAGGAGAGAATAATTTTGCCTTCCGTCGATTCCGTCAACTCCTGTCGACGAAATATGAAAAGTGCCAGTTTGTGATCGCTAAACACCGAGTCGAACCATCTCTTAGGGATAGTGTAACTAATCTGGATGCGTCAGGTTGGCTTGCTCATTTGTGCGGACCAAGAGCTCACAGAGCGGTGCTTCCGGTGTGAACAACCTACCGGTAGTTTAGCTACTCCTTTGTCTTAGATGGCTGGCTCGGTCTGTAATGATGCTTCGCCCAGCAACAAGAGACACGCATTACTTCTAGCAGATCCTATCTTAAAATGCTGTTTGTGATGTCTCATACTGCAGCGACAAGCGAAACGGCTACTAAGCAAGCGTTCTTCGGATGGGGCACATATAAATAGTGTTCGAAAACGGTTTCAGCGGCTCGTGTTCCATACTTGCTTCCGTAAAGCCGTCCAGATGAGTGAGGGAAATTAATTGGCTTCCAGTCGGACTGTCCAAAATTCCCGCTATGCAAGGCATTAACCCCACTAGACAAAATATGGGCAGTGGTTATTGAGAAGACCAACCTCCGAGATCAACCGAACGCTCACTCCTCTGGATGGGTTGTCCTTCATGCCATGGGTGTCGGCAAGTTGATTATGTGTTCGACAGATCTTGGAGGAGAATTGGTTTCCAGATTGGCTTATTGCGGAATAGGCAATTGTGGAGTTCATCAAGATCGACAAAATATCAAATATCTCAACCTTGAACCTCACCGAAAACTGAATGTTTCACGTAGCCGCATCAAACCAGTCAAAGATCCCTTCCAACACAATATTTTGTCCTTGGCATTGGCGACCCCGGCCCGATACATAGCTACACAATATTGGGAATGTTCCTCGCTGAAGTGAACTTTCACGATAGATTCTATGAATTTGCCGCAAACTTCAGGCTCCGTATATACACAATGCAAATGAGATAGGAGATGTACAATGCAAGCCCTCCCTCACGTCCTCACACAAAGACCCCTTCCTTTTTCCAAATGCCAGACCCTCATTACGCAAAACTTCTATGCGGTACAACCCGACCCACCGAAAGTAACACCATCAGGGAGTTCAGCAGTTGATCACTCGCAGTCAACATCTACAACATGGACAACCACCAAGCCGCGGATGACGCCTCGACTAAGGCCAACCACACGCTATCTGAGATGGAACTTGAGGCAGCAGTCATCTTGGTTGAGCTGTCATCGAGCACGGGAATTTCCGTGCGCTTTGAGGACGAGTTAGAAGCCGCCGAAGGCTTAGTGGAGTTGCAGATGGGTATCCCGCAGGAAGTGTTTTCACTGAATGAATTCGTCCCTACGACTTTCAATCCTACCGCAGACGAGAATGCTTCCACGGAGACGGAGACTAAGGATCAAAAGTATCCGTCCCAGGACATTTCGGCGAATGATGCGGCAGTCCTCCACTTCCTCGAGCGTCTGGAAGGTGATGAGAACAATCAGATCGCATCTGGCCTCCTAGCAGCGTATGGACTGACGGCGGTAAGCACCGCATTCCTGATGGTGACGACCATCGAGCCCAACCTCGTGCAACAGGGCGAGATCATCACCAAGATGGCGACGCTCCTCAAGGAGGTGGAGGACGGTAAGCCATAGGTGAGTGTTGATCCCCGCTCGGAGTGTGTTTTCGGAGTGGATTACTATGCATGATAGCGCCTTTCACCCTAAGGTGGGGAATATGCGAAGGGTTGGAAGATCATGTAGGAGTTTTCTGATAGGATTTGGTCGCGCGATGGACCTACAGCGCCCTTATGAAAGGGTGCTGTTGGGGGGATGAATACTTAGCACTGAGACCAACACATTCATGTCTGGTACGTCTCATGTAGCTTAATCAAATAAGATGATGCAACATCTCCTCTCTTTCAATAGTGTATACCAGTGTGCTCAACAGTGAGATGCCCTTGGTGTTGCTAGCCGTGCTGAGAAAGAAATGTCTTGTGAGAAAAAAATTTCCTTATTATGATTCGCCTAGAAAGTATATTCTGGTAGATATAGGAGGCTTCTCCTATTCGTATTAATCACACGGTGCAATTTCACCAATCGTACTTACACAGCCACTGGGCTAGAACACGAAGGTCTTCGGATATACCCAATGCAAATGCCATAGCCGCCGTACTACCCTAGAGTATGTACAACCTAACCCCTCTTAACTATACCCTAGGGTAGCCCTCTTACGCAAGGCCCCCTTCCCCTTTCCTAAAGTCTCTTTTCCTCCTGCACAGTCAAACTTACAACTCACCTGTAAACTAACAGAACAGGTGCATAGTAACAGGCGCTGTATATACACAATGCAACCTTTAGGAAATAAAATAGGAGACGTACAATGCAAGATCTACTATCACGCCTTTATACAAAAACCCCTTCCTCTTTACCAAATCTTCAATTCTCATCGCACAACGACTTTGGTACAGTCAACCTCAACCCGACCACCGGGGACAGGCCCACTGCTATCAGACAAGTGTCCCAACAATCTCTGACCCACAAAGGTTTCCAGTATGGACAATGACCAAATGTCGGAAGGCGACGTCGCACTTGCGGTAGATTACACGCTTTCCCAAGACGATCTGGAGGCAGCCAACATTTTGATTAAGCTTAGTACCGATGGTACACAGCACGCGATGACTACGCCTCCTGAGGTTGAGCTGGAGGCCGCAGAAGGCTTAGTAGAGCTCAAGATCGGTATTCCAGAGGAGGAACCGTACCATGGCTTCGGCCCTACCAGCTTTGATCCGACGACCTTCCAGCTCCCTGAACACTATTCTTCAGATGATATGTCCACGGCCCCTACTATGCTAAATGAGTCCATAGGGCAATGTCCGGCCCAGGACGTTCTGGAGGATGACTCAGCTGCCGTGGACTTCTTCGAGCACCTGGAAGGCGATGAGAAGTGTCTCATGGCCTCAAAGCTCTTGGCGCAATACGGGTGGACGGCGGTTCGTACTGCCTACGACATGGTAACGACCGTTGAAGACAATCTCATTGACCAGCAGGAAGTTCTTGTTAAGGTGCGCATGCTGCTCAAGGATGTGGAGGGTGGTAACTTGTAGCTGAGTACTACCGTGTTCGATGTGCTATATTGGGAAATTGGATCTACAAACCTTGGTGAACATTGCCATGGTTTTGCATTGGACTGTAAAGCCCAACCCCTGATGCACAGGGCTCAGCGTGTTGGAACTACGGTACTCTTATGCTAGGGTGTCGTTGGAGGAATGCACACTTTCGTATCTGAGACTAACTGATGGGAATTCTGTTACTTCTCAGTTAGTCCACTTCAATAACATATATTACATTCGATTCCTCCTGTCTTGAAACAGTGACTTGTGTGTTAGACAGTGTCATGCCGTTACTGCGACTGGTTTTCCTCCAAAAGAATCGAGTTGTGTTTGCCCGGACTTGTCTTAGTAAATTTAGGAGGGATATTTTAGCTGCTTGGGAGAGTCTTTCCTATTCTTAAGATTCTGAATATACAAGCCTTGGGATTCACAGATCATGTCACAGCCACTGCTAGAACATGAAGGTCATCGTAAATACACAATGCCGATGACATATCCGCCTCGTCATGCTCAATTCACCCCGGTTTCGCCATGGCGAGCTCACGCCGCAAGACCCCCTTCCCTTTCCTAAAGTCTCGTTTTTCCCGCGGAGCCAAACCAACTTACAACTAACCGTACAAATGTACGGAAACAAGTGCATAATAACAGGCGCCGTATATAGACAATGCAAAAGAGCTAGTAGACGTACAATGCGAGATCCGCCCTCACGCCCCTATACAAAGACCCCTTCCTCTTCGCCAAATCTCTGATCCTCCTCAGGGCAACTTCGGAATCAACTCAACCAGAGCATTCAAAGGAAACCACTGGTACCCACTAAGTTACGTACGTATCCACCAACCCACGATGTCCATCACCACAGACAACAGCAACATGACGGAGTCCAATGCAACTGCAGTCAATTGCAACGTCTCCGTGCAAGACGTTGAAGCAGCATGCAGCTTGATGGAGATGAGCGCTGGTAATACGAAGCCGCCTATGAGCAGTGGAATCCCCACTTACTCTGACCAGGAGTGGGAGGCAGCGGAGGCCCTGGTCGAGCTCGTGATTGGCATTCCAGAGGAAGAGCCATATCATCGACTTGCCGACCTGACCTTCGATCCCACCACGTTCGTTCCCCCAGAGGAGCGTGGGCCAGAAGGTGTGACGGCGGGCTTAGCCGCAGCGGACGAACACCTGAACCACGATGCCGCCCAGAACAACTCGGGCCACGACTGGGATTTGGATGTCTTCTTTCAGAATCTGGAGGGCGAAGATCGATTTGAGGCTTTGCAGCTCGAAGCAGAGTATGGTCTGGACGCTGTTCGCACTGCATTCGCCATGGTAAAGGACGTAGAACCCGACCACCTTGACGAGCGCTAGATTCTTGGCAAGGTGGCCAGCCTCCTCCAAGGCGTCGAGAACGGCAATCTGTAAGTCAGTTCTAGCACCATTTCAAGTGTTATACTGGAGCTATAGACCATGAATGGCGAAGTTGATGACGCAGCCGTGGCGATGTGGGACAAGGTAGCAGAATGGAACCACTGCGCTCTATGCTAGGGGGCGGTGGAAGATTGCATACTCAGACCCACAATCAACTGGTATAAATATTTCCAATACTATTACTGTACTTACATTTACATGATGATCGAAAATATTCCGTGCAACCTTGAATGTGAGGTAGACTGGGTCGTGAGCTAGTCACTAAGACAGCACTCTCGAACAATGAGCTTGCGTAAAAGATAAGAGACATCCTACACCATAGACCTTTTTGGATTCCCTTGTAGAGCTTATAGAGCCTTAAGGAAGGTCTTACCATCCCATTCGAGCTGTTCAATTCACAGCTTCCTGCCCTCACAACCAGCCTCTTTCTTTTGCACCTGAACATGGTGTCCGCCTTTTGGTTGTGACGATTGTAGCACTCATTGATGCCTCACAGGTGGCATTATGTCTCGCCTTATGACTTCAAATAAGTCAGCAAATAGCTGTCAGTCCTCGGGTCTTTCAGCTAGTCCGAGACAGTGCTGAATAGTGCATATATTATGAAGACGGATCTGTCAACGACCTTGCTAACAGCCTAAATCTTAGGAGGTTATTGTATATACACGACCTGTACACAATGTGAAAGACATGGAAGACTCACAATGTAGCGACTCTTCACCCACGTCGCCCTTGCGCTCTCACAGACAAATCCCCCTTCTCCGAGCAGCGATGGCTCCTCTCTACCGCAACCCAACCCTTGAACACAACCAACCGCACTGAACCAGAGCGCACTAACAGTTCCCGACTCCAACCTACCAGACAAAGACCGATACATGTTTTCAAACATGAATAGCAACCGAACTCCCCCCATTCGCATCTGGTCTGAGGCCGAGATGCAAGCTGCAAAGTGCTTGGTTCAGTTGGCTGACCGTCGACAGCGTGTAGGAAACGATCCTTTCAGCGACGTTCTGTCCACACCTGAGCGTTCGTCTAGCAATGTGTCTGAAGCGGAGATTCCTAGCCATGTCTTCCGTCATCTCAACGGAGACGACGCAACCTCTGCAATTATTAAGCTCCTGGAAGACCACGCTTTCGACGCAGAGGCCAACGCGTCCGTGGCTCTATATCTTGCCAGCACCACTGCACCTGACATCCGCGCGGTGTTCGAGGGTCTCGCGCAGAATCCTCAAGTAACCATGATTTTTCGGCTTCTGCGTGAGTATGGTGTGGACGCCGTAACGAATGCCTTCAACATGGTTAAAGGGGTAGAGACGGCTGTTGTCGAACGTCGGGTAACCATCCTCAATGTTGCAAACCTTCTGAAGGATGTGGATGAGGAAACTACTCGAACATCCAGTAGGGCATCTCTCATCCACTTGAACTATGGGGACAGGGTGTAAACCCGAGTCAGCAACGCCGCGACTGTCCCAAAGGGGAGAGTATGCCGAAGCTAGTGTGTCTTGAAGACAAGTGTGTGCTGGAAAAAGTGGACAATCTCGTTCGCGAACCCATCTGCATCCTTATGCTGGGGCGCAAGATGAATGATTAGTACTTTGCATAGATCGTTGTATCCAGCCTGGTGTATACAATCGCAATATAATTATATCAAGATCGTCTTCGTGTGCTGCAACTGTGAATTGTCTTGGTCAACCGACGTGCTGAAAACTTACGAAGTATATTACAAGTCTTTCTGACTTTACATAGTCGCTGCGCCTATAGCAGCCTCTTTTGCCTCCTTCTCTCGTTTCTTCCTCTCCCTCTCCGCTTTCCGTATCTCCCTCAGATCCGGCGGCTTTTCGATCCCCAGTCGTGTTCGTAGTTCATCAACATCGGTCTCCAGTTCCTCTTCCCAATATACATTAATAACGTCGTCACTTTTTGCGCCGTTCCTCACTGCCCAAGGGCCATATATATCCCAGAATCTCCGCCACTCGGCCTTCTTCAAGGTGAGTGCGCTGAATACCGCCAATCCGGTCATGGGTAAGCCGGTATTAGCGAACTCAAATGCTTTGAGAGCGACCTCTCCTTCTCTGAAGACTGGGAGACCCACAAGCGCATGGTAGAAGTCATGACACTCTCGGTACCGCTGCATCACATAAGCGCATTCCTCATCGTCGATGTAGCGTACAGCGGCTCGTGTGTCGGGAGATACCCCTTCTCTGTCCAGCCATTCGATATATGCATAGCCTAATGTGTTTGAAGGAAGAGCGCGGAGACGAGGAATATCGAGGGAGGTAGATGTAAGGCGAGGGCGGTCACGGAGGATACGTCTGCCGGTGGGATTGAGGAGCATACGGTTCCGTAGTTGGTCGATGAAGTAGGGTTGCGCGGTTGCCTCGCCAAAAGCTGCTATCAGGTCTGAGTTCTGTCAACAACCAAGCTCTACGCAGCTCCATCGAGAGACTTGCCTCCTCTCCTTGGATCTACAAAGCTCAGAATTCCGGAACCAACAGCCAACCCCAGCCTCTCTAAGCCTGTGAGAGGGACATGACCCTCATAGTTCGGCGGAGGTCGGTTCAAGACGGAGAAGCATCTGTAGCTTGCAGGAAGCAAAAGAGAGTGTGACGCACACCTGTATGATACACGGAGGACCTCCGCAGCCGGTTGCTTGATGGGCGCAAACATCAAGGGAGCGATTGCTGTGAAAAGAGAGCTGGACCTGCCTCTGGTATTGTCTCATGCCCAGATGTGCCAAGCAGGGGTAGATCTGATCTGGTCATCTGTATTTATTTCTTATCGATAAGACGTCACTTCCACTTGCACAAGTCTTGAATGAACCGCGGTCCAGAAGAATGCACCACCATGACCACCGCCACCCAACATCGCCACACCTAAAGCCCACCGACCCCGATACTCACGAAACTGTCATCCTCACAAGACGCCTAACATGAAATCTGTGCCGCAGGGCTCTCCTGCTCACACGAACTATCTTCCGGACGAGCTTTTACTTCAAGTCCTCGCCTATGTGGAGTCGTTCCAGCAATCAGACCTCGCGCATTTCTGCCTCGTCTCAAGGCAATGGTATAATATAGGAATCGGCTCACTCTACAGGGAGCCTGTCCTTGTTGGAAAAGCCTACGATCTCTTTGTTCGTGCCATTTGCCCCTCCCGGAATATACACGTCAAGAAAAGTGACTTAGCTGGCCTAGGTACGTCCCACCTTCTCCTTTCCACATCCAACTGAGCGCACCATGCACTTCCTCTGTACTGCGGTCTTTCACGTTCAATCAGACAGCCAGGAGCCGCACAGGTATGACATCTTCTTGCAATAGCCTTCACAGCGCTTCTGTCCAGGCGTAATAATCCTTAGAACCTAGCTTCTTAGCAACATAAACAGTTTGCAGCAGCGTAGCTGGCCTAAAATCACTCACCCTACCTACGGAGGAAGCGCAGGGGACTGTTCAGTAGGACTTGGAAAAGAAGCAGTACAGCTAACACATACTTTACAGTCAAAGTCCTTGATCTTTCACGCATCGTCCACCAGGGCAACAAAGCCACCACCGCCCGCCTCCTGAACCGCACCAAACCCTCACTCGAATGTTTCATTGCGCCACAAGCGTCCTTCGGCGTCAACTGCTGGGCCGCCCTTTCGAAATGCAAGAACCTCCGGCATCTAGACCTCTCCCTCGTCTTCACGACCATCTCGTTCCAAGAACTCGGCCACACTGTTTCTCAATTACCTAACCTCCGCCGCCTCTATTTCCCCCGCTGTTCCACGAAGGACGAGGACGCTTCCGGCTCTGCAATAGCACCGTGGAAGTGGTCAGAGGAAATGCAGCACATACAGTTTTCCGGCAAAATCAGCGGCTCCATAATCAGCAGCATCCTCAACGACTCCCCCCACCGGCCTACGAAGCTAACCAGCCTCTCATTTTCCCATTGCGCCGTCCTGAACCACACGGACGTCCTCTCCACCGTCTCCATCAACGCAGAAACACTCACCCACCTCGTAGTCCGCAATGTTCCCTTCGTCCAATCGGGCCAGCTCAACACCATCCTCGAGTACGTTCCGTGTCTCAAGAGCCTCACCATGGCCGTAGAATTCATCGACATGTCCTTCGGCCTCCCAGACGACCTCGACCCCGACAAAAAGTACGACAGCAAGCCCCTAGAGACACTCACCCTCGTCACCAATCAGCGCACCAGTGGGTATGGCCACGGCGCATTCGGCGCGGATGATCTGTACTTGCTGGTTAGGGCACGCACGCTCGGACGTTTGCGGTACTTGAATCTCGAACGTGCTGTAGGGTGGAGCGAGGAGGATAGAGAGTGGGCGGAGCAGATATTGACGGATCTCGACTCCAGTAATTGGAAGAATAGATTGTGGCATTATGAGCCGTTTAAGGGAAAGTATGAGGGTTGGAGTTGGGACGATTGGATGGAGACTGTGGAGGGGAGGCGGATGGCGCCGCGATTCAGGGTGTTGGAGCATTCGTATGCGTGAGGGGAGGGGAAGTAAAGACGAGAGACATGATTTGGATGGAGTTCTATCGTCTCTTTTCCGGCTGAACAGCGCCTCTACGTCCTCAGTACTGCTGTTTTCACATCTAATCAGACTCCCAGAAGGTGAAACAATATAGCAGACCTTGCAGGTGGCTTTAGAGCGCCTCTATTTGTGTATAAATGTTCTAGAACAGAGTTCGACTCGTAGCATTGTTAGGTTCTAGCCAATTGACCCTGTGCTGATTAGGTAACCGTAGCTACAGAGGAATTGCATGGAGGTGCTCAGTCGGACATGGGAAATGGCAGTAAGTTCGTCAAATACCCAAGTTCATTCGGGCCATCAAACACGGAAGAAGAAATGCTTCACTTCTAAACCCCCTAACAGAGCCCTATCTACACACATTTTATCATCGCTGGTATGGCCATAGATCCAAAAAGCGAAGTCATATTCCCAACCGTCTATAAAAACTCCCAGCTCACCATCACCACCACGCTTTCCACCCTGTTCCTCATGCACTCCCGTTCACTCCCTTCTGCCCCTGCAATATACCCCTAACACCGCCCTTCCCTCCCACCTCCCTAAAGATCGCATTCACGCTGAGATCCGCACCAATATTAACCTGCACCTCAACCTTGGCGCCCTTTTGGAGACCACGCAACGCCGCCTCGGAGAGAATCTTTCCAACCTTCCACGTCTTCTCGCGGATTTCCTCCTCGCTCTCATCCTCGTCCTCGTCAGAGTCGTCCTCATCCTTCTCCTTCTCCTCCTTGGGCTTCGGCTCCGGCTTCGTTACCTTGATATGTCGTGCGCCCTCCGCAAGCTTGATAAGCACATCGCCACCCTCCTTAGGCGTGGCAATGATGGCGCTTCTCCTTACAGGAAGCGGCGTCTCGGCGTCGACAATCGGGTGGAAGATACCATGGCTCTCTTCGCCAGAAATGCAAAGCACGCCGACGGCATGCGAAAGGTGCGGGGTAACGGTAACCATAGGGTGAGTGCTCTGCTCGATATCCTCGAGCTCAAACTCCTGGATCAGAGATGCCTGGATAGCGGCACCGCGGACGGCAAGTTCGCTTGGGTTGATGGCAGTGGGGGATGTAGAAGGGGCAATGACCTTGGTGGTTTCGGGGAAAGCGGCGGAGAGCGCGGAGGCGACCTTCGGGGTGTGGGCGTTCCCTCCGGCCACGATGATCTCGGAGACGTCGAGAGGGTCGAGCTGCGCCTTCTCGACGGCGTGGGCTACCAGGCGCGTGAAGGCTGCGATCTGCTTGATGGCGAGCAATTCGTAACGGGAGCGGTTGATGGTGGCGGTGAAGTCGATGCCGTTTAGCAAGCTCTCGACGGAGAAGGCCGCGCTGGTCCCTATTGAAAGGGCCTTCTTGACGGCTTCGGATTCGAGTTTGAGCTTGGCGAGGGCGCGCTCGTTCTCCCTGGGGTCGCCCGCGGACTTGTTCTTCTTCATGAATTCCTTGGCGAAGTAGTCAATAAGCACCTGGTCGAGTTGGAAACCGCTGACTTCATAGTCGTGGTGTGTAGCGAGGAGGGTGTAGATGCCACCGCGGGATGCGATGACGGCGATGTCAGAGCGGGTACCACCAAGATCAGCGACCACAACGATCTTGTCGGCGAGCTTTGCGTCGGGACGGGCATCGTATGCGAGCACGGCAGCAACGGGCTCGTTGATGAACTGGAGCACCTCGATACCAGCTTCTTTGGCAGCCTTGTTCAACGCCTCCTTCTGTGCGTCTGAAAAGTTGGTGGGGACGGTGATAACGGCCGAGTTGACGCTCTTCCCCAGGTAATCGGATGCCGAGTTCCGTAACCTCTTGAGGTGGCGTGTGGTGATCTCTGAGATGGTGACGGTATTCTCCTTCTCCTCCGGAGTGTCACGGATATTGAAAGCGACGGTCGACTCTTGCGGTACGGGGTGCGCCGACTGGTGGCATGGCGAAGGGTCTATCGACTTGAATCTGTGCCCGTCAGAAAGGACGTTTTAGCAATAAATCTGGAAGTACTCACTCCTGCCCCAAAAAGTCTCTGAAATATGCAACTGTATTCCTCGGGTTGCGCACCAACTGGGCCTTCGCCTGAGTACCATGCAGCTCCTCCCCTGACACATACGATAATATCGAAGGAATCTGACGGTCGCCATCCTCGTTGGCAATAACCTCCGCCCTGCCTTCCTGCAATCGTCGTCAGTACCCGTTCGGCTCTTCGGTACCATTCTCAACCGCCAAACGTACCCCACTCGTAAATGCAATCGAACTGTAAGAATTTCCAAAGGAAATTCCAATTGCGACCCGCTGGGCGGGATTTTGCTGTGCACTCATAGTTGAAGGTTCGAGATCTCAAAAGTATCCTCGCTAAAAAAGGAAGGGCAGAAAATGCAGGAAGCGTGCAAGGAAAATAAAAGCAAAAGTCTGGACGACCTTGAGCAGTCCCGCACAAGATTGTGCCAGACCCGCCCGCTGGGAAAAAGTTGCCCAATGCTTGGCGGTCGTCTTGGCGGTGAACCTCACCTTGTCGCCAGCGGGGTATGCTATAGAAACAAGAACAAACAACACTCCTCAATTGGCGCAGTAAATTGAGACGAGATGGCGACCGCGACTACGATACTACTCCCAGGCGATCAAATACCCCCGGAATCCCTTCCCAAACCTACAAATGCGAAGAAGCCTCTCACCCTCGGTCCCGGTCTACGACATATACCACCAAACACCATCACAGCAACAATTGCAGGCGCATTAGCTACGGACAACAAGAAAAATGCCGCGTGGATAGAATACAACAGCGGAAGAGTATGGCATCCCTGTCTTATCCCCCAAACCCTATTCTCCACTTCAACTCCTTCCATTCCCCCATTCCATCGAAGTCTTAACAAAACAATAGTACACCCCCCAACCCCACGACCTTATCATAGCCACCGTCCACGCCTCCGCCGCCGAAACCTTCACCTGCACCTTAACCCCTCACACGCCGCCCGCCCTCCTCCCACACCTCGCCTTCGAAGGCGCAACGCGTAAAACGAGACCGATACTCCCGCCCGGTTCACTCGTCTACGCTCGCGTGTCCCCCTCTCCATCGTCCACAACATCGGGCTACTCCCTTGGCGCTGGCGGTGCGCCTATAGAATTGACGTGCGTGGACCCTTCGACGGGAAAAAGTGACGGCCTGGGCCCGTTGAAGGGCGGAATGGTGTTCCCCATCTCTCTCGGTATGTCTAGGCGCCTACTAGCGGGGAAGAAGGGAGGCGTGATCGTGCTAGAGGGTCTCGCGAAGAAGGTTGGGTTCGAGGTTGCGGTGGGGAGGAACGGGGTGTTGTGGGTGGATGGGGGGAATGTGAAGACTACGTTGTTGGTGGGACGGGCGGTGCAGGAGGTTGATGAAAAGGGGATGGGAGAGAAAGAGCAGTTGTGGGTTGTGGAGAGGGGATTGCGAGGGCTTTGAGGAGAGAGACTGGACAGAGGATATGAGAAGCTACGTGCTGTTGCTGAGACGTCCTCTGGTACTTTTGGCGAAGGAGAAGGTATACATATACCCCGCTTCAAGTACGAGGGTGAGCTCAGGATGGCAAACCAAAAAGAACGGGTTCGAGATGGTGGTATTGAATCATGCCGGTCATGGAGGAAGGTCCACACGCAGCCACTTACGCCGTATGCACGCACCGCACGACCAACACCGAGACGAGCGTCCTAGACGGACAGAGCTGGACGACAGATCATGTGGAAGTACCACAGAGGACATTTCGGCGAGTGGTGGAATGCATTGTAGAGACGCCGGGAGAACAAAGTGACGCCATGGATGGAGGACAACCGTCAACCGGACCGGAACAAGGAACGTGTACACGCAATGAATGCAATCCGGCTAGTACGTGGACACGAGGCCTGATGACATCTTAAATCATGAAAATTGACGAGCCTTCCGCTTATATGACTCTATACCATTGCATTTCCTTGTCCTTTTCCCTTATTGTGTGCATTGCTCAACTAGACGCCACGCCCATTCATCTGCATCACGCAGAAATTCTTGTCCATCTAAGGCGCCACCCGCTGCGGATCCCTGGGGAACAAGCTCGTCATCCTAATATTGGGCAACCCAAGCCAAAACTGGACAATCCTCTCCAACCCAAAACCACCACCAGCATGTGGCGGACATCCATACCTAAAGCAATCTACATAGTCCTTCATCCCGGGGCCATCAGGGTCAATAGGCGGGTCGTGAGCGCGCATCTGCTTGGCAAGAAGGTCTGCGTCGTGGATACGTTGGGCGCCCGACAAGATTTCTTGACCGCGCATGAACATGTCGTAGGAGTTTGAGAGCTTGGGGTCGTGGGGAGAGGGCATGGTGTAGGCGGGGCGGATGGCGAGGGGGAATTGGTCGACTAAAAAACCTCTAGTCAGCTTGTCTCGTTCATGGCGTATGAGATAGAGTGTGTAAGCTTACGCGTATAAAAGTCGCTGCCATATTTCTCCAACACCAATCTTCCCAAATGCTTCTCCTGCGGCGTCGTCAAATCATCGTAATCATTCAAGTCCTCGCCTGCCTCCCTCAACATCTTAATACCCTCCGTGAACGGGATCCTAGGCACTTTCCCAGACTCGGGGAGCTTGAAGTCTTCAACGTGGTACACGCTGCGGACGAGGTCCGTTTCCTTCTTGTAGCGGCTATTCAGCTCCTTGAAGATGAAGAGCATGAGGTCTTCCAAGAGTCCCATGACTTCGTGGTAGTTTTCCTGGAATTCCATTTCAAGATCCAGACCCGTGAATTCGGTGAGATGACGAGCAGTATTAGAGTTCTCGGCGCGGAAGACAGGCCCAATTTCCATGACCCTTTGGAAGCGCGATGCAATACACATCTGCTTTGCCAGCTGAGGCGACTGAGCCAAAAAAGCCTTTTTGTCGACTATTACACATCGTCAGCTCTACCAGAGACAGCCCTTCCCCAACGTCAACTCACAGTACTTGACCTCAAATACATTCGCTCCTCCCTCTGACGCCGCCCCCAAAATCTTCGGCGTCTGTATTAGCACGAATCCCCTCTGGCCTAAGAACTCCTGGAAAAGCGTGCAAACTCCGCTCTTGATAACGAAGATGGCATGATTGATCTTCGCCCTGAGATCAATCGTCCTGTGGTTCAATCGTGTATTCAATCCTACCAACGGCCGACCCTCCCCTTCTTTGATTTCCTCTGCCGCCCCTTCCGTTGGCAAAGGTCTCTCTGCATCTTCGACCTGCAGCGGCAGCACATGGGCCTTCGCCTCGACGAAAAGCTTCGAAACATGGATCTCAAAGTCCTTAATCGTAGCGCTCTTGATAGGCTCTTGCACTCGCTTGACCGTCCCAGTAACAACAAGCGTACTCTCCGTGCTTACGTTCTGCGCGAACTTAACCATGTGCTTACTTAGAGTCTCGCTCGCCGCAACAACAGCCTGCACCGTGTTCAATCCCTGGCGCAGATTCAAGAAGGCGAGTTTTGCGCCTTGCGGCCGCGCGTTCTCAACCCAGCATCGGAAGACAATCTCCTTATCTTCCAGGCTGGCGATGTCGGAAAGGTCGGAGCGCTGAGCACCAGTGGGTTTGAAGTCCTTGCTTCCAATAAGGGGGAGCTCGCCGTACGCGTCCTTAGAAATGTCTTCGGCGGCTGCGGCTTGTTGTTTAGTGCGTTCAGCGAGTTCGCGGGCTTTGGCGGCGGCTTTCTTCTCAGCCTACGTCGGGTCAGTATAGAATTGCGGAAGCGCACGAACGAACACGAACCTTTTCCTTCTCCTTCTGAGCCTTCTTCAAGGCGTTCTTGGAAGGCTCCTTGGGAGGTTCCCCATCGGTGGTTGCGGCAGGCGGTTGAGGCTCAGCCATGATTGCAAATGAGGTTTTGAGCTCAACGTTTGCAAGTTAAGAGGAATCCAAATTATCTATGGTGGGGCAGTTAACAGTCAGTCAGTCAGTCATTACCCCGCCACAGACGCACATCCTTGCCTGCCAATGGTAAGCCACAGGCGCCACATGGCGCCACATGTAATGAGTATTGAGCGGAGGAGCAGCTTTCCAAGCCGATGGTTTGTCGACCACTTTGATGGTTTGGCGGATTATCCATTACTGTACAGAGTTGTAGCCGTGAGTCCATAGACCTATGCTCATGCCAAGAGTCGCTCCCCAAAAAGTTGAAGACCCAGCCTGTCCAGGTGGGATGATCAGGATGTCCGACATGCCATCCGAGCGACATCCGAGATCTATGGTTCGATGGCCAGATGCAATATATGAAAGACCCTCCAAATTCCGAATCCAGCTTATAATGCTTGGTAACATCAAAAGTCAGCTTACATGAGAGCCACCTATTAACATCGCGGCTGATAACATGTTGGGGCCGGCCACAGAAGTTCGCCGCATCTCAAAAAATGGCCTACCCCGTAGAGTGAGGGCCCTCCCATACCTTGACCGTCTTGGACGGCCTATTCTTGTCAATGCATGCGTGGATGTTGACATGATTATCGTGCAACGCAGCAGCAGCAATGAGCAGACGATGTGGGTGGAACACTGTCGCCGATATAGCTGCTGAACGGTCGCCAAGGAAGCCAGTGTATGGCTCGAAGTGCGAGTTGGTCAAACCCGTATGGAGGTTGAAGACCTTCACCTGGTGCCGCTGGGTACCTCTGCAGCAAAGCGTTAGCGAGTGGAAAGAGGATAAAGTGACAAACGGTACTCACGTAGCAAATACCGGCGCATGTTCGTGCACGCTGAGCGTCCTCAGGGTGTCTCTCGTCGCCTGGATAGTCTTCACGCTTCGATCCATTCGGATATCCCACAGTTTGACTTCGCCGCTACGACAACCACTGACTAACTCACGCTGGCCTCCACGCTGCAGATGTACGTTGGTAATCCATTGCTTGTGTTCCTTCCACACTTTCACCATGGCAGTCGCTGGCTTCTGCCGTTGATCGTATACACGGACCGCACCGTCGCCGAAGCCCGCAATGAATACATGACCCTCGACTTGATCGGATGTAAGTGAAGTGATGCACGACCCGGACCTGGCAGGAATATCCTAATACGAGCGTCAGTGTTGGTACCGAGGAGGTAAAACGTGACTTACACTTGTACAGATCTCCGTGCCGGCATTCCATACACGAATGACTCTGACATCTCCTGCCACCAGGATTAGACCACGGCCTTGCTGCCAGTCAAAGACGAGCCCAGCGTTCTTGTTGCTAGGCACAAGATCGGTCAACGCACGGAACGCTGTGACGAGCTCCGTCTTTGCTCTGGTATCATAGTTGCGGAAAATCTTGATGACACCATCGGAAGAGCCCGTCATCAGAAGAGCCTGGTCATCCTCGTTGATGAAGCGGACTTCAGTGATTCTCGATTCACGCGGGTTGCCATTGGAGAACGAATTGATTCTACGTGGCGATTTCGAATAATCAAAGACATTGACCGTGTTCTGATTGTCCGTCACAAGAAGATGGTCCTCAAACTGGTGAAAACACATCTTCAAGGGTTGCCTGAGGTTGTCAAACACACTTATGTTGGTTTCCCAAGTTCCTTGGACGGCAAGCTCCTTTAAAGGCTGGGTTTCCGCGATGATCTTGTCGTTGCGGTTACGCCGCCAGAGTCGACCGTTATAGTCCGTGCTGCCAGGCTCATCCGCCTCCGTAGGTTTCATTTGTGGCTCGCGGAAATATTCGACAGACCACTCGTAAAACACGCTCTTCAAAGGAAGCTCAGGCACCACCGCTAGGTCTCTAGGCTCGAATCCCCTTGTCTTTGGCTCTTCCAAGGTCTGCAGGCGGTCAGGCGTGCTAGGTCGCGTGTCAGTGACAGGAGTCTGTGCACCGTCGCTGCTCGCGGAATCATGAGGCTTCTGTGGCGAAGTTGGAGGCTCATGTCCACGCCAAAGATTCTTGAGGGACGCTGCCACGCTACCGGTGCGGCGCAAGGAGCCCATCAGATTCAGGTAGCTTGGTTCCTTGGTTGGAGTTGAGGGAGTAGGCGGCGGTTGAGCCGGTTTCTCCTCGTGAGTTTTCCGCTTAGGACGAGGAACAGGGTTGTTCCGAAGTATCTCCTCCAAGTGTGGCTGCACGAATCTAGCCAGAGGAGAGTCCAGGAGCGACAGAAGGATATCATCAACAACAGCCCCAGCATCCCTAGCTATCTCCGGGTGGGGATCGACTGACATCACCAACACTTCCCGCCAAATCGCAGCGTATATTGTGTTCTGGGAGCAAAAGCTGGGAGGCGGTAACGTGCCCGAAGCAGATGATTTAGCTTTCATGTATAAGCCGTCGCTGTGATGATCTTCAGGCATGGTGTGGAAGCCATCCCCGTTACTTTTCACATCGTCTTTTCGTTGCTGGTCGAGGCGCTTTTCTTTTGCTTCATCCTGGCGGAGGTGCTCTAGGCGGTTCTGGTTGTGGATGCCCAAGGGCGTGTCTTCTGAGACGTGCTCAAACGCCGCAACTAGGAACTTGGATTTGTAACGGCAAATAAAAGTCGAAAAGAATATCAGGAGCTCTTTCCGGACCATGCTGTTCCCATCTGTGGTCATGACCAATATCATAGCCGCGATTGACTCTTCGATGGAGGCAACCTGTGGAGTTACATCTCGGATACCCAAGAATGCGGTGAGAGCGTATATCATGGCAGCTCTGACCTCGGGCACTGGGTCCACCACGAGTTCGCACATTCTCTCATGCGCAAGGCAGCGGATTCCAACCCACTTGGCCTCTTCATAGTTGATCCATAATTTCGCCAGGCATAAACACGACCATTGTCTGAGCAACGGGTTGGGCAAGTCCTTCAGATGAAGCAAACAGCTGTCCACCAGCTCGGTACTCAGTGAAGCACGTTGGCCTTGGTTGTAGTCCTTGCAAAACATTGCGACAATGAACGCACACATGGCGCGATGCTCGCTAGCATTGAGAATAGGAATTCCTAGATAGATGAGCCAAGTGGTAGGATATTGTTTCCAGGTTAAATGCTCACCGGAATTGGGATTCAGTATGTTGATGAAGTACTGATATCCATTGTCTTTGAGCAAATCGGCTTGGCAAGACTGATCCACCGCGAGAATGCGAGCCCAGATGAAAACCATGACGGGCTTCAATTCAATTGCCTGAGACTGGAGAAGTTTAAGGACATAGGGGAAGATGCCGATACTTAACGCAAGGTTCACAGCCCACGGGCCCAGGTCCAGGAACTTGGAAAGCAAAATCAGAGCCCGCAGTCGATGAACTTGGCTGAGGAGGACTTGCAGCACAATGGGAAGCTGCTCTGGGATCTTCTGCTCTACCGCGCCCTGTGTAAGATAAACCTCGAAGGCAGTCAACTGCTCCGAGAAGAACTCGGAATGTCTATATACGTATTCCTTTTCGCCACGATCCTGTGCTTGCAAGTCCGGAAGTTGCGCTAGAATCAATTCTACGGCAAGGTCCCAGCTCTTCCACAACGGATGATCATGAGTTTGGGGAATCTCTGGATGGCAGACGGGATGACAGTGGTAGACTCGCATGACACGCTGTGCCAACAAAAAGTTGCGAAAAAGGGCTGCGACCATGAGGTCCTGTCTGAAGAGCTTTTTGAACAGGGGCTTTGACAGGGAGTTCCAGGCAATGGTATCAGTGATGGCAGTAAAAATCCAGTTGAGCTCACCGATGGGAGTCCGTCGCTCCGAAACCTTGCCTGGAATATGGTGTGCGTCTTTGATGGTGACATTACTTGGCAATGGGTTCTGGAGTATGAAGAACCTGACAGCCATGGTGATGGGATCTGTCAGGCATGACGTGAAGACATCGGCGGGAAGATCTGGATTCGTTGGGAGGGATTCCTTTTCCCGACAGGCGGCAAGATGGATGCAGTCGCTGAAGTCAACGTGCTCGACACTCGGATCTCTCCGTCGCGCCTCCTCGTATTCACTTTGGTGCTTTTCGGCAAACTTGTTGAAGTTGGAGATAATGAGACCGGCATCCGAACAGTCGTAGACAAATAAACTGGGAGCTCCGATCCAGCTCTGGAGGTCATAGAGAGATAAGGGAATGTATTGAGTGTAGTTGCGATTGAACACCCATATTTCACCGGATGAAGTTGGCTTTGGAACGCCATGGCCGTTATAATGGAAGAGCACCCTCTCGTTGCGCGCGTTCCGTCGCAGTGTAGACGTGTATTTCCTCGTCTCCTCTGTGGTAGGGTCCAGCAGGAGTTTATAGCGAGTCCGCATGCTAAGCTGTTCGTATTGATTCTGTAGGGCCTTGCCTATCTGGTTCATGGGTGTGTGGCCCGGCGTCTGGGACGTCACGCTGGGATCGATCCAACACTCCTCTTTTGCGCAGGGGCTCGTCTTGATGACATCGGGGGGGTCAACCCCAATGTTTAGGCAGAGGGCGAGGACGGCGGAGACGGTTTTGAGGCGATCGCGCATTCGCCATTCTTGCAGTGGATACTCGCTGTCCTTGTCCTTGGGGATACCTCCACTCTCATGCTTCTTGTCTGTGTAATACATGAAGAAACTTGATGTCAAGAGATTGTTGTACTCCTCGGAGTTCAGCTGGTCGTCCCATCCGTGCCGGATCTTGAAGTGGCCTTCTGCGGTACTACTGGCATCATCAGTGGTCTCGGAGGACAGGCGACGGTGGTGGCGAGGCCCAAAGTCGCTCCTTGCGCGTAAGAGGGAAGGCCGTCCCGAAGGCGCCTGATTGAGCGGCAATGACGGGCGGGCTGGAGGGGAAGAGGATCCATTAGAGGGGACCTGCGGGACACGCTCAGAGGAGGAGGGAGCGGCCGAGGCGGAGCTGGGCCGCGGCGAGGCAGCCATTTCGGACGGTGTAGGAGCGGCAGATTGGGATTGTGAGGCACTGCTGGTCAGCGGCAAAGCGTCGACAGCAGCTCTCATGTTTTGCGCGAGGGTGCGGTAGCGGCGGTCTTCAAGAAGACGCCCATGGCGAGATGAGGCTTTTTGGGACGGAGGGCAAAGAGGGACAAGTGCAAATGGGGGGGCGGTGGAGAGGGCGGTGTCACCAGTGTCGAGTTGGGGCCTGCGGCGACGTATGCAGACAGGGCTGTGGAAGAAAATGTCCCAAGTGGTGGTCGCCGGTGAGGGTTGATCGAGGTGTTTGTCGTCCGGCGAAGAGCTGCTTTCCTGTCTGGGCGGGCGGTGAGGATTTGCACGTGATGCCAGTTGGATTATGTCATAGCTGGCATATATAATAATAAGTAACAGTACACAGGATGAGCCCTCGAGGCTTCCAAGGAACCTTTCCACTCGTCGCTTTCAACAAGTCAGAACAGTATTCACCTGCGCGCATCAACTGGAGTTCAGGATAAGGTCTGAGCAGGTACTCCGGACTCATGTCCTGCAGCTGTTCGTTCCCCCTCACATAGTATCCGCATTAGAAAAAGATTGCAATTCCTAGGGCCTCCCACACCCGCCTTGCAAACGACCAATCAGATGGATTGGGTACCTGGAAGCGATCAGGTGCCTCTAAGATGTGGAGAGTTCCAATGTTATTGTACCATACAGTAGAACGGCAGCTTAGCAAGAGTTAGTGTGCTCCTTAGCCAAATCCAACTATCCGTATGTCAAACCGTGCGACTGTACTTGCCCAGGTGTATACCGTGTACTCCGTAACGCTACCAGTATCCACCATGAAAGAGGCCTTACCATTTAAGATGCCTAACCAAGAGACACCCATACAATAGATCTCCTTCAGCACATTCTACATCATGTTCGCAGCCAGATGCAACTGCAAGCTGTATTCCTGTCTTTATCATTTTTTTTATTTTCTTTCCCCCCTGCCTGCAGTGAGATGAGCAAGATGATGGACCAAAAATATATATTGTCCGACAACCGCCCTGCAGACTTGGAGCATGGAATCGGGTGCGGAGCCAATCACATGGCCCGCAGCCTTCCCGGCGCAGGTTGGGGAATTCAGGGGCCGCTGGGCCTCTCTCTCGACTGAAGGTTGAAGATGGCGCCCCAGGAACACGACACTCACCACCCGCCAGGCCTCACAGCAGGCGTGCACCCACCAGCTGGCCGACGCGCAACCATTATTTGTCTCTGAGAAACAAGCCACCACCCACATTGACCTGCACCAAGCCCGGCGTCATCCTGCTCGCTAATCCCGATCTACTCTCCTTCTCCGCTTCCGTACACCCTCTCAGCCAAGCCTCCACCCAAAAGTTAACCCTCACCTCACCCTTCAAGACTGCTCTCCTCGCTACCCTCGACGTCCCGCCGTTCGCCTTCAGCTTCACGGTGGCAGCGGGCTGTACCGACCGCCGCCCCTCCGCTCTTCGTTCGCTTCGGCCGCTTGCCCTGTTCGCTTCACCTCCACTTGAGACGACACCATCGCTCGTCACAGGTGACCGCTGTGACCACCCTCCTAAGAGCAGTCCTCTCCCCTACGCACGACCCGTTGAATCAGAGTCATTCACCCTACAACACTGGCGCAGCTTCGCACCCCATAGCCAACGTACACCTGATCCCCAATCGCAGCCCGAATGCGCCCTTGAATCGTACCGGTTGCTGTCCCTCAAACGCCGCAGACCGCGAGCGCTGCCTCCGCCATGTCGTTTCTCTTCGGCAAGAAAAGCAAGCAACACCAGGGTAGCGGCCTTCCGCCTGCCACTCGAGAGATCTCATCTTCGCATGGGCCTGGCTCACAATTACCTCCCGCCAATGCCCCGGGACCGCGCGATCTAGAGAAGGTGCGCCCCGGGCCGCCTGGCCAGATATCAACCCCTGGGACCAGCGTAAATAATTCCCTCAACTCTCTTAATGCCACGAATACTGCGAGTCCCGAGCCTCGAGCAAGCCGCGACAGGTCAGATTCGGACCAGCAGGTAGGGACCCCTCTTGATTTCGCGAATACTGTGTCAATACTATATGGGCTTGTTGCTGATCATGCACTGCGCTGGTAGGCTTCGCGAACACGGAATCCTCAAGATTCTCCATACCCTTGGTCGTCCAAGCGACTGAACTTTACCACATCCGCTAATCCCTTTCCCCGATATGGCGCCGCTATTAATTCCACCGCCTCGAAAGATGGTATCATTTACATCATGGGGGGTTTGGTGGGGGGAAGCACCGTCAAGGGCGACCTTTGGGTCACCGAACTAGGCAATGGGAGCATGGCGTGTTACCCTATAGCCACTACCGGCGATGGTCCTGGGCCGCGTGTTGGCCATGCGAGTCTGCTTGTCGGCAACGCCTTCATCGTCTTCGGAGGTGACACGAAATTGGATGATGAAGATGACTTGGATGACACTCTCTACCTTCTCAACACTTGTAGGTCCATATTTTCCCATTGATCTGCTTGTATTGACACCCTCCAGCCACCAAGCACTGGTCACGAGCGCTACCTCAGGGCCCGCGGCCCACTGGGCGATATGGACACACGTTAAACATTCTGGGTTCGAAGATTTACATATTTGGAGGCCAGGTCGAAGGTTTCTTTTTCAACGATCTAGTGGCATTTGACTTGAATTCGCTTCAATCTTCATCAAGTCGCTGGGAGGTCTTGCTTCCCAATACGAAGGACGGTGCGCTATCGTCTCCCCAAGGCCGGAGCCCCCCTGCACGAACCAACCACTCTGTGGTGACTTGGAACGAGAAACTCTACCTTTTCGGTGGAACGGACGGCGTACGCTGGTTCAACGATGTTTGGACCTATGAACCACGGTCGAACTCGTGGACCGAGCTCTCCTGCATTGGATACATCCCAGTCGCGCGAGAGGGCCATTCGGCTGCACTCGTCAATGACACCATGTACATTTTTGGTGGAAGGACACAGGAAGGTATTGACCTGGGGGATTTGGCGGCTTTCCGCATCTCGTCGCGTCGATGGTATATGTTCCAAAATATGGGACAATCCCCGTCTGCACGGTCCGGACATAGCATGACGGCTTACGGGAAACATGTGGTTGTCATGGCCGGTGAACCGAGTTCGTCCACCAGCGACAGAAACGAGCTGAGTTTGGCCTACGTCCTGGATACTTCCAAGATTCGCTATCCGCCTAATGACGCCCCTCCGCCTCAGACGGTAACGCAACGGATTGCGAGCGGTGGGGAGAGGAACGATGCTACACAAGGCAAACCCGGTGCGGCGCCGCAGTCTCGCAACCAAGACGCCATGGTGAACGGCGTGGGACCGGGCGGGTCTCGCCTCCCACGAGCTGCAGGGGCTGCTCCATCCGGTCCTCCACCACTTCAGCAACCCCCTCAACCCCGTTCAAATGGTTCTACGCCTGTTCCCTCCACTGCTAGGAGCCGAACGCCTACCAGGGGGGATCGCGGGTATGGACCATCAGTTGACACCAGGGCAGGCTCCTTTGAGCGCGAAACCATCTCCCCCGTGAACAGAGACAGCCCATCTTCTGGTCAGGCGCAAACGCCATTCGTTAATGAAAAGGCCGTCAATGGACAACGCAAGCCATCGGATGCTACTGCCAGTCTCCATCAACGGGAACCCAAGGAGTCCATGGACAGCACGAGGTCGGGGAGCGTCGTTTCTCGGAACACATCGAGATCTCACAAGCAGCAGCACTCTCTGGAAAGTGTGGAGGAGGGCACCCCTCGAAGGTCCACGGAAACGCAGCAGCGAGCATTGAGCCGAGAGAGGGATCAACGACCCATTGACAGTGGCCTGGGAGCCTCTCCTGCCCTTCAACAGCAGAACGAAGAGCTGGTAAGGGAGCTCGAAGCTGCCAAGAGCCGCAATGCCTGGTATGCCTCAGAATTGGCACTTGCTCGCAAGGCTGGCTACAATCCTGGTACTTCCATGAGTCCAATACTGGATCAGAATGCTGCAGACGCCTTTGGTGACGATGACCGACCGCTTCTCGAAGCCCTGCTGAAAATGAAAAACGAACTGGAGCGCGTCCAGAAGTCCATCAAGGCTCAGGGTGACGATGCTGCCAAACGTATAGCCGAGGTGGAAAAGCAAAGAGATGCTGCAATCGGCGAAGCTATCTATGCGAAAGCAAAACTGGCCGCCCATGGTGGTGGTAGTCAGAGTGGAACGCCTCAACCCGATCCCGCGCGTAGCACGGGGACACCGGACTTGGACCGCATCAACGATATCAACCATCGCTTGGCAGTGTCTCTGGCCTCTCAAACCGAGCTTTCCACACAGGTCGAGAGGTTGAAGCATGAGCTCGAAGGCGAGCGTAAGGCAAGACAACTCGCGGAGGAGACAGCGGACGCAGCACATAGGCGCGTGCGAGACTTGGATTCCTCCCGGCAAGAGCATGCGGCGGAGCTGGACAGCTTGCGCGCCGAGTTGCATGAGGCGCAGCGCATAGCAAGAGAGGCGTCAGCGAATGCTTCCGAAGCAGAAGCGTCTTACCGCTTGCTTGCTGTAGACAAGAATGAACTGGCCTCCAAAGTCGCCAAGATGACCGAGGAGTCCCGAAGCCATGCTGCAGTTCTCCAATCGCTCCGCGATGCGCTTGCCTCGTCGTCTGAGAAGTCCGCACTACTGGAAAAGAAGTTGGAAGAAGAACGATCCCAACGTGACACGTTGCATCAGAAACTTGCACAATTACGGTCGGAACATGAGGAGCGCACGACTGAGCTTGAAAGAGCTTCTCAGAAGCTGCGTGATGCTGAGGAGCTTGCCGAGAAGTACGCCGAAGAAGCGCGTTTGCATCGAGAAGCCGTTCTCTCGGGTCTTGCCAAGATTGCTGAGCGTGATGACGAAGAGAACGAAGCGATGGACGAACGGGTCACTATCCTTCAACAACAGGTGGAGGCTGCCAATGCTATGGTTCGTAAGAACCAAGCGGCTGCAGACCAAGCATCGGATAAACTCCGCCGGGCGGAAGAGCGAATCGCGGGCCTTGAAGCGTATCAGGAACAGTCTAGCCGCGAAGGGCTAAGCGTTCGAAAACAACTGCAACAAGCGCTGCGGGATGTCCAAAGTGCGGAGGCAGAGAAAGCGGAACTTCGCCAGCAACATGAACGCCTGCGACTAGAGAGCAACGCGTTCGAGGTCCAGCTCCGGACGCTCAAGAATCTCCTAGAGGAACGAGGTATCAATGCGGTAGATGCCCGACGTTCGCGGGTGCTCGAGAGTCCGGGCTCGCGATTCGGCACTCCCGAGTTGAACCGCGTAAGGGAGTTGGAGCAACAGATTGACTCGATGAATAAGGCGCACGAGGAGCTACGCTCCGTCTTTGAGCAGCGTGAACATGAGGTCAGCAAGGAATGGGAAGAGAAGCTGCAGGCTCTGCACAACGATCACCAGGCTGCGGTCAAGTACCTACGAGGTACCGAGAAGATGCTGACCAAGATGAAGCAGGAGCTGGAACGCTATAAGAACGCGAATCAGAAGCTGGAGGAGGAGCTAGGCCGGGCGAAGAAAGCGGCAGAAGGACCATCGAAAGCCGAGCTTGACAATTGGAGAGCCGAGAGAGCTTCACTTCGGTCTGAGCTTTCTGATCTTCAAGCCAGTATGAAGAAGACTGTCGAGAACTTGGAGGGCCAGCTTTCCAGAATACAGTCTGAGCTAGCCACGGCACGCCAGGAAGCGGAGGCCACGACAGAGAAGGCCAAGGAAGCCGAAAGCTCCGCAGCCCAGTATCGGGCAGAGTTGGAGACTCTCCGAAGTGAAAATGAGGCTCTTGACGAACGGGCGCGCGAGGCTGAGCGCCGGGTCCAGATGTTCTTGGATCAGTTTGAGAGCTCCGTGGACACGTACCGCCGGCAGTCCCAATTGCCTGCGAGCGAGGTCAACGGAGGCCGCCGGGGCCACCGCCAACACGATAGCATTTCCGGGGATTCCCTCTACAGTGAGACGGAGGGCTCCAGCACGCCCGATGCCAACAATCGGCCCAGTTCGGCAGTCACGCGCAATTCGATGGCTTTGGAGAATCTAGCTTCCGAACTGGATGCGTTGCGAACTCATTGGGAGACGACGAACCGGGTCAATGCCAACCGCCTGAGCGATCGGTTCGACTTTGAGAGGACGCCAACGAGCGAGAAGAGTGAACTGAGCGAGAGCTTGGCCCAATGGCGCAAACGGATGGACCTTGACGACGAGGAGGAGAACAAGGAAGCGAAAAGTGAAGAAGGTACGGGAGCAGGCAGTCAGCTGTCGACTCCAACAGCGGCGACTGCTCCCTCGGGTCCTGGCGGCTCTAAGATGATATGATGCTTTCTATGTGGAACGACAGGTTTCGGCGTTTTGGGTTTGACACTACCTCATGTACCCGCGATAGCGGACTGTACCCTATACCGGGGCTACCTACTTTGTAACTTCTAGTACCGTCATGTTTGCACCGCACACGCCCGAGCCATGCTTGGGCTTGTTGAAGCGGCGCTGGCTGGATTTCGGCACATGGGACCGACTCCTCACTTGGCCTCGTATATGACACGGCTATACCCATCTCTCTACTGGAGATCTGGTTTGTTCTGTTCTTCTGTGTCACGAAAATAATCTGTTCTTTTCGAATTGCAACAATTGTTCTATTTCCATTTGCGTCGTCAGGGTATACCACCTCCTTTTGTACTGAGTCCAGGGGCGTCCTGGATTAACGGACGTTGAAGTGGGGTTTCAGAGTGGAGGAGGCAGTGTTTTGTGTGTAAAATAATGCAATAAAATGGAAAGACTCGAGTGCTCTACATGTTGGGTCTACTACCGAAGCCATCTGATGGATGTCGGACTTTGACAGCGCCGATGATATAGGCTCGGCTCCTTCGGCTTCCTTAAGTCCTTTACATGGTACTCCCTCCCGAGGTCGATGGATGCGAGATGCAAATGGAGAGCTCTGACTATGTACATCCAATCTCGGTAAAGTGCCAACCTGTCATCCACCCGGGCATGGATCCGTTCCCCCTGGGCTTACACCCACTGCTTTCTCATGCATATGAATAATGATGACCATGTCTGGACTCTCGCCGCCTCCAGGCTGCGCCGACCCATCTTTATTTGATCAATCTCCTGTTTGGGCAAGTTTTTTGAGAAGCATCGCGGGACAACGACTTGTAGCAATTGGATTGCTCTGGCCGCGTCTGAGCCGCGTAGTTGCCTGATCTATTACCGAAGGCAGCAACGCGCGACGGGAATGAGGCGCGAAAACACATGACTTATTATGTCGTTCAGTCGTTCCTACCTCTGGAAAGATGCGTATATAAACCTGTCAGCACCTGCACCATCGACTGCTTTGTCTTTCCTCAACTTCATCCGTCTGCCTTTACTCAAGCTTAGTCTTAGTCAATGGTCCGTAGGGCGTTGCAATCAACCGTTTCAGCCAGCTCGCTTCTGTACGCTTTCAGCGCACCGCACCTCCATCATGTCCGCTTACTCCACACTTCCGGACGTGCCCGTCAAGCACTCGGATTTCATTCCCTACATCGCATCCAACCCTCAGAAGCGGCTGCCAGAACTGCTCGAACCATTCAAGCAGTACGATGCAAAACTCCGACAAGTCTTTGCCCAGGAGCCCGACCACCCTGCCCTGGCCGATAACTATCTGAACATCGTCCCGCTCTTCGACGGCCACCAGAAAGATGTCACCATCCGAGCTAGAAACCTCGATGCAGAGACCCAAGAGGAAAAGGACAGGTACATAATGCCATTGGAGCCCCAGGACAGGCGTCCACATGGTTCACCAGCCATTGTGCACGACATAAAGGACTTCCAGCAGAACTTCGCCCTCTTCACCGAGTCCTCGCTAGTGGACCTCGACTGGACTAATGTCGTTGCCGCGGGCTCCTCTGTTGTCACTTGCCTCTTGCCCGTGCCTGACAAGTACAAGAAATCTAAGAAGTCGCTGCGGCACTACTACCATGAGAAGATTGCCCCAGCTTCCGATGTGGACCTGTTCATATACGGTTTGACCGAGGAAGAAGCAATCAAGAAGATCCTCGACATTGAACAGCGCGTCAAAGACAGCATCTTGACCGAGATCACCACCATCCGGACCAAGAATGCCATCACCATTGCCAGCCAGTACCCCACCCGGCACATTCAGATCGTGCTCCGTGTCTACAAATCGGTTGCCGAAATCTTGACTGGATTCGATGTCGATTGCTCCTGCGCTGCCTACGACGGAAAGCAGGTCTACGCCGCCCCTCGAGCTCTGACAGCGTTTATGACGCAGACCAACACCATCGACCTAACCCGCCGCTCACCCTCCTACGAAAACCGCCTCTCCAAATACTCCCGCAGGGGCTTCGAAGTGTACTGGCCCTTGCTGGATCGCTCCCGCATTGATCCCACCATTTTCGAGCGGAACTTTGGCAGGACGGTTGGATTGGCTCGGCTTTTGGTTTTGGAGCGTCTGCCCACAAAATATGAGCGAGAGTCTTACATGGATGAGAGGCGGCGCGAGAGAGGCAGACCTGCGATCAATCGGCCGTATAGTTTCTCGTCCAAGGGTAATATCAAGGAGAGGTTTGAGGATGAGGTGGCCGAGTGGGTGGAGCAGGAGGATGTGAGCGACTACCATACCTTCACCATTCCCTACGGACCCAAATACCACGCCAAGAAGATCGAAAAACTGCTCTACACAAAAGACCTCCTCCTAAACGCCGAGTGGAACAAGCAAAAGGACCGCGAGGTCAACCTCCACCGCCACCCAGCCTTCTTCGGCTACGCCACGGACATTATCCACGATTGCTGTGGGAGCTGTCCCGCCCCAGTAACCGACGAAGAGCACGTGGTTGCTGAGGAAGAAGCGAAAATATACGTCTCGGGGGAAATCTCCTTCATCAAGGATGACCCGGGACGTCAGGCTATCGGTTCGTTTCATCCGCTGACGGATGATGATTGGACGGAGATGGCGTACGTTGGCAATACAGCGAGGCTCTGTCAGGCGATTGTTGATTGTGATTTGGAGCATGTGGAGGATTGGCTTGCGCAGGAGGGGGCGGATCCTAACTGTCGAGATTATAGTGAGTCCGTTTCCCCTCGTGAAGACGGCGTGCTAACAACTGGACAGCTGGACGAACGCCACTGCACCTTGCTGTTGTTTCTTCGACCCCTGAGATCGTAAAGTCGCTCATTGACCATGGTGCCCGATTGGTGGCTCGTCTCGCTGATGGGAGAACGGCTTTGCACTTGGCTGCCGCCCGCGGTGATGTGGAGATGGTTCGGATGATCATGAATAAGAGCGAAGAGAACGAAGAGGAGGAGGCGAAGAAAGAAGATGCTCGCAAGCAAGCCCGCATTGCGGAGAGGCAGGCAAAAGCTGGAGATACAGAAGATGTTAGGCCAAACGAAACCTCTGAGGAGAGTGATGCCGAGATGATCGACGCCGACTCGGACGAGGACGAGGACATGCATTCCACCACGACAGGATCCTACATCAAAGTCAAGAACGCAGAGAGAGAGCAAAACAAAGATTCCATTCCCGAAGAAGAAGACAATGACCCGGACGTCTACGACGTCAACGTGCTTTCCTGGGATACAAAGTGCTCACCGCTCCACTACGCCATCCTCGGTGGGCACATTGAGGTTGTCAAGGAGCTCGTCCAGACCTTTGGAGCAGACGTCCTCCTTCCAATCAAACTCCTGAGTAGTTATGACAAGTCGCCCAGGGGTGCGATCTTGACACTGATTCTTGCCTTGAATCTCCCTCTGGAGAAAGCCTTGGAGATGACGCGCACGTTACTGGAACTGGGAGCTACCTCGGCGCAGGCTGACATGCATCAAACCACCGCGCTCCAATTCGCAGCCACTAAGAAACCGGAGAAGCCTGAGGTTTTGGACATCTATTTCCAGCAGGACGGGCCCGCCGCTATGCGCATTCTAAACCACATGTCAGTATTCGGCTCAGACTACAGTCCGGAAGCCTGGAGTCCCCTCATGAGCGCCATCTACAACGGAAACTCCCTTACCGCTCTCAAACTCTTGGAGGCCGGAGCCAGCCCAACCATCGCGTTCAAAGATTGGGTAAAGTCCGTGGAGGCACAGTTCTCCGCAGTCTCGACTCGCGGTCCCGACTACAACCTCAATAACTTCCTCAAGTATACTCACCAGCCAATCGTGCTGGCTGTGCAGACCGAAGTACCGGAAGTTGCGCTTGCGCTGCTGGAACGAGGGGCGAATACGGAGGCACTGCCTCCCGAGACGCAATACGCACTCCAAGATGAGTGGAGGAGGCGATACCAGCACATGGAGACCGTCTTGGATATGGTGCGGAGTAAGATCCAGAAACTTCAGAAGCACAGGGATGAAGCCGGTTCGTCCGTACCGAAGAGTAGGTTGGAAGCGGGACGCGATTATCTCCAAGATCTGGACGCCGGAACTTACAAACACTTCATCGCCAGGATTCAAGTGGATGCCGCTCACAAGGCGGATCGCGAGGCGAAGGAGAAGTACGAGGAGGAAGTCAAGGCCAACCGCGACCGGGCAGGATCAGCCGAAAAAGAGAAAGCCGTTACCGAAATGCTGGCCAAGTTCAAACAGCTCGAGAAAGCGCTGGTTGCAAAGGGAGCCAAAACGTTTGAAGAGCTGCACCCCGATATTGTGAACAACCCCGAGCAGAGCCATGACTTCTATCCTCGATTTGGCAAGGACAACCAGGGCCCCTTCGCGGTGGCTTTCAATTTCAATGTTCATGATCTTACGGATGACACAAGGGAGGCGTACTTGGAACTGTGGGTTCACACCTCAAACAATCGGCCTTGCGGAATCGCTAACGCAAGACAGATTCCAAGCAGCTTGGGACGGTGATCTCGACAAGATCAAGTCTCTAACTCTTGCGCCCCGCGGCCCCGATAGAGCCACCCCGCTGAAGATTGCTGTCAGGGACCAAAATCAGTACTCGCCTTTCAGTATTGCAGTGCTCCGTGGTCACCGCGATGTCGCAAAGGCGATCGTCGAGATTGCTTTTGCCCAGTACGAGCCGGTGGACAAGCCAACGGATGCGCGATATCGCATGGAAGATGACGATAGTGATGAGAAAAGCGAAGCTTGCAGCGACTCTGGCTCTGATCGTATGCAGGTGTACAAGACGATTGTGGATGACACGTTCACTATTGATAATATCGGCGAGGTGGCGACGCAGGTAAAGTCAAACGTCCAACCATTAGGACTGATCTCGTGGGAGTGTCCTGTATGGGAGTACGAGAAGATGTTGCATCCCGAGGCAAAGCTCACCTACGGTATTGATGATCGAGAAGCTGAGGACGGAAAATGTCCCGTCTCCCTGCAGCGATGGGCCATCATCACAAACGATAAGGACTTGTTCACGTTCATGGTGGATTTGGACTATGAATGGACCCAACGTTCAAGGATGGCAGAGATCCCCGATGCTCCTGAACTTCTGTTTGACTACACGGATTTTCAGCGTACGATCAAGTATGGCCGTCTGGATATGCTGGCGGAGGAAATCAGGCTGTATGGCGCGGGGATTGAGCTCGAGGCCCTGGTGAAGCAGAGTGGTGTCAAGCTGATTGAGAAACCGCGGTACTATCAGGGGCTTTCGGTAGGCGCTCTCGCAACCAACATGTCCCCCTTCCTCTTGCTGATGAATTAGGTGCACGGCCGCAAGCGCGAAGACTGGGTCAATGCCGCCCGTGGCACTTACAAACAGGACATTGTAGACCAAACTCCACCGCTGTTGCGGGCGGCATTTGACGGTAGCCTTGCGAGCGTGGAGTGGTTCCTTAGCGATACGCCTGCGCGTCTTTACAGGGAATTCGGGGAGACGAATAAGGACAATAAGTACATCAAACATTTGAACACGTCGGCTGGTGGGTTTGATAAAGTGGTTTCGAAGTGGCTTGGTGTGAGACGTAAGTTTTCAGTCCATCTATGGCCGCTCCGCAGACCCTGGACATTGCTCATATAGCGTAGGTGAATACGCTATGCACTGCGCAGTGATGGCAGAACCATCGCCCGAATCCCTGAAATTGATTCGGTACCTCCTCCAAGTCATGCCCGACTCTGTCAACACCAAATCCATTACCATGGGTCATACCCCCTTGGCTCTTGCCTTTTCTCTCGGCCGTCTTGACGCCGCTAAACTCCTCATCGAAGCCGGTGCCGATCAGACTGTTCGGGACAAGATAGGCTCCAATATCCTCCATCTGCTACTCGTCTCCCCTTACACGAATGCGAATCGGGGTTTCAAGGACCTGCATGAGTATCTGAACCTCATCGACAAGCGCCTCATCCCCTCGCTACTCAACCAGCGCTGCTCTTACTCCCCTGGCTCCTTGACTCCGCTAGCTAGGTGGCAGAGGAACGTAATCACGTTCACGAACCTCGAGAGCCCTGAAAAGGTCCTCAGGGCGATCCTCGACCTTGCCAAGCCGACCAACAACGAGCACCTGGAACTCTTCGACGCGAGTGGTGAAACGCCGCTGCACTTCGCCGTCAAGAATAAGCAGCAATCGTTCTTGAGGATTATGCTGAGTTATCGAGCGGATCTGCTGTACCGAGAGAACTCGGTCGGATGCACGCCGATGGAGTTGGCAAAGGATAACTTTCTGTCAAGCTGCGTGCAGGAGGCGCCGAAGGTGGGGCGGGATCCGTATCGAGGACATGGAGTAAGCGTTGTGGATAAGCTGGCGGAGGAGTTTGTCAAGAAGGAGGGAGAGGATGGAGAAGTCACGCTGGAGACGGTGTGGAAGACGTGCGAGGAGTTTGCGGCGAGGAGCCCGGGGAAGAGAAAGTTGGTTAGCCTTGCGGAAGCGAATGAGGTGGCGAATCGGTTGGCCGAGTGGAATACACAATCCAAGCGGCAGAGGACGGGCGGGCGAGGGAGGTATGGAAGGGCGAATGAGGAGGAAGAGGGGAGCGTCGAGGGTGGGCAGGCGGAGGAGGGGGAGGGGGACAGGAAGACGGATGAGGTTGCGCAGTGGTTTCCCAAGGCCGTGGTTACGTGGTTTGATAAGGGGCCGAGGGCTTGGGCGGCGTAGATGGTGGATACAGGGGAAGGTAGATGGATGTGCGTGGGGTGCGGCCACGGCCTGGTTGTGGAGGGGTAGATGCAGGTTATGATATCAGGGCATACATCTCTTTCATGGTTATTAGGGTCTATGTATTTCGGGGTTCCTCATACAATGGGCGGTGCTGGCGCCGCTGCAATTCCGTCCAAAGCGAAAACGAGCTGTCAATCTAGGATGTCGGTCCTCTTAAAGTCTACCAGATGAAGGAGTGGGAGTGAACCACGGAATCGTGTACAAGAGGAATCGCCACCTTGTCACTTTCCAGCCGCGACGAGAGGCTGAACAGCGTCAACGCACTCACAACAGCATCGACATCAATGCCTCAAGCAGCAAGCAGACAAACACCTCAGAATCCATCATCTTTCGCATGATTCATTTCCATTCATTACTGTATAAAAGGTTCCCCGCCCATAATCAGGCCCACATAACCCCCTTCATTCATTAACGAGAGCCGTGGATATCACACCCTTCCTCCCTTCCAAATCAGAAAAGAAAATCACCCCTCCCGGTCCCTTCTTTCCCTCAATCCCACCCCACTGAGGACATTCACTCACAGCTCATGGGACACGCCACCTGACTGCCATAAACACTCCCACTGATACCGGCGATCTGGAAAATGGCATTCACCACGCCGCCGATGCCCTCGCCCGCAATCAGCCCCGCCGCCACCGCGTAGCCGTAGATGTCGAAATGCTCGGGCCGCTTCTTCGCCCAGATGAGCGCCGCCAGCGAGCCCATGCACATGGCGGTGCCGTAGACGGTCTGCGGCAGCACAAAGGCCAGGCCGATGCACATCATGTTGGGGTGGTACTTCTTCATCCACTCGAGGCGGCCCGTCCACACGTACTGGCGCACGAGCACCATCAAGGAGCCAAAGGCGGCGAAGACGATGGCGAAGATGCCGCTCGACTTGGGGATCGGGAACGTCGGGTCCGTGACGGCGACGGCGGTGGCGCGCCAGGCCGAGACGGACGGGATGGAGAACGCACATGTTTTCGCTTCTTTATCGAGGATGCACGGGTACGCGGTCGCGAAGAGTTGGAACATGGCGGGTGCGAGGAACGTGGCGACCAAGGTGCCGATGCCCTGGGCGTACCACTGGTAATGCGGCGGAGTGCGGAGGAGGAAGCCGGTGCGGAAGTCGCAGGTCAGATCGGTCGATTGGTTGGCTCCGATGCTGCACATGGCACCGCCGATGAGGTTGAGCCGCTGGGCGTGCTGGACGTCCCAACCCTCGGCCTTGGTGGCGCCGCCGAGGATGATCTGGGAGGCCTTGGATGCCGCCGTCAGGGGTGTGATGTCCGTGACACCAGTGCACTGGATGGCGACGAAGGAGAAGAAGAAGGCCAAGAAGACGGACAGGAGCGACATGCCGACAGGCATCTCGAACTGAACGCCGAGGACCACGCAGATGCAGATGATGGAGACGAGGAGACCTGGCATCCACATCCACATCTTGACCTGCTGGTGCGGCTCGGCAGGATCTTCAACAAGATCTTCGTTGGCACGAGCGCCAACTTTCTTGAATACCTTCAGCTCCTTCCCCATGGCTTTGCCCAGATCATAGAGGCCAGCGGAGATGCCGCGGTAGAGGGCCTTGAAGGCGAACCAGAGGACCTTGTATTGAAGGGCGAGTTCTACGAGTCGTCAGCATGATGAGTACAATGAGAAGTATGTGTGTACTTGCCAGTGAAAGAAACAGCAATCATCAGCAAAACGCCAGGCCAGAGGAGCCAGTATCTGGGTGACGGGTAGTCCTTGTTGCTTGCGGCCAAGCTCAGCGAAGCAAATGAGGTATATCCCTCCCATTTCGGGTCGCCCTCTCCCAGATTGACGCCCCAAGCGACATTGTTGTGAACGAGCGCAGGACCAATGATGCCCCAGGCAATAACACTTCCGGCCAAGAAGCTGATGGACACATTCAGGCCGACCAGCATTCCGGACCCGATGAAGGCAGGGGTCCATTCGAGATACCAGCCCCAGCTCTCAACCGACAGAGCGAGCGTCTTGTAGTTGCCCCAGATGTGGAACCTGTTATTCTATTAGCTCGGTAGCTTTGCCGTAAAGGTCGCCTGTGGGCTTACCAGGTGAAGAAGTGCCAGTCCCAGAGGATGCCGAGCGCATACTGGGAGACAACACGCAAGACGAGGGCAGAGGCGAAAGAGATGGAGAGGGCCTTCATCTTCATCCTGCCCATGATCTCACCAGTAACGGCCTGATGCATAGCGCGGATAGTCATGGCAGTAGCGGAAGCAGTAGGGAAAATGAGGCGGAGTTCGCGGGCAACATAGATGATGAAGAACTTGCGCACTGCTAACTGTTAGCCTCGACGATCCATGGGCCGGCAGCGCCTGGCAGGGAGACTCACTGGGCGTGGCGAAGAAGACGCCAAAGTAGCCAGCCACGGCAGTCAAGGCGACAATCTTCCAGTAATCCTTAGCAGGCGTGTCCATCAGATGCAACTGATACATGGCGGGGAACGCAGAAATGAAGACCGAAGACATGCCGCCAGAAGCCATTGCGGCCGTCTGGCAGATGTTGTTCTCACGAGGGCCGAAATTTCCTCCCAGGAAGGGCAGAGGACCCAAAGTCTCCGGCAGGACTCGCGATATGAACTTGACAATAGCAAAACCAGCGATTGCCTAACCCGGTTAGAAGACATGAGGCAACAGTGAGGCAGCCGCGACTTGTTGCTTACGCCGAACAGATTGGCAGTGAAGGTCCATCCCGTCTTGAGACCCAGGTAGACGTTGGAGGCATTGACGAGGGCACCACAGCACAGGCCGACGAACAGAGCACGGAAAGTCAGGATCCTGCTTGTCTCTTCGGGCAGGTCATCGAAGGGTTTGAAGGGGTCGAGGTTGAAATCATCGTGGTGTTCGGCATCCAGCGACTTGATGCGCTCCACCTCGGGTTCAAACTCTTTCTCATTGGAGAAGCGGGCCGGGGCGGGAGCCTTGAAGGTGTTTTCCTTCTCCGTCAAGGGGGGGCTGGAATTGCGGTTAGCTACTCGGTACATAGATGCTCGCGCCTGCACTCATATGAGAGTTGCGCAAAATTGGACTTACACATTGGGATTGATGTGGCCAAGAGGCTCGACGTTGACGTCGAGGACCTCGGGATTGGTACTCATGTTTGACGCAGTCGTGCTCTCTCAGGTTTGGCAAACTCGAGGGCGACAGCAAGGGAGACGAGGTGAGTGAGGAAAGACTGGCGGGGCGGCGGCAACGAGTCCCCACGCCTGGCGCTGGGGTATCATGCAGATATATGAAGGAAGATAGATGGACCTTCGGCGAGAGCAGGGGTAGTTGGAGGGTGAGGGCGGTTCACATGTGCTGGGAGTCGGGCCTGCCGCGTGATTGGCGAACCGTCTTCGATAAGTACTTATTTACATATCGCAACCGTCCGTAGGTCTCTCCTGCAGTTGCCGCGGTGAAAGCCAGAAGTTGTTGGACGCGGGTCTCCGTTATCGAAACAGAATCCCTGCGCCCGTGTGTGCCACAAAGACCGTGCTTGCTTGCCAGGAGAGATCGATGATTGATGCATGGAAGACATGGTAGAAGCATGACCTCCTGCCCGCTACGGTATGGTGTAGGAGGGTCACAGCTCGACGCCACATTCACTGGGCAGCCTCGCAGTGCCCCATGCTTTCGACCGTGGCGGGGACAAGCGAGATCGAGTTTACCCTCCGCCGTGGCGGCGCCTCCTCCCCTGGGCACCAAACGGCGGTTCCAACCAGAAGGAGAAAGTTGGTGAAAGGCTTCGCCTACTCCTACTTTACAACCACAGGAAAGGTGCTGCTGTCGGACATTGGCTCGGCGCGGCTACAGATGATAACAACAGACGATTTCATAGATGCACCGGACCGTCTTTGGGGTGCGCCTCTGCTCTGCCGTGCCTCTCCTCGCCGCATTATTTCCGTTTGTTTAACCAGATGAAAGATTGATGCTGTGGCGGCGCAACCCTAATGCCGACTGGCTAGGCGGGAAATGCTTGATGCAACAAGCAGTATCTTAGCCTCGCGCCCCCTTCGCTTAATAACCTGCTTCGGTGCCCGCGGAGTACTTGTATCGTCCCTAGCCTAAAGAAGAAGGTCGAAGGGAAATCCCCGCGATAATCGGCGTTGGCTGGTGGTACAAAAGTAGGTGGAACAGGCAGGTGAGAGCGCTGTGGGAGCGCTCGTCCATGTTGGATATGCAACCCACAGCACCCAATCACTACACGACGCGACTTCTCGCTGCGTCTGATCCTTCGACCCACGGTCCAAGCACCTGGGAGAAGAGTTACCATACGGTAGTAAGCCGCCAGAGTCCGGCAGTTCGGTCATCGATTGGGCGATAGCGATAGCCGGCATCCCATGACCCCAGTAACCCGCGGCAGGTCCTCGAATGACGGGCATGTGGTGTCTCCACCGTCCTCGCGCTTCCATCGGAGTCGTCTCCCAATTGGACATGTGGCCCGACACCTTCAAACGAGGTCCAGCGATGCGCGTCAACGAATGTGAAATGATGTTGGACTTGGATCTCAGTGTAGTCGCCGTCCGACCATGTTGAACGCTGCCATCGCAGCTCGAGCTCGGGCCCCGGACTGGATTGGTTGAAACTGGCTGGTATGACTTATATGTGGTACAGTATATATATATCTACATGGTGTGTTGTTCCACAGCGGGTGTAGCCACAAACTACACGTGTGAGCAGCACAGGTTGCATGGGCTACCACCTCACTGGAGCTGGGCCGGGACTCACCTCCTCCGCAGGTCTCCTTAGATTATGCCCACCGATCCTTCTTCTTCAGCGGCCCTTCCCAGTCTTTGATGTGATCCGAGATAACCTTCGCCGCCTGATCAGCAGTAAAATTGCGCCCGATAGCTTCAACAAAGTCGCCCTCGGGGTCTACATATCACGTCAGTCTTCCCGCCAGAATTATGATGCCGCAGGATCCGAACACCTACCCATGAGATAAAAGTAAATGCTGTGGTCAACGAGATAATCTTGCCCCGGCTTGACATTGGGCGGCGTCGAGAAATACACCCGATAAGCCTTGCAGACATCCTTGATCTTCTCGTAAGGTCCTGTCAAGCCAATGATATCCGGATGGAACTCCTTCAGATACTCCTTGAGAACCTCCGGTGTGTCGCGTGCAGGATCGCAAGTGATCATGATCGGGAGGAGGACGCGGCCGCACTTCTCCACCACTTTGTCGTACATCAGCGCCATCTTGTCAAGCTCGTCGGGGCAAATGTCCGGGCAGTGCGAGAATCCAAAGTACACCTGGACGACCTGTCGTCAGCACCTTGTCCCTAGCTCGCTTGAATACTGCATGAAAGACGAGATACTCTAGGCAGAGGGAACGTACCAAGGCATACTTGCCCATCATATCGTCACTTGTAAACCGGTTGCCATTGTGATCGATCAGGTCGAATGGTCCTCCAACCTTGGGCTTGCCAATGCCTTTTGTCTGCTCTGCTATCCTTTTTCTTGCCATGCGCTCCTTCTCGTATGTGAAATAGGCGTATAACGCACCGGCGGTAGCAATGAAGAGGACAGCGGCTGTGAGGTTGAATGGCTAGAGAGGCATCAATGTCAGCACATGTCCCAACTAGTATAAAGAGATTCCCGCAAGAACACAGGGAAGACAGAAATGTCGAGAAAAACATACTCCGCCCTTGTTCCGCGCCTTGACCTGCTGGATCGTCTTAAGCTTCTGCCGTGGTGTTGAGCTTGAGAAAGGCCGACTCTGCCCACGCAAGCCATTTGCCAAGTTTTGCACCTGCTGTGTTCCCCTCTGACTGCCGGACAAACGTGCTGATTCTTGTCTCCAAATGGTTCTTGACGACCGCTGTAGGTTCGAATGGTGGAAGGACGTAAATGTTCGGCAGGGTGGACTTCGGAGGGGAAGGCGCATCGCTGCAGCCGGTCGGAGGCTCCTCATCGCCGCTGCAACGCAATTGCACGAGGTGGCCATTGCATCCGCCCCAGGTGAGAAGAATGACACGTAGAGGTGGGCGGTCGGCGGGATTGATGAGTTGAGAGAGTTTCGGAACTTGCGATGGGCTTTGCGCACAGGCCACATGTGCTCAAGATGATGCTGAATCAGGAAATATCGACCTCAGGTCGTACGTGACCAGACTATAGAGACTTCAACACTGCCTTAGGATCAAGGTATAAAAGATCCCGAGATATGTCGCCGTGAGAGATACTCTGAAGAGAACATACTGCTTGGATCAATACACTCGGAGCGCGAAATCGATGGGAGGTTTTGCATTTGATATCAATTGCAAAGAGCTTAGATATATACACCAATGTCTCGGAGCGCTCAATGGAAGTACATAGGTAATGTACGTTCCATCAAGTATGCAGACCAATGAAATGTATGATCAAGCCGTTGCGCATGCTCTAGCATTTCTCTTTACGCTCCAGCCGCATATTTACTCTTAGCCCTCAATCTCTCACCGAACGTCCAAAGCATAAACGGCGCCGGCACACCCAGCCCAATGGCAATGAATCCCAGTAGGCTATTTCCCCACCCAAAATCCAGAGCAGCAAACATCGCTGGTGCGAATAAAGGGAAGCCGAAACCCGCCAGGGATCGCAGCACTGTCGCTGCCGCAATGGCAGATGCAGCATATCGGGTATATGCATCGACCAGGTACGTTTGTATACACTGGAATGAGACAATGGAGCCGGCGCAGAATAAGCAAGCGCCTATATTGGGCATAATCCAGTGGATTTTCGCCTGCGCGCTCCAACCGTACCAGAACAGACCGGTAGGAACAAGTAGGGATGCTGGGATCATGATGGGGACGCGGAATTCGGGGTTTCCAACGTCATTGTTGCGTTTCTTAAGGCGACGGTACAAGGCGTCATTCAGGGGTGCCGTGATTTGCGTACCCAGGAAGAAACCCAAGCCCATGGAGATGAAGTTGAGAGACCCAATGCCAACGGATTGGCCGTACCCTTCCGTCCACAGCAGAGGGAAGGTGCTGAGCATGAGGTACATGAGGCCATACAAATATGCCATGTAACATGCAAGGACGATAATGATCGGTTGAGTTCCCAGAAGCCGAAAGGGGCGCTGCAATGCTGTCTTCAAAACTCGAAATATCGTCTTGTCTGGACTGTCGTATTCGGTATGAAGCTCCGTGTTTCCCGTCTCCCTCTTCAGCTTATCGCGCTTCCATGCCAGAAGCTTGGGGGCATAGGTCTCTTGGAGGAAGAAGAACCCGAAGACTTGAACACAGAAAGTGAAGATGGTAGTGGCCCAGAAACACCAACGCCACGTCGTATGCTGTGCTATGAAACCACCGGCGATAGGTCCGATCGCTGGACCTAGAAGAGGCGCCAAGGTGTAGATGCTGAGAGCTCTCCCTCTCTGCTCGGCATAGAAGCAGTCACTGAGAACGCCCTGATCATGTGTCAGCAAGTACAAGAAACGGATTTTATAGCAGTGTAACTTACACCACCGATTGCAAGGGGGGCGCTGCCACCAAGGCCGCTGAAGAAACGGAACACCACTAGCTGCACCTTGTTTTGAGCGAAACCACATCCGAGATTCCAGGCAAGGTAGAACAGATTTGATAGCTGCAGCACAATGACACGCCCATAGATCTCTGACAGCGGACCCAAAAATAGTGGACCAATAGCATAGGCCAGCACGAAGATGGACAACGTGAGTTGAGCTTCAACCTTCTGCGTAATGTTGAATTCCTCGCTGATAGAGTACAAGGCAGGCGAAATCATGGACGAGGAAACCGGCGAGACGAAGGTGAACGAGGAGATGATGAACGTAGCGGCCCACTTCCTTTTCATGGACCAGTTCTTTGGATTCGCAGGGTCATCTGGGCCGTCCCATGTCACCAGGTTCGGATTCCTGTTTGATTGCGAACTTCTGCTTTTCTCCAACTTTGCAGGCTTCTCTTCGACATCCTCCTCATACGGTATTCCACCCTTGATCCCTTCGATCGTGGTTCCATGGAGGTCCCTTCCGGATTCCTCAATCTCCACTTTTTCCACCTCTTCCTCCGACTTCCCTTCGGCGTCTTCTACCTCCTCCTGTGTATGCTCGCTCTCGCTATTCTCCGATGAATCAACATCGTCCGGCCTGCATCGCGGATTCTGCTCTGCAATGCGGTCGTCGTCATGGTCATAATATACCGAGCCATCGTCCGGGAACTGGCTGGAGGCGACGCGGTTCAAGCCAGGCGCACGCGTGCTGCCGGGTCGACTGGGCCGTGAGCGTGGTCGAGACCGTGACCGTATCCGGTTCGATTTTATCGAAGTTCCAGTTCGTGTGCGTCGTAAATCAACCATCTTCCTTCATACAGGGCCTCCAAGACGAAGCGGGTGTGCGGAGAATGAATCAAGTTCCATCCACGCACTCGAGAAGAACCCCAGACAGCACCCCTCACCCACACTTCCCTGCGAGGTATCGGCATCATACAGGTTACATTGTTCGGATATAAGAAGACCTTGAGGAAATATCCGTTGACCTCGGGATGGTCGGGGGCAGGTTCGGTTATGGCGGCACGTCTTTACTGTCTTGGGAGAAGCGTGAGGTACAATGACGTTCAGACTGGTAGCTGAGTCAGCATCTTCTCTAAATACATCACCGCACACCACTGCTTTACTTTGTTCGCCTTGAGGAATGACGGATACTGATATATGAGGCCAGCGAGGTATCTAGAGGGCGTGTCAGTATACGAAGGCTGGTGGCTCAGTATTACCTCCCTTGTCGTGGGAGGAGAGAAACAGCAAGCAGGAGGGAAAGATATGCTCAACCACACAGCATTATAGCATCTCTTGCTGTCTCTCACTAGTCTTTACTGCCCCATTCCATATCCTCCTCCTTCCAAGCGTTCAATTTCCTCCGCCTCGATATTTCTTCCTCAGCCAATCCCTGTTCCACGCTCTACGACTTGGTTCTCTCCAATCCTCTCCAATTCACCAAGCCCCCCGTTGAGCTGGTCTCCATACCGAATTGATGCGTAATACTGCCCTTGCGCTTCTATTGTCGCTTCTCGTTGTTCCTTGTCCACGTCTCGGCGCTATCTTTCACTTCGCAATTGAGTTATAAGACCAGTACACTACCAGACAAAGGACCGCCATATGTCGGTCCCCTCAGTGAGATTTGAGGCTACCCCGCGATACACACCTCTGGCCGTATCCGCTATCCGGTATCCGGTTCCAGTCCCCCCGGGAGGCACACATATGTCGAGTACCGGATGTAGGGATTCAGGTCAAAGCGTGTAGAAGCACGAGGTGCCTTCTGCTACCTAGGTATGTGCGAAGCGTTCCCTTCCCATTCCTGCCCTTCTTCGTGCGCTTGGAGCGGTTTTCCAGGATTCCATGATATGCGGTTGCCCGAAGTGTTCAAAGGTCTCTACGATTTCCTCATTCGGCACGGTGGAGTAAAGTAAACAACTCGACGTCCCCTGGGCACCTTCCCTCTACACATGTTTTCACGATATAAAGACGTCACCTTGTCCCGCGTCACCCTCTCTCTTACATCCTTTTCAAGAGTGCGGCATCGACACTTCTCACTCCAACCCTCTCCTCGACTACAAGGCATCGCCCCGTCGTCTGACTGGCCTTGCTGGACACAGGAGCATTGCCCTTCTACACTCACTCTTTCCTGCACGGCGTTTGCCACTCTGCCGTCTGCCATCAAAGCACTTCACATTGACAATTACGGAAGCACTGAGCCCGGCCTCTTCGAGATGGGTTTTAGAACCACAAGTTAGTTCCTTACAACTTCAGCTTGGCGCAATACATGCTAACCATAGCTCCTTCTAGAGATCGATTTCGAGTCCTTTGCTGCGAGATGGCCAGACCCCGACCCCGCATATGCCAACTACGAGCCTGATCCGGACCGTGTCCCGCTTCCAGGCAAGCTCAAGGACCCTCGTCTCTCCAAACACACGAGAGAGGCATTGAAACAGGAGTGGCTCGCGCATAATCCATACGTGAAAAGGGATCCTCGCACGCCCACGAAGCCCAAATACAGCCAGGACCTGGTTGGAGACACTCCAGAGACACGAGCTCCTGCCAATGTGGATACGGGGTCCGAATCATGCAAGCGGGAGGACAACCATGTGATCTCCGACCGTAACATTGTCGCCGTGGACCTGAGCAAAGGATGGCCCGCCCCAACAGTGAGGGAATATGGCCCGCCAATGAGCGTACCTTCCCCAGCCAGCAACAACGGTTTCTTTCAACGATCTCCAGCTTCGAACGGTGACAACTCCTCTACGGAATTGCTCAGAAAGTCCCCATCGCCAAGCCTTAGTATCTCCTCCATCGAAGTGCTGAGAGGCTCTCCATCTCCAAAGAGCCAGGTTTCTTACGCGGGGAGGCTAGATGAGAAACTGAACGAGGTATGACCTCAACACTTTTTGACATGATTTGCCGATTAACAAACTGTGACAAGATTTCCATGACGAGGACGCACGCCTTCGAACGCTTCCGAGCTTCTCAGGAGGTGATTGGCTGGCAACAGCAGGTTCCTTCCTCAGTCAAAGTCACGATATCCGAGCTGATGACGATGAATAATGGGGAATTCCGAGAATTGCATGACAATGTCAAAGCTACGTATGAACAATTCAGACTACAGCGGGATGAACGAGACTTTCGGGAGTGGTATGCCAACTGGCAACATGAGCAGCAGGACAAGGGCGCCGCTACTCCCGCTATCCCAGCCAATGGTCACACGGTTCGCGATGATATCACTCGACATGGCGCTGTCGGGCAGGATGAGGATTGGAGCGACGAGCAGGACGGATATGGAAGTGAAGGGGGCGTGGTCCTCAATGGCAGAAGCGGATGGAACTGGTAAATCGAGTCTGGCTTTCCTCAAACAACTGGTTCCAAGCCCCTACTTTTGTCAAATTCTGTCGCTGAGGGAGGGGCTGACGGGTAAGTAAAGATTGCATCGTGCGGAGAGGGATGTCAAGTCGTGGTGAGAAAAGCTAAGTGAAGTTGCACAGATTCGGCTTCAGCCAGCGGTTTGGTTTGAGATTCTGCGCTCTACAGGGGATGAACTTATGAGGATGGAAAGACTTGGGCTCGGTACACATTCGCGTATCGCTGATGAGAGGGCTTGAGTAGGTGGACAGTGTGGGGAATCGTTATGGCAGTCATGGCATCGAAAATCACACCACCGATTCGACTTTCTTACGTTTTTTGAACAATAGGCTAATAATATATGCGCGTGTTCTCAATCGAATGTTCCAATGCGACTTTTCAAATGTGAATTTCAGATTTCAGATTCACGGATAGCCTGTCCCTCGTCAGTGGCCAACGTTCCTTTCACCGTGCAATATGTCTCTTGTCCAACTGAAGTTTCCAGAAGAGGCAGCTGCCCCAAGGAGAGGAAACCAACTTGGGAAGCAGTTGCTACGTGCATCGCCATTCTCGGAGCTCAAAGCTCGCCGCACCTCCGCTTCACCCACACTGCTTCACCTCATCCTCGTCAGCCATCTCGTCGTACAAAACCCTCATTATATTCTGATTTTCGCGTGGATGCTTCGCCCGCGGAGATAACACAGCCAGTTCTAGAGAGCATTCACTAATTTGCATTCCGTATGCCTGCGGTGGAGCCTTGACGGTTGTCGCTTGTCAACAAGCCCATTCACGCACACGTAAACGAAACCGAAGACTACCCCCAAACGATTCTACCAGCTTCCCTACGAGAGAACCCGCGAACTATTCCACACAGAAACCCACCAAGGATCCGGAAAACGACTCCAGAAGCAAAGTGAGTCGCCGCCCACACACGATATCGCAGCCTCAGTCTCATACAGATAACTGGCGTCGCTCCCTGAAGCCATGGTTGACGGCCCAGAAAACATGCGTCAGGAGCCTTACCCTGACGAGGATGATTTATATTCCGTGGACCTCAAGCCGTCTGCAGAGTATGACATACAGGCTTCAGTGTCGGAAACGCTGAGGAAACTTCACGAGAATACGAGCCGCACCTTCGAAGAATTCCGGACAGCCAGACTGAAGCGAGAGGCCGAAATCGGGACATATCAAGGAATAGATCCTCGTTGGAATGCGCTTCGTCCCGTCGTTCCACTATGTTTTCGGGCACCTAGCTCCACTCTCTATTATTTCCGATCCGACACCATCGATAGCATGTCACCATTCGAGAAGGCGTACCGTGAGCTCGAAAGCTTTGCGATCAACTATAATTATCCAACCGTGGGTGACCTCATGATTGAATCGAGTATACGGCCGATTATCGCACGTCTAATGGGCCCGTCTCTCGTCGAGTTGGCTTCAGAGCTCATCCTGGTAAGTAACATATCCACGTCCTTGCTTGTTGCTTTTCATGCTCTCGTGTTTCTGCCTGGTCTAACAACACCCGTTGCTTGCTAGATGACGAGGGCTCAAAGTTTGTACGACCCTGATCGCCCTGACTCACTCGTAACACACCCTTTATATTTTGGCCGCTTGCCATACAACCGGCTTCAGATGTACGAGCCCATCCCCGAACTCAGGCACTGGAGGTCGACGGAGCGCCAAAACCCGCAAAGGCTACGGCCACTCCTACCAAAACCGCCTGCTAAGAACTTGTATACCGGTGACAACAGGCGCAAGCCAATGAGCAACTACATCGACCGTGTGCTGTCCACTTTACCGGAAGAGATACCAGAGGGGACCGCGGATTCCGAAATGGGAGATGCCGAAGGCGAGAGAGATCCAGGATATGAGCAAGATGATGAAGGGGAATCAGATGCGGGAAGCGACGAGACTGTCCGTCCTGCGCCTGCGAATATCAAAGGTGGTGGGGACGACACGGAAATGCCGGATTTGCGGCCATGATGGGCTACAAAGAAGGGGGATCATGTCAAAGGAAAGACGTGATGGCGCGTATCGACGAGAGCTTGGGACGACGTTGGACTCGCGCGTTTACAGAGAAAGGAGTTCCGGATGGCGGATCGATTGGATACCATTTCACCAGAAACCAGCGAGGAGATCCACTCACCAGATTGTCCTTACAGTCTTTATTGGCCGCCATGATCTAGGCTTGTCAGGTTGGTTGGAGCATAGGTTTGGCATTGGTGCTAGAAGTATTGCACGGTCTAATCCATTCTGCTAGGGTTACTAGCCACACCAGATGCTTAAGTAGCCTTTGGTAGCGTCTGTCAAAGACGTTGAACGCTGCATTTGTTTTTATTCCTCAGGAACAATTCCAACGTAGATAATAAAGAATCTCTTTGCAAGTATGAGTGCGTGTTCGAGGTCCAGAATATGAACCGGGATGATTTGAATGTAATGTAAAAGCTAGCTGTATTGAGATTAGCGCAGTACCTCGTCTACTTATCACTCGGGCTCATAACAAACCCTCATCGACACTCCTCATCCAGAGATGTCTAACTCATGGGGCCCTCAGATGGCCGTGCATGGATTACTCTCTCAACGTCTTAATTCCAGTCTTGTTGGCGCCTTGGATTCCCTGATGACCGCATCCTTTGGTTTTGGAAAATCGTAGCCGGCCGTGGCCCACAAAATGCAATCAGGACGGTTTTCGCCGCCGACAGAACATCTAAAACCAACCAAGGTGCCTCAGGGAAGAAAGATTTCGCTATTCGGCAGTATCTCATTATGGAGAAGGTCAGCCGGGTCCGTGAGCCCAGTGATGTGGATATCGAATTCAGTGGACGAGTACCGCCGGAGCCTTGCTAATCTGAGCGGATTCCGCACTGTTTAGCACTGCGGAGCGGATATTTTGTCAATAACTATCCCATCCCGACGTTCTATGTCACTATCTCTCGTCGAATTCGGTTCAAATTCATTGCGTTTGGCCATGGACCTCAAAAAGATAGACACTGTGGCTGTGAGAGTCCATCACTGGGGCTGTGCACCAAGCCACTGCTGAACATGCACTTCCTATGATAAGTGACATCCAAGCCACGCGGTGTCACTGAAACACTTCACTTCTACCATCAAGAATAGAGCCACATACTGAAAGAGATATTATCATGGCACAGAGCGATCGGTATCCCTACTTCTCATACGAAAAGGAGATCGGTTCCGACCATCTGCGACTGCTCAAGAGGGATTTCAGCACCGACAGCAACGACCTCTACTTCACACTTACTACATTCCATCGGCTCACAATTCCAAAGTACACAGCGCTGTCATACACATGGGGAACCGCCGAAACAAGCGAATTGATCTACCTCAATGGCCGACGATTCCATATCACCAAGAACCTCTGGAGTTGCCTCTACTTCATCACTCAAAGGGCTTCTGTACGGAAGCAGTACATCTGGTGCGACGCCATCTGCATCAAATCAACTTGATCTTCGCGAGCGCAACGCACAAGTTCTAGGAATGGACGGGACGTACCGGGATGCGTCGTACGTGTCAGTCTGGCTGGGTCTACCTCCGCCTGTGTCTCGGTACTCCCGTGGTTACAAGAGCAGGACATCCGACGATGATGATACCTTTGACTGGACGTCCCCAATGGCAGAGCTCATCAGACACTCATATTGGTCCCGAGCATGGATCATCCAGGAGTACCTTCTGGCCAACGAAGTCCAGATCTGGTGCGGTCCAAACTGCATCGGATGGGAGGATTTCCAGCAGGAACTCTACCTCTCAAAAAACCCGAAAAAGGAGTCCTCTCGCGCATTCATCCTCGGGAGCCAGCGAATCTCGTACATCCGTCCATCTCCGGTGCTGGGCCTTGAGTCACGAAGGCTAGCCCTCTACATGTTACTGGAAGCACACTACCTGGCTGAGTGCAAGGACCCGCGCGATAAAGTCTTCAGCCTGCTGGGTTTGATCTGGGAATACGAGCGAGAACGTCTCGGCAGCGTGTTTCCCGATTACACGCTGGGTAACCATTTGGTGGCCCTTCTAACGCTTGCACATACAAGATATCACTGGCAGATAGCTCTTCTGAGGATGGACAAGGTCTTCAAGGCGCTGGGTGTGCGCTCCAAGGCACAGAGGCAGTTGTTGTTACGGCAAGCGGAGGAGCTTGCGGAGTGGCTGGAGGGTCCAGGAATAGGAGACGAGGGTGTGCCTTTCTATCCGAGCGGGTTCAAGCCGGAGGCCGCGAGGATCATGGCTCGTGATAGTTCGAATGAGTCGAAGAAAAAAGTGCGGAGATGGATTGTGCTGGTCCCCGCCGGTGTGATGGTAGGCTTGGTGGTAGTGGTAGGCATCGTGCTTTTGCTGAATTGGCATGTGTGAGGGTCCTGGACTGCTGACGCAGAGGACTTCGCGCTTCAAGCAGAACAACTAAGGAAACACTGACATCCATCCTGGGAGACGGGCCTCGAGATGAGGTGTCCTGGGAGACAGCGGTTCCGAAGTTTCCCTGCCCTCCGTTCTAGGAACCTCACAGCCTGGGCATCTTGGGGAACTGAAGAATCGTTATACCCGCGCTGTCGGCTGCGCTCAGGAATCCAGAGTCACCTCGCCCGTGGGAAGCCACAAGCGGACAATTCGATTATTGCATTTCTCTGCGTTGGGCTTGAGCTTGAGAGCCATAAGACCATCACCCGTTAGATGGACATACCCGTTATATGGACATTCCACATTTCTCATTAACCCCATAATCGTCACCGGATTACCACTCGATCCTCCTTCGAAAGACCGCGCATTCATTATATTACATTATACACCATTCGTTGATACGTCGTCACACCCGACAGAACTCGGACATCTCAACAACCCCAAAAAACCAACGCTTAAATAACACGACCTTTGACCTGCTTGAAATCCTTGACCTTGATATCCCTCCACATCATGACGGCCGGGATCGCCAGGATCAGAATCGCCGTGCCCCCGATATTCATATACTTCTGCGCATCCGAGTAGGCGCGCTCAATCGCAATTCTCGTCGGCGTCCCCTTCGCGTACGACATCTGCACCGTCAACTGCGCATAGATATCCTGCAACGCGCCCTGGCTCTCCGGAGGCAGGTACTCCGCCAGGCGCTTGGGGAAGACACCGGTCCAGACGGCGGTCGCAATGGACGACCCGATGCCGCCTCCGATGGACGAGAACATGCCCTCGAGGGCGAGCACGACGGCAACGTACTGGTGGTCCGTGGCAGCCATGACGGCGATCTGCTCCGTGATGACGCAGGCGCCGCCGGCGAAGGCGATGAAGATCTGCGTCATGACAATGTATCCGATGTTGACGTCCGGCTGGCGGAAGTGGATGAGGAGGCCGACGCCGAGGATGGTGACGGGCACGCCGAAGTAGAGCGCGATCCACTTGAAGCGGCCGGTCCAGCGGATGGCGATGCCGACGATGAAGGAGAAGAAGCACGAGCCGATGGAGTAGATGTTGAGAATGTACGTGGCCTCCGTCACGCTCACGCCGTTGACGACCTGCAGGAAGGAGAAGAAGTACGAGTGCCAGATGTACCAGCTGACGAAGAGGACGGCGGAGAGGATACAGGCGCCGATGACGGTGCGGTCGAGAAGGAGGGAATAGGGGATGAAGGTCTTGGCGGCGTAGTATTTCTCGAACAGGGCGAAGGCGATGAGCATGAGGCCGCCGATGATGAAGAAGGAGATGACGAGGGGGGATTTCCATTGGCCCTCTTGGTACGAGTAGAGGTTGAAGGGGAGGAGGAAGAAGACGAGGCCGCCCATGACGAGGAAGAGGCCGCCGACGTCAAACTCGATGGCGTAGTATTTGACGGATTCCATGAAGGTGCGGTTGCTCTTGGTGGGCACGATGATGCCTCGCTTGACGGCCTTCTTGTAGTTGAGCTGGAAGAGGAAGTACAGCGGGAGAGTGATGGCCACGGTGATGATGGCGAAGGCACCGAAACACCAGCGCCAGCCGGGCCCGTTGAGGAAGGCCGTGGCCAGGGGTCCCGCGATCCAGACAGTGGCGATATAGGGAGAGCTTATGTAGGCGTACATGAAGCCTCTGTTCTTGAGCGAGGAAGTGTCGGCCACGAAGATGCCCAGAGTGTAGGAGAGGCCATTATAGCTGCACGGATAAGCTCAGCTGTTGTTCGGAAATCACGAAGCGCGGATGAGGGATCTCATACCCGACCCAGTAGAAGATCTGAGCAGCAGCATAGACTTGCACGTCGTTGCATGCTGCCATCATGATCAAGCCGAGGACCATGAAGGCCACCATGAGCATGAAACCCTGGGGACGTCCAAAGATATCGAGGACTTTTGCAAGCGGAAGCTTCAGCACACCCCCGATGATGCTGGACATGGTGCTGGTGTAGCCAGTCAACGAGTGCTGGTAGAAGTCGCTCGTGACATAGGCCGTCAAAGAGCCCGTCGCGCCCTGCTGCATGGAGTCGACGAACATGATGAGCCAGATCCTACGGTATCAGGTTAGTGGGACTGGATCCAGGTGACGACCATTCAGTGCAGCCTTACAAGATGTAGGCGATGATAAGGTCCCTTTTCGACCACACCGTGGTAGTGGCCTCAATCTTCTTGACACCATCCTGCGCGTTGGGCGTGAACTCCTCACTGTCGTTGTCAAGCGCACGCGGCTGGCTGGCATTGGCCTCCTTATCAAAAGAAGCATCGGCCTTCTCGTCACGCTGCTCCTGGTCGACGACAGGCACCTCGGCCTGCGCCGCCGTGGCTCTCCATGGCATCCTCATGATGGGGGGATGGGGGGTTGTGGGAGGTCACTCGACAAGGAAGGAGTGAATGTGAAGGGGGAGAGGGGAGCAGGTGAAAAGGAAACCCAGAACAACGGGTGCCGGGACCTACATATATAGCCCTGCGCGCGGCTACCGACGTGTGCAAAGGCGGGAAGATCCTGATGCCAAGAAGGACTCTAGCTTTGCGCAAAAAAATGAATCGCAGAGCTCAACAGAAGCTATTATCGATTGGTTCCCTTCAGCTCTAGACACGGTCTGGTGGTACGACCAGACGACTGCGAGCGGGGCCTACCGGACTCCATGGCGCCGTCAATAGGGTGTTCTGTTGCGAGGTTGGAGGCCCGCATGCTGCACGCCGCATGGGTTGGTGGTGAGCAAGTTGAGCCACCATGCGTCGACGACGAGGATGGCACGGGTGGTGAATGCCGGAAAGGGCATGAGGTGAAAATTTTATCAATCTGATAAGATTTTACCGACGTCGGATCAATCCTGTGCGCTGCTCCGATTGGCTACGTTCCAGCCTTGCCCCCACAACCTATGTTCAATTAGAGTTATCTGATCCGCCGTGGTGCGGGTCGTGAGTGGTCGCGCTTGGAGAAGCCTTTGCCAGAAGTATCAACTGAGGTTCTTTTCACCTGCCGGAGTTCATGGCTACCGTTCTCCTCCTCGCTCCTCGGCACCTGTACTGGCGGTCTGGAAATACCTGAGAGCCGATTGAATCCCGAAAACCAGACCTATACTACAACCTATGTCTACTTTGCACGAAAGTTCCTATGGAATGCAGTCTCGTCTAGGGTTTCCAGGACCGCCAAGGAAAAGGGAAAATTGGTCGCGCCCGTAGCCGGGAGCTGAAAAGCCACATGCTGATGCCCCGAAATAACGGCCCATGACGGTCTTTGTTGGAGTCGAAACCCTCAAGGTCCGATCACGGAGAGGCTTGTTGATACGCACCCTTGACGCCTGCTTCGATTTTCATGGAGGAACCCGTTAGGTAAGCGTGGGGATCTAAGTACATACTGTGTACTATGCCTGTTCAGACCAACTCCACATCAGATGAATACCCCTCTCGTGTTCATCATCAGCTCGTCATGGATGTGGATGCTGTGGGGATTCATTCGTCGATTTCTTGCTCCACAAATGCATCCACATCTCTTTATGCACTCACGCGACTTTTCCTGGTAAGGAATTCCTCGGAAGGTTGCGTGGAGCCAGCGTTCATAGCATTGGTCCGCATCTTCCCGAACTAGCCGACTGCGCTACATACTATTATTGACCCTTATCCGGTCCTCTGGGAGCGGCTACTTGTCGGCAAGTTTCCTGGCTGGTAGTATCATGGGTTGACAAAAAACGTTCACACATAGAGGAAGAATTCGTTTAAATTTGCGCCCACGCACCATCAGCGCAAGGATACCGAGCGTTCACCTGTCGATGGGAGCACAAAAGCGGAAGGGTAAGGATCAGTCCGTTGGAATTGGAGTCTTCAACGCGCTGCTCACGGGTGACCTAGGAAGCCCACCTTGTTGAGCAAAGCCCGCCTTAGCACGTGTTCCCCGTTCGCTGGGCGCGATGGCTCTGCGACCCACTTTCGACCTGCATCATACCGCTTGCGCAGGACATCTAAGCAGATTCGACTCCCGTTACTGGAAGACCTTCCGTCAATGGGAGATGATGTGCGGAATACATTCATCCGTCATTATCGTAATCTCAAAATTCATCAGTGATGAACATCATGCATTATACGGGAGCCAACAGTTGTATCGTCAAAGGAGGACAATCTTCATCACTGGCTGAATAACGTACTCAGTTGTTACTAAGATTACCGCGCAGAATGAGCATCACCCATTCCTTCACCTCCTGCAGACAGATATGTGAGATGCGGGGAGAGTCGCACGAGAAACCTCTGTGCTTAGCTCATGAGCAGAAAACGAAGCAATCTGGCATACGGAGCTGCGTTTGATGTTACTGGTCGCGGGAAGACCTCATCCGATCGGTCAAGACATCCCCAACCATTCAGCAATGCCCGTGGAAGCGGTATCCCGCCCAAGATGGTGTCGGCCCCCTGCAGTAGCAGGATAATATCAGTGGTATGTATTCGTTTGTATAACAGAGCTAAGCAGCCCCATTATATTTTCTCATTCCTCTAGTCGTATCTCATATATCGTTACCGCATGTAGCCAGGTGCCTCTCCCCTTCTTCCACTGTCCACTTGATATCTTGCCTTGGGATCAGCCCTCGACTAGAGATCATGGACGCATTAACAGGGCTTTTAGGAATGATCTCCTGGCCCCTGGTGGCGAGGATGGACAGGACGTGGGCAGCGGCCTAAGTCTCCGGTTAGTATTATGGAATCAACGTTTAGCTGCCTAGTAAACTACTCACCTTCGCGTTGATAGTGAGAGTCTTTGGGTTAGGATTGTCGTACGTATCACAAGCCTGGTGGTAGCACGGGTCCTGCTCAACTCCAGTCCCTGTATGCAGACCACCGACCGGTTTTCCAATGTTGATAAAGCTCTGGTAGTCACTTCCACCCGTGAACCTGGCGGCCGTTACATTCACTCCCTTCTTGGTCATCTCCTCAACAAAGAGCTTCTCAATGACATCCGATCCAGCTGGTCCAGAGAGGTTGAAGGAGCTGCCGTCTCCGTCAAAGACACCGAAATAACCCCTACCCACCATGTCAAAGTTCAGATAGGCCAGGATGTTGTTGGCTGCGGTCGCGTTCAGATTCTGCGTGTAGTACTTCGATCCCAGGAGGCCATTCTCCTCTGCTCCCCACCAAGCAAAACGGACCTTGTTCCTCACTTTAAACTTCTCAAGTGCGTTCTTAACCTCCAGAATTAGTGTGGTTCCAGAACCATCGTCGTTGATGCCAGGACCCGCTTGGACGCTATCGAGATGGGCACCGAGCATGATGATGTTGGTAGGATCGCCGTCCTTCGTCTCAGTAAACACGTTCTGCGTAATCCTCGTCTCGACAACCTGGGTCTGTTGGAAATATGCCTGGATTGCTTCTCCCCCCTCAATCCGCGCTCTCAAAGCCTCGCCGTCTGCTTTGTTGATGAAACCTCCTGGAACGTACTCCTTGGGATTGGGTGCTGAGAGACTACCAGCAGTCACAGGGGTGGTAAGGTCGGTGTAAATGATGACGGCTGCAGCACCAGCAGCTGCCGCGGGCTTAAGACGACCGGCAAGCGTTGTACCATCTGGGCAGCTTCCTCGCTGGACCAGCACAATCTTGTCTTTGACATCCAAGCCATTGTAGGCTTCCTTGGTACAGCCCTCCGGACCAAAAACTCCGAGGACAAGGGGAGCTGTCAGACCTTCCTTTGACGTCGAAGGAGAATATGTGAGGCCAATGACATAGTAGGAAGTCTCATTTACTCGGAAGGTGATCGACTCTACCTGCGCAAAGAGCGCCGGGAAGTCCTGCGTATAAGTGATGAAGTTCTCCGAGTTCTTCGTCCGGGAGAGGATGTAATCCACCGATGCTTTGTAACCCGGAAGACCAAATGCGCGATTACCTCCGTTGGCCGTTGCGACTTCTTGAAGCTTTTTGAGATTGTACATCAACCTAGGTCAAGTCAGTACATGCCTTGATCTGCTGCATCCTACGATCATCTTAACTCACCCCTTCTCGGTGACCAATGCTTGAAGCGGCTTGGATTGAACCAAAGGCTTGAACCGATCGCCATATGTTGTACTAGGCACAGCTCCCGCAAGCGACTGCGCAACGCCAGCCAGCAAAACTCCAGCGTACAGCTTCATCCTGACGAGATAGCTCTAGGAAACAAAATTCCAAAAACACCCGCACGACCTCAACCTTCCAGGGCACCCCTCATCTTTATACCTCCCCCGCAACCTGGATAAAGAGACCCATGAATTGTGCATCCTCATTCGCCACTCCTATAACGCAATCCCGTGTTTTATCGCACCCTTTGCAATGGTCCTCGGTGATACAGCATGGAGGAGGTACCCAGAAAACGCAGGTCGGAGTTGGGGCCATCCTGGTCGCCAAGGAGCCGTTCACTTTAATCACCTTGACACCTTCCGGATAAAGTGAATGCACGTGATAAGGATTCTCTTGGCGAGATCGCCGTTTGGACGGGGAACGATGTGGCTGCCTTTTGTAGGGGAGGTCGCCGTTAGCCTATGCGGATTGGAGGTGCTCTAGGGGATGGTCTTTTTCGCGTGCGATCCCTGGATATAACTTCAAGTTCGCAGGGAAGGCGAAGTCTGTGCGGCGATTTTATGTAGACTCGTAAACGGGAAACACCTGGCTCGGCCCGGGAAAAGGGAAATCATTTATGATGCGTTTCCTCGTATTCAGTAGATAAGTAATCGTCTGAGGTTATAGGACAAAGGTTGCATTTTTCGAGGCCGCCAATAGCAGATGGCTTGTGGCGTTGCTCTATGTTCTCCGGTGTCGCTATGAAACTAGATTAAGAGCGCTGGGAACTACAGTAGGGCCGATCCCCGGATAACTTTCAATGCACGTCACAAACGCTAATCTTGCTATCCCCGCTATACAAATGTCTCAGTCATGTAGAAAAACCACTTCACGCCGACCACCGCAAGCAGTATTTGTAGAAGACAACAACTTCGGAGAGTGCATTGTTCCCGGCGAGTGGTTCGACTTAGAGGAATAATTACAAGCTGGTCTGGATAATAATGCTAGTGACTACTGAGCCACGGAGACAAAAGACTCTGAATGCAGGTTTATCAGAAGAGCGATGGAGGCGTGGGGTAGTCTGCTCCAGAGACAATGGCCAATCCTGTCGTCAAGAATAGGAAAGCTGCTGTGTATGAATATAAGAATAGACCTAGGTAGCAGAGCACGCCGGCATTCTATCCTTGAGTAGTCTACAAGCTTGCAAACAACCCTGTTTCTTCATCTTGAGGGTATTTCAAGTAAAATGTATCCCACAAATGAGCTCATTCGCTACATCGAGCCGCCAATGTTTGATGGGACCCTCACCCTCGCGTCAAGGCCTCAACAGCACAGGCATCCTAGGTATGGACTCGTACTCTTTCCACAAGATCTATATGATCTGGATATAAAATGCAAGGCTTTCCACAAATGCGTCGTCCAGCAGGCTCGGAGACAAATGCCATCCATGGACCGCAGATGTCAGCAGAGTCATTCATATGTGTTTCAACAACACCTGGGCGCGGATATACCCATTCGACATCAAATGAATCTTGGAAAGTGTATATAGTAGTCAGAGACCGCCTTGAACCTGAGGGAGTCGGTGGACAATTGGAACAGAAGAGCAACCAAAGTCAGCAGAACGTTCCTCCAGTCGTCTAGGTTAATATATCGATTAAGCACGCCCGTACAGCTCTTAGGCAGCTCGCTCAGATCAAATTGATGAAGCGAATAGATATATGTTGCAAGTGCCTTTGTCGATCCAAGTTTATTACAGCATCGCGCAGTTCGCATCTTGAGGTTATTCCGACAACTTTAGCCTTGTACATGGCCTCAGACGGAAAGTCTACGCAAGGTTTCAGGCTCCGTGTCCATCTAGAACAGCGCATATGACGGTCAGCTTCTGAGAGTTACACCATTCTGACGAGAGTTAACAGTGAAATACCATCGACTTACCCCTCTCGTAGAACGAGGGGCAGTCACAAGGGTTACAATGGAGAAAATCGGCACGTATCATTTACAGTTTCCGCTTTTATTGGGACTGGCAGCTGGGGTCGTTGACATGGAGGGTAACTATATGCCATTGAGGCGTTCCACCGAGGTATATGTAAGACCGCAGTCGTATCATTGACTCCTTCTCAAATGCTAGAGAGAGCAAACCGGAGAGAAAAAGTTTTAGTTATAAGTTCCATCAAACCCGCGCCATGGACCCAGCCGTATCCCATTTTGCCGCCCTTGGACAAGCCACCACTTCCACGCTTAAATAGTCGTCTCGTAAGGAATGGGTGTAATGGTCTCGGGAATGTTGTCCTTCAGGCTGACGATCCGGGCTTCCCTTGGTGCCGCCGGTAGACGCTTGAGGTTCTGGGGAACACCCTCCTCCTTGGCCTTCTTCGCCTTTGCGTAGTTCTCCTTGACGCGCTTAAGGAAGTCTTCACGGGAGCGGGACAGACGGACGTGCTCGATGCGGACGTTGATGCGCTTCTCAATGTAGCGGTTGCCGACCTGCTTGTAGCTGCAAGGTTGTCAGATCACAAGAAGTGCAGTTCCTCCAGGTTGACCTACAGGATGACACCGACAGCAGACTTCGTCACGTTGTAGATGACACCAGTCTTGCCGTGGTAGACCTTGTAGGGCATACCCTTCTGCACAGCACCTGTCCCCCAGTCAGAGGAGTTCCAATCTTGTCCATAATTCCGTGCATACCGTTGGCCACAACATCAACGATGTCGCCAACCTTGTACTGTCGCAGGTAGGTAGAGAGGGCGATCTAAAGGCGGATTCGTATCAATTCGACTTTCCGAGCGTCGCTGGTGTACTCACGTAACCCTTCTTCTTGAAGTCCCTCGAGAAACTGCGAACTGGTCAGCCAAACCCTCCAAAATGCGACAATGACCCTCAACTTACGCATAGCGCGTACCGGCGCGGAGACCTGCGGCGTGACCCATGGCGACTGTTTTTTGGGCTGTAAAGTTAGTGGGGTGTTGAAGCTGGCGCGGAGTGTCAACTCAGTTGATTTTCGATGTGTGTCTTGGCTTCGCAAAGGGGCTAAACCATAACCGGCTACGTACGCGAACGCTAGCGCCTCCCACCATTCAATTTCCAAAACCTCCATCGCGAGAACCTCTTCCGAACAACCCACGACCACCGACAATCATGGCGCCCCGTTCCTACTCGAAGACGTACAGCGTCCCCCGTCGTCCTTTCGAGTCCGCTCGTCTGTACGTATATACGGTCCCCTAAGGCCACTGAGCGAGAGCGTGCTCCGCTTACGTCTGGGACATCGATGGTTAATGGGCTGCTAGGGATACTGAGCTGAAGCTCGTTGGCGAATATGGTCTCCGCAACAAGCGCGAGGTCTGGAGGGTCCAGTTGACTCTGTCCAAGATCCGTCGTGCTGCCCGGTAAGTTTTTCTCTGGACGCGCAAGTGATCTTGTTCGCAAGAGGGAATTACTGACCTTTCGCAGTTCGCTGCTCACGCTCGACGAGAAGGACCCCAAGCGCCTCTTCGAGGGTAACGCCCTCATTCGCCGTCTCGTCCGTGTCGGTGTCCTCGACGAGTCCCGCATGAAGCTCGATTACGTGCTGGCTCTCAAGATTGAGGATTTCTTGGAGCGTCGTCTCCAGACCTGCGTCTACAAGCTCGGCCTTGCCAAGTCCATCCACCACGCCCGTGTTCTCATCCGCCAAAGGCACATCCGGTCAGTGTCGCCGTGTAATTGCGAGGAGAATGATTTCGACTGACAGTCTCGGCAGCGTCGGCAAGCAGATCGTCAACGTCCCCTCCTTCGTTGTCCGTCTCGACTCCCAGAAGCACATCGACTTCGCTCTGACCTCGCCGTTCGGTGGTGGCCGCCCTGGCCGTGTCCGAAGGAAGAAGGCTAAGGCCGCCGAGAAGGGTGGTGAGGATGGTGGTGATGAGGAGGAGGAGTAAATCATGCGCCAAGGGACTCAAAATATCATGGAATATTGGGTTAGGTCATGACGGCATGAACGGTTCGGGCAGCCCTCCAGTCTGGGCTTCATCATATCCAACTTCGTGGTGTTCGGTTCGTGGACGGTCTGCATATATCCCGTGTAGCTCCAATCCACCCAAAATTTACACATGACCATGCCCGTTACCCACCTAACTGGCCTGTGCCGCGTCAAATGGTCCAGTGCCGCAACAATAAGAGATGACGATCCAAAGTTCATGTTATCCAAATATCTTGCGTGAATCTATTTCTACCTGTGCTGTCTGCATTAACCACCTGGGCATCCATGTGTGCGTTTTCCAGCTCCTTCGTAGTCCGCGAACCAGACGATTCTTTGCGACGTTGCCTCCTGCAACACATTGCAACCTCTTCAATAGTCCTGGACGGAATCATCCGTATACAACCTCGACACAAGAGCAGGTTTCTTCTTCCCGCCTTCCCCTTCCTTCAGCCTCTGCCTACTCTCCTGCATAATCCACAGACCACTACTCGTCCCCAACCTGGTCGCTCCAGCCTCCAGCATCCTCACCGCATCATCCAGACTCCTAATCCCCCCACTCGCCTTCACCTGCATCTTGTGACTCCTCACGGGACTACCCCCGTTACTCTCCGTCTTGGTAGACAAGTACTCCGCCGCCGCGACCATGAGTTGCACATCCTCGAGCTTGGCGCCGGGGCCGTTGAAGCCCGTAGACGTCTTGATGAAGTCGAAGTTTGCGGCTGCGGCGAGGTGGGCGGCTGCCAGGATTTGGGCGGGGGTGAGCTGCGAGGTTTCGAGGATGAGTTTGAGGGTCGTTGGGGGTGGGCAGAGGGAGCGGAGGGAGGCTAGTTCGGTGTAGATGGCGCTGTAATCCGGTATGGAAATATCTGCTTCGTCAGGAGGGGTGGAAGAGGAAGTGGGTGCGGAGCTCGTGGGCACGGAGTAGGGGCCCGCTGCGGGGATGGTGCCGTCCTGGGGTTTGCTGTTTGCTTCTGTGTTCTTCCAGGTTATGGTGTCGGCGGTGGAGTCGCGTTTATGGCCTTGGGTAGCTGCTTGGGAAGGGACACCTTCTGGGTTGTTGGTGCGCGTGAGGATGGTGTGGTTCAGGACAATGTCGAGTTCGCTGGCGCCAGCAGCGACGGCGGCGCGGGCTTCTTCCAGCTTCAAGAGGGTGTCTTGGGTGCCTTCGTGGAAGCCGACAACGCAGGCTACAATGACAGTAGATCCCTTGAGGTTGCTGATGCAGCGTGGGACGTAGTTGAGGCGGACGCAGACGCTCTGGGAGCAGTTAGAGATATTCCATAAACACAGCAGGATGACAAGAGGACGAAGGAGCAGGAGACACCAGTTGTTCAATGAACTAGCCGTAGTCCTCCTCGAGATCGAAATCACTCACCTTAAACCCCTCCGTCCTTGCCTCGGAGCACAACGCATCAATCTGGCTCTCTGTGGCCTCCAACTTCAACAACGTATGATCGATCGTCCTCGCAAACTCCTCACTCCCAATCTTCGGGACCTCATACCTCTTCCCCTGCTTCCTCTCCAGCTCGACCAACTCGAATACCTTTTTCTGCGTCTCCGCAATCTGCTCGGCCCACTCGCGATTCGTATACCTGCCTGTCATAACTTGTACCTTGCCAAGGGCGGAGGAGCTGAACTGCGGGTTAGAGAGGAGGTATTCGCGTACGAGTTTCTCGGAGGGGTTGAGCGGTGGGAGAGGAGGTGGGAGAGGCGGTGAGCTAGCGCCGGAGGCCTCCGTTGCTGAAGTGGACGAAGCCATCGTGGGGACCTGGGAGATTTTCCAAGGATTGAAGTTTCCGTGGTAACCCGCGGCTTATGCTTCTTCAACTGAAAAGAATGGCGTTCCACTGAAGTTCTAGTTATCGTGGCCTCAATATCTAGAATATGATAGACTTGAGAGTCAGGTTTCTGTGGCACCGCAAGATCACCATGTGTATACGGTCGAATTAAGGTGGGGGAGGGGTGAGGTTTCGAAATTCAAGATGGCTATGAGCGGGTTTGAATGCGGAGAACATGCAGTTCAATCAAGCTTCTGACAGGGATATTGATCAGCGTGACACCAAGTTTACTGCCTCCCGAGGTCTGACCATATGCTCTATGTTTCCACTACACGTAAATGGAATTATTACAGGAGAGAGGCGCTGGGGAACAAGGCGACCGACCATGGAGGGATCGTGCTCTGGCTGTAGGCGACGATCAATGACTGACTTCACTCAAACCACGCAAAGCTCTCCATGCTAGGTAACCCAAAAACTGCAAAGCGCTTGATTCGTTCAATTTCGGACAAGAACACTTGCAGGCAGAGGTATCCTCGATTGCACACCGGTCCTCGCGCCAGACGATTGATCCAGAGCTCTGAAATGCACATCTCCCCTTCCACATGCATGTGCATAATCCCATGGAAAGGCATGCCCCAACAAAGGAAATAAGAATTGAGGGACACAGGGTTGTTGAAATCATCGCAAGATATCCGGAACTCCCGTTTTGATTTTGGCTTGACTCGAATCGTCGAAAGATCCCTCTTCTATCCGCAGTCGAGTCGATCAGTGTCGATAAGATCTACAACCCGGTTCCATTACATATCGTCATAAGAACGCACAAACCCCGCCAACGTAACTCGGAGCGGTCGTTTACTTCCTGCGGAAAGAGCAGCCCTCAGTCAACCGCGCCTTGCCACCGGTCGGTTGGCACCTGTCATATCCATTAGCCTATAGTCCTTATGTTCGAAGCCGGTCTTGCGTACAGAACTTGCGAGCAGCCCTGGCAGACGACGACGGTCTGGGCGTGCGAGAAGACGGTGGTGATTGTGAAGCATCCCGGGCACTTGACGTCCATGAAAAAGGAGCGGGGACCAGGAACAAGAGTCTTGAGCTTGTGCTTGCGGGCCTCACTGTATCCGAGTTAGTCGAATGGACGTTTGGCGGAGCGAAGCGAGCGGAAGAACGTACGCGGCCGGGGACGGGTTGAGGAGATCAACGGCGAGGACCTATACAGCCAGATGTCAGCAATCCATTGACATCGAAATGGATGCAGATTGTCCGATGGTGAAGGAGGGGGATGCATTCGGTGGCGAGTTTCAACGTGTCTCGTGCCTCCATTCTGCGTTCGTGTACTCTCTTCCAGGCCAGAAGTTGCGAGGCTTACCATATTGACGGTTTTTGATGTGTCTTTTGGTGTCTTTTGATGGTACGACGATTCGGCTGGGGATGGATTGTACGAGGGAGCGGCGACGAGATCGTGACGAGTCGAAAAGAGGAGGTGGCAGCCTTTCGACAAAATCGTGTGGGCGAAATGCTTGGCAACTCGCTAACGCCACGCCCCGGTCGGAATTACTCTCACGTGCCCTGCACCGCCACATCCGCGCAGCAACATGCAGGTGCTGCAATGTCGCGATCTGGCATAGACTATGTGAATGGAAATATTGTACGTGAATGGCACCAGATCACATGAGGTTAGATTTCTAGACAATATATGCTATCATACCAGGTGCCACTCTTGCAAATATTCACGAAGAGGAACAATGTGACAACCCTCGCCGTGAGCACTAAGCCACAGCTTCAACGAGGGAAAGATGGAATTGACAAACCTCGTGAGTTCTTGTCGAAGAAGAAGTATGATCTTGAAGTTAAAACAGGCCTCCCCGAAGATATGGGCCGGCAACGAGCCAACCCTTGGAGAATGGTAGATGGTAAGTACAAAAGAGGAGCTGGGAAGAGGGCAGGCAAATCGCCCGGAAGAATCGAAAGGGGTATATGGCAAGCCAAAGACTGGCAATTACATAACGACGCAGCCGGATTTCGTGTCCTTGTTCGACTTCACAGAGAGTGCCACACGAGCAGCTTCTGTGAAGGCCTCGTTGACGCCCCTATTCTTCATGGCGGAGCATTCTGTGGAGAGGATTAGCGGTGGTTTCTAGCTTGCAAACTAGAGCCCAGAATTACCTAGGTATCGTAGCGCTTTGATCTTCTCAGCTACTCGAAGACCTTCTTCGTAGTTGATCATATGCTTCTCGGGTTGGGCATCGTCTTCATCAGCATCATCGCGCTTCCGCAGGTCGCACTTCAGAGCCACCAGGACCAACTTGACGCCGGGGCAGTTCTCTGCTATTTCTCCTACCCACTTGGTCTCCACGTTCTCCAAGGAATCCGGTGAATCAACCTGTCCACTGCATATCAGCCGGCTGCACGTGTGAAGTGATTCTTCCTCTGGCGTACGCTGAAGCAGAGCATGATGGCATGGGTGTCATCGTAGGAGAGTGACCGCAACCGGTCAAACTCTTCTTGACCAGCGGTGTCCCATAAGCTGAGTTCTACGTGTTTGCCATCAATGTAGATGTCTGCGCATCATTAGACAGCTGTTCTATTGTGCCGATCGGCGGCGCGACGTACCGTGGACATAGTTCTCTGCTCAAACATTAGATTACAGTTTTACAGTCCAGTAACGCTCATAGACACTCACCGAATACTGTGGGCTCACTATCAGGGAGACTTTGTTAGGTGGAAACGATCAAGAAGCCCTCCAAGCGACTTACTATACAGTGGGAAAGTAACTGCACAATATCGAGTTAGCGCAAGCAGTTCTTACAGGCAGAGCCAACAAGTCAAACATACCCTCTTGTGAAGACATTCAATAATGACGTCTTGCCGCACGCGCCATCACCGCTGTTGATCCTGGTCAGCCCCGATCTATCCCAACTGCATTTTCACGTCCACCATATACGCAAGGGATATATCGACGTACAGGAGCACTAGCTTGCGCTGCACAGATTTCGGTTCACCACAGAGCGGCATCGCAACAGGCTCCGAGGTGAGGATGCGGTGATCGAAGTAGGAATCGTCTCGGCCGAAGGATGTGGAGCGCGCGCGGGAAGATGACACTGATTGTTCGTCCTTGGAGATGGGCGCGAGTGAGCGGAAATGGGAGAGTGGTACGGTTGGGAGGCGTTTGCGAAGAGAAGGGTTTAAGGGTGTCGTGGAGTTAGGAGTATCGGGATCCAGATCTCTATGCGCGATGTGACCGAGAGATGGCTTATTTAGTCGGTCGGGCCAAGCCGCATTGGGTTATCTGGCGCCTCTCGAACCGCAAATGTGGCGTCGGCCAAACAATTCTAGCAGAGTCGCCAAGGTCCAATGTTATATATATCTGTGTTGATGAGCATTAACACTTCAATAGTAGGACCCTACGTGGGAGATGATGAGCTGTCCCATACGGACAGCGAAGCAGAGGGGTGAGGCTGGCATGGTGATTCGCTCCAAGCCGAGAAGCGGCTCGCTTCCAAGGCTCGAACAAAGAGAACAATTGTTGTTTGCTGTGTTAAATCTGAGGCCACGCTGACTCTACTGATGTATGGCAGTAGTACTCCGTACCCTTCTGCTGCGTTAAATTATCGGTGTGTTGATATCCATTGAAAGGCTCAGATATAAAATGATGGGATGACCATCTTTCCTTGGGTACTCTGCACGCGTAGCGTGTCATCAGAGTAGAAAACCCGCGGTCAGTGACAATGGCCTTACAATCACCAGACATTCGAGACCGTACACTGTTAGAAGACGTTGCAAGTACCTCTTTTGTCGGTCGAGTCTTCCCTATCGGACATCGCAGACTTGGTAATGCTCAAGGTGCACGGAGACAGGGATGAAGCAAACGCTGTTAACGAGCCAGGCAGATCATACGGGACCCTCCTCTCCCTCGTGCAAAGTCTCGTACTATGTCCTTTCTCGCGCGCCAAAATCATCCACAACACCGGTCGTTGAGGGTAGGCAAACGAATGGCTCCTTGTTTGGCAGATTGACGGTTGCAATTGTTCATGGCCGATATCGGTATTGCATTGTGTGCGTTGCGGATGGTTCGGATAATCGCTTATGGCTCTGCGCCAGATGAAACGAACCGTGTTGTTGAGTGAAGAGTTGATGCTGCTGTCCGTCTTGCCGATGAGTTTGGACGGCCAGACTTGCAAGGATCCCAGGGTTTGCGAGGCGGCTCCGGTCGCAGTGGGGAAAGCTTGAGCTTGAGCTCTGACTAAGCAAACAACCGTGGGGCAGGCACCAAAGCAACTTGACTTTAGAGCTATCACAAGCTATCACCTCAAACCTACCTCAACTGCCCTTCTCGCTTCATTCCACAGGAATTCTAATATCAGACTCTAACAACTTACACCTTACTTTCACCGGTAGCTTCTGTTCAACTTCGCATATCCACATCTTCGCCGCAACCATGTCCGACGACGACGACTTCATGCAAGATTCGGAGGAGGAGCATGTATCGTTCAAGCTATTCGTTTACCACTCTAACAGATTGCAGCTATGACTTCGAATACGAAGACGACGACGAGGAGCAAGGCGGGGATGTGAATATTGAGAACAAATATTACAACGCGAAGCAGCTGAAGGCGGATGATCCGGAGGCCGCAATAGACGAATTCCTTGGGGTCCCCGCGCTAGAAGAAGAGAAAGGAGACTGGTATGAGCTGCCTATGATACAGGTTGAACTTGTGTTGACCGCTGCTTAGGGGTTTCAAAGGCCTCAAACAAGCCATCAAACTGGAGTTCAAGCTCGGGCGCTACGAACAAGTAGGCATCTCATCCTGGAGTTTCAGGCTCAACGCTGATATAGGATTAGGCCGTAGAGCACTACAAGGAACTTCTTACGTACGTCAAGTCGGCAGTCACACGCAATTATTCCGAAAAGTCGATCAACAACATGCTGGACTTCATCGAGAAGGCGGCCGAAGACGCCGAGGCATACCGTTGCATGGAGAAGTTCTATGCCTTGACCCTAGACACATTCCAGAGCACCAACAATGAGAGACTGTGGTTAAAGACAAACATCAAGCTTGCAAAGCTCTGGTTAGACAGAAAGGACTACCGTCAACTCACCGAGAAGTTACGAGAGTTACACAAGGCATGCCAGAAAGAGGATGGGACGGATGATCCTAGCAAAGGGACCTACGCGCTGGAAGTGTACTCATTGGAGATTCTGATGTATGCGGAGACGAGGAACAACAAGCGTTTAAAGGTGTGTGGCTTTGTCCGCATTTGGCCATTGGTGCGTGTTCATCTGACGGAAAATGTAGGCGCTGTACCAACGGGCACTCACTGTGAAATCGGCAGTCCCACATCCCAAGATCATGGGTATCATCCGTGAATGTGGTGGCAAGATGCATATGAGCGAAGGCAAGGGAGAGACCCCTCATTCATGACGGCCACAAGACTAACGGCCGCTCTAGAGAATTGGAAGGGAGCTCAGAGCGACTTCTTCGAGAGCTTCCGGAACTACGATGAGGCAGGCTCGCTGCAACGGATCCAGGTGCTGAAGTATCTCGTGCTCGCGACCATGCTGTCGGGCTCGAACATCAACCCGTTTGACTCGCAGGAAACCAAGCCTTATCAGAACGATCCCCGGATCTCGACGATGACGGATCTCATCAACGCGTATCAGCGGGAGGACATACACGAGTACGAGAAGATCCTGCAGAACAACCGGGACCTGTTGAACGACCCCTTCATCGCCGAGAACATCGACGAGGTTACGCGCAACGTGCGAACCAAGGCCGTCTCCAAGCTCGTAGCGCCGTACACACGGTTCACGCTAGCCTTCCTCTCCAAGCAGCTGAAGATCTCGCTCGCCGAGGTGCAGGAGATCGTCAGCTACCTGATCGTGGACGGGAAGTTGCGTGGGAAGATCAACCAGCAGGATGGTACTGTGGAGATGGAGAGTAGCACAGACGTGGATCGGATGCAGGCGATGCAAGAGTGGAGCAAAGCGATTGGGAATCTATGGGGGTCGATTCTGGATGAAGGAGACGGTTTCAGATTGGACGACGGCGGCCAATTCCCGGGGGGTGGCCCTGGAGAGGGAGGGCAGTCGGGCCCGCAGCGAGGTTGGTTTGAGAAGCTTGGAGCCAAGGGCGGGCGACGGAAAGAGAGGGGTCAGCCGGGGCGGTTGATGGGGCTCGGGAACCGATGACTTGCAGGACGATAGACGCACGATGGATAGCTGGAAAAGGTGGAGAGACCATGAGGTGCAACGATGGATGCACGGTTCCGTCACTCAGGTCTAACGTGCACTGAAGGATTGAAACATCATACATGCGGCTAGGTACATCGGAGGTGGGCGCACCGTTGGTCAGGCGGAGTCGCACAAGGAAAGAGATGCTCTCGAAGGCCCTTTGGTCGCACAATGGTCGGCGATGGACTTGTTCGGGGAAAGGATTGCATGCCATTCGATGGTCAACGGCGATAGTGCACGTAACATGGCTCAGTGCTCAGGTTGCAACCAGCTAAGGGAACCAATCTTTTGCCGCTGCTACAGTCACTGGTTGTGACGGAAGTGGCCGCCGGCCTTCCTGGTCCGCTTTGGGCTGTCGGTGTGAACACACATGGTGCTATATCTCGTCTTGGCTACTGTATTGTTACTGATCGCTGTGACAATGATGGGTGTGTTGGAAGGAGAATCACATTCAACGGCGAATGACGAAGGGCCGCGGAAGCGGGCGAAGGTGGTTTGAGGAACCGGGGTCAAGTCAGCGACTCTCAGCGGGAGGGCGCAGGCGAGCGGCTGTCTGGTCCCCTGGCTTGAGCAGAGGGGTGCAGAGAGGGTGCGGCGACGAATCAGGGAGGGAGGTCAGGGGAATTGGGCGTCTGCAGGTCGTGTGGAGACGATGCTTGCAGGTGGTTTGGCTTGGATCGAGATAGCCATGCCATGGGATGGATTCATGCTGGGCCGCCTTATGATGAGCTGTGGCGCGCTGCCAAAGGGATGGCGATAGAATGGGGAAAATTGACGGGCTATGCTCCCGGTCCTTTTCGTATAACGAAGGGAGAAGAAAGGAGCAAGAGCAGGTCCGCTCAAGTTGTAATAAGGTACACTAGATATTCTATACTCTCGAGTGTTTGCAAGACGGACGTACCCGCTGCAGCGGTTCGCCCCGGTCCCCTTAACAGAAAAAAGCGTACAGCAGAGTGATAGCTGGGGTCTGCTACGCGATTATTCTGGTCTGCTCACTACACCAGTACTGCATCGTCTTTTGCTCACGACCACGGTCTGCATATTTTTTTTTTCTCTCTTTGCTTTTGGCTGGTGCTACCCCCCCGAACCGCAGCGAGATTTCACCGCTTTGGAACTCCCCCGTGCCTCTGTCCCTCTCTCCTGTGCGCCGATACGGTCGCCTTCTCCTCCTCCCTGCGGTTTCACTTGAGGCGGTCCAAATCGCTCCAGGCGCAGGACAGCGCCCCTTCGCACCGACCGAGAAGATTGATTCGGCGGTGCTCGCAGTGTCCCAGTTCGTCCCAGCTCCCGGTGGTGCTACACAGAGGCAGGCCCGTTTCAATCATCCGCCAGGACGAACGGTCGTCTTAGGCCTGTCATTGCCCTGCCATTATTGACAAGACTCTGGCTCGTCTCGTCTCGTCCCGTGCTTGTCCCTTCTGTTGTTGCTGCAGCCGCTGCATTCCCCCTCTTATACCTCTGCTCCCCGTGTGCCTGGTACTGGGTTGCGTATCACAGCAACGACGGCGTTGCTGCACGCACTCGCATTGCCGCGGCTCTCTCTACCCTCGCTGCATTCCCTCTGCTCTTCTCTCCCCCTTTCTCTCCTTCTTCCTCTTTTCTTCCCTCTACTAAGGGTCACTGGGAATTGGCTGCGGTGGAGGAGAGGGTTCCCACATACACTCCGCTCCCCTTTCCCTCGACCACCTCCCTCCCTATCCGAAGCCTCGACACGCCTCGCGTCCATTGATCGCCCACGCAGCGGCGGCTCTCACCCGTCTGCCCAGTTGGCCTGCACGTCGCAGCCTCGTCAGGCAGTGAAGAGCGAATTATTACGTCGAGGCTGGCAGCACCATCCAGCGACAGCGACAACAAACAAGATCAACAATGAGCCGGTCGTCGGTGCTGCACGGGTTCCACCCCTATGCTCGCCAGCAGCAGCAGCAGCAGCAGCAGCAGCACCTCTATTCCTCGCACCAAGCCCAGCAAAGACAGCACCTGCTACAGCAACTTCATCAACCGGTTGCCTTGGGCGTAGGGCCAAGCATGCAGCAGCAATCGGCGGCCATGGTGGGCGGCGGAGGGGGTCACGGAATCGCAGCTGCAGCTGGAATACATGCTGCTGGTGCTGGTACTGGTACTGGTAGTGGTGCTGGTACTGGTGGTGGTGGAGGTGGAAGAGGACCAGCAGGCGGCCTGCAACCGCCATCCATGTACCGGCCGCCGCCGCACCTGCCCATGCGCCGCACCGCTCTGGTCGCTCCTTCCGCCGGCTCCTACCCCCAACAACCACAACAACCACCTCAACACCACGCCAGCACTGGCCACCTTGCTGCCGCTGCCGCTGCCGCCGCCGCTGCTACTGCTGTCGCACGCAACACCCCAAACCCCTCGTTCAACAACGCTCGCCCACCCCTCTCGCAAGCCATGGCTCACGACGACGAGCTTGCCCAGATGCAGCGTCTATCCAACGACTATGTGCCCGAAGACACTGTGAGTAGTTGGCTTGTGCCGAGCTTGCTGGGAGATGCCGCTCCTGTCTGCGGGGGGCAGCCGTCCACTGACCAGCATCCCCAGGGCCCGCTTGTCGGAGAGCGTCAGAGCACCACCGAGCTTACTGCCGAGTATGCAAATGGAGACCCCATCTACAGGACCAAGACTGCTGCTCTCCCTCGCAAGTATGCCTTCTATCGCAGGTGTCGCGGTGACGGCCACTGCGGTTGGCGAGGTATGTGAAGCTCCAGAAACTATAGCTGGAGCTCCGGTCCCCACCTTGCCCCGAGCACCTTACTAACCTCCATCACCAGCCATTGCCTTCTCCTACTTCGAGACGCTCATCCGTGTCGCCGATGTGGGCAAGTTGGACGTCGAGCAGGTGCGCCTCAAGTCGATGCAGAACCTGCTCAATGCTGCTGGTCACTCGGACGACATCGTCGGCGACTTTGCCGAAGAGACGTTTGGTTTGATGCAGGAGCTCGCCATACTCATGACGACTCCGAATAGCGATCCGTGCGAGCACCTTCTGCGCAATTTCAACGACTACAGCCGAAGCATGGCCATCGTCACCCATTTCAAGGTATGGTCGTTGGTTACTTCCCTAGTCGGGTAAGCGGACGGACTGACCATTCCCGCCTAGCTCCTAGCAAGCGCCTGGATCCAGGCACATCCCGACGACTACCTGCCCTTCGTGCTCGACTATCCCGATCTCAAGTCGTATTGCGAGGAGAATTTTGAACGTGCAGTCTGCGAGATCGACCATGTGGGTGTGGCGGCTCTAAGTGAAGCCGTCGTCAAGCCTGCGGGCTTCGCCCTGGAGGTCTTGTATTTGGATCGTTCGCCTGGCGATGAAATCAACCACACCTACCGAGCAGAACCCCTCGCCCAGGAGGGTTTCCCCATTACAAACCCTCCTACCTTGAGGCTCCTCTATCGACCGTGAGCCGGCCCTCCTTTTCCCTCACAAAAATCCCATGTGCTAACGAGACCCAGTGGCCATTATGATGTTCTGTACCGAGCTGAAGACTTCCCGGTAGTCATTCCCCCTCAGGCCCCAATACAGGTGGCGCTCGTGGGACAGACTGGCCGTTATGATCCTGGGGCAATAGCCGCACCAATCCACGACTACAGTGATCTGCTGTTGTCCATACCCGGAGCGAAGATGTGGGAAGCACAGCCGACATACGACTTCAATCTGAATCCCTCTCCGCCGCCGCAGGTTGTCCCCGTTTCTTCCTATGCACCTGTCCCGACACCCGCACCACCACCAGCCGAACCAATTCATGACTTCGTCCCCCCTCCTCATGCCCCCCAGGTGAACAGTCATCCCGCTCCCCGCCATCATAGCATCCAGCTCGAGCAGCCCGTTGCTCTTCCCGTCCACCCACCACCGCCGATGAGCCTGGAAAGGGGTTTGCCTATGACGATTGAGAGAACCGAACCGTTTCGTCCCTCGGCGTATACGCTCGAGCCAGGTTTCGGCGCAAATCAGATGCATGCCTTGCCCTTCCAGACTTCGATTTTCCGCAAGTACGTGTCGCTCGTCTACCCGCTAAGGCCTGATGCTGACCCATACACAGCTCGCATTACAACACCGCCCATTTCCTGAATCCGGATTTCCAGCCGGAGGAGTGGTCACCCGGTGCAGAGTATGCGACAAGCAATCGCGGTAGACACAAGTCCGCCTCTCAGTGACATGTGGCTTCTGATACTGGTCCATTTCGTTGATCCAGTCCGGTTTGTTTGGTGGCTTTCTTGCACAGCATTAACCAGCATGGCGTTGATTTCCTGCGCGGTTCACCCAGCTTAACGACGTTTACGATGATACCATAATTATCCCTTCCCCCGGTCATTTACCGTGCTATCTGGCTTCCATATCTCAGAGTTGCAAAGGATTTGTGTGGGCTTTGTCGGTCCTGGCGATCTTCCTTCCCTGTTTCCTCCATCATGGCGGTTTCTTCTCCCCTGTTTCCTCCATTACGGCGGCTTCCCCTCTTTCCTGAAACATGACGACCGTTACGATCATAAAGACCATCTACCTCAGGGTGCCAACATTAGTTGCTTAGAGTTGAACAGTCTTATTTGGTTGGTCCCTTTGTGATTCTCTTGTTCTCGGTTTCTGCTTTTGAGAAGCTAGCTACTACTCGTAATTCGTGCGTCTTTTCCTTTTCGGCTGAGCAACGTATCTGGTATCACTGCGGTCCCGAGGTACTATCCTGCACACCACTGGGTCGCTTGCAACCGCTCGATCGGATTTCTGAGGGATCCACAACGGAAACCGGACCTGGGTCTTGCTTGCATTTGGCCTCTCGGTGTCTCCGTTTCTCTGGCTTATGGGGAAGAGAAAAGAGCCTGGGACCCGGCGGGGGCGTGACGCAAAGAGAGTTCATGACAAAGATTCACAAGCGTGGGAGGAAGTCACTTGAGGAGCGTCTCTAAAGATTTCTGAAGTTCTGGTAATGGCGTTCAACCTTTCGAACGCCAGTAGTGGCAGAAACAGTAGCGACCAGGCAAAGAGAAACATGTTCTCAGCTTTGCTTTTAGCTTATGTGCGGGGAAACAACAGCATTAGGTAGAAAATGGGAATGGAATTGACAGTTGAACCTGTGAGTGATTGCTGCGTCTGTTGTGGAATGTGTGTGGGATTGATGTTGAGAGTAACATTGCTGATTCATGGAGAATAGCAGAGATTGAATTGATACCTGTTGTTCGCCTAACAACGTATATGGATGCCGATGCAGATGGAAATATGGATGAAGATGGGAGTGAGTTTACTCTACCGACGCTTGAGTTGAACTGCATTGAGAGGCGAGACTGGTAGATATATTCCAGCTCACAAAGTCCAACAAGGACACCCCAAAGCCGTCGACTCGTTCTACAATAATCTCCCTCTCCCCTTGCTCCGCCTTCTCTTCCAAACCGGCGCCGAAGGCCTCGGTTCCGTCTCGAGTCCATTCCGAAGCATGTCCAGAGTCAAACCCAGGACCGTGACCGATGGCTAAATGGCCCAACCAGCCCAGTAGTAGTACCTAGGTACCAAGTGGTTCACAATTGTCCTAGCGTCATGGCCTAATCCAGCGGCTAGCCCTGTCGCTATTGCTCGTGGCAACGCTGGCTTCCACTGTCTGCCGGACGACCAGGACGTCAGAAGGAATGGTCACTAATCTAGACCTAGTCCATGACTGCATTGGTCCTGTCTCGCAGTCTCTGTGAGACTCCAAGAGCCGTTGCGGCGACGGCGTATCGGAGCTTCCAAAACCCCAGTATTGGAGTTGTGAGATGGGGATTGGATCGGAACGGAGCTCGGGCAAGGTTAATAATGCATCCTCTTCCGTGGTTTCTTTGTGTGGGTCTGTGTCTTTTTCCTTCAGTCGGAGGACGTACCATCCTCCTCTTCACTCCCTCCAACCCCATCATCCGATCCCGACGACCCTAAAGATTCCTCCTCCTCTTCCTCCTCTTCGTCCTCACTCATCTCAACATCCCCATCTCCGTCTCCATTCATAGCCCCTTCTTCCTTGCCACCCTCTTTCTTCTCCTGTTGCATCCGCTTCTTCTGCACCCTCTTCCTCTCCCTCGCAAGCAGATACTCCTTCTCCTCGCGCAATTCCGACAGCTGCGTAAACGTAACCTTCTGTATGCGCTGCAAAGCCGCAAATTGCTCCTTCAACTCCTGCAACTCATCCTTCCCGCCCTGATCCCCTTGTACTGCGCCAGTATCTTCAGCAGCACCAGCGAAAGATAAAAAGTCCGCCACCGCAGGCACTACATTACTAGCACCACCAGATTGCTGCTGTCCCCACGTCTCCAACTCCGCTAAACTCTCCTCCAACATCTCAAGCGGGAAACTGGTATGCGTCAACGCCTCCTCGAATTTGGATTTCCTGCCCTCTGGCCTCCCCATCTCCGTGGCCGAGCACGACGGCAGCTCCAATCGTCCCGTGAACTGTACATTGTTGAAGCCGTAATTCGGCGGCACAAGCGCATTCCCATCCGCCGGCATGACGAGGTCCTGCCGCGGTTTCGTCACCGTGTGGACCTTGAACGTGGGCTCTGCCGCGTTTAAAGGGAAACCCGTCGGGGGAAGGAAAAGGAGATTCGTCACGGGTCCCGGGAGGCTGGCGAGGGTGGACAGATAGGTGCCCTTCGCGACGTCCCAGGCGGCAATCTTGCCGCTTTCGTGGCCCGATATTAGTGTGGTGCCGTCCCAGGTTAGACTCAGACTGCGCGCTGCGCCGAGTTTCTGCGACTCGGCGTTGAAGCGCGTCGATGGGGGTGGTTGGAGGGGGCGGTGCGATTGCGAGCCTTCGCGGAGGACGTCGACGGGTGTGGATTGCTGCATCTCGTCGTAGAAGGATAGCGTCTGGAGACTGCCGTCGGCGTAGGCGACGAAGAAGGCTCGGTCGGCGGGGTCGAGGGTTACGGCGGTGGGGGTGTCGGGTAGGAGATAGGTGCGGAGGGCTTGGCCGTTGTGGTAGTCCCAGACCAGGGCGGACATGTCTTCGGAGATGGAGACGGCGATGTTGGCGGCTGTTGAGCTGTGGCCGCTGGCTATGTGGGTGATGGGGCCGCGGTGGGTAGAGAGGGTCTGTATCGGGGAGCGGGAGGCGTCGAGGGAGAAGGAAAGGATCGAGGGGAGGTTCCAGACGTGGATCATGGCGTCGGGCGAGCCGGAGAGGAAGAAGTTGGATGATGGCTCGACGGCGAGGACAGTGACGGGTTGGAGGTGGGATGTCGCGGTTGATACTACACGGCCGGTGCAGACCTGCGCTCCACTGTCAGAATATATCTTCTCTCGATGTTGTAGAAAGTTGAACATACCTCCCAAGCCATTATCCGTCCACTCTCCGCACCCAACAGCAACACAGCATCGCCGCACGCCAGCGCAATGCTATGTATCCGCTCCGGAAACGGCACGATGGCTTCCTGATTCCCCTTCTCCCTGCTATACACATGCACCACCGCCTTGCCCTCCTGCGCCGCGAAGATATGCGAAGCGCTCACCGCAAGCCCATTCGGCGCCGATGCGCTCTTCTTGAAAACATGTCTCTGCGCCGCCAATGGCTGGTACTCGTGCAGGAAAATCCCGGCGTCCTTCGTTACGCCCGTATTCGGCTTCGTGGGCGCCGCTATCGAAGCGACGAAGTGCTCCGTTAGCATGGCGGGCCGGAATTTCCTTGGAGGAGTGATGAGAGCTCAGAAAAAGCTCCAGAAGTTTATCATACAGTAGATCGGAAATTTTGGTGGTTGAGCCTCAGCAGCAGGGGTCCTGCGGCCCGCCAGTTCGGACTGACTCGTCCCGAGCCGAGCCTTTCCCGAGCCGAACCTCACCTGCATTCTGATAAAGATCAGATCCATATCCAAATCCGATCTCTCCCCAGTCTGACGTCTTGCAGCCTTGTGAGAAGCCACATTGGATGCCCCGTCTGAGAACAACTCCCCAGCACACGAGCCTCACAAAACTCTATACGCGTACCCGCCTCCGCATCATGGGTTCCATACCCCCTCCTCCCTCGAAACCCGTAAAGGTGCTCATGCTCCATGGATACACGCAATCAGGTCCGCTCTTCCGTGCAAAGACCCGGGCGCTGGAGAAGAACCTGCAGAAGGCATTTCCGGCGGGGATCACATTACACTATCCGACCGCTCCCATACGGTTAGCGCCTGCAGATGTGCCCTTCGCTGTATCCAACAACACAGAGGGCGGCGACAAGGAGGAAACAGAGGCTTGGGCATGGTGGAGGAGAAAAGGCGACGGCACACCTTATGTATACGAAGGACTAGAAAAGGGACTGGCACATATCGCGGAGGTGCTCAAGACCGAAGGGCCATTCGACGGTGTAATCGGCTTTTCGCAAGGCGGATGTGCCGCAGGCATGCTTGCCTCATTGCTGGATCCAGGGCGACGCGAAGCCTTTCAAGCGGCGCAGCAGAACGGCGGGATCCCCTATCCGGAGGCTTTTGAGAAGGATACAGAGGAGGGAAAGGCGCAGATACACCCGCCTCTCAAGTTCGCCGTCAGTTATTCGGGATTCGCACCTGTGGACACGCCGTTTTACCAGGCCTTTTACGAACCCAAGATCAAGACGCCCGTGCTACATTTCTTGGGCACGCTAGACACTGTAGTCGAAGAGGCCAGGAGTCTGGCACTCGTAAAAGCTTGCGAAAACTCTGAGGGAAGGGTTGTGTATCATCCCGGAGGACACTTTCTCCCCAGTAGCCAAAAGGCGCCTGTGAGCGCGTTGATAGCGTTCATGAAGGAGGTGCTACATAATGTCGAACCCCGCAATGAAAAAGAGGATAGCGTTGAAGGCATGGATGTCCCTTTTTGAATACCCTTGTAGACGCTGCATTCGTTGGTTAGACGGCATTGCATATGAGCCAGATAGACATAGACAAGCACATGCTCATATCTATATTACATACGCTTTCAAAAGCTAGAGGGGTATGCCTCTATCTCTATCTTTAGCTTTCCGGGTGCCGACCTTTTCCTATTTCCCTAGGCGCACCTCATTTTGCCTTCGCCTTCGCCTTCGCTACCGTCGGCTGTATCCGCGCCATCATCTCTTCCTTGGTGATGAGGTGGTCAATCCGCTCCAAGTGGCCAAGCAAGCTCTTCATGTTGGCGCTCCACTCATTCAAGACATCATCCGCATCCCTAGGCTTGGCAAAGCTGACAATCCGTGCTGGTCGGTCGATCTTGGCGTAGATGGTCTTTGCAGTGACCAGGTCACTAATATACTTCTCCGTCTCGTCCTCCGGAAGATCCAAATGCTCAGTGAGGCGGGGGATCTGGATGCGGGTGTAGTATTTGGCGACGACCCGGATGTTATGCTCAATCACACGCTTGCGAAGATCTTGCCACCTCTGGAATGCCTTCGGGTCGTCCGAGTCGTCTTTTTCGGCGTCGAAAACATCCGTTTCGGTTAAATGAGGGCCGAATTTCTGTGCGATCACCGGCCATCTCATGAGCTCAGGCACCGTGAAAAGCTTCAGGAGTTTTGCCTCTTCCGGGACTTGCAGATTGCGCGAGTCTCTGTAGATGCGGTGGATCAGATCAGACTGCTCATTATCGTACGGGGCGAGGATGATGAAGTAGATGACCCGTTGAAGTATCTGTAACTTGATTAGCCGCATGTTTGACAGGAATGCTAGGAAGACGAACCACCCGCAACTTCTTCGGATCTTCTTCAACGGCTTCAGTATCCAGAACTTGCCGGTAATGCTTGCAGACGTCGAGATATTTGTCCTCATGCTTGGCTAGCGTGATCTGCTGCTCGTAGTACTTGAGCTTCAGGTCTGTCACATCATCTTCTGGCTCTGGCGGCGGTTCATCCACGCTCCTTGTCTTCTCCTTCTCCTCGCGCTCCTTCCGCTCCTTCTCCAGCTGCTCCGGCGTCTTCTTGGGCTGCCGGGCAAAGTACCGTGTGCTGATCTTCCTGCTCAAAATACCCGCCTGTGTCCAATCACCCTTCTCTATGCAAAGCGCCACCTGCTGCAGTATGAACTCGGTCTTCTCGCGGCGGGTCATGGATCCGAACGTCTCCACCTGGAGCTCGCAAAGAATGTCTGTCGCCGCATTGATGTCGCCTTGCTCCTTCTTGATATCCGAGAGAATCCGGGTGACGCGAGCCCGCTCAACTTCGACAAATATCTACAATGAATCAGTCAAGTGCATTACAAACAGTTGTAGCTTCCTACCTTGCCCTCAGTGACCGTGCGCAAGGTCTCAATGACGGACAGCTTAGTTTCCAAATCCGGAGTGTCATTCAGGAATCCCATAACCACTTGCACCATCTTGGTGATAGCCTGTTTGAGCTGTCCATGTTTCTTGGAGAGCAGAAGCACCTGCTCGTTCAACAAGCTCCAGTCACCGGCGTTTTTCGCTATTGTACATATGGCCACGAGGATACGCGAGGTCGACGCAAGATCGGAAGCCTGTCTGACATGAGTTTATAGCGTAAGGGAGATTCGGTGGCTAACTCACCTGGCGGGTCTGCTTTTCGAGCGGCAAGAGCTTCTCAATAGCAGCTTGCGGGTTGCTCTGCAACAACGTTAGCTCAGGCAGAACCTAAGGTGCGTGCGAACATACTGAACCAAGCTCCTCGGCCTCTGGAAGGAGCTTGTCTACCTCCTTCGAGAAGTCCTTCTCCGCCTTCAGCTGCCCGCTTGACATGGTGGTGCGGGGTTCGTGTCGCGCCTAACTTTAAGGCTAGTAGCTTTGCTATTGAATTTCTGAGTCCGAAGAGGTTCGAGCGCGGAATGAGAGCGGAGAATTCGTGTGAGTGTATGTTGACCAATGCACCTCTGCGGTCATCGTAACGGAGGTACCTGCCTACCGCACGTCTTGGCGGCTCGGTGTCGGCGGAAGTTTTCCCCGCGAATAGTATTGTCAACCCACTAGAGACGATTGCATAGGCAACACATCCCATCATCCTACTTTCTTGTACGCAGAGAATGCTGGAAACACAAGTGTCTGTTCTAGATTTTGGCATCCTCGGGATATCAGGAGAGAGTACCCAGAACCATACACATGATATGCCTGGAGACCAGCCACTGCCCTAGCTTCATGGAGTCACCTACTCAGCGGATAAGCCGCGCTGCTTCCATTGAGCCAGAACGTTTATAGATTATATCGATATTGGCGATATACTTCTAACGGGAGGTTAAAGGTCTATACGAGCGACAACATAGGCGATATCTCAGTCAATGACGCGATTGGGTTTCTCCGCCCATCTCCATGATGGACTCGAAATGTTGGCATTGTTCAAACAGTTAGAAGCTGCTATGCAGCAATCCATCCTCTGCGGACGGTCACTCAAATGGCAAAACCACCTAATCGAAGTTGTAGTGTTGCGGAAGCTGAAGTCGTCCGGGGACTATCATTCTGCGGACCATGAAGCAGTAATCGGATGTCAATTTCAGGAGGTACAGACCAGCACATTCAATGACCCAGCCCATCCGTCAATCTCAAAGATTTGTATTTCCAGACACAGTCATGCTAGCTTCAGACAGCAGCCACAAGGATCCCATAACGCTGTCATTGACTCCAGGAACTTCGATCGCTCGTAGTTTAAAGCTCAAGCACTAGGATACCTGGATGCTGTCTACCCAGTGCGCGGATTCCCTGATTGTGAAATTTCTAGCGATAGGTTTGGGTAAATCTTGTCAGTGAATTTCCTACTTGGCTTGCTACACAATGTTTCTATCTCAACAATCGACACTGCGGCTGTTGCAAGCACAGTCATAATTTAAGATTCTGCGGAGATAGCTAATTGTCTTAGAGTATGCTAGAGCTAGCCTGATTTCGCAGCTGGTCGTTATACCGGTGGCCGCTGACGGTTCTGTTACTGCGTCAAATGGTAAGATCAAGAAATGGAGTCTACCACTCGCATCTTGTGGAGAGATACACCATGATGTTCTCTTTAGAGAGCATGAGTGGTCTGATCTATCTGGAAAAGTCAGATGCCCAGATTGGCTAAACCAAAAGGAACTCTCCATAGAGACCACAAATGTTGTGATCTCAATTCGCAAGATGAATTTCAATAGTCAAATGCATATACAGCGGCGTCGACATTGTATCAGTTTGGAGACAAGGTGGAAGGAAAAGAAGACTGTAAATGATGCCACAGTTCTAGGGCTGAGAACAGAGCACTGTGCGAATTCGCTTTCGCCATCACCGCCGTATGTTTAGGCATACTTTCGCCTTTTCACTTCCTATCTGCATGGTGTCGGTCACCCTGAGCTCACTTTCACTCTAGCACCCTTACACATACATTGTGAAGCCGCAGTCGCTGGGGCGCTGTTCCTACACAACTCGCGCTGACGCGCAACACAAAAGCCTCCTCAACCTTTCCTCCTCCAAACGAAACCCCAGCCATTCGTGCCCCCAACCCCAACCATATACCAAGTCCAATTTCCGCACGAGACACAGCTCGCGCCCACGGCGCCCATAGAAGCCCACTTCAGTCTTCCCTCCCCCTTACTCAACCGGGACCGAATACACACACAACCGCAACCACTACCTCAAGACCAGATTTTATCCAGACTCCTTCTATCTCAGACTCAGGTCAATCCCATCAAAATGCTTCGAGCAACCATCAAGTCGGCTGGGACCCGCGTCACGGCTGTCACGACGCGTCCCAAGTCGAGTGCTCCTGTTCTGAAGACTCCAATCTGCACATCTGTCATCGATCCTCCTCTTCTAATCCCAGGCTACGACTTCCTTGGCAACCGTCTCGAGGACGACGACGAGGTTACGAAGGTCGCCAGTGACAAGAAGGTTGAGCAGTCCGAGGCCGGCAAAGTCAAAGTCCACCACCCGGCTTGGTTCTCCATCTTGCCGAAGGGTCTGTTGCCGCAGGAGGGTACGACCTACTACGAGATGTACATGACCACCAACAAGTCCGTTAATGTCGTCGCGAAGAAGACCCACGTCAAGCTGGGATTCCTGCAGCGTGTCCTCTATGGCGTTCCTGAGGATGTATTGGCTCAGGCTGCGGCCGAGTCGGTAAAGGACTCCATCACTAAGTCAAACGGCAAGGCAACTCTCTGGCACAAGATCCTCCATGGAGTCCAAGATGAGGCAGTCGTCAAGAAGACGGAACTCTGGTCGCAATGGACGGCAAAACGGATGGGGAGAAGTCAGACAAGTGCTAAGGAGTCACCGCCAAGGAGATGCAAACTGTGGTTCACCGTGCCGTTGAGATGAGATAGCGCGAATCATGGAGACCAACTGATAGGGTTGGCGATGTACGATATGCTGAGCAGGGCCAAGACACATGGATCTTAGACCGAAAAACTGCCTCCAAAGACTGATGAGAATTTTTGGGAAGGCGACCCCTTGAATTTCTTCTAGTGCTATGCTGCACTGTATGTACATACAGAAATATACCTCACTTACACCTCCAGAAGCTTTTCAGTGTCTCAAATTGTGAAATATTCAACTGATGTTGACAGTACTTATACCCTCGCCAGACCAGACTCTACCGGGAGGGCATTGCAGAGAAACAGTCTACTAGGTTTGATTAAAAATGCTACGGTGCTGCACCTTGATACTTCCACGATGCATCCCTCCAAGTTGTCCCAGAGCTTGTGTGCCCCAATTCATTTGTGAGTTTACGCTAACCCAATTCGGAGAATGGTCTACAAACCAAACCGCTAACCGGATTTAGCCACCGCTGAAGCCACGGCCATCAACTTACAGATCCGACTTGCATATTTCATGCGGCCTAGCAGGATCTGGACTCGTATTTTCTTCGAGTTCCATTCCGTACAAAGATGGATGATGGTTCCACTTGTGTGAAAATACCCTCGATGGATAGAGGTTGAATGATGTGCGATTTCGTCTACGTTAACAAAACAAGCACGAATCATATGTACAATTCACATACTTATCGACATTGAACTCGCGCCAGTATCAAAACCCTGCCACAAGCTCCTAAATTCTCTATTTCCGCACACACTAAACTCGGCCGTTCGCATGCATGTCTTCCCATCCCATGCACTTCAATCCAGGAAGGACCCACACTCATGGATACCTCCTCCAACGAACACTTCCCCAATCTAGCAGGTTGAATCCGAATCAAGCAACTTGAGCATAAAGTGTCGATTGCAGTGGCTCGCATTTGCTGTTTTGGGAAGACGACGACGGATGGAGAGGATGGGGGAATGCGGCGGGGTGAGGCGGACATAGATTGGGCGTGAGGGCCGGTGTTAGGCGGGGGCAGGTCTAGGTAAGACGCACAAAACATGATGAGGATGCGACGTGCCGCACACTGTTTATAATTAGTAGACACAGCTTAGCCTTCATGATAAATCATCTCATGTTTACTATGCAATTGTGCTTTCCAATCGCTAAATTTTGCATGTCTCATTTACTCCTCCGCTGTCCAAGATGGCCGCTTGAGATGATTGCCCAAGATGACTATTACGATAACTGTTTAAGATTGTTACTAATTCATAGAACACCTACAGTTTGTCATTGATACACTTATCTACATTCACTCGCGGATTGCGAGCCCCACTCCCTCCTTGACCTTGACTTCGACGTCTAGGTACACATTCCTCCCATTTATGACCTTGACTCTTGACATAAGCACTACCTGCGCCGTCGCTAACGACTCAAGGAACTGCTAATTCATATCAGCCTTCATATCGGCCCTGAACATTACCGATTCAAGCATGTTGAACACTTCAGTAGTATATGTTCGTCATTTTCGGTATGGACTTCAGTATAGACCCTATGGTTGATAACAAAGAGACAGCCCATTGCCTCGTGAAGTAAGGTCGATCTGAGCCCTCCGTGTGCCGAGTCGTTATGGCCATCCAATCCGGGATAGAGGACGTGCATCAAGGTCGAGGAGCGGATCTGGAAACGGCGAAATCGACAGCGACGGTGATCAGTTTGCGAAATGTTTATGTTGATTCGGCTATCCTCCTGAGAATGTTTTAATGCTAGGCGACCTGGCAGCGAACCCCACTACAAGCCAATATGTTATGATATGAAAACAACCGCACCCGCTCACAGCGGGAGGGCATGGAGTTTGAGGAGATTAAGGTCACCGTAGGCGTCATGAGGCCTCGGACTGAAGTAGAGTATCCATTCGCCGATATTAAGCATCGTGAGGGGTTTGTTGCAATGAAAGAGTTAACGTAATCATGCAATGTCGTTAACAATCCCAACTATATCAACGTTACCGATGGTTGCAAGGCCCCAACGCCACGCTGCGTAACGAAAACACGTATAAAGACCTCATCGTCCATCCCTCGCACACCAAATCCTTACACTTTCACCCCTCTCATCGAATACATCCGGCCGCCCCCAACTCTTCCGCGTCCCATGTCCCACACTCGTACTTCTCCTCTCAATACTTCCCCTTGCCTCAGTGAAACTCATCAAACTATCCCTTCTCCTTCTCACATCTTCCACCACTTCTACGATATCGCCCTCAGCATCCAACTCAGAGACCTCGTGATCCATCCACACATGTCGAACTAGCGCCTTGACATCTCCGCATATAGTGTCCACATTGCCGCGTTTCGAGCAAAGCACGCAGCAATAGCCGCCATCGACGCTGTTGCGGTGGCATTTTACCACGAACCTGTTTTGCATGCGGTAGAGGCGCTCCAACCCATCATCGCTCTTGAAGATTTCCCAGGATTTTCCGGGTTCGAGATTCAGTATGCGTCGGCAGTGTGGACAATATGGCTCGATGGCATCGGTTATGCTTGAAGCCAAGGGCCGAGTTGCGTCCTTCTGCAGATCAACAGCGTAACGGCAGTAGGAAGCCTGCGGGACGGATTTTGCGCCTGAGGATGAGATGCTGGAGAAGGTGGTAGATTCCGTGTCGGTTCTCTTTGTCTTTGGTCTTTCAACTACCGTTACAGTAGCAGTTTTAGCGGTATTCTTGGACTCAAGTCGTGATCTGTTAAGCTCTGTCGAAGATGCGGCGGTTGAGAATGGGGGTGGAATTGACAGGTAAGGAGGCGCATGCTGTGCTGAAGCCCTAGCCGCCGGAGGGGATCGGTCGATTGGTCGAAGAGCAAGCTGTCGTTGACGCTGGTCGGCCAAAATGTCGACAGAAGCGATACCTGCTGCTCTAGAAGCGTCCGAAATATTACGGAGTTGGCGTGATATCGGGTCTGGGGAAGTAGGGCCGTATAGAAACGTTGTGATTATGACTGATTGCAAGGTGATTATCTGCGACTGCAGCGCTGTCTGTGAGACGACTGTCGGAGAGAGCAGCAAGTCAGTCATTCGAACGCCAGGCAATGAGCTCAATCTCTCATACCATCGCCAATGGCAAATAGGTCGCCAACATCGCTAAGTCCGATCTCAAACTGCTTCCTAACGGCGGCCTTGTCGAGCACGATGCCCTCGTCGCTGGCAGTCTCATCGACATATTCGATCTTCCGCGAATCAGGATATCCTCTCGACCTAAGGCTGTTCTCCAAATCTCTTTTTTCCTTATTTTTCAGAGTGTTGTACAAATCTCTTGTCGCATCAAACACGTCCAACAGCGTATGCACAAGCGCTTGTACGACATGCGCGGGATCGGCGGGACTCTGTAGACACAGTCAGCGCCCAGCAAGCCACCGAGGCTGTGTGCACATAAAACTTACAGAAACGCCCATACTGAAGCTTGCGATAGTTCAGATAGCACGGTCGATAGCTCGGGCAGGCGTGTCTATAACTCAGTCGTGCGTGAACAAACACCGCCCTCTGTCCCCCACCATCCCCACGAATTGCTGACTAGGCACCAGCCCCTTCCCGCTAAGTCCAATATAGCTGCTTAAATGCTTTTGTATGCGGCATCATGCGCATGTACAGCTGGCATCGCGTTATTGGAGCCCATATCGCCGTGCGCTGCGCTGATTGGAACGCTCCCTTACCACGCACCCACTACCTTCGAACTTTCTCTGACAGAATGGAGATGATGTCACCTGGCTTTTCAAGGAGACTTTTTGGGCTCTAGAAACCTGTATTTGGAGTAGAGATAAGTCGCGTTAGGAAAATCCAGACGCTTGCTGCCTTAAGGGAACGATCGTCGGGTGACCGAGGGGTTCGTGGAACGACCTGCGACCGCACCTGGTGATAATTCTGGGAGGATGGCACGCGGGACAAAAGACCCCCATGCAGAAGTATGGTCTGTTCGAACCTTGCGTTAAGGGAGACTCACAGTGGATATGGTGAACTTGTGACAAAGATTAACGGACCTGAGCTCTCAGTAACCCAGCATCGTATGGCCAATGGAACCTTGGGAGGCTGGGATGGGATTAGCCCTCAGCACTAGTCCCGATATACCTAGATAGAACGTTCCATGAATCTCCCAAACCTTTTTGCGTTGCATCTGCACCATGATTTAGACTTCCAACGTACATTTTGACCATCAGTGCACTATACAGCGCAGTAGACCGCCTCGTATAGATCGTGTACCGACGGTAAGAGGCTTCAGTAAGGTAGTAAGTTCACAGTTACATGCCTTTCATTTATGTCCCCGTGCCCTGGTCTTTCTGCACACGTCTTGGTGCCCTTCGTCTCAGGTTCTCCCGGACGGGTATAATCATTAGCTATCTACCGTCTATCGATGATCCTCTTTCTCTTCCACACTTCAGTCCAGCCTCCGCCACCTATCTTCATGCCTCCTCTGCCTGAACGAGCCTTTCTACCTCTTCTTCTCGTTTTCCCTTGTCATGGTCTCCTCGCCGAGCCTGTTTTCGCCCAGGAGAACGTTGTGGTCTTCCAAAGAAGAGACGACTGGAACAGAGGAAAGTCCAAAGACGAGTGCAACAGAGCAAAATCCATAACCAGGCTGTACGCGTTCTTTCATCCCGTCTTTGCGTGGGCTTTGTCGCAACGTCATCTTCGTACCTAGCCTCCGCTGCCATATAGGCGCCCGCTTGCCTCGCTCGATGCTCTGCGAGGTCGTTTTCGATTGCTCGCTCGGCAGCGCTCAATTTGAGCCTTTCTGAACGGTGCCCACGTCTCCTTGAGGGTGATGCCGGGGACCTAGGGCGGCCCGGGGAACCAGCCTTATGAGCTTGGTCCACTGGTGGAGGTGAGAGTTGCTGTGACGGTGCCGCCATGCTCGTATTGCGCCCATCTGACCTCTTTGCAGGTTGGATTGTGGGCAATTTTCCGAAAGGATCGTCGTCAGGAGCGGTTGAACGGGATATTTCCTCGTCAATATGTGGAAGCAGCTTTGCACTTTTGGCCTCGAGAAAATATATGAGACCATTCGTCTCAACCCTCGGAACCTTGACATGTCGCGTCTGCGGAGGCGTGTCCGGAGACTCGGAGAGCGACTCGTCTTGCTTCCTCTTTCCTTTCGACAATCTATCTCTGGAGCCAGTCGCTTTCCGCATCTTGGTTAACAATGAATCCTTCCTCGGAGCTCCAGATGTTCCGGCTGCCTTCGACGCATGACCATTTTCTCTGTCCCGCTCGACAACTCGGGACCCTGATTCTCGAAGCAACGGTTCACGGTCATCTTCGGCGGAAGAATGCTGTTTCTGAGCGGCCCCTCTGTCTAGATCCCATATAACGTGCTTGGTTTTATCTGGCCAGTCGCCAGACGGCCGGATAGGTGTCATTCTGAAGGCTGCGATGCGGATGGATAGTAGGTATGATGTAAGGTGCAGTAAGAGAGTGTGTGATATTGATATCAAACCGTAACAATGTAAGAACGTAATATCCTGCTCATTGAGTCAACGAGGGAGAATCTGGGATGATGTAAAAAGCTGTGAAAGCGGTAGGAAGCGGAGATTTCAAACGATGGAAAGTATTATCAGGAAGAAGGAGTGCTTCCCGTTAACCGCAGCTTCCCATGTGAGAAATCCTTAAAGGAACTGCTTTGAGAGCTTCTCCGAATCCCCAGGCAAGGCTATAATGCCCCTGGAGCGCAACTTCTACAATAAGCCGAATGCAAACACATCTCAGCGAACAACAAATTCCTTGATGCCTCCATCGACCCGTCAAGCCTCACCGCCTTGCTAAAAATCATCCTGCGACCCTGCGACCCTGCGATCCTTCACAGCGCTGAACCTCACTTCAGTTCTCCCTTCTAATCACTTCCCCACTCTAGGCCACTCGGCTCATCCGTACCCACACTACGCAACCCAATATACCTGTTATTGTGGGAGGGCGTACGCATGCCACCAGGGATACGAGGATGAGCAACGAGCGACGGTCCTAGAAGGAATCTGCGATAGAGAAGAGCGGTGGAGAGGTGCAAGGCGCTAATTGGCGTGTGTTGCAGCTCAGGTAGCTGTTGAGAGGCGGACGGAATTTCCCAGTCAGTTTCGTGACAGCCGGTCGGATGACGGTGAAGCCGCTCGAGGGGTGAACATCTCGTCACTACGCCCGGCAGCGCCTGCCCTCGGTGTCCCGTTCAACGTTATGCAGCTCCGTAGGATGTGCACTACTATCGCCAGTGGACCTCAAAGTACGTTGCTCATCCCACTCTTCGCAATCTTCGGCATCTTTGCGGTATACCGCTCCCCTTCTTGCATTGCCGATAATGCAAACTGTTGCGGTCAATAGCGCAGTGGAGACCACACCGATGAATGTTGCAATTGCGGCAGGATAGAGTTCACGTGGGTGAAGCGAGGGGTCAAGAGCCTGGATTGGGGGGAGCGTGTATGTTGGCAGTGTCAGAATGGTGGACGAAGCGAGGGCGGATAGTACGAGGGATCCCATTGCCACGAGAGACTGACGAAATGGGCGGGTTGTGTACAAGAAGAAGAAGAAGAGCTCAGTGACTCGCAACATCATACCATCAAACAGCCCCGCCCATTGAAGTTGATACTTTCCCAAATGTGAATGGGCAACGTCACACCAGAATTGTTTGTTCGCAGGACCTTGGCAAGGACTGTCATGTCACGCCCATTTCTGGGACCATGATAATTCTATTTCCCAATGTTTCAGTCAACCATGCCTCCTCCTCACTTCGGCGCGACTGACACCCTGATCTAGCAGTTTATCAGGGCCCAGGGACTTCGACGTCGACTTTGACTGGGGGTGAGATGGTGAATGTGGATCTGACTTTCTATGCTTACTCCTGAAGTCCCTCATGGAGATAGGAGGTGGATTTAGCTCCGCTTCCTTCCGGTTTGCAGGCTGCATCTTCCGCATCTCAAGCTCCAAAGTCATGGTTAGTCGTTCCAATAACCACTGCGCCTCCGATTGGTTGCTCATGAGCGGACTACGTATACCGAGCCAGCTCCAGCGATTCTCGTGTTCGACTCCCTCGGCAGTTCCAAGATCTGGCTCATGTGGTAGAATGGTGTGTTTCAAGCCCGGACGGGTGTGGTGCGAAGCGTCGCTTTCATCTTGACCAAGCAGTAAGAGAAAATAAGCCCACTCATGGTAAGTGTACTCCTTTGGCGGGCTCATAGAGACATCCTTCATGAGTGCGCGGATCTCCTTGGCCAGAACAAAATGGTAGAAACGGATATCCCGCTCCAACGAATCCAATTCTGTCTCCGCTTCCTCGGCTTCTTCAATCTCTTCTTCCTCCATGTGTCGTGCCAGACGGTCCAGGATGATCTCCTCAGCACTGCCTTGGTTCTTTTCGTCCTCGTTGTCCGGGGACTTGTAGAGCTTACCCTCTCTCAGCCTTTGAAACCCGACTTTGAGTGCCTGGAAACCGCCCTCGTCTGGCAAGACCGTGATTGAGCCTAACCAGATGGTAAGGTCCTCGAACGCCTGGATAACAGTATCGCCCATGTTGCTGATTAGAATGGTCAGGGTAGGAACGGCCAGGAGGGTCCAAAAGACGAAAAACGGTTTCGCTGAATTACTCTGAGGCGTATAGTCTCCATATCCAATGGTCAAAAGTGTTGTATAGGTGAAGTATAGCGAAACGAAGTAGCTCCAGCCCTGGGGTTTCTCCGAGAACCAGAATACCATGGCGCCCAAGCACCATAAGAGACATGCCGCTAGAGACGACATCGCAAGCGCATAATATCTTCTCCTTTTGTCTGCTTTGCGTTGCACCCTCCTCATGATCTTGAACTCTTCTTCTCTCCGTTCGCGCTCCGATAGAGGTTGCTTGACCTTGATCTTCTCGAAGGCACCTAGTTTCACAGATCCCTCGTGATTATCAAGCGACCTTATGACGCTCTCGCGTCTCATCTCCAACAATCGAGCCGACATCTTCTGCTTCCCTCTTTCTAGCGCTAAGGAGCGCACTGAGCCGACTACGAGACCGAGCATGACGATGCCAGCGATCGCATAGGGGAAGAGTAGTCCTCTGCCACTATGGGTCAATGGAACAAATTCGCCACCCAGCCCGACCGTCAGCAGTGTGAATTCAGCCCAGAATAGGGCATCCAGGAATGGCCAACCTTCGATATGGGAATAAACCAAAGCTCCCAGGAGTAGATATACCATGAACATGATAGTTTGCAGCATTAGCGTCCTCTGGCTCGACGTCAGTTTGAACCCCTTGCGATAATGTCCCGTGTACGCGCCGATCGTCGTCATGACCATCATCGACGCGATAATGAAGTACAGAGCCGCTGCAATAATGCCATAATAATATGCCTGTGTGAGTGCGTGATCTGTCTTTGGTTGTAAAAGGAACATAGACGTGGAGCATGCAGCTACCAAGCCTATAAGGAGGAAGGAGGCTATGTACCACCCGCTGATTATTATGGCTTGCGCAATTCCGAACGAGAGTCGTCGAGCCATGCTAAGGGATAGGGCGATGTTGGCCACGAGAGCGAATGCGAGGGAAATGGCATTGATAGCGGTGAGCCTGAGCAAGTAAGAGTTAGCAACCATATCCGTAAAACTCGACAGCGCAGAGCGTAGAACGTGCCATTTCGGGTCCGCAAGGGGCTGTCCATGAGCCTCGTTGGTGTCTGGTGGTATATATACTCTCCACTTTATAGCCAGAGCACATATACTGAACGCGTTCGATATAGGGCCAAAAGTCCCTGCTATGAGGGGAAATGCAGTTGATGCTAACCACCAGCGACTCAGAAATGTCAGTTGGACTTGTGCAATAGATAGATATGCAGCGTTACCTACCCAGGGTCTAGATAGACTTCTTCCTCCTTCTTCGCCTGGTCTTCTGTCGGCTGGTTATCATTCCGCTCAACATCTTTCTCTGCTTGTCGCATAGGCTCGTCCAGCCCAGGATCAACGTGGCTCATCGCAAAGGAGGCTTTGGCGTATGTGAGTCAAGGGTTGATGCGGCTTGGTGAGGATCTCGCATGTCGATATATTTCCCGTCTGGTAGAGGGGCTCTAACACGCAGAAAATAAGAACGCGCATGCGCTAAGGTTTCTCGTGAGTACCGTGGTAGCCCCTTGATGTTTGGATCCATGGATCTGAGACATATTCGAATGACGTACAAGGGCTTCAAAGACCAGGCGAAGGAGACGACGCTAGTCCGTTAAGGGACTGTTAACCAGCCCTGCCTTGGAGTCGTGCATCTCCGATTCCCTCTACGATGGTAGAAGTTATGTTATATCACTCAGTTATATAATCTGTCAGAGACACCGAGTTTAATATCCTCTAGTCTCAAATCTTGCTGGAAATGTCCACTTTCGTGGGTGTGCCTTGGCGTTGCGATACCTTGGTTAGCCACGGAGTATATCGGACCACGATATATGATTATGATACAGGTGAAATGTCGGTACAATGTGATAGATTGCAAACCGATAAAAAGAACAAAAAGCCTTTCTCTCGTTGAATGATCCGTGAGGCAAGATGGTAATTTCCCACGTGACTGTTACCCCCCGCTCCCGAGAGCTGAGACGCTTCGCCAAGCACCATGGCCTCCCCTTACGTCACCGTAACTTTCCGAAGTCCGATAAGTCCGATAAGGCTCTCCCGCCCACCGCTCCCACGCAGTCTCAGCCGCCGATGCGATACACAGTACATAGATGGCAAGGTGCGGCTTCTGTGGGGACTCTCGACATGGAAGCAAGTTAATATGAGGTTGTGTTCTGCAATCTTTTGCTTGCTTTTGATTCCACAGAGAAGCCTTCCTCTTTGTTTCCGGCATATTTGAGAGGTGTGCTGCTGAACGTATAGCACGACAAATACGATTATCTGGAGAGGAACATTCCGGTGTGCTTACTAGGAACGAGGTTGGTTAGGATGCCTACTTGGGGTCGTGGAGGCGCGGGGAATATCGTCTCGGATGAGCAGGTCAAGCAGCAGAGTGAGAGGGTGACGCAGGTTAGTTGAATACTCTGACGTTGAAGATACCGCCGAAGCACCAACCCACATCTAACACGCGACCAGGACCTCGAAGCCAACCGCGCCCCTCTCTCCTCCACAACCGCCTCCACATCAACCGCAACCGCACCCAGGACCCCTCAACAAGAGTATGCCCACATGGGCAGGGGTGGCGCGGGGAACTGGTACCAACCGCACGAACTCTCCCACTCCGGGTCCTTCAATCAAACGTCCGACTCCACAGCCGCGCCCTCTGCCACTTCCAAGCCGCAGGTTTCGACGCCCTGGCATCCGGAAGGGGTGGAGCTACCTGTTGCAAGGGCGGGTAGGGGAGGAGCGGGGAATTTTGTGTGGAAGCAGGAGGAGGAGAAGCGGAAGGAGGAGGAGAGGGAGGAGGAGGAAACGAGGAGGATTGAAGGGGAGGTGGAAAGGGTGGTGGCGGAGGGGTTGAAGATGCCTGCGCGGGCGGTCCTGGGAGAGGGGAGGGGTTGGTAGGGGAGGATTGGGAGGGGATGTAGGAGTTACGAGATGGGGAGGTGGAGGGTTGACGCAGTATTGCTACCTGAGTGAAATGTAGTCTATAGTTGAGAAAGTTCAGCGAGGTTGGATTCCATGCTTGCGATGCGGCTACTGTCTATGGGAAATTGAAATGGATCAAACTCTTCGCCGTACACATGGCCTTGTACTTAATTGCACTCATAATAAGCTATTGTGTATCCTGTGTAATTCTCGGCCTCCAAGCATCTCGAGACATCGGGCTCCTGCAGTGACGTGACTGCAAGCTCCTCTGGGATTGGGCCCCTTGGCGGCTCGTGCCTTCCCAGGTTCCACGCCAAGGTTGTTTACTTCCATAACACTAGTCTCCGTCATCATCCGCACACCATCGCCAAAATCAACGCAGCTTCCTCTCGCCAAGTCGAACCATTCGTTAAGTATTGTTTGTACTTCAGCGTAGTGACAATGGCGAGGCGATCCGCCCGGCTTCAGAAGGTATGCATCACAGATGGCGCCGCCTGTGTTGTTGTTTACATGGCTAACTCGCGTCCTCCTCTTAGCGGTCGCCCACTCCGGCCCTTGAGGGTAACTCCAACCTCGAGACCGCTCCAACTGGCCAAACGCCGCAGAAAAAAAATCTGGCTTCAGTCTCCGAGCATGTAGAATTTGATTCCGCGATGAAGGCGCCGCCTAGGCCCGCCGTCCAGGACAAACGCGACGAGAAGCCCAAACCAGCGTCAAAGCTGCCACAGCCGTCCAATACCGCGACCCCACACAAGAACACGGCATCAACCTCTCTTCTGTCTGCTCTCTCGACCACTACGCCCAAGGATCGGATTGCAAACAAGCCGGCCTCGGAGTTGATGCATCCCGAACACTACCATCCAAACACTGTGAAGGTCCTGGACAAGACGGGTCGGCTCGGTGTGCAGGTGCTTGGGTCGCAGACAGCACCGCCCAAGGCGACCGAAAGTGTTGTTCTAGGAGATGCGACACCGTCTAAGACCCAGCTGCCGACCCCGACTCCCAGGAGGACGACAGTGGCTTCTTCGCCGGCGTTCAAGTTTAGCTTCAAAGCACCCATTTCCGCCCTGAGCCCCACCGCCAGTCGTATACTACAAGAAGGCGAGGAGAAGGATGCTTTGTCTACTGGTCCTGGTCTGTTCGACGACAAGATCTCCGCTGCTGTTGATATATCGCCGCGCAAGATGGCGAAGCCGAAGGGGAAGAAGTCCCGATTCAGTGATGCACACATGGCCGAGTTCAAGAAGATGGACTCTATCGCTAATCACCCATCTGCTTTCCGGGCTGACCCGAATCGCTTCAAACCAGCCAGCGCGTTCCTTAAGCGGACTCAATCCAAGACTGAGCTTGATAAGGAGATGCCGACTGTGAAGGGCGGAAACAAGTTGAAGCGTACGCAGTCCAAGATGGATATGACCGAGTCGAAGATGGATCCGCCTGCTCCGAAGCTGATCGCAACCCCACTGAAGCACGCGCAGAAAGAGCCAGAGCCCTCAAAGAGCAATCCCCCACGTTCACAATCGACAGTGCGGCTGGTTCCATCCTCGCGCGACGGCGGCCCTGGAACGTCAAGTTCGGAGGCCGCGCCCAAGCGGTTCAAGCGCAAGAAGGAGGATGATGCAGCGTCCACTCGTCCCCCGACACAGGAGGAGCAGGCACAGCCAGAAAAGGCAAAGACCCCAGCGCTTCCGCTTCAATCTCACCGCCGTCTTCCTCGTCCAACTTCGAGGCTTATGACGCCTACGAAGGCTTCTCTTATGCGGTCGCAGAGCGCAAAGACCGTCAAGACTACGTCGATGCTGCCGTCCCTGTTCCGCTCTCCGTCGGCAAAGACACTTCTTTCTCCCACTAACATTGGCGAGACCGTGAAGGAGGGTGTGCGTGAAGGGCTGCGTAAGACGAGCGATTCTTTGCACAAAATGCGCTCTATCCTGCGCACTCCAAGACCCAAGTTCTCTGACGATCCCGCAAAGATTGCTGCAGGAACTCACATGTCTCCACCTCCCTTCCTTGGATTTACGAATGCTTTCCCACATGGTGCCGCTACCACTCCTCGGAAGCATGTCAACTTCACCAGCAGTACTCTGGAGAAAGCTGCCCGAGACGAGCTGGCCAACTCTCCGTCCCCGGTTAAGGTCCGGGCAAGCTCAGAGGCCTCGACTAGCACCGTTCCGTACCCCAAGTTGCACGACGAGGTGGACTACCCTGAACTTGCAAGTGAAGAAGAGACTAGCCCCACTCAGCCTGTCTCTCGCCGCTTGACCTTCGGCGACGCTACCGAGACGGCGTCCATGCCTTTCTCGTTCCAGTCTGACACTACCATCAAGTTCGATGATACCTCTAGCGGCACCATCCGAATGGTCAGGAAGAGCGACGCGTCATCGCTTGCCGAAGGAAAGAAGCGCAAGATTGAGACGTTCGAACAAGGTTCCGACAAGGAGAACGTGGAACCCACCGGAGATGAGATGCGTTCCGCAAAGAAACCCCGAACGGCCTCCGCTGAGCCTCCAAAGACACCTTCGAACGCAAGCAAACTGCCACGTCGCACCCCGAATGCTCGTGGATCTACTATCAGCAAATCCAGGCTTGCCTTCTTGGCCACCCCTAAGCGCTCCAAAGCTTAGTCTGCTTTACGAAGGAAGCTTCTCTTGATGCACATGACACAATGACACGACCTTCTCACGAAAACGTTTTCCTATGTTCCCAACTCACATTCGGTATCATATGAACCAGCTGATGTTAGCTGGTCGCAATCACACGGCGTCAAGGAGTGGGGTTGAGCATTTGGGGACTCTGGATGTCTACTCACGATTCTTCTCTCCATTGCCACTTCAAGGCTCATTTTCCTTTTTCTTTTCTCTCTTGATTCACTCCTCTCGTGTGTATCTACGCATCTTGCTGGACTGGTAATGGTTGGCGGTTGGCGTTGGTCGGCCAGCGGTGATGACGAGGAGTTTGCTGCGCATTTGGCGGCGATGAGAAGGACTGATGATTGATTGCATTATGAACGGTTCTGTCGAATGTGGTGCCACTGCTATCCAATGAGTCGTATGGAATATAGTGAATGTCTCGTCCTCCTGCTACAGACTGTGCATGCCCAGGTGGTCTTGATTGAAGTAGATGTGATGACTAAGCACGCTTCCGCCCCATCCGAATATTGCGCCCCGCGACGGTGTCCTCGAAACCTTGCGAGACCCTGCATCTGGAGAACCCGTCGGCCAAGCCCAACCCACGCTATTTACCACTATCAACAGCCTTAGCCCTGTTGCCCGGCAAGCTGACCCTACAGTTGTTCACACTGGCGGCCCTTCACACCCTCGCTGCGGACTTCAAGAAGTCCCTGCTCTTCCTGAAAGACCATCCTCTCTTGAGCACGTCACCTCCTCCGCCGATTTCCGACAGTGACGCCGTGAGCGCAAACACCATCCTCTCAAGGACCTACGTCACCGCGCGCGATTTCCTCGCCCACTACAAAGACCGAACCAGCCTTCTTCTGACCCCAGATTCGGCGCTCGACTTCCTAACCACACCGCGCTTTTCCGACCCCACGTACCTCACCACCCTCTCTCTGCTGCTCGCCGCCGTCTTCATAACCATGTCATGGTTTTCCCGAGCTGGAGGGAGCTGGGGCGCAGGCCGCTTCTCCCCCTTCGGCCGCACGTCCTCGCCGCTCAACGGCACCGGCGAAGTGTCCGATGAAGGATACTCGTATATCACCAAGGAGGATCTGGACCGCGCGGACCGCAACCCGGAGCGCGAATCCGACGTGCTCGTCTTCAAGCACGGGCGCACCAACTACCCGGTGCATTTTCCAAAGGATAGTATAAGGGATGGGGAGGTGAGGGTGAAGGATGTGAGGAGTGCGGCGGCGAAGGCGATGGGGGTGGGGGACCCCGGGAGGGTGAGGATGTTCTTCAAGGGGCGGAATTTGAAGGTCGATGACAGGATGGCGAGGGAGGAGGGGTTGAGGGGGGATGGGCCCGGGAGCGAGATCTTGTGCGTTGTGGGCGAGGGGAGTGGGAGGGCGCACACCATGGCTCCTGGGTCCGAGGATGTAGGTGCCAGACCTGGAAGGGGGGAGGAGGGAAGTGAGGATGAGGAATTCGAAGGCGGAGAAGGGACCGAGGATGGAGGTGTTGCTGTTGCTGGCGGCAAGAAGAAGTCCCGTCGACGCGGCAAGAAGAATAAGAAGAAGCAACCCGCCTCTCCAGCACCACAAACACACGCCTACTCCAACGCCACCTCGACGGCCGCGGAGTTCCTGCCCACTCCAACCCAGGCCTTCCCCCCTCGCCCCTCCTCCACATCCGCCCCGTCGTCCCAGCCCACCTCCCGGGCCCCAACCCCTCAAACCCCGCTCGCAAAACTCGACGCCATCGCTAGTAAATTCCACACGGAGCTGGTCCCGCTGTGTGTACAGTTTATCCAGGATCCACCCGAGGAGAAGGCGAAGCGGCAGTTTGAGTACAAGAAGCTGAGTGAGACGATATTGACGCAGGTGCTCCTGAAGGTGGACGGGGTGGAGGCGGAGGGGGATGCAGAAGTGAGGGCTAGGAGGAAGGACTTGGTGAGGGAAGTACAGGGCATGTTGGGGAAATTGGATGAGACGGTCAAGTAGTGGGAGGGTGGTGGGAGAGGAAGTATGGTCATCTATGATGAGAGACTTGTATAGAAGGGAGATGGCATTTCATGTCAGGGTATGGGATTTGCATAGTTGGGATGGGAACACGGCGACGCCGCGGGGGCGTTCATTGTGTAAAACGTTTTCGTCATGAATATCTGAGAGGGATTGATCTCTGGAAGTGTAGACTCTCCCAATCCTGTGTCCGAACTGGTTAGGGAGCATGCTCCTCAAGACGTCGCCGAAGGAATTACCGCATCTGGGTTAGCATCATAAATATTCGACCTCAGATCTCCACCTTGGCACCTGGGCAGCTCCCACAACATCTATTGCACTTCCATGACTACACAGTATTGACTTCGAATCATCACCCCGAGCACCGAGTATCCAGCAATTGTTTCCCAAATGACTCTGTTGGAACATGCGTCGATGATGGCTGGGTGCACGCGTCATGGCGGGTTACGAGAGGGAGGTGCACCTTCGACGCCGTTCTGGAGTTGTTGAATGCGAGAGAGTCCTTCTCGAGTCTCGCCACCTACGCTTAATTTAGCTCGGACATTCAACAAGTGTGGTCCTCGCTGCGTCATAGACAGAGCCCACATGGTACGGAGACAACTGCTATCTTGAGGTTTCTCACACAGGACACGCACGTCTCTTCGCCGTCTGATTGGTATAGCGGAACAGCAGGAATCGAGCTTCTGGAAGCTGGAGCTGAAGGTTCAACTCCGGTTCTGGATACGGAGTACTATGTACGGGGTACTACAGTGTACGCACTACACATGATTGCCCTGGATACTACCGGAGAACTGATAGCGTAACGCTACTACTCGCTCCAAAAGCCCATTTGGCAATGACATGCGCGACGAAGGACACTACCTATTCTTGGTACCTATTCGCCGACAACAGCTGCTCAGTATTCGTCAGGTCATGAACAGCTTCAAAGCGTCCACGCCGAGGTCCCGCAGCTGGAACATTGCCTGGCCAACGTCTAGGTCTTCGTATACGTATATTTTCCATTTATAGCTGACCCCTTAGCCTATGACGTCCAGGAAGTTTGACGTTTAAGTTCCCTAGACGGCAATTATCACTCACGCCACAACCGCCGTTGTATCCGGTCGCATTGGTCTTGCCTCCCGAGACTACTTGTATGCGAGCGAATAGCGGTGGAGATGACCGTTTTTAGGACTATTGACAGCCCGTAATCAGCTCCGCAAAGGTTTACGAGTTCCATCTCGCCACGGGGGACGGATGGCCTGTGAACGGCGAGTATTGATTATTGCTGTCGCGAATGAGAATGACCATAGCACAGCGGGGTTCCGACTTCATGGCCACCTCCACCCTGCAAAGACTGGACTGGAACAAAACATGGAGGCGGCTATTCCGGATTGTACATATACGCTTGGAAGCATTCCACTTTTATATCCGGATTTCTTTCATTTCTTTCATCATCGCAATTGGAAGTCGGTCCGGGCGAGGAGGCGTGACTTCATCGCTTCAACTTCTATATCTCCTTTCACTCGTCTCGTTCACGAAGTCCCCTTGTTGAGTTCATTGTTTCTCTCAGAAGCCGGCTCGAACATGACCGTCACAATGGCCGCCCTTCTACCTCTGCTATTCCTTCCTCTCGCCGTTCTGGCTACAGGTAATCCTGCTGTCACTTCCTGCACTGTCGGCAATGACAAGCCCTGCCTCCCCAAGTCGACATGCACCCCGACTATGACCTGCGCCCAAGGAAAACCATGCTTGGGCCAATGCATTGCGATACCCACTCCGCCTCCATCCGCGACCCCATGCACCGTCGGGAACGACAAGCCCTGCCTCCCCAAGTCAACATGCACTCCGACTATGACTTGCGTCCATGGAAAGCCATGCCTGGGCCAATGCATTGCGACGCCTACTCCTACTCCTACTCCATCCGAGACGGCATGCAAGGTCGGGGATGAGAAGGCTTGCCCCCCAAAATCAACATGCACCCCGACCACGAGCTGCGCCCCTTGGAAACCATGCTTTGGCAAATGCG